CATTGATGACAACGAAACCGACAGCAGCGTTCTTTTCAAGAAATAAGTTTATATCGAATGTTGAGCCATCAATAGAAGAATTATTTTTATTTGATGAAAAGAAACGTCGTCGTCGTCGTCGCCGCCGCCGACAAAATGCCGATACAGTAATACATCAACAATGTGCACGGGAAATCGATGGTCCATTATATGGGTATGATCAAACACATTGCTATTGTAATTCTAATCAATGTAATTCAAATATTCAACGATGTATTTACGAAGTAACGTCAAAGCGACATTTCTCCTGTTACCATGGTACTAATTCCAGTCAATATCCTGTGGAAATTCTTCACAAATGTCGAAGCTGTCGAATATACAAGGATTTCTATTCAATTTATCATTACGAATGTTTAACATTCGGCGAACGCGAACAAAACAATAGAACTCATTGTACTTGTCAAAGACCCATGTGTAATCAGGACGCTTCAACTTGTCAACGACTACAACAAGCACCATCTCGACCGCGAACAAATCCAGTTTACACAACAATTTCGAACTCAACCATATCAACATCTACGAGCAAATCGACAGCTACTTTCCCAATTCGAACGATTAGTACAAAACTCTTTACAACGACTATTCCAATAACAACATCAACGACAATTCTTACTACCACTACCGTGACAACTGATTCTACCTCCAGCACTCCTATTACTACTACTACTACTACTATCAGCAGTACTTTTTTTTCTTCTACAACTACCACTCTGATTACTAGCACAACAACTATAAGTTCAACTTCCAATCCTACTACAATCAGTGAAACAACGATGGCTGATGCAGAAACAACGTTAATAACTGCCACTCCATTAGCGACAACATTATCGACCTCATTTGAAACTGAAGAAGGAACTTTAGACGTGAATTCAACAGCTTTTGAGGTAACAACATTAAATGAGACAACAACATCTTTTATTGAGATCAAACATCTGAAGACAGTGTATATTGAAGTAAAAAATCGTGGAACTAATTTATCAACAAGTCTCTTTCTTAACTTTTATTTTATTTCGAACATTTTCATTTCCTTTTATTTATTCGATGTGATCGCTAGTTCTATCTCTTAGACAGTATACATATGCGCACAAATACAAACATATATCAGTAAAAGGTATATTTAAACAATGAAAAAAGCCATCTACAAGGCAAAAGTATATACCCAAGCATTTGTTCATTAGTGAAACAACGATCGATTGATCCCTATGCAAGCTAAGAAACAATGTCAATAGTCGTACAGCTATTCTTAACAAACAAATAATGTCTATCGACTGGATTCATTTTTATACACATGGATGTATACGTATATCTACATCTACAGTTAACTTAATCTCTCTTCAAGTTTACTTGAATCATGAAATTCGAATAAGGGAGGAAGGAACAGAAGAGATTTATACTATTGTGTATATGACATTCATTTTTCATCATCCTTACGAAGAGTAAGGCGAACGATTAGGAGAGATTATTGATTTCATTGTGTACGATCGAAATCAAGACTTCAAGTGAAATACTACGAACACGCGACAAAGACTAACACGTTCATCTAAAATACTAATCGAAAAATGTTGCGGGATTCATGAAATACAATTGAACTCTTATGCACAACTAAACTGAACACTCATTGATCGATTATCATCAAATAAGACACTGATAAACTTACTAGAACAATAATATATCATGTTAACGGAAATGGTCTTGTCAGAATGTGAACACATTCTGTCATCCGTTTTCCTAGGGCTAGAAGAATCACGTCAGAATAGATTATAAATTAGACCATGCGTAAAATCTTCTCATTTCCTTGTAGGATATAGACAAGCTCAATTGATCAGATTTACAATTCGCGTGTTGCAAAAGTGTGATTATACTATGCTTATTTCTCACATGATCTTCTGTGTGAGATATGATGATCGTTCTAACGAAACGAAGTGCTTAACTAGAGTACACAACTGCAGTATTTTTCTTATTTTCATTTTACCATAAGATAAATGTGTATCTATTCATGATCTGCACTAATTAAAACAAAGAACAATGAAGAGTTATGCATCATTCTGTCTAAACAAATGCTTCACAGCTGATGGCAGATAATGAATCGCGAAGATAATACTTCTTTTTTTGACAAGACTTGATGGAGAAAACTTCTAGAAGTAGAACTCCATATTTAGACTTTTGAGATGACGATAGCATGGAGAGTTGAAAGAGTCTTTTCTATACAGTGATGGGATATAACAATTTTTCACTCACTGGGAAACTATTTGTCGCCGAATTTGATTGATAGGAGCAAGAAACACTAGAATCAATTGTCGACTTACTAGAAGCTAAGTTCGATTATTCTCTTTTGAAAAATTACTGAAATACATAGTAGAAAAAAAGAAAATATATGATCCATACATTGCCCATTGGATTGTTTGATTGCACTGTTTTTATCATGTGAGAAAATAAGAATAATCTAAAAAACCCTATCGAATTAAGTGACAGTCGATTCTCCTGCAAAGTATTGTCGAAAATGGTGGTTAATCCTTTTTTGCTGCATCTCTTTGATTCATCTCGATTGACATTATATACGAAGAATATATAGTCACGATACTTGAGCCTGAATACGGTTCGTGTGTTATTTAAAAATCCAGAAAACAACTACTCTCCGAGAGAAACTCAATGTCTTCTGAAGAAAAAAAGTACATTCGCGAAATAACGCTGCTATGGAGTAAGCTCTTCTTTTCTACACTCGGAAGTCTATTGACAGATGGATGCTATTTTGGTGACATGGCTTTTAATTCACATATTCTGTATGATCAGTCATTTCGATCGATTGAATTGAAAGTTTTAATTTGCACAGCGATTGATTATCGTCGAAGAATGTGTTCTATGAATTGGACGATACTCGGAAAATTGCTCAACTGCTGTGAAAACCTCACAATCAATTTTGGACGTTTCGTCTTATTTACTAACGAATTGTTTGTCTCGTTCTTATCGGTGGTGTCGCCAGATAAGTAAATGCTTCTCTTTTATTGCTTTATGATTTTTTTTTCTATCCTGACGGCTGTTCATATACAACATACAGAACAGAACTGGTTTAATGTCGTCTAAAAATCTTTCGATTTTTTCAAACACAATTCGTTGGTAGACGTACAAATAGAAAAATGGCAAAGTCTTCCAAATTAGAAGACTACTGGCAAAAGAATAATGTAGAAAGTCTGCTCCGAGACATGACACGCGTGTTAGCACAACAAATGCCATCTGATCCAGCAGCTTCGATCGCTCAATATCTTCAAAATAAATATCCAAAATCATTTCAAAACTTCGCCGGTAGCAACGGAAAGACAGACAGCATTCGTAAAACTACAACAACTACGCTACAATCGAAGTCAGTTACTTCAGCACGTTGTGGTGTAAATGTAAGTGCTGAAAAGTTGAATGACTCACAATTACAATGTAATACATCAAATCAAAGTCAAAACAGTCATAGAAGTACTATACCAGTAAGTAAATCGATATTTGATGACTTGCTCAATCGAGACGTACATAGTTTACTCGCTTTCTTCTTAATATAGACGATTAGCGCAAGAGAACATCCAGAAATTAGTATAGGAAGTCTTATGTTTGCTAATCGGGTAGGTCAGCAAGTAATACTATCAGGCAAAGATATTCGTTCAGACCATGATATTCTCCAAGACGAACTACTAACACGAAAAAAACTACACACGCCAACGTCGAATGTGATCATGGATGATATTTCCAATGAGGTTCAACAATTGGAAACACATGACGAGCCATCGGTAAGACAATTGGTAAAATATAAGCAAAATATTCGTACCGAAAATAAACGCCGTCGTCATCGAGAGGAACTTGCTGAGTTAGCGAAACAAATTCATGATAGAGAAGAAATATTCCAGCAGAATAATGTTGCCGAAACGGATGATAAAAAGCAATTCGAAACACACGATACTGAACTAGCGGCTCAGCCAAAAGCAGAGGAAGATGTTTTGAATGAAGAAGATGTTTTTCAATCAAGAAAACAACGATTTCGAGAGCGACATAAAGACAGATCATTGACAACAAGAACATTCGAAGATGGTAACAAGGCGCCCAGAATGCACGGCTGTATATGTCAAGTATGCGGAAGTGTTATGAATGATGAAGATTATAAACGATACTCACGGCAACTTTCTGGTATCACAGTTTTTTTTTCTCGTGCTTTATCCAAACGATATCTAGAGCAAATTTTTCAAAAATATTTTTAGTGCAACCGGTTATATCCTCAGTTACAACAAATGAGGACGAGGATGCAATTGACGATTGGTTCGAACCCTCATCCAAAATATCGGATTCAAAATCACCGGTTCAATGGATACCAGATCAGATAACGCCTGTGCCAGTTCATATCAATCCTTTTGAACAAAACTCTTTTCGAACAACTGAGCAGACTAATGATAGTACTACAACGCGTCATCGACCAATAATACCGACTATTGTTATAGACAACGGCGAGGAACTAGGACATTCAAGACCAATACGTTTATCTGAATCAGATTCATTTGTTCGTACATCTACGCCTAGTACTAAAAACCAGTTATCTAAAACTGCAGGAAATTTTTCATTCTCGCGGCCAGTTTCTGTATCACCGATCAAAGCAACATCGACGACAATAGCTCATGGTACGGAATGACGAATATGAATCCCTTTTAATGTAAATCTTTTGATTTTTTGCAAGCCTACATACACATGCATAAGGGTTCAATTAGAATAAATTGTGAAATAAAAGTCGAAAATATTGGACATCGCAAGGAAAACGCAGACACACTGGAATATCAAAAATTGAGTTATATATACATTAATTGATTGAAGTAGCACGTGGTATATTGATCGCACGATTTGCGATATACATAGACGGAAAAGATGAAAGAAAGGCAAGTCGATAGAGGCGAGAGAACATTTGATAGTGAAGTTGTTTGTCAACCAACTTCTTTCTATATAAATGATGTGCACAGTACTTTGTGATAAATCGACACTCATTTTACTGCAAATCGTTTTGAACGAACGTCATATTCTTCGCTACAGATGAATTCTATGACACTACATTGCAGAACATAGTTAAGACAAACTAAAGATTTGTTGTAATTCATTAATTGAACCACTTCTCCAGCTCTTAAAAAGTCACTTTCTTCCACCCAAATTGCCCATTGGAAATCACTCGAGCTAAGGCGTAGTCGTTCGAGGATTGTGCCGACTAATTCACTACATCCTCTAAGCTCTACTTTCCATCAATGCGAAGCAATGATTTAAGCTTTATATCATGTCCAAATATCCAATGGTATTGTACCATCTCTTGTGCGATGCATTTTTCTTTACCTTTGATAAATGTTCGAAAAGAAAAGTACCAGAACACTTTTCTACATCATTTCAATCGCTCAAAAAAATACACAAACTTCAAGCATTTTTAACGACCATACAACCTAACCTTCAGCAAAGGATACAAAGAAAAGAAAATTAGATGGTTCTTATGAAATACGCATAATGTTGATTACTTGTTTCTTTTTATCTGCTGTCATGCTTAGTAGACAGTTGTAAAAGAAGAACGACCAATTGAGAACTGAGATCTCAACGAGCTAGTTTAGTGTTAGGCTTTATAGTACTTTGATTTGATGTGAAATAGAGTGAACATGGTGATGTTATTTGATAGTATTTATTTCGAAGAAGACACAACAACTGAGCGAAACACAAGTTCGAAATCGGCTGAATCAAAGACTGAGTAGAAATTGAAGATTGTCCGAGAAAATACAGGACATGTGGGAAAGGAAAAAGAAAAGAAAAGGAGTTACATCTGTATGTGTATGCAATCATATAGAACCACGCATACATGTTAGGGATATTCAAGTCGATCTAGTTTATTAAACGGAACCTGTTTTAATTTATGTTTCATGTCATTTTCCTATCGTATTTATGGCATATTACTTTTTGTCTATGAAATTCTGAAGGCATGCATGGTTACACTCGAGGGCCATCTTAGCATACGTCGATACGAACATCAGCAGATATTTTCATAGCCATTAGAGTAGCTTACCAATACGATCTTCTATATAGATAAGTATTCAAAAATAACAACCCATATTCACTCTCACTCCAACAAATGCAAAGAACTTTTCTTTGACTACACTTTATACATCTCCTCATGCTAGTCTGTACATAAAACTTTGGAGCAATAAGTTCTTCATTTTCGGAATCACTTCTTGTATCACTTATTGAAAGTACCATCAACCTTAATAGTTCATAGGACGGCAAATGTTAGATATTTGAGACGGATATTAGTTTTCAGTAATGTCATTCTGTTAGTTTTCACAAATCTATATAGTAGCATCTTAAAGACACAAAAAAAGAGAATCATCATAGCCAAAAAAAAATATCTGTCTATACACTCATACATACACACAGACACAAATGTTTAACTCGAATCCATCATGAAATTAAAAGAGGAAAAAAGAGAGGGATATGCATTACAGAGATATTGAGAAATTGAACACATAAAAACGTCTGAGAACAAGTTATGCATGCATCAGCCAACAAGAACAACATGTTTCATGTTGGTCGCACCATTCGAGATGTTCTAGAATAAGACATACAAATCTGTAAAACGATGGTATCAATGCAAACATACGTTTGCTTTGCAAAGCGATTTCTCAGATGTTGAGGTAGCTGGAGTACTGGAGATTTTGCTTCATTCGTTAACGTTGGTGGACATTCTAAACGACGAATACATACATTGTTTTCTCAGACAAGAGACTTACCAATTTTTTCGATAGGTGAATCATTCTATAGAACACAGGCAATTCAAGTGGTTATATACATAGGCAAGAAGAAATCGATCATACCTTTAGGTTATCTGAGATTTGATTATCTAATTTATCTGTCGGTGGTGAGTCTTTGATCGTATTAGATGATTTTCTTTTCAGAACATCACGAATTGGTTTTGTCGGTGTCATCAATTCTTCAATTGAACTTTGAGTTGTTGTCGCTTGTGGTAAATTGTCATAGTCATTTTCAGTATCTATTTTTTTGAAGCGTTTGTTTTTATTCGGTGAAGTTACATCTTTAGTCAATGTCGTATTTTGATTCTCGCTGATAGCTTCAAATACACTTGTACTCTTTGTTACAGTTGATGACGAAAAAAATCGACTCGATTTGTCTTCGTCGTATTGATTGAATAGCAAAGGTCGTTTGACGATTTCAATACTTTGAATGATCGATGTGTGGTATTCGATCGACGAGGATGTCTTTGTGCTTGTTTCATGTTTCTTCTCACTTGATTTTGGTAGGTACATGTTGAGAATAGTTGAAGAAGAGAGGGCATCTGACGATGGCGTTGGTTGTGAACGAACTTTTCTTGGTGGAGATGGTGTAGCGAGTACTTGCCGATTTATGGGCGTTGACATCAATGAAAATGGTTCGGCACGGACACGAAATTCTTTATTCCAGATGGAGTTCAAATATGCCGGCGTAAAACCCGATGTTAATTTGGGCAAACGATACTATTCAAAATATCGGTTCTTTTGTTTTTCAGCAACGAATCAAACAGGATAAACTTACGTTCCATTTATCTGGATCGAATTTGTCAACTATGCATTTAGTTTTCACATTCAAATTTCCAATTGCGTGTTGAAATGCTAGTGATGTTTCGTCGATTCTAAATGTAGGAATGAAGAAAACTTCATAGACATTAAATCCTAAACATACTGTCCAGCAAATTTGAGATGACTATGATCGATATCGTCGGGTAATGGGTTCAATGGTATTTGCTTTCTTTGAGCAGGATCATAAACAATCTGATGTAGAAACGCTAAATGTGCCCGCTTGAACCCAGTGATATAATCGTCGGTCACTCGAAGATTCATTTTGCCGAGGTTTTGGGGAAGTTGTTTGAGAATCTATTCATGAATTGTAAAATGCAAATCTTGATGGAATAAAATCTTTTCTATACTAATTCGATATTGTTTATTTGCGTTCGACTCATGATTTTCTTTGCTTTTGCTAAGCCAATACCAGCGATATTATCAAGATAATCACATCCAGATAAGATGCACATCCAACGAAAACGTTCAAAAGAATCCAAGCCAAATTCTTTTTTCAAATCGAGTTTTGTTCCTTCAAACAGTTCACCATAGCCTTGATCATCAAGTTTAAACAAGATCTAAAACATTCACTTCTGAGTATTATTTGAAAGCACACACTATTTGCATATCTTACGTAATGGCAACCAAAGAGAACAAGATCCGAGTCTTCTGTAATAACATAATCAGCGATTTTTGCTCGATTCAAATATGCTAATTGAGCATCAGCTTCATACGGTGCAACAATAACATCTATTCCCATCGTTCGAAGAGTCTAAAGCAAATCAATGATAGATCGCTAATCATCAAAGAAAATTCATCGAACTCGAATAACATTGAGAACCATATCTGGTGTAATTTCAATAGCTTTCTGAAAGAATTGCTCTGCTTCACGTGTTTTTCCACTGGCCAATGCTTTCTGTGCACGTAGACGATTTCGTTCTCGTTCGCTAAAAGCGACGTAAACCAAGTCAAGATGACGTTCATGTCAATAAAAATCAACAACCCACTCGCTTCGATTGATATTCGTGATACGCTTTGCCGGCAGTGGTGAACCATCAAAAACCATGATCGGTTTTATGCCCCATTCCAGTAATCTTTCTACATATCGAGTTACATATTGAACGTATCTGTAGAAGAGAGAAAAACACAGACAAGTTTCATTCGATAAAATACATGGAAGAGGTCGTATTTACTTATCGGTGGATTCTTTTTGCGCTAATTTTCCGGCACATGCATAAGCGCCTCGATGAAGTAAGAAACTTGTATCAACAGCACATGTCGTACCACGAAATTCAGCGCGCTTGATATCTACGCGATGTATCGCTGATTTTAACAAAGGATGGAGGCCCTCAATTCCCATAGTTGTTTTCTTTCAATGTAATGGCTTATCACTAAATAAAACAATTAAGAGTCTAAAGAAAAATACAGAAAATCAGCAGATCAGATCGAATATCAATGTCGGTTTATCGAGCGAACAAAAAAACGAATCTATACACATGCACACAGACATGGTATTGGTAGTGAACGAACGAAAAAAGGAGGATAATCGTAGTATGTCGTCGCGGTCGTTCGTTAGAGAATTCTTCGTTTATATTAGTCATGCGTATCTTTCACTTCATTTTCATAGTCGATTTCTTGTTCAACTATAAACAATAATCGATGTGGGAGTATTTCTATCTTATCCGAAGAGTCTGATTCTCTTGAGATCCATACCGATAATTTCAATATAATCATACAAAACTATGTAAACAAGTTAGCGGTCGACCTTGAACGGAATTTCGCCGGAATAGACAATGACGTGAACCTAAAAGTAACTTTGTTGTCTTGTCTGATAAACAAAACAAATGTGAGAATGAACTTCCGTCGAAGATTATTGATTGCTCGAGCCAAATTCTAACATACTATTTCTGTTCTTTTCCTTTGTATTTTTTCTTTCAATCTCATTCCATATATCAGTCGATCATACAAAAAAATATATACACACACTCACAGACAAAAGAAAACAATATTAAACAGAAACTAGATCTGTCTCTGCCTAGAAAACAAACAAAGATCAAAAAATTCCATTAATGTGGTTTTAATAACGAAGGACGAAAGAGAGAAAGAAAGAAATTCTTATAATTATATTCTTTACAATAAACATACGCACACACTGAAATTATTTACAAGAATATAAAATCACATAAGATCAGACTTTTGTTTCAGGGCCCGTATTTAAATGGGCAAATGAGTCTCTGAGTTTTGTCATTAATCGAGTTAAGACTGAACCATATGCTTTGGTATACCATTCGTGTGAACGACCCATTAGATCTACACGGCTTAAATGTGTTACTTTTGATTTACCACATCCTAAACGAGAATGAACGAGATCTGAAAACATCAAATCAATTAATTACCATAGGATTGTATTAAATACCGAGAAGCTAATGTCACAGCGCGAACTATTTAATAGAAAAACAAGAAGTAGATAGAGAATAGAACTTTCGAAGTATTCGTTCTTTTACCAAGAGTTGGTGGGCAATGTGCTTTTGGATGTTCAATAGATGTACAGACAAGAACACACGCATCTCGCTTTTGATTATGTGGATTTTGCGTAGTAATAAATGAAGCTATTGCGCTGGACGATGCTGTTGATGATGAACCAACTGGAAGTGCCATTAGTGTGTTATTAGTATAGCTATTATTGTTTGTTGACATGGAATTTTGATAACTGCCATTCGTATTCAATTGAACATTCGTTCTCCAACTACGTACTTCGCAGAAATATCGCGATGCTAAAGGAGCCTGAAAAAAATTTACATGCATCAAGTTGATAATTGAACATTAGTCTTCGAGGAAACATTTACCATTGAGTTGAGTGTATATTGATAAACGTGCGTATTTTGATTTAACTGTTCAATAATTGTACCGGATTGAAAATCTAAATAGTCACAAGAAAAATTCGAGAACAATGAAAGGATATCGTCATTGTACGTACCATCATCCCAAAGATGCCTTTCGTTTAGAAGTCGATTAAGTATTTCAATTGGTGGCGCTTCAATTTCCGCTGAACATTTCCACAATCCCAGTGGATGACCGTCGTCTAATTTTTTGAATGCAAGTTCTAAGTCATTGTTAATTCCAAACGAAGTCCATCCTTTGATTTTATTGTAACACGATTCGCGCATCACTTCCACAATACAGCGATCGATAAAGCCTTGATAGGAATTTTTTATACTCGGTGGTGTTGATAGTAATTGCAATGCACTAGTCATATCGTCAGTACATAAGCGTGATGATGAGAATGATTTCATTGTTGTGGGCGTTGTCGAAGATTTACTCGTAGTTAAATTATCATTTAAAAGAATATTTTCGCATGATGATGATGCGGACGGTGACGATGACAATGATCCAATCGAATCAGACGCTGATATAGTGCCGATTTCTGTTGCACGCTGTTGTGCTGTACGTTTTCCAACGAGATTGCTTGATGAACATCGCCGATATTTATTCAACAATGGAGTTGTTGTTGTTGTTACAGCGGATGTTGTTGTCGTTTCCGATACACGTCGCGCTAATTCTTCTAATGTGCATGGTTCGCCAATTTCAATATAAGAAAAGTGACATGCTTGATGAAGTTCATCCGGTACAAGAAATAATGATCGAACATGATCGATCATAAATGCTAAAATCTCCATAGCCTTCCGTTGTTCTTGAATTTCTCTCCAATCAGGCATGCCCATGATATTTGAAGTGACTGTCGTCTGCGGAGTCTTGCGTGTCGATGACGATGTAGATAGATCGACTATTTCCATATCGTTATAGTGACGAAATGAAAACAATGTTGGTGCGAAGCAAGTCGCTAAATTAATCGAACTCATCTGATTCGTTTTCGAATGTTTCGAAACATCATTTAAAAACGATAGAAGCAAATGTAATACTAAACGATTTTCATCTGGCAAGAGAAGAACCGCATACTGTAACGAACGTAATCGACGTTCGTTATTTAATTTGATCGTTGTGGAATCGATCGATGATGATGTGGCTATGTTGGAAAAATGCTCACTGATATTAAGAAATAGCGGTGATAGTTTCGTTGTGAATAAACATTCCGGTAATGAACGGAAGTATTGTTTTAAGACATCCGAAACATCATATGGACTGAAATCATCGAATTGATGAAATTCGAGATCAGATTCAATTAAATCGTGAAGACGCTTGATACGATTAGAAACACCACTAGAGAAAAAAAAGAAGAAGAAGAGCAGATTATTTCATTGTTTCAATCTAAGTTCTTGAGGAAAGACTGACTAAAAATAGACATCCTTAGGCAAATTTTGACGCTCGGTATAACAAGGTCACTCAATGAATTTTTCCTTTGAGCTTATTTGCTCCATTTATTTTGTCAAAGTATATTTAAGGATTAGCCTGGCTGCAGGTAATCTAGTCACTTCATTTGCATTAACTTCAAATTGTTTTAAATCAACAATCTTTAATCAGCGGATAGACGTGAAAAAGTACATTCAGAGATAATTGTGTTAGGAAAGAGAGCTCTTTTCTTTTGAATTAATTCCGCGAAGACATGAAAAGAACGAACCACCATTTATTTAACATTATAACAATATTTGATTACCAGCCTTGAGAATAGAAATTGTATCATCTTTCGGATATTTGATTCTCTTTCATTCCGAACATTCTCGACATACTCAAGGTTAATAGAAAAGATTCAATCAAACAATTGATCTTTAGTTTTGCTTTCATAGATGAACTTACGGTTTACGAAAGATGCCAACGCTGTCGATTGATGTTCGCCGAAGATATTTCATGGCTGAAATAATCGTTATTGGAACGGGATGTCCAGTGCGTTGAGTCATCGAAAGAAGTGACACACCGAATACTGATTTTTTAATATCTTTCATTTCTGAATGAGTTTCCTATAAATTTTCAATAAGAAGAACATGTGTATTGAGAACAAGAAACGAACTTTTCGTTGTTGATGTCGTCGAATGATTAATTTTGGTACAGCACTAAATGCAGTAGCAAGTAAACTTTGCGGTGATGCAACAGTTGTGTTGACTAATGTTGGTATTTGATCATCCTTTTTTATTGATAGAATTCTTGTTGTATCAAGTAATTCTTGGATACGTATAGATGCTGCACGGCGCAAAGCAAATAATTGTCCAACGGACATTTGTCCCAAATGATATTTCGATGAATTAAAACTAGGACGATGAGATTTTGTAAATGAATGCCATTTAACTCGAATTTTACGACTAGCGGGTAAACGTGCCGGCGTTGAAGATGACGGGATAGTATTGGTTACATCACTTTCTGACGAAGATGATGATGACGATGACGATGACAGAGAAGATGTCGATCGATGTAATACATCAGAATTAGTTGTTAATACAACAGAATCGATCTGTCTTTCAACACTACTTGTACCAAGACCGGAATCTTTTCTATCAGTTGAAGAACGAATATGAGTTAAAGTAGTGCGTTTCAGACTATGGTCATCAGTTGACGAAACTGATGTTGCTGTGGGAGAACGATTATCGATGATGACTGGTTCACTTTGATAGCCGAGTGGTGGTGGTACATTATCATAAAATGAAAGACGTGTCCAATCGTAGACATGATAATGCCGACGAGCAAAGAGAGTCGCTTGACGTGAAGGTGATTTCGTTGAATGACGAGGTAATGCGGTAGTTGATGTAGTAATGTGATTATCATCGGACGGAATCATTATAGGAAAATGCTGATGATTTGATGATGTATTCGTTGTTGTTGTCGTTATTGGTTGCTCATCACAGATCGGTGATAGACNATATATTGGTTAGCGCCAAACTGAACAGCAGCTCTAGGGGTTGATTTAAGTGGCCACTTCATTATTTTTTGTTCGCTGGGTACCGCTATTCGGCTATGTCGATGTTCTTACCAACTCTATTTGCATGTATGTAGATCGAAGGAAGGCCGAGATGTGCACTACTACTAAGTGATTTATCGATCTTCCGATGTGAGTTTAGTTATAGTCGTCGTTCATCGATTTTTAATTCCAACACATCGTCACTTGAAGTGATCATCTGAAATAGAAAAGATTTATCATGTGAATCGATTACTCGCTTCTCTTTCCAACACTCTTTTCCTCATTCACGATAACATACATACACACATACAGAACACTATTTTTGTATGGTAGTGTTCGTCGGCGCAAAATTAGTTCAACAATCTTCTTCTTCTCCTTCTCCTTCTTTTTCTTCTTCCCTCTCGCGCATAGAGTATATGCTTATGTGTGTGCACACACACGCGGCGCGCTTTTCTTTTTCTCTCTTTATCCGTTTGCCTTTGCGCTTGTGTGTATGTGTGTGTGCGTGTATACACATACGCCCGCATAGTAAAACGAGGTCACCACTACAGCATTATACTGAATAGTATATGACAATTGTAACAATGATGAGGAAGAACAACGGCGAGGACGACATTCGATTATTTATAGATCGAAGCTGCGAACATCTTACATAAATTTTCTTCTTTATCCATTCACTAGGTACTGTATTTCATCAAGAATGATGACAATGAATAAAACACATGCGATCAAGGACAACTCATGCATGCTTCTCTCTCTGTGTACGCATCAAAGCTCATCTCAATTAACTCGGATTTCTTTGTGGCTTTCTGTTTATAAAATGGCAGTGACTAGTACTGCTCATAATACTAAATCGAATGTTGTATGAGACGACAAGCGTGGGTGGTTTTTCTTATTTATGTTTTACTTTCTTCTTTCAAAAACGCCGATGATGATGATCGTAAGCAAAGCGAAAGAAGAAAAACAGAGCAAAACAGGAATTGTGACGATGATGACGACTATAACTAAACTCACATCGGAAGATCGATAAATCACTTAGTAGTAGTGCACATCTCGGCCTTCCTTCGATCTACATACATGCAAATAGAGTTGGTAAGAACATCGACATAGCCGAATAGCGGTACCCAGCGAACAAAAAATAATGAAGTGGCCACTTAAATCAACCCCTAGAGCTGCTGTTCAGTTTGGCGCTAACCAATATATTGTGTCTGAACTGTCCGAACATGAGAACACTCACCTATGTTTTGTTTTCGATGCATGATTTCTCGGATGATTCTTTTGTTCTTTCTCTTGTCTGTCTCTCCATCTATTCATGTGGCAGAAAGGGTGAGGGTGAATGACATGAGTAGAATAGGAATCTATAGTTAAAGAGAGAAAAAAAAAGAAGAGAAGAAGAAAGATTAACGCATGAACACATGTGTGGCGTAATATGCAATTATTATTATTTATCGATACACATATACTCATACATTGTTTCATCGATGATAATGACAGCAACAGCGACGTCGTGATGGCGAAGGATTATATAAAATACACAAACTCATATATATATATATGCTCATGTGGGCGCGTATAAGGAGTGTGAAAAGGAAGTACTTTGATCGAACCAGTCATAGAATATTGTGCAATTCATGCTGTCCGAACATTAAATATTGTCTAATATGACGCGTGTGTGTGTGTGGAGAATCAATCATAATAGGTATAGTTATATATATATTTTTTTACTCATTTTCTATATGTCATTGAGATTGTTAGTTATACGTCGACATATTTGATACGTTGTTTTCGTCTATGAGGAAGAGAATTGACACATGTAAAGGAAAAGAATAGGTTTGTGTGTCTTACTTACCTACGGAAACGACTTTTTCCATCTCCGTTTCTTTTTCTATTTTACAGATAGGTGTGCTTTTGTCTTAGGGATGTGAATGTGCGTATGTTGAATAATAACAGCGAATCGATGCAAAATGAGAAGAAAAAAAATATTGTAAAGATAAGCAAGTCAAAGAAAAGAAGAAAAAACGTGCTTGAGGTGTAATATAACGATTACAAACCAAGCAGTGGAATTGCTGAATCATACGTGGAAAAAATTGAAATAAATAAAGAAAGAACGAACGAACGATGAAAGGAGGGAGGGAACAAAGAGAGAGAGAGAGGATGACTGCAGTGATGGGTGGAAGAAGAAGAAAAAAAACAACGAATGTGTCGAGTAATTGAGAAAGAAAATGCATAAGTTTATCGTCTATTAACGAGTCAAATTACAAACAAAAAAAAACGAATATTATTCACCAATATACATTACAAACCAAGGATGTCTCATTGCATTTTTCTTCTTCTCCATATTATTAATTTCTTCCTAATTACTTTTCATTGAGTGGCGGAGAATTGATAACTGATTTAACCATATGTAAAAACAGAGAGAGAGAGAGAGATGTATAATATAACAGCTGGATCTTTTACCCTTTGTTGAATTGATTGAATGAAACAAGGTACACCTGTTGTTTCATTCGTGATAAGATATATTTACCGTGATACGAGAAAGAAAATATTTCCTCTCTATGATTGCTGACTAATCTTTTGATAAAACTATGGTAACTATCAATGACGATTGTCGATAAAAAGCCATTTATTCTATGAATACAAATGATTGTTTAATTGAGATATTTGATTTTGATTCTTCGAAGTTAAACAAAACATTAAATGTACTCTGAATTGTGTGTAAAGTTCATCTATAATAAGGTCATACGATACATAGTAAATCTTCAAAAGGTCCTAGATAATTCAACAGTCATCTTTGAAATGATATGTAGGACAAATGGATTTTACGCTAAATATACGATTTGGTACGAAAGAGTCATGGTTAAAAGAAGAACATTTTCATTGGTTTCTTTCTTCTTACTTTTAGTCTCGAACAATGATGAACTAATCATTAGTTTTGTCCAATGGTCATAATAAACATTACTGATTATGTCAGTATTATACATAAATGTTCATCAAAATATTGAATTATATCATCAATTTCTTACACAATATTTCGTTAAGAGTATAAAGAAAACCTTATCAAAATCGATATATAACGGCCGATGAAGTTGATAGTATTCTCATTTAACACGAATAAGATCAGTTTGTTCGATTAACGTCAAGTAAAACGAAATGTAACCTTTCATTTTTCTCTCTCTCTCTTTCATCGTTTCTCTGCTTCTCTGTCTTCCTGTTCAAGTGTATATGCAAATAAATGCAATTATCGTCGAACTTCTGAAATAATAAACATCAACTTGAATCATATGTTTCAAGTGTTACATCATCTGACTCTATGATCTCTTGTTATTTACACAATATTCTTTTTGTATTCCCGCTTGATAACAAAGCAACAATAGATAAAACCGAATAATTCAGTAAATCTATAAAGGAAAAAAGCAGCTCCGTAGAACTCAATGGATAATCATCTCTCCAGTTACATATATAGCTCTTCATTATTTGTTCAATGCATCCCTAATATAATACATCTGGTCTGATTGCTCATTGGGGAGAAATAATATTGATTACATAAACAAGCATTATGTAAAATCAAATGGTCAATCTCATGAACTTCTTTCTTCATTTGCTTTATCATTGTTTATACTTCTCTGTCATAATACTGTCAGCTATTGTACATAGGGTTTATCTTCTTTATTTCAGTATAGTGTCAATAAGTTTTATTGCTTACTGCATAGCAGCTATTTTACCATGTCGCATTACTTTTCGTCTTGTCCAGACAATCGTTTTCGAAAGGGGATACATAGGAATATATATATACCAAATTTCAATGGCATGACATGAATTGCTTGCTTTTTTTTAATTATGAGGGAAAAAATAGATCAACGTCAAGACAACTTTGAATGTACTCTTGATTCGATGACTTCGACTATTACGAAGTGACACGCACAAGAGATTCTTTTTTAGCGCAAACTTGCAGAAACCCTGGTGAGAAAGTATATCAGCGGTATATACATGCAACGCCAAGATTCTCAAAACCCGGTCTCAATCTCACTGATACTAATTCGTTTGAGCCATGTATTGAATTAAACACAAGTTTCTTGTAAGGATATCGATATCTGTTTTAGCCGATCAAATGTTTTTTTTTCGAAATCGTACCACCAAAATCTTGACGTCATTTCTACGAACATAAGCAAATGTGAAATTCTTAAAATACGTTTCCTTTCAATGTTATAAAGTTCATCCCTATCAAGTCAGACGCTTCCCTGCAATGATCATTTAGAATATCTTATACGTCATATTGTAAGTTCGCTGAGACGAATCGTATCTGAGTTACTCTGATTTTCAAATTGCTCTTCAGCATTATGAGTAGCCGGTATTCGTTGGAATGATTAAGATTTCATAGGACGTAATAAATGAGTATTTCTACAATTATAAATCGTAGAGCATGGCATTCATTTTTTTGCTTTCTTTTCGCAATTAGAAATAAAGATCTTTACAATTTTATGCATTCAGCAAGGGATTTAAGACCAACGGCTTGAAAAGAGATGTATGAAGATCTGTGTTCAGGTTTCTATTTGATTAATCATTCTCTTTTATTATTGCAAAAAATAAACATAACAAAAACTTTACTTTGTGAACGGCTACTGATTCTCATTCATGAGTTTTCTAACAAGATTATACAGAGGAATTAGATTTGTTCAAGATTTAACCAGGATAGATCGACAGATTTCATTTGTGGATAAGCCCAATGGAGAAATGTTTTGAACCAGATTGGATCAAGAGAGGAAAGCGGTTTTAATGAAGAGTAATTTGTTTCGCTGATTAATTGAATATAGTCTATGATGCATCGTTCAAGTTGAATAAGTTGTCGTAGTTTCTTCGTGGAAGTTGAATGAATAAGATGCTCAAGAAGTAAATGTTGCTCGAATGGAGTAAGTACAGGTAGACCTTGATTGAAATGTGTTTGAAGAGGACTTTTGTCTTTTGATTCATGAATTTTAATGAATTTTTTCGGATTAAAATCGTCAAGAAAACGATTGAACGCATTTGTTATGTCTTGATCATTCATAGCTTGTTCGACATAAACAAACGGAATATGATGGGCAATGGCCGCTAAGAAATATCAGTAGACATTGTATAAAGAATCTCAATAAAAGAAAAATTATCCTACCAAGAGCTGGTTGAATATTATCCTTTTCAATTTCTTTCATTATCGTCGAGAATCTCTTCCGAATGTCTTTTCGATTATTAAAATTCAATTTCGACTGCAAATATTCCATGTTTCCCTTCCAATCTTGCAAAACAGTCGACTCAGGTAAACGATGTATGTGACAGACGGTTTCAATATCATGACAATCGATACTCATGTCATAAACAGCTGCAGCACGATTTTGAAATCGTCGATGAGACAATGGAATATGTAAGGCCAGTGTTGGTAATTTTCGTACATTTGTTTTTTGTGACATATCTAAAATATTTTCGTGAAATTTCAATCATGCTTAATGGCATGTAAGGACTCGAACTGTTTATTGGGCCAATACAAAAGTACAAACGAAACACTAGGGCGAAGATATCCGTAATTTGAAGTGAGTATCTGTTGTATTGAATTAGTCAACGGAAGTGACTACTTGATAGAACTGAAATAATAATTATAACACAAAAATATACAGTGAAGGTGAAACAGTTCCCTCGGGGCGTGAAAAATACCGATAAAGTCATTTCTTTCTTTATACGATCGGTATATCTCTCGTCTACATTTTAGTTTTGCTTCTATCTTTTCTCTGTATGAATGAATCGATCGAATGAATATAATTGCTTTGGTAATGTGCGATAACTGAACCAGTCGTCGTCATGTGGGTATTTTTTTTTCTTTCTCTATTCTTCCCTTCTCTCTACAGCTTGTCATATATAGTTGAAAGTTTTCAATGATAAGTCATTTTCTCTTTTTAATCAGACGACGTATAAAATACATATAAACACACTCCACAAACTCTGACCGAGATAGTCGAAACATTAAACTTAGAATTTATTCGACTTATTCAAATGGTTCGACAGAAATTCGTGATCAATCCTCTTGAAAAACCTGCAGATAGCTCATGTGATATTCGTGAATCCAGTGGTCATGTAAAATCATTTTTTACGCGGCTGATCAAGCGAAAAACTGTGACACAATTACAAGCTGAAGCCGAAGGTCAAAATGAACTGAAACGAACTTTAGGTTCATTCCAGTTATTAGCATTGGGTATCGGTGGCATTATCGGTACTGGTATATTCGTACTGAGTGGTGAGGCAGCTGCAAAATATGCAGGTCCTTCTGTTATCGTATCATTTATTATTGCTGCTTTCGTCGCTGGACTTGCAGCATTTTCCTATGCTGAAATGGCGTCGATGGTTCCGATTTCTGGCTCAGCTTATTCATATACATATGCTAGTACGTTGAGACTTTTTTTGTGTAATTAATTCCAATCCTGGTTTTTTTTCTTTTCTTTCTTCTGTACAGCTATGGGCGGTAAGTGATCTGACGTTATCAATTAATTGAGCTACGGAAGCATCACGACATCGTATGTTGTTTTATTTTCAGAATATTTAGCATGGATTATCGGATGGGATTTGATTTTGGAATATTTACTTGCTGCAGCTACTGTTGCTGTTGGTTGGAGCGGTTACATCGTTCATTTTATTGAAACAGTATCGAGACATAACGCAACGAAATGGATTGTTGATGCTCCAGTTGCTTGGAGTGAAGAATCAAACGTATTCTATGCTACTGGCAAAGTGATCAATCTACCTGCCATTGCTATTGTTATTGCTTTAACCTTGTTACTTCTAACTGGAATTGGCGAATCGGCAAAAGTCAATCTTGTTATTGTAGTGATCAAAATTGCGGTAATCTTGTTATTCATTTTCGCATGCTGTGGTTACACTCATCGTAGTAATTATACGCCGTTTTTCCCTCCAAATGAAGGTCAGTAATATATTATCACAGTGAATGAATAATTAATTGATTGATTAATCTAGGTTCTTTCAATAAATACGGTGTCTCGGGTATGTTCCATGGTGCTACGGTAGTCTTTTTCGCATACATTGGTTTTGACTCTGTGACAACAACTGCACAAGAAACGAAGAATCCACAGCGTACATTACCAATTGGAATTATTGGTTCGCTCATCATTTCTACAATACTTTATATAGCCGTTTGTGCTGTAATGGTTGGTATCGTACCTTACAAAACGCTTGACTCACCGAATCCTATATCCGAAGCCATGTAAATATAATACATACCTGATGATACCTGTTTCGAATCTTTCTATTTTAGTAAAGGTACTCCACATGGAATTTGGTTGCCAATTATAATCGATTTAGGAGCAATTGCTGGTTTAACAAGTGTAACTCTTGTTAGTCTTCTTGGTCAAACGCGAATATTTTACGCCATGGCACATGACGGTCTTCTCCCACCGATATTTGCAAAAGTTCATTCTCGTACGAAGACACCATGGGTATCAACAATTATTATCGGTATCGTTTGTTCAATATTTGCAGCCATCTTTCCTCTTGGTATCCTTGGTGAAATGACATCAATTGGAACATTGGTTGCCTTTTTTCTTGTACATGTTGCCGTTATTATCGTAAGTTAATGTCGATCAACGATTGAATTTTTTCATCGAATATACGTATTTCAGATGCGTTTTACACATAAAGAAGTTCCACGTGGTTTCCGAGTACCTTTTGGCCCTTGGATAATACCTGTGATTGGCGCTTTACTCTGTCTTTTACTTATGATAACATCTTCAAAAGAAACAGGTATTCGACTTGCAGTTTGGATGGGCATCGGTCAGATTATATACTTTTCCTATGGATATTGGCATTCGAAATTGCGCTATCCACCACAAGTTGATGAATCCGTCGCTATGGATAATCTTGCTGTTGATTCCGAGGAGAAAGCGCCTCCAGAATACGTCGAGCAACGCGCTGATACTCCATCTAATTAATTCTCTTTTCTAGTTCAACATTGAGTGTAATCTGTAAATTTCGCGAATCTATTCTGAATTTTCTTTCTCTTTCTCTGCAGTGCTGATGCAAATATAAATATCATTCAAATCTAATCTTATTATTTCTTCATAAAAAGAAAAACAAACGAATTTTGTACATTGATTTAAAAACAAGAAAAGAGAGCGCGAGAGAGAGAGTGAATGAAGCAAATAAAACTAGATTATAAAGAACGAGTTTTATTATGATAATCAGAAGAGAAAATAAATAATATAGAAAAATAAGTTGATCATTCTATATTTCATTCAATCAAGATCATATGTTTCCGAGACGGAACAACTTAATGATTAATGATAACGCACAAGAAATAAACTTGGCCTTCAGCACCTATCTCATGTCAATAAAAATTCCTTCGAACAAAAGATAAAATATACTGTAGGATGATTGTCTGCTGACAAACACAAAAGAAAAGAAAAGAATTCCAAATAAGAAAGACACGATCTACATAGAAATCATTGTTAAGTGAAAATTTGATTTTTGCTTATATTGCTTTGGAATGAGATGTCACCGGTATGATCATAAGAAAAAAGAGAACAATGCAACTCTTAGAGACGTTTATGATGAACAAGATTTGATGAAGTATTCAATTGCTGAGTACGTTTGTTTATATTCGTGACTGTTGTTGATGTTGTTGTTGGCGAAGGTGAGAGAGTATAGTCGATAAGGTTAAGATTAGTTGAATTTTTATCAGAACTTGATGATTGCTGGCGCTTCAACGAAGATGAGATTAATTTTTGACTAGGAAGAGCTTTATTTGAAACATCGTTGATCTGAGATTCGGGATAATGGGAAAGGTTTGATATCAATTCGTGAGTCTTATTCTAGAAGTGAAATGAATGCATTTAAATAAACGAAAAGCAAAAAGCGAAAAAAAATAATCACTCGTGTGAAAGGTGGATTGCTTTTTCGTTGAACATAATTGATATTTGTAGAAAATTGACCATTTTCAATCGGTAGAGAGTCTTCTGAATCGTCAATATCAGAATTCTTTTGTACAATTCGAGTTAAGACAACCGATCGATTGGAGGAATTTGACGGTATTTGTGGTAATTTATGCTTAATTCCTGTTTCAAATAATTTCTCATTGACATTTGTTGGAGCAACGTTATGCTGATATCGATTGATGGAGGACGATGATGGATAATGTCGATGATAGACAACGAGCGGAGAATTCGATAACGAAGAATCTGTCCAGTCTAATCAAAAGGAAAATAAACATTGATGTAAATATGAAAGATTTTTCGTTAGTTGACAATTACTTGAATGATGATTATTGGATTTCGATACGAGATCATAATCATTTTCATTATCAAGCTGTTTTTGGTTTTTCTCGAGATTGTATTCGTTCATACACGCGTCGATATAGTTTTTAATCATATTGTCACATGCTTTGGGTTGTTTAGGTTGAAAATTCGTGACGATAATTGTAAGAATTTGTGTATGACGATTGAACAGTGGTGATGATTTACGTCGTTCATTGATATTCTCGCTGATAATCGAGGAAGTTGAGGTTTGACTTTGATGGTTTTTTACCGATGCTCGTTTCGCGGAAGAAAATGGATGAATGAATGTTCGACGGATAATTTTCGAAAAAGAATTGAACGACGAACGAGATAACTTCTTATTCGGAATTGTTGGTGTTGGTGTAACTTCATTAGACGAGTCTACGTTTTCCTCAGTTGCCGGTAGATTCTCATGTGTACTCATAATCGTCGTTGTTGATGCCTGAGAAGTGGGATTGCTCATCGAGGAATATTCTTTTGAAAGATATAAGTATTTTTCCAGAACGTCCATTCGACTCTCTTCATAATTTGGATAAAGATGAATTTTATCGTCGGATAATTCTTCGTCAATAGGCCATTGAAAATTTAGACCGGGATCAATGAGAAAATGGATGGGCAGTAAATCGAGTGTTTCAATATCGATCAATGGTATTCGATATGTGACTAAAAAAATGAAGAATTTGACATGAAATTCAACGAAATGAGCTACTTTTTGACATTGATTTCACACTTTGTTCCATGGGCACTAACGCTGAGAAATGAGCAGCATCAAATGCCAAGAATACCTTGTTAAAAACGAGAAGAACATGTCAAGAACGGAACGGACAACAATTGTATAAACTTACTGGTTGCTTATGACATTTGTCAGGTGGAATTTCTAAATGAATGAAAAAAAAAGGAATTTGGAAGAAAGTTTCACAAAGAAAGTTCACCTAGTGGCAAATAGATTCCGCCGAATTCGATCGGTGAAATAGCTTCACCGTCATTCGTACGTAAGATTGTATCTGAGTAAATAACAATTGGCCGACGGATATTATTCGCAAGCACATAAACATGAAATTCTTCTAAACTTTCATAATATTGTCGAGGTGATTGCGATAGAGGTTTAATTGCACTCCCATTATTATTCTCAGTCGATTTCGATAGATCGAGTCTGAACAAAACGAAGATAGTCATTCATTTCCAAGAAGAAAACACATACTCGTCATTCGAAGGATTGCAATCGGATGATTTCGTTTGCGATGTACGTGGTTCAGCGGACGATAATCGTAATAAACTTTTCCATTCTTCACTCCATTCTTGTTCAGAAAAAACAAGACCGTACTTAAAAGAAGAAACATGCGACTCAACAGTTTCTTTTAGACATTTTTCTCTACATACTTTTTTATTTTGTACTGATTGTGCCCAACGCCACCGTCGATAGAGAGAACTATTCGGCTTCGAGGTGATTAATGTTTCATTCAATGCTTTCCGCATTGACAACGAATGATCATGAAAACCCCACATAGCTAAAAGAAATCCATGACAAAAGCAAATAAACTCACTTATGTCAAAGAAACGTTTTCCTCACCAAGTGACGTAGCGTGTAATAAGCAATTGCCATCTCCAGTCGTTACCAATGGATATAATTTTGGGCAAGGAAGTTTCTTGTTAACCCACCAATTCAGCCGCTCTGAAAGATGAAATGAGACAATGGAGAAAATCAATAATCGATCTCCTACTTGTTTCTTCCAATGAAACCATCGTTGGTGTATCGACAAGACTATCCATAACACGAACTCGAATATCTTCTGGTAATTCATATAAATTTGGCAAAATGAATGAAGCTTCGGCATCGTTATGATCAATCGTAACGATTTCATCATTGATTGATGTACGACGATAATTATTTGCTAAAGCATTTCGTTGATTATCTACAAGTGTCTGATTCGCTGAAACGGTTGACAAAGCTCGATGTAATATTGGATTTGTATCGTGATCAACATCTACAGAGAGAAAATTCGAACTTTTGCTATTTTGTTTTTCGTAAATTTTACTTGATCGTCGTAGTTTTACATCCTCTGATGTGTTACTTCGATGTTCATTGGCATTCGTGTGGTGATTGTGATTAAATATGTCTTCATTTCTATCATTATTATGATATGAAGAAGAATATTGTTGCATTCTCTATTGCTTGTTGAACATGAAATACGTCGAATTTCTATGAAGGAAAAGTTTTGTATAGATGTAGATTTTATGTCGACAACATTGACATCTTTCACATAATAAAACACATATTGACAATAATGTTTTGTTCTGATTTTACGACAAATTATTTTGTTTGTTTATCTATAAGATGATCGATAGGTTTATTTCAATGAAAAATCGACGGAAAAATAAATCAAAGACTTCACAATTATTCATTCGAATTAGACATTTCGTTGCGAGTTTTTCTCGAGAAATTTATTACGAAATAGACCTACAGATGTCACTTTCATTCCAAGCAACTGGATTGGCTGGGAGTTTTGTCACAGTCCGATCAGTTTCTGTGTGTTACTATAAAATAAAATAAAATCCGTTGGTTTCACAAGAATTTCATGAGTATAAGATGATGAACGCTTTATCCAAAACAGGCAATATCTATGAAGAATCCGTAAGAATCGGTTGAGTTATTTGACGACGCGAATCTTGTAAATTTGCACGATTTTTTTGTTCAGATCGAGAAGAAAAATGACCGAGAAACAATGATATTCACACCGGAATTGTATGAAAGAGTCATTGCTGCCATCCTCTGTTCATTCAATTCAACAACAACGAATGCTGAGAAACAAAACGCTTTGAAATTTCTCGAAGATTTGAAAGAAAACCATTCTCTTCTATGTTTAACGATCGCATTCGAACTGTTAAAACAATTGAACAATCAGCCAGTTCTTCATCATTACAGTCTTCATCTCTTAGAATCAATTATCAAACAAAAATGGAATGTATTGAGAACCGATGAACGAAACCTTGTGAAAAAGCAACTATTTGCACTGGTACGAAGTACTTACCTGAATCAAATACTTTCCCAAGCAGTTTACATGAGAAATTCTCTTGCGAAATGTCTTGTCGAATTGATAAAGCGTGATTGTTTTGAAAAATTTAACACAGCATCCGATGAAACGATCAACATGTTACAAGAAATCGCTCAAATTCAAGAGAATAATTCCACTCAACTCGAACTCATCTTACTTGTTTTTCGTTTCCTCAACGAAGACCTGACACTCTACGCACAAACAATTCAAGCACAACGTCGTCGACAAATTCTCAATCAGTTACAGAAACGGATCAATGACATTCTACCGTGTTTGATCCGGATATCGAATGATTTATCGACCATGCCCGAACAACATGAACGTCTCACCCAAACTTGCTTATTGACTGTGAACAGTTTTCTCACCTGGGTGGAATATAATCATTTTGAACAATACGAATTATTTCTTTGTGAATTATTCTTGAAGTTCTTTCAGTTGAATTCCGTTAAACTACGTCATGCATCTTTCGAATGTTTATTGAGTTTGGTGAATAAGCGTTTAGCAAGAAAACAATTACAACAACAGCAGCAACAAAGAAATAAACGCATTGCTTCGTTGCCATCAGCAGCTCTCAATTGTCAACAGGAAAAACTTTTCCTTAACTATTTACTCGGTGATAATACATTAGAAATGTTCTATCGGCTTTTAATCAGTCCAACTGTGAGTAAATGGATCGCCTTTCCTAATCTGAGAATTCTATTGGAACCTTCTAGGATTCACTCGAACAATTGCGAACGATTGTTACGAACGATCATATCAATTGTCTTAAAATGCTTGGACAACTTCTTGTTAAATTATCGAATAATTTATTACAGTTGTATCAACAATTAGCAACGAAATCGATCGATAATAACGAATTTCTAACATTCGTCAACGAACGAACTCGTTCGTTCCTGCAGTTTCTTCTTCTGTTAAATCAACATCCATTTCATCAGTTATCCCTAAATTCCTATCAAGCATTGAATTTATTTCTCACTCGACAGCCCAGTTTATTATCCAATGAACAATTTTGTCTGAAACTGATCTTCAATCTCAAACAGTCATTACATCGGATTCATTTTCCATCATCAATAAGTACACCAACAGATAATGACGATGAAACCTTGAAGAAACAATATCTACACAATCAACAATGTTTCATCTATGCATTGTTCGAATATGACAGTGAAGAACAATTCTTTTGGAAATTTTTCTCTCAATATCGAAGTGAACTACAAAAATTAATCAAAGCATTTATTGGCTTGTTCTTTGCCGAGATCATCCCTGGTAAGTTCGAATTTACAACACATCGGCACCATTGAAAAACCTATTTGATTTGATTACTTTTAGAACGTTCGACCGAAATTGAAACCAATGTTTTATGTTTGAAATCCATGCTTGAAAATCTCTTCGTCTATCTGGAATCTCTTGTACAACGTACACCGACGAAGACAACAAATAGTTTACTATCGATCTATTTAATAATCGAATGGGAGGCGTTCTACCTTCTTCTCGATCATGTTCTTTTTCTCATTCGGAAAGAATTATTTTCTTCATCGAATCTATCAAGAACATCTCAAGAAAAGTTCCAAACATTGCTAATGCCACCGACGATGACTGAACAACTTCTTCGCACATTGAAATTTCTTCTGCAATTCACTCCGAATCTAAGCGAACATATTCATGGACATGTTTTGAATCTTTTATCATGCATGTTTTTCATCACCCAACATGAACCATCATTGGCTATCCAGATCATTCAACGATTGTTGTCAACGTTCCAAATGTATCAACAACAGGCGATCAGTAAGATAAACGTGTTTCACTTTCGCATCAAAAACTTTCCTAGAAATGTTTTAGATGGAACGAATATGAACGAGTGCGACGTGATGCAGACACAATCATCGAATGCATTTTTATATTTATGCAAAAATTTCCCATCGAAAATGCTCGAATACTATTCGGAATTATTTCCGTTTCTTTGTCAATTATATAAAAATGAATTTCAGTACACCAAGACTTGTTTGTCCGTTACAGTCGATGAACTATCGAGTTCGACCTTGAAGTTACTCGATTCGATTCAAATCTTATTTCATTACAAAATTCAAAAAGATAATAATCAATTCGAAGATTTCTACGAACTCATTCGACCGATCTATGAAATTTTAAATGTTTCGTTAACATCAGAAACTCTACCTGAATTTATTGATTATCTTGATCTATGTTCGAATCGAGCGAATCAAATGAACATGACACGTTTCCGTCGACGAAATCTCATGCTTGCTTTACATTGTCTATGTTTATTGCTACGTTATTCCAAACAACAAGCTGACGTTCATATCCGTGGACAAATTTCTGTTTGCCTTCGACCAATCCTCTCCGATTGTATCATCAAAGTAACCCAATTCTGCAATCAATTATACGACAGACAAATCAATCCGTATTATGAAATTATGAAAGCAAATCTAACGTACAGTGAAACAGAAAAGCAATTATATTTAGGCACGTATGAAAGTAACAATATGGCAAAGGCGACGATTACTTCAACGTAAGACTCGTGTGGAGATTGATTTGTTGAAAGTCTTGATTGATTATTTAGTGTCACACCCTCAAGTTTACCGGTAAGTTTCATTCGTTTTCAATCGACATCGAATTCAGTGATTGATGATCAACGTCTTCGCGATTATCTTCATCGATTATTTGATATATGTTATCAAATAAATGGTATCTATTTTGCACATGATACGGAACTCTATTCGATACAATTGAACGATGAAACTTACTTTCTCACAACATTCTTACAAAAAATTCTCTTTCAAAATTTCAATACACTTCCATCATTTCGTCTTCGAATCGTTCTTCGACACTTTTGTCGTTTATTCGTGGAAAACTATTGCTCATTACCGACAGCCGATAAAGACAGTATCAACGAACTGTTTCTGACTTTCCTTGATGTTTTTCTACCGTATATTCAACAGCGTCTAACAGTTATGTGGAATAATTTGTTGACAACGACGACAGCGACAACAACGTGTCGACAAGGTGAATGCTCTGATGAAGTTATTGAAGAATGCGTTTGCGTACTAATCACACGCGATTTCGTCGATATTATTCGTTATTTTATCTTCAAAACCATTCCGGGTCAAACGAATTCAAACATAGCAAAGAAGAAGAATAAAATTTCCAATGGGCGTAATAATAGTGAGAGTATGTGTGAAGAAACCAATGGAGAACTAGATCAGATCGATGAATGGGATGAACAAGCGGCTAGTAATAGTATCAGTAACAAATTATTGAATAATTCACAGGAAAAAATGGATTACAGCGATTTGTTTATGTATATGATGAAAATGTCTCGACAAAGTATGTCAACAGCAAGTTGTTCATATGAACTCATTTTGTCATATTTTAGATTTTCCATTGGCATTGCGCCTTTTCAATTATGTCATTCAGATTTTGTTTGAGTGTTTAACATTTCCGGATGCATATTGTATTAATCGATTTCTACCAATTATTCTTCCGATTACGAAACTTTACACAGATATTATCGATAAACTTATGAATACATCACCAGTAACTGATATTAAAGTCTTATTTCAATATTTGTTAAAAGCACTCGAAAGACATAACGAGAACGAAGGTGTGAATACAAATTTGATCTCATTGATAGGTCATGTCTATGAATTGTGGTATAATCAATACGGTCAACAGATGGATATGGCTCTACATCAATCAATTCCGCAGTTAAATATTGAACTGTTGAACGCATATAAAACAAGATTGGTGACAAATAGTAATAATAAGAAACAAGTACCTATTACAGAACGTGAACGACGTGATACAATCAAGAACTTGTTAAATCCTCTTTTGTTGTCACCGATAGCATCCACGAAAAAAGAAGGATTGAGCTCCATAAATTCATTTTTAGTTTAAATAAGTCTGTGCGTCCAAGTGAGAAAGTCTTTCCGCTAGTTTACTCAGGAAAACAGTACCTATGTACTCTATAGTTTTCATTCTTCCTTTTGTTGCTGTTGTTCTTGTTGTAATATTTATACGTGGAATAAACAAAGAGAACTTTTCTTCTTTTGAAATGATCATTGTTTTTGTTTAAATTTATAGTAAACAAGAAACATTGTACTTTTTGTTTTGAGATCAGAGAACAATAATCATATTTTTTTATTACAATGAATCAATTATCAATGTCGTTCGATGAACAACGTGATGTGAATTATGTACAATTTGATCCCAAAACAGTAGTCAATGATTTACAAAAAGCCATACCAGAACTAGATCTTGTCGGACTTGTTCACAGTAGAAAATGGTAGAATTTTCTTTCGACATTTCACTTTATCCTTATACTAAACAGCCGATTTTTGTTCGTCTAGGTGCTGTGAGATGCTTCACTGTATCACTGCAGGATCTGTTGCAACTGAAGAAGAAAGCAACGCCGAAGAGTTGGACGATGGAATCCATTTGAATGTTACATCAAAAGTGAGCTGGGACACTTAACATAAAACTGCAACGGATGATTATTGAAATGATTTCTTCTATTCAAGGAATTAGGTACATCATCAAGTCTGTACTTAATGGCAAAAGGTTACTTCGATCTTCGAGAATATACACGTTGTGCACATCATTTAAGAAATTGTACTACCGGTTATGGTTTTTTTCTTCGTCTCTATGCATTATATCTCGTGAGACTAGATATTATTTCTTGGTGCATCAATACATAAGAACCGTTTCTTGCTCGTAGGATGGTCTCAAGCATCGATGTGATGATTTCGTGGATGTATTTCGTAAGTTTGTTTGTTCAGAATGAAAATGAACTTGACTTTTCTACTGATTGTAGCGGATACAGCAAGTAATCAACGACAAGCAACAAGTAAGCCCAATTAACGAAGCGTCGGGATGAATCTTCTGGTCGTTGTATTGTATAGCGAAAGCATCACTTGATAATGCATGGTTGATGCGGCTGCGTACAGAGTTGACTACATGCGAAAAGAACCAACAATTAAATGGATACAGTTGTTATGTGTAAGTATGATATATTTTGGATTGATAGAAATACTTGAAGTATTACTTATTCAGTTACGCTCTGGTACTTAAACGATTGGGTTTACTTCATGAAGCATTAACTTACTTTGTTCGTACGATAAAGGCAGCACCACATCTTTGGTCAGCATGGGAAGATCTTGCAATGCTTGTTGATAGCGAACAAAAGGTGAGTTGTTCATGTATGACCGAGCTCATTGGATTATGTCTTCTCTTCTTTTCACACTCAAGCTTCATAACCTTGATTTACCCAAACATTGGATACGAAATGTTTTTTACGCTCGATGTTATGTTGAATTACATAAGCCAGAATTATGTGTATATATTTGTAAAGAATTAACACAAATCGGTTTTCAGAATTCGACACATATCCTTTTACTACAAGCCAAAGCTTATGAAACAGGAGCTGGTGAGTAAATAGTTGCAAGCCGATGATCTCGCTGCTAATCAGTATGTTTTTATTTTAGAGTTACAATTAGCACGAACATGTTGTGAAGACGCTCGAACAATCGATCCGTACAATCTCGATTCAATGGATATTTTCTCTAATATTCTTTTCGTACTAGTATGTTAATATTCCGTTCACAATTCCATTTCATAAGGAATTTCTTTTCAGGAAGATTATCATGCGCTGGCTAGCTTAGCACAAAAATGTATTGAAACAGAAAAATATCGCTTTGAAACATGTATTGTTGTTGGTAAGATGAGGGGAAATGTTCGTTTGATTGACTCCCATTTGTGTTCTTGTTTTTCAGCGAACTTCTACAGTATACGAAATGATCATGCTCGTGCTATTCAATATTTAACTCGCGCCTTACGTATGAACCCTGATTACCCAGCTGCATGGATTCTTTTGGGTCATGAGTTTGTCGAAGGAAAAAATCATGCAGCAGCTATAAATGCCTATCGAGAAGCGTTAGGTAAGAAGAGCTTCTCTACAAATAATGATAAAAATGTTTGTTTTGCTACAGATCTCAATCGCAGAGATCATCGCGCTTGGTACGGTCTGGGTGAAACGTACGAAATTATCAAAATGTACAACTATGCTTTATACTATTTCAAAGAAGCTTTTGCGCTTAAGTATAGGAGACAATTGCTGATTAGTTCTTAGAGCATTTGTTCTTTTTCCGATTGTTATAGACCAAATGATTCACGTTATTCAAATGCACTTGGCGAAATCTACGAACGAACTCAGAAGTTACACGAAGCTAAGAAATGCTACTGGCGCTCGTACTGTGTTGGTGACATCGAAGGCAATGCATTGGCCAAATATGCACAGTAAGAAGTTCAATATCGTCGACTTTGAACGATCTTCTCTCTAGTGTATGCGATCTTCTGAAAGATGAAGAAACTACAGCTCGAGCTTACATGGAATTTATTCGCACACAAGAATTGCGACAGGTAATAAAAACGAAATTGACTTGTCAAGAAACAGTATTGTTTGTTTTGTTTCTGATTTAGGTGAAAAATTTCACTGAATTCTCTCAAGCTGCCGTCTTTCTAGCTAATTATCATGTAAAAAAACGTCAGTACGATCAAGCCTGCTCATATGCAAGGAAATGCTTAGAATTTCCCGAAGTGAAAAACGCAGCGAAGGACATTTTAAACAAAATAACTGGACTACGCGAAGGTCAACAACAACTCAAAGAGAAAGAGTCAATACAACAACAAACATCAGCACCTATTCCAACAGCTAAATCAACGATCCATGAATTTGATTCATCGTCTACAACAACAATTGATTAGAACCAAGAATTTTCTCCCCCCTCCCCCTCTCTCTCTTTCTATTCGCTGAAGTATGTATTTTGTCAGATATCATTTCGAATAAGTCTGTTTACCTAAACGATTATTGAACATTAATAAAAAAAAGATACTTACGTAATTTTATATTTGATTCGTAACGAAGGTTACTCAGTTCATGTAAGATATACTTTCAATTCTACTGATTCATTCGGTTAGATTTTTTTACTGTTGTGATTGAGTAACCTTGAAAAGAATAGAGAAGAAATGCAGACAGTTGTATAAGCGCTTTTACAGTTTCTCGACAGAATTTGTTAAAAATAAAACTGCGAGTACGAGAGAGTACTTCTTTTCTCTATGAATTTAACGAGCATATAGAGTAGAATCATCACGTGCTCGAGAACAACCCAGAATGAAAACAACAAATTCCTATATAAATCACAGAAAGAAACGTTGTTGTATTACATAAAATTCTTCAATTTCTCTCACACATTAACTCAATCGTACTCATTCAACGTAAGTCAGTAAAAATCATTTCATGAATTAATTCGACATAACTTTTTGTTCGCTCTCTAGATGGACGGTGCTGTCAGCCAACACTATAAAGAAGCTACAGACAGTAAATTGACCAGTAAAGACAAGGAACTTCTCAGTGAAACTAAATCGCCTACAAAAGATTCTGATTTACAAGCTGAAAAGTTTGGTGGAGACACACCAAGTCAGCAAGGTAGCGGAACAGCTACGACACTCGATAATGCCAGTGGACAAACGAATCCTAACGTTATCTACTAAACAAAGAAGATCGTTTTTTCTGTATATTTGGATTTTAATGTAAAATAAAAATAAAAATATCAATCCCATTTAAATGGTACTTGACTGTTTGCGTCGTGAGTATCGAATTTTGATTGAGAGTTTTGTTTGGTTGTGAAGATCAATATAGAATATCGAGCGTGCTGAATTTCAGCGAAATATTGACCATCTTCAACAGCAATGCCTAAATGCTGATTTTTACCAATAATTACACAGAAAGTTTCATTCGGGTATTGTTTAGCTAACTCAGTGCGTAGATACTGCTGACAATCACTATATGTCCGTATAATCGTTGGAAAACTTTGACTTGTTTGAAACGCAATATTGACGAGACGTTCACAATCGTTACCAAAATTCATGTTACTCGATGAGATGAGTACAGCACGGCTACGATCAGCCGGTAATTGTTGATTGAGTTTGATAGCAGATGAGATAGCTTTCTTCTTTCTACGTTTCTCACTTATGAGTTGCCCGACTGCTTGTGTAATAACCGCACCGATTGCTTCCAAACATACTCGCCCAACAACTTCCCCGATGATTTCAGCCATGTATATATGTATAAGTTCGAAGAAAATCTTAGAAGGTAGATCAAGTGAAGATTTGATACCTACTGAAGGTTTATATACTCTGTTGGTTGCCTAGCGTTTGTTATTTGAGTGACGCGTATGACATTAGTCATAATTTTATCGTTTCTTATCAAGTCGAGAGGAATGGCCTGACTTAGCGTCATTTAATGATGCATGTTGGTGGGTTATAAAAAATGTGATGCTTTCAGTTGCTACTCATAGATGTATGTACAACTGTTCGCCGTTTTCTATTACCAGGAAGCAGTCGGTATTACTCATTTACTCAACAAATGATAACTAATTACCAAGAAAATATGTCGAATCGCTTTGAAACAATAGATTTATAACTCGTTTTCTCTATCCGATTTTCGTGACAAGTGTCGCACACATTGGTATTTAAAAATAATCGAAGATTTATCCCGAAAAAGTATATTCCACTGTATGACATAAATACAAAATAGAAAAGTGGCCTCTTTATTTTTTCGTTGGTTTGACTGTGAGCGATTTCCATTCCAATAACATCTGACTATTGGCATCATGTATTTTCAAATTAACTTTTTGTTCTCGTCGAGTAGTAAAAATCAGTACACGATACTGCTCTTGTTCCACCTCAGCAAAATAATCACCATCATCTATCGCAAAGCCAAACGCATTGTTCTGGCCAAGAATGACGTGAAAATATTCATCCGGATACTTTTTGAATAATTCCTTTCGTAAATACTGACTGATATTTCCACAAGTGCCCATTATAGATGGAAATGTTTGACTGGTTTGAAACACGATATTTATCAATCGAAGACATTCACTGCCGAATGAAGACGAACTTGCTTCTACGAGTATAGCACGTTCATGTTCAATAGCAGGCAAATCAGAAAGTGTTGGTGTAGCAATATTAACAATAGTATCTGGTTGTCTCTCTCGACGATTGTGACTACCTGATGACTTATGACTGCTAAGATTTTGACGTTGAACATCAGTCGCCGATTTGTTTGTCGCATTGGACGCTTTCGATGAAGGTTGATCGAAAACACTACCGAGTACCTTTTTCATTTGTATCTGAATGAAAACTATTTACTTTTTAGCTAGTTTTTTTATTATTATTTTTTTTACATGAATTATATAGAAAGTTGAAAATATAATATATAAACAACTACGTCATCACATTTTTTTTGTATCTCTGGTAATACTGATATCGTTTTACAACATATAAATAGACTTCTAGAGGATATATTTCATTGTGGTTGCGCAAGATACGCTTTTTAAGCAATGAGAATTCAGTTTAATATGTGGCATGATCTTTTTATTTAATCCTAGAATGCTAATCACGAACCAACAAATAAAATCTGTCTAAGGAACTTTTTTACGCATTCATCCGTGTGCATCTTTTTTTTTCTATAATCCTGCTAAAATCTAACAGAATCAATTCTTTTGAACATCGACTTTAAAGTCGATCAGACATCTGTTTTTAAACAAATTTTCATTTTCTAAAGCCGCACATTTTGCTTCTACCGACAGCGAAAGTATCATCATGCATATATATAATGCATAATCGACATTAGATGGCGCTAGTTTCCACATGCGAACATGTATCGTCAAGTCAACGAAATACCTGAAGTCCTTCTTTCTATTCCAATGGCAAATCGATCCAATCCTCATAAACAAAATCGTCTGTAACATCCAAAACATTTTAGGATACGAATAGTTTTTGCCATTCATATACGATGAACATATTGTTAAAACAAAATCTTCCCAGATATGCTTGGCAGCAGCAATGCTATCTATCAACTAGTCCAATTGTTCATAGTTGGTTTGTTAAATTAACAAATGTCACGCAAGTCAACACCGAAGCCGCCGTACCCAAACATACTCGAAAACGAAATTATCCATTGACCTGTATGCGTAGTTTTCTTTCCTCAACTTTGTTTGCACTTGTTTCTTAGAAAAGATGAACAACGGCAATTTCCAAAATTAATCGGACATACGAAGACGTGGAACACATTCAATACATCAAATCTACGCGATGGTAAACGTAAAGCAGAAATCGTTAGTGACGATCTTTTTCTTCGTCAGTTCATCTACGGCACTTGGCATTCATTATTTGTTTCCGAATTGATTATCAAACGACGACATAATATGGTCATTCTCAGTGGACTTGTGACAAGAACGATACATCCACGACGAATGTACTTCCTTATTGGTTATACTGAAGAGATTCTTTCTGCCTTGTTGAAGACACCCGTGAAAATGGAAATTCAGACTGTTGAAAATAAAGAAGATGTCATTTTTACCTATTGGTAGAAGATGAAAATGGAAACATAAAACAACATCGTTTTTTCCCGTTTGTTATCATAGATTTGTTTATTTCTAGATAAAAGTATTGCTTTTACTGCTGGAAAAAGATTCCTAAAAATCGCAACAAATGCAACCAAATCAATGAATTGAATGATATTTTATAAGTATAAATGATATTCGAAGATTTGACCATTTTGTCAGATTTTGTACCAACGGTAAACTTTCATTAGTTTTAAGTATATATACCACTGGAAAGTTATGTACTTATTGGAACACTCAATGAATGTGATACATATCGGTTCCCTGTCGAATCGACAGTTATATATGATAGTAAATCGATAGATGATTTCGATACTTAATAAAACAATTAAATAAAAATTTCCTCGTTAAGACTAATAGAGCATCAAATAGAAAATCCCTGATAACATTGCGCACTTTAAGATAATCATTTCATTTTCCAATCTTAAACATGATTCTTCTTTCAGATATGGCCATGCAATTATGTAACAGACGTATCACGCAAGTGACTACTAATCTTGTTCGACAAGTTGCTAAACCCATACCCATGAAAGTCGAAGATGATCATCACGATGATGAACATACACATATCGCTGTGCCTAAAACGCCAACACCGCTAACGTTTGTTTCGATGAGCAAACAATTACTACGTGGAAACGCCTCCGTCACAACTGGGCTCACTTGTATGTTACAGTAAAGTATTTCTTTACCTCACCTAATGAAATCATTTCATCTAGCTGCTCGCAGTGTGCGTCATGCGCATACTGATATACAAGTGCCAAGCTTTGACTACTATCGACGTAAAGCACGTTTGGATGCATCGAAATCCCATCGCGATGACGGAGATACCACATCACCTTACTCGTACTTAACACCGCTCGGTAGGTATCAATTTAATTTCTTGATATTCGTAGTAGCAACTTTTTCCCTTTGACCTTACGTTCCTTCTCGTTTTATCTACGTCATAACATGCTCTTCTACTATTATTAGCATGTTTGATACAGTAGTATCTAATGTCATTATTGAAGATTTTTTTAAAGTTGAAAGGAATGTTTTAAGGATTTCATCAGTACTTTGACACGGCTATTTGATACTTTGATAAAAATTGTATAGTCTGTTTTGCTTTTTCTCTACAAAGGCATGGCTGTAACATCAGCTTATATGGCAAAATATATCGTTCGCGATATTGTTAACTATGTTGGTCCAGCCAAAGATGTTATGTCACTTGCAAAAGTCGAAATTAGTCTTGATGCTGTGCCCGAAGGGAAAAATGCTGTGTTTGAATGGCGTAATAAGCCGATATTTGTTCGTCATCGTACGCCTGAAGAGATTGCTCGAGAGGAAGGTGTTAATGTTAGTCAACTACGTCATCCACAAAACGACTCCGAGCGTGTAAAGAAATCCGAATGGCTCATTGTCATCGGCATCTGTACTCATCTTGGTACGTTTTCATCTGTGATTTTCATTTTATTCGCACTACGCCATTCACTTGTAGGTTGTATTCCCATTGCTAATGCCGGTGATTATGGTGGATACTATTGCCCTTGCCATGGTTCTCATTATGATGCATCTGGACGTATACGAAAAGGTCCTGCACCATTGAATCTTGAAGTTCCTCAATACACATTCAAAGATGACAGTACAGTTATTATTGGCTAGAACGAAATTCGATAACCAAAAGAACACCAAATAAACCCGTTCCTCGTTTCTTTTCTCTTCGTCTTAAACTTTAGTTTATTATATTCTCTTTTTTGATGCGTACTTAGAGAACTGTATTGCTGTTACTCTATAACATCATTTCGTTTTTCTACATTCATAGCAAATCAGCAAGCGCACAGTTGAGGAAATACAAATGATAAAACTTATTAAAATCGTATATTTGTGTATTTCTCCTGTCTTTTAATTAACAGAATATTGAAAAGGAAAAACGAAACGCCGAGTTTTATATTCAATCGAAGTTCCACGTTCATTTACCATAGTAAAGTATACCATTCAAGTTTGGTTTTAGACTAAGAACGATTCCTCCTTCATTGGCATCATATCTCCACAAAACGTACTCATTGTTTTTTCTTGCTAGTTGTACATAATGGTTAACAGTGCGATATAATTCATGTAATTTTGAGTCATCGATAACATCAGCAAGATCTTTCAATTGAAGTAACTTTTCATTGGTTATCAATGTAAAATTTTCATTTGGGAAAAATGTGTCGTCCGAACGTTTCAATATGTCACCACTGCCGGAACTTACTGGAATGCTCGTCAGTGCATGAACATGGATCATGAAGAGAATAACAGCAAAGAAAGTACTTAATTTCTGAATAGAAACCAATCCAAAGTAGAATACATCTCGATGACAATAGAGAATGATAGTTACCTGCATGGCGATTCGCAAGAGATATAGTTGACGGTTGAATAATCGAGTAAAAGTACAAGGAAATAATGGTTTTCTAACGGGGGATTTATATATTTATATAGGTGGATAAAGAATCTAGAATTTTAATGAAAATAAGTTTCGTATTTTTCTAATTACGCCTTTGTAACGAGATTTGTGACGAGAAGAAGAGATAACACTAACTTGTTCTCCTCCAAAATAGCCTGAGTCGAAAGAGGAAAACTTGTAGCTACACTGAAACCGAGCGTTGTGTCATGATACTATTATTAATTATGACCAACTGCTGCGAAGATCAAATTAAGACTCCAGATTCAAAACCAAAACACAGGATTGTACTTGGAAGAATCCAATTTTTAAATAAATAATCTTTAGAACCGAGAGAAATGGGCTTGGCTGTAGATTTAATTAGATAAATATTTATCATACGAATGTAGTTTAATGAAACTGAGAAGAATAGGATGACGATACGTGGTGTCTATTCTAACGCCCTAGAATTCTCTCCGGTCATACGAAGAAAACTTCCAAAACAATTTGGAGATGAAGTTTCATCCAATGCGGCCAAAAACATGTGCAGGAGACACTCTTCGATGTAAAAAGGTGACGTTTCCCAATCAAAGCGAGTTAAAGGAATGATGCTGACAGTTCTATACCATCCGTTTATTAATAAGTAACCTATGTTTCTGACAGAGACATGTTCGGAATATTGAATGAACAAAGATTAGCACATGGGATAACGCATAATTAACGAATTTCTACCATCGAATGACGTATGCGCTCCGCTATCTTTTACCTTACTAATGAATATTATCGTCGTTTTCATACGCACGATATCCTTCCTATCGATCATAAATAAATGTTTTCGCTGTCGGTTTTATTCTAATGTCTATCAAAATGTATTATTATCTACTTGCTAGAATCCAAGCACCTCATTCTGCCCATCAATTTCGATAGTCATTCATATATAAATATCTTGCCATTTGCTTTACAAACAACGTATATAAAGATTCAAACTTCAATAATGATAATCAAATAAGAAATATTCTCTCAAGCCTTTCAGCTGGATTGCTGAGATGAGTACACAAAAATGTCAATATGCTTGATTAACTTCGACGTGTTCAATTCAAAATCGGATCTGCGGAGACATTATTGATCAATAATCATTTAATATTCATATATCTTTGATAATCGAGACGGGTTCTTTTTCTTTGTAGACAAATTGAAGAACGAATGAACAATAAGTAGAACGAAACAAAAGATATTGAGAAAGAAAAGGCAGAAAAAGAGGAGCAAGAAACGAAACGCGTGTTCATATATTGCAATCGACTAGAAGTCAAATGTCTGTTTTTTTTTCATAATAGAGATATCCTATATATACACACAAATCGAATTTCTTCTATTTATTGTTTCCATTGGTACCATATGGATGAGGATGTTGATGAGAAAGATGAGGATTATTTTCTTTTTTAACACTTGGCACCGATGGCCATGACGATGATGTTGCATCAGTTGTTGACATTGCGTGAGGATGATGATTATGTCCGCTGCTACCATGACTGCTTGCATTGGCTTCTAGTTTTACGTTTGGATCATTGAGTGATTTGAAATTATTTTCCTTTTTCCATTTCATACGACTACAAGACAAAGAAAACCAATGATGAGACAAATTTTGTGAAGAAGGAACTAATCTATACATACCGATTTTGAAACCAAATCTGTGATTGAATCAAAAAGAACGACGATAGAAATTTAGACAATACCAAAAACGACGAACTTACTTTGATTTGCCGTTCTGTCAATGCTAAACTATGTGCAATTTCAATACGTCGTCGCCGTGTTAAGTATCTACTTAGAAAAGAAAATACTTCTCTATATAGAGATTTTCCAGAAATATTTACTTTGTAAAATGAAATTCTTTTTCCAATTCCAGTGTTTGATGACGTGTATACGTTTGACGCGTACGCTTATGTTCAAAATTGAATTCTATAGAGACAAAAGAAAAAAGACAAGGCAAGATTCACACTAATCATTTCTTTCATTAATAGATAAACAAGATAGTCAAGGAAGTTAATCAACTCAATGGATTACATTTGTGTCAACTTTTTATGTTTCCTCCATACGTTGTCTATAAATCATGTTTCTCTTCTACTTTGTCTGACTGATTAACTTTCTTGATTTCCGTTCACTTTTTCTACGCTACCTGGTCGCATCCATGAATGTGCATAGTAAAGCATTGGATTAGTAACTGCCATTGAAAAACTTGATAATTGATGATGTGGGTGTGCAGGTGGTGGCATTGATGGCGCCGATATCATGTCATTACCTGATGTACCAGCTAAGGATGAGGATGACATGGGTTCACCCTGTTTCCATGACGATGTTCCATTCGATGGTGGTAAAAGATAATCATTTGCTGACGGGTGTTGTTGAAGGTGCATGGGAGGTTGAAGATGTTGTTGCTGTTGTTGTTGATGATGCGGGTGAAGTGAATGAGGATGATGATGAGAGTTCGAACTCGAAATTGTTGCGGCTGCTGCAGCTTGCATCATAGTAAAGTTTGAATAGGTATTCATCAGTGGATCTTTATTCGCTGTTGGAGGAGGAGGAGGAAACGCCAATCGATCGAATGTGGAGGGAAATCCACCACGATTGTAATCAACATCATAGGGGAATGATGTCGAACTATTAACATCATTATTTGATGTTTGTTGTTCACCATTCGACGATGTTCCTGCATTATTATTATTATTATTACTATTACCAGCAGTATTGGCTGTTGTTGACCCGTTGTTTGAAAACAGATCATTTGTTGATGTTGAGGGAAGATTGAAATAGTTATTCATTGTCTCGGATAATTACCGTCGTTTTTATGTAAGATGTGAGGAGAGGGAGAGAGAAAATAGGGCGGAAAAATTTCAGTGTCTTTTTTGTTATTATTGAATTGTCGTTGATGAGGTCAAATAATAATATTGCCCATAAAAAAGTTCACACACAATTCAGGTCAAAAGACGGATGATGATAGTTAATGTTAAGAAATAAAAAAACTCAAAACAGCCACTAATACTCGCCCATAATAATAAAACAAAAATGAGAAGAAGAAGAACGTGTTTAAACGACAATTGAAATGAATATGGAGGCAATGATCGCCGGCACTTTACAATGATTTGTTAGGAGGAAATAACTTCTTTCTATCGTTGGTTGGAGAGTAGAGAGAGAAAGAGAAAGAGAGAAAAAAGGGAGAGAATAAAGAAAAATTGTATCTCTCGTTTTCTCTTTTCTCAACGCTGGTTTTGTTGTTTTTGCTCCAGTAGCATTATCGTTAGATGAGATGATGATATTTTCGAGCCAGTCGGAATGCACAATCGAAGGGAAGAAAAGAGCGAGCTAACGGAATTTCTCTCTCTTTTTCCCTCTCTTTTACGCTTTTTTCCGTTCAACCAATCATCACCATTCTTTTCTTTGATAGGCCCAAATAGACATGTACGCTTGCTCGCTTTGCAATTTGTCCTTTTCTCTCTTTTTCTTCTTCTTCTTTCGTTCTTTCTTTTACAACTGTATTGCATTGATCATCAATATGTGCACACGGTATCCCCGAAGAACGATTGCTCATTTTGTCATCACCCTGCGGAGGCGCACGACAATATAGATAGAGAGCACATATACGACTAATTTTGTGTCCCTCTCGTACTATCATAGGAGAAGAACGAGACCAGGCATACATGTACGTATAGATCAAATAGATGTATCAATATAAATATATGATACGAAAACGACGACGAAGAAGAAAAAAAGCGAAGAAGAGAGAAGAAAAAGATGGGTGCATATAGATAGACTACCAACCTTAAGAAGCAAAGGTGTGATTGCAAAATTTTCTTTTACTTGTCGCTTTTTTTTTTCGCCGTACCCAGATAACAATCAATATCATTTCAACCTATCGGTTTTTTTCTCTTTTACCCTAATGATCGTTCTTACTTAGTGCATGTTTTGATGAAAGCGTATGTATGCGTATACCTATATGAAAGTAAAATCGATCGTTTGAACCAATACCGACTGTATTGTTATTCTTTTCGAAAAGGAAAACATAGTCATGATGACTAGAAAGACAAGAAAAGAAATGTAAACTAATGTCTTATTGATGGAAGTTAAAACCGATGGGAAAAGGTTGCGATGTCGAGACAATTGAGCTGATTTCAATAGTTGTCATATTGTGCATTGAACTGAAATCGTCGTGAAATACATTTTATTTGATTTCTTAGAAAACAAACAATACGTTGAGACGATTTATGTTTGCCGATAGTATTCATGTTAGATTTTTCACCAAGTTGAATTTTGTCATATAAAATGTCATAAACGAATAATCATAGAGTAGAAGTAGTTCTTCTCGTCTATGGTGCTTTTCTTTACTTCAAATGACGATGATAGAAAGAAAAAGCACAATTGTGTAAATCAAGTCGTCGGCCACTTAGCCTTTCAATCTATATTCGAGTGAACGAGATCGACCTTTTCTCTCGCATAGATATGTGAAGATCAGACATGTTGTTTTCTAGCAAGAGAATATTGATGTGACAGGCATGCGCATACTAAAAAAGTCCAACGTCAAATCAAAACGATTCAAGCATCGTACAAATAACAAAAAAACGAAATAGACTATTAAGTTATGATGTTTCCGTGCCTTTCTAGATTGTTGACACTTCATTTTGATTTCCGAGATGAATTCAATTGAATCATATCTACACTAGGAACAAGAAAGCTACTTCTTGATGATGTGTAATGTGTTCTATCTAATGGGAATTTGATGACGTGAATGACAATGTTGGTGGAACCTATATTCGGTATTTCTCCTTTTGATCATGTTGTCATCGTTTTGCTTCGACTTCCTCCAGTCATTAGAGTTGTTTTTGATCACAAAAGTGTCAGTGTATGTTTCATAAAAGAATCGACTTAGTTAACGAAGAATGAGCAAAAGGACATTTGTCACCTTTGAAAAATATTGGCGATCAATTCAAAGCAAACTCTAGAAAGATATCTAGTAAAGAAGTATACTTGTGTAATTACTATCATCTGTATGTCTATTGATTGGCATATGTTTCTTATCTATAATGTATTTACTTTTCTCCTTCGTAGTATTTTTATTTCCTGGACGCGTTTGAAGCTATTCTCTTCCAATTACGAAACAATCTGTTTGCAAATAGAATTGTATTCGTCACAAAATGATAATCCGAATGCTTGAACGGAATCTGCAAGATCTATTTGTTGTTTTGTTATATTCTTCTAATCATAACATTCCGACAGATAGTGCAGATCAAATCTAATGAAGCGTGTTCTGACATCAATTGCTATCTGTATTTTTCCTATTGGATAATCATTTTTCGTATCATCTCACGACTTCTATAAGAAAAACAAGTCACTAGGGAACTCTTTTCAGCTGATACGCGACTTCGAAATCATAAAATATCAGTACAACATACTACCTGAATAATGTTGGAGTAGTTCATCGTCATCAACAACAACAGAAGCTGATCATCGACTAAACGTTGACAAGGTATATTGTGTATGTGTACGAATGTATGCAAAAAGAAACGAGAGAAAGTAGAAGGAGAGAAATGGCCTCCATAAAAATAAATATATCATATTATTGAGCAATATCAGTACCGCATTAAAGCCCCGTTAATGGATTCGCGCCTATATATTGTTCTTTGCCAATTGTATTTATTTATGAAGAGAAAAAGTTTATGCAGAATGATAAAAAAGCAATTGAGAACAAAAAGTACAGATACACTTTGAATTACAAATATCTGTTTTTCTTTTCAAGTGAGTCTTTTCTGAAAAACTATTGGATCGGAAATGACCACCACCCACTGTTGTTTGTTCATTTTGTGTTAGTTTTTTTTATCGTTTTTCTCACACATATGCACAATCGATTGGTCTCTATGACATGCACCCGTTATCGGTCAAACGCAGACGATTCGACACTTTTCAACTGCTGTTGCCGTTCAATGGCCCTATTAAACTTTTCTACTCACATCCGTTTGATCAATCAGATGCTCTTGTTCATATGCTTATTTCTTGATTTTGTTCGCTGTTTCTTGCTCCACAGGGAAGTACTTATCCATTAATGTAGCCAATATGCTCTCCAGATCACATAGATGAACTGTATACATATGTGACTAAACAATCGACAAATCAAAGTTATCTGATCGTTTTCTCTCATTTTGTCTATTGGAATGTTCTACGTGTGAAAGATAAAGACCAATTGTTTTTCTTTTTGAAAACTTGCGAGGAAGAAATTCAACTGGACAATTACTGTATAGCTCGAAGGAAACAGCAATAAAGCTACCTTGCGTTTGCGCTCGACATTCTCATATAATGTTCTTTGCGCACGAGTGAGAGCTCAACTCGTATGTTGTTTTATATTTTATAGAGTTTGTCTGTCCAAATGATGTTGTTGACGAAGGTTCTTTTTTTTTCGGTGATAGCTTCTAATTACCCTTGGCCTGTTTGTATGTGTATGTGTAAAGGCCATAAAACAAGGTGAACTCACTGGATATATACGTGAGTATAGAGCCAAAAGGCTAAACAATTCGACAAATGCGTGCGAGGTGTGACACATGATTCGTTCCCTCGAGAATATGTCAATCGAGCGCGTCGTTTGCTATAAACGGGAGAGAAGAGAGAGAGTAAGGCAGAGAAGATCAAGCAACAAAAAAAAATCAAAAAGAGCTTCCGTTCAATGAGCCTCAACTGAACATTAGATGACGTTTTAACGGCTAAATAGTTGCCTCACATACAAAAAACGAACATATTGTGATCATGCCAGTTGTTGACCATGTTTCAAAATGATAAAATATAAAAGAGAAACATCGGGTCGGTCAATGGTTGGTTAAAATATGTCACATATCGCTGTTTTTCTCTGTCAGACTTTCTTCTTTTTTCTTGTACAAACAATCATTTGGATAAATGATTCATCGACTTTATCGTGAAAGGTAATTTTTTTATTAGAAGCAAGAATGAGAGAGATTAGCGTGTGTATGATCGCTAGAGAAGCAACAGACTGAAAATAAATTAGTTATATTACGGGATTTTAAATATTTATTCACCCGATAAATACCAATTTGATAATAGATTTTGGACTTCTTATGAATTCATGCTCAATAAATACGCACATGATCATACGTATTAATAATATTCCACTGAAGTTAAAAGCTAAGATATGCGAATAAAAAAAGCTACAGACGATGATGTTCTTTGTGTGTCTAAATACGACGAATTGAATTGTTGTTACGGTAAATCTTGATGAAATTTAACTTTATCATAGTGCTCTGAGATAACCTTGGTTACTTCATCAGCATGATCGCTATCACGTACTTCCAATACAACTTGAATCTACGAAATGAATAAATATGTGGATAGTTTGATAGAAAAGAAACTGAGTGTACTAACTTGAACAGAAAACATATCGGATTTAAGCCAAGCACGTTCATGATAAATATCTTTTACACTAGCTCCCGCTGAACTAAACAATTTACACATTTGTGCCAACGATCCTGGCCGATCACTATTAGAATAAAACAATTAGTTCAATACCATGTATCAAATTGTTTTTACCTAACAGTTAACCAAACTTTCAGTAAACGTTTGTCTGCAACCAGACCACGTTCAAGAACACGGCCGAGCACAGTGGTATCTATATTACCACCACACAACGGAATGACTACCCTACACGACAAAAAAAGAATGTAATTCATGCATGTTGATTTGTATTTAAGTTAGAACTTGTCATATCATACTTCTTTCCTTTTAATTCAGGTAGTAAACCTTGTAAGACAGCTGCAAGACCTGCAGCACCAGCTCCTGAAATACGAATGATCATTACGAAACTCTATGCAATCGGTTAAATTCTACCTTCCACAACGGCCTTTTCCATTTCTACCAATCGTAGAATAGCAATAGCAATATATTCTTCACTAAAAATATCATTCGATTTCATATTATTCTATTTCTCTCCTTCATTTGATCAAATACTAACCTTACACAAACAACTTTATCAATCAATGGTGCTGCTGTGGCATAGGCATTTCCACCGACCATTGGAACGGCCAAACCGTCAGCCAATGTTGATTTGCATTCCGTATAAATAGGATGACCAGCTAAATGAACATCGAAGTGATCAGTAAGATGAGTGGATCGAAAAGACTTTTGTATACCCTGCGTCGCCTGATAGAAGCCAGGTGCACATTCAGATTCAACTGAAATGACTTGAACACGTGGATTAACTGATTTTACTGCTACGGCTAAACGAATAGAATACTTAAGTATAGAATTCTAATGATTCAACAAATTTTTTTTTCTTTACCAACACCAGCTAAAAGGCCGCCGCCACCTACAAAAGAGTATAGTAGACAATGTGATCGATGCATATTGATAAAATGATTTACCTGTAGGTACGAGAATAGCATCAACATCTGGAACTTGATCGAGAACTTCAAGACCTAAGCTTCCTTGACCAGCTAGAATATGAGGATGATCGAAGCTAGAAACGAACATAGAAAGCAATGCTGTTTGTGTTCAATGAAATCTATCTATACCCATTCACATAACGCAAACCGAGTAATCGACTCAATTTTAATGCAAATCGTTTTGACTAGAAAAAAATCGAGTGAATATTTGTTCTATTCAATTAATTGTATACTTCAGCCAAATCGTTTCCTTTGATAATAGTGACAGCTCCGAATGATTTACAATTATTCACTTTCATAATCGGTGCATGTCGAGGCATAACAACCACAACGGGAATACCCAACTGTTGACCATGATAGCACATAGCTAATGCATGATTACCAGCACTTGCTGCAATGACACCTCGAGCCTTTTCATACTGATAATACGAGCAAAACCAGATGTTTTTGTAGGATTCGATCAAAAGGAAAAACTTACTGCTGATAATGTCATCAGAGTATTTCGTGCACCTCGTTCCTTGAAACTACCCGTATGTAACAAGAAATCTTTCTTGAAATACAATTCCATGCCAGTTATTTTAGACATATGTGAAGGCTGCAGATATTGGGAAAAGAAATTACAAATCGAATTTCGAAGCGAATGAATTACATACTGTACATGGCGTTTTGTCTACTCCGTATTTGATTCGATAGGCAGCAGCTGATATTTCTTCGAAAGTTAGAATATGAGGCGACTTCGGATCACACCATTCATCATACAGATCTTCTTCAGTTATTTCAATGTTCAGTAGACTATAAAGATGCGATGCTTTCAAGTATGGATAACACAGAAACGTACTCAATATCCTTTATCTGGTTCTCGAGGTCGTGTTGCCGTTGTTGTAAATCAGCATCGGACAGAAGTCGTTCATCCAACATCGTCATTCGACCTGTGAACAATTAGGAAAATAACAAAAGTATTCAACGAAAACGACAGTTCATATTACGAAAGTCGCTGGGTGTGGTCATGATTTCTTATTTTCAAAAGAAGGGCTTGGTTTTCTTTTTTATAAAATATCCTTGAATATTCGATGAGTTTATATGTGTACAGAAAAATAAAAATAAGCTCTCCATAATAGCTGGAATGGGGGTGTGTTCGCAATACTTGAGAGCAAAAGAGAGAGAGAAACTGAATAATTTCAAAGCCGAATTAACTGGTTAGCTAAGCACATCAATTATTTACCAATGTATTCTTTTCGCGTCACTTATTTTAGTCGACCTACCATAATGATTAGTATTAGATTCCATGCTTGCTGTTTTGCACCTACCCCACTTTCAAACTAACATATGTAGCCATCGTTGTACATGACTATTCAAAGAATTAAATGAAATTTGATATACTATGCTTAACGGCGAGGTATCTTTGTAAAATTAGAGATCAAAAAACATATTCAAAGGTCAATATAACCAAGACGAATTAGTTGACTTGATAAAAATACGATAAATAGGAGTCGAAAGATATGTATATGTTTGTTCTATGAAATTCTATCAATTGATAAGAATGTAATAGCAAAGTTCGAATTAGTACAAATGTGAGATTTTGTGGTAGCAAAGTTGTTGGTTTTTTCTATATACAGATAGCTAGTAGTTCGTTTTGTTAAATTATTCATGATACTGTGAGTAGTTTCAATTGGAAAGTTTCCAATGGAAACTTTTAAAACTAAATTTCGAGAACGACAGATATCAAAATGATGTTAAATAAACCGATTCCAAAGTGCTATCAGAACATACATAGTCCCATATCTTCTTCTATCTTTAGATTACAGTAGAGATCGGTTTTTGACATTAGTCTATTGACGTAGTGCATAATGCATGTTGCCTCAAACATAGTACACAGATAACACGAAGTGTTGTCGGTCGGTCGACATTCGGAGAGATTCTATTCGTTAAAATATTAATCAATCAAAAACATCGCTTGTAATACTAGTACTAAAAGCGAATAAACTAATTTTGTACATTAAAACTAATAAAAATAATTTCTTTTCAATATTAAATAAAAATCACATCGTTTTCATCCAATATCATCAATCCACTATCATATCCTAACACAGCATTGAGTCATTATTATATCAAATCAAATTTGTTACTGTGTACTCGATAACTCTCATGCCATATCATTCTAATCAGAGGTCCATCATCTATCGGATTCATTGTTGTCTTCTATATTGAATATATAAACCGTTGATTTCGATATTTTCGTATTCATTACATAGTTTGATAAGAATTCTTTTCTTTCCTCACATTCCAAAGTCCATTCCTCTATTATTAGATAAATAATAAAACATAAATCATGAGTTTCCAATGGACTTTTCTCGCAACATTTCTTTACTGCGAACTTGTTGTGGTCATCCTTTTACTTCTACCGTTTATACCGCCAACTTGGTAAATATCCATTTCTTCACATTAAAGGACACGATGACAAATCCTGTTATGGTTTTCTTCCTAGGTGGCAACGATTTTTTAAGTCAAGACTAGCGCGAGCATTTCAAGCTGGAGCGAAGTATTACTTCAATTTCATCATATGTATTTTTGCTTTATTATTTGCGGGTAAATACTGTTAAATCTTGTATTTCGACAATAACCAATGTTTTAAATTTGTCTAGATTCGATTCGTGAATTGCGCAAATACGCTGGTGTGGAAGTCAAAGATTTGAGCACACCACAAGCTGAGGCACATGCACATATGAAACAATTTCGTTCGCAAAGAAATTTCTACATTGCCGGTTTTGCTCTTTTCCTTTGGTTGTAAGTCGAATGAAGGAATGCATTGTCTTTTCCTCAAAAGCGATTTAATCTTGTCTAGTGTCATCAAACGTTTAGTCAATCTTTTATCTGATGTTGCACGTGAAATGGCTGACTCAGCTGCTGCACGTAAACAAGCAGAAGGTGCTCACCGTCATTTAGAAGGTCTTACATCAAATGATCCAACTGTAAGTTCTGAAATCATTTGTCTTCACATATCTATGATTGTTGTTTTAGAAACGTGACTCCAAAGATCTTCCTGTGCCATCTGCTCCTGCAGGACGTTACATTGATCCCAAAGAACATGATGCGGAAATTAAACAACTTAACCAAGGTTAGTTTCCGAAATGAACGTATCGTTCTGATAGACAACTCATGCTTATCTTTAGAGTTACTCAAAGCACGTGAGGATATGGAAACATTACGAGGACAGTATGACAAATCAATTCAACAATATGATGAATTAAACGATGAAAATCGCAAACTACAAGTAAATTCAACTCGACATATCGACTGTCTTCTATCTTCATCCTTTTTTTTAGAACAAATTGTCCGTTTTCTCGGAAACTGAGAATGATAAAGACAAATGAGATCGTATATATACACATGAACAATTTTTTTCTCTCCTTTCACTCTGCGTGCGCGTGTACTCCTACAACGGAATATTCTAGCTTTTATTTATATTGTCAATATAACACTCGATCGGTTTACACTGTTTGTATTTGCTTCTTTCATTTATTCAAGCTGATTTTTTGTCAAATAAGCATTTGAAATCGTCAAAATAAACAATGCAAAACATATACACGTTTACATTTCATTAGCATGAATACATATCTATATTTACTAGAGGATTCTTTTAGAAATCTTTTCACAAAAAACTTCCAATTATGTCGAAAACGACGACAGAAACAGTTGCTGCCAAAGCGACAGTTAAAAAAGTCAATCCAATCAAAGATTTCATTGCTGGTGGAGTCGGTGGTGCTTGTCTTGTTATCACTGGCCATCCATTAGATACGATTAAAGTAAGGATTTTCAGTTATATCGAACTATGTAGTCGACTTCGAACGTGACATAATTGTTTGCCTATTAAAAAGGTTCGATTACAAACACAAACAAAACCTCAACCTGGACAAGCGCCACTATACACTGGCACTTTCGATTGTGCAAAGAAAATTGTATCCAAAGAAGTAAGATTTATTGTTTCAAACGCGAGATTAGGTTGAGCGATCTACTCCATTGTAATAGGGCTTTTTTGGTTTGTACAAAGGCATGGGTGCCCCACTTGTTGGTAAGTTGAATATTGGAATTGATAAAATAGTTTAGATGAAAACGATAATTAAAAGGTGTTACGCCAATGTTTGCCGTCTGTTTTTTTGGATACGGTATTGGAAAAAAATTACAAACACCCTCAGGTGAACACGGTGAATATACGTATGTCTTACTTGTCTTCAGTAGACTTTATGGGAAAGAATTCATGTCCGTTTAGCTTAACCCAAATATTTGCGGCGGGTATGCTATCGGGTGTTTTTACAACTGTGATCATGGCTCCTGGCGAACGGATCAAATGTTTATTACAAGTGAGAGAACAATTTGTAGGAAGAAAATACCGAATTCGACTGATGAATTAACATAGATTCAACATGCAGGTCACGAAAAGAAATACAATGGTCCGATGGATTGCGCCAAGCAATTATATAAGGAAGGTGGTATTCGTAGTATTTACAAAGGAACAGCTTTGACTTTGATGAGAGGTACAGTGAAATTTTGAAGGAAAATCCAAGCTGGAAAATGATCACCATTTGATATAGACGTACCTGCATCTGGTGTTTATTTTGCTTCATATGAGTATTTGAAGAAGGCATTGAGACCAGAAGGACAATCGTAAGTCGAAAGAGATAAATTCCATTGAAAATTTCTTCTCTGTTTAATTAGTGACTTAGGCGCATTGAAAACATTGCTTGCTGGTGGTTTGGCTGGTATCTGTAACTGGGTTGTGGCCATTCCACCTGATGTGCTTAAATCAAGATTTCAAACAGGTTTGTTTGTTCTCACTATATCACATACATTTAAATGCCGAGACTATATCTTTATTCAATAGCTCCTGCCGGTAAATATACGGGTATCGGCGATGTGCTAAGAGAACTAATACGTACGGAAGGAATCAGATCTCTCTACAAAGGTATCGTGCCTGTGATGTTACGAGCATTTCCAGCCAATGCTGCATGCTTTCTCGGTTATGAAGTGACAATAAAATTTCTCGATTCACTATGGCCAAACTGGTGAACATAGACAAAGCTTTGCATTTGTTTATTTGTGTTACGTCAACCATAGATCGAGACTAATTAATCCTTTACTTTTATTGGAACTCCGTTTTTTTATGCATAAACTTTTTGTAGAAAATATTTTTGCATTCTTCTAACCGATATTATAGATCATATCGATATCGATTAATTAGCGTAATCCATTTCAAATAAATTTCGTTGTTTGAGCGAAGGCAATAAGTAGAAACAAATATCGAATTCTCTTTATTATGAATAAGAAAAAAAAAACTATTTCATTCATGTGTGTTTTCATAATTGATTGTAAGACTTGATAACTTGTTCGATTTGCACAAAACCATTGAGAAATACTTGCTCATCAATATCGTATTTCATATAATGATGAAGATATGCTTTTTGACCGAATAATTGCCAAGATTTGTTCACTATTCTGTCAAGTGATGCGACAGGTGTTTGGCAATTACTGACAAACGACAAATATTTTTCGTAATTTAAATAAGATTTATCACGATACTGGAATGCGGAGTAATAATTCGAGGGTGAGAGAAATGACGAGTAAAAATCTGATTGATTAAAATATTGTTTCAATTCATTGTCAAGATCTTCTTTATCATAGGAACGAGATAAAAATACATTGGCTAAGGATTTCGTTCGAGTTTGAAATGGTTTCAATGACCAATTTAATCCTTCGTCTAAATAGGAATTATTTATATACATTTGAGACAGTGTTTTGATTAATGACGACCATTTATAGGTACTAAAATCCAATGCTTGATCGCTCAATTGTGGAACGCAACGAAGTGTCAATAGTTTATAGAATGTATGTGGTAGAAGTTGTTCTAAGAGATAATTCAGGTCACAAAACGAATGATCTTTCTTGGCAATTGGCTGAAGAAAACTACATAGATGTCGAGTTAATATATTATTCATGTCATGAATATTCGTTGGACGATCGACACCTGAGCATGAAACAAGTTTTTTGGCATATTGTTGAAGAATGTCATTTTCAAAAACTAACAATGCATCAGTTGAATGATACAAATGGGATAGGGTCAACAATGAATTATAGTTTTGTACAACGACTTCACCACTCGTATACGGTACTACGATTGTCGTTAAAAGAAATGACCGTGGTAGTTCATCACGGACGCATTCGACAGCATATGCGCCAAGACCAGAACCTGAACAAGTTTGTTTTTCTCTATTCAAATGTACAGAATATCGAAGTATTACCTGTTCCACCAGCAAGCGATAGGATTGGTAGGATAGTATCGACTCGATCGGCGTGTTCTAATTGCCATCGAAGTTTCTCCAAGATATGTTCTTCGGCCAATGAACCATTGCGATAGCCACATGCCCAGTTGTTCCCCGAACCAAGACGACCTTTTTCAAATTAGCGATAAACTATAAGAGTAGCATGAAAATTAACACGAAAATAGTGATGTGGTGACTATGGAGAGAAAGTTTTGCTCAACAAACAAAAGACCTTGCACTATTCTTCTCGATGATGACAATTGGAATTTATTTTGTGAAACCAATTTTACCTTCAAACACGCATTTCTTCTCGTAATGCCAATGTCGTTTCGCCTGTGCTTTTTCATTCGTTAATTGTTCAATGACTTTAAGTTCGGTATCGATGGCAAGTGCTCGTGCAATAAGTTTATTATCATATTGAATGAAAAATCGATCCAATGAGTTACGAACATATTCATCGACGGAAGAACGATTCGTAATTGTTGATTTTGCTGCATTTACGTGCGTTTGATTGTCTTCGACCAGCGTATCAAAAACATGTTGACCGACTTGATTTCCACATTGACCTAGCTGAAGAACGATACATGACATCTGAAACAAACAATAACAAGAAAGTGAATCATTGTTTTCATTTTATTTTATTTTATTTCTTTTCTCTTTTATTAATCGTTCATCTGGAAATCAGCTACAAAATCTCTTCCGGCAGCCTTTTCAGCTAGATAACGTTCGTAAGCTTTAGGAATCTTTTGAAATTTCTCGATTTTCCTTTCCAATTGTCGTGCCGTCAGCTGATAATCATTGTGATGATCACGAGCCATAGCTTCATAATTTGTTCCATGTTTTTCAATCATATAAATACAAAACCTATATTTGTTTTTAAAAAAAATCAAAGAAATATTCCAATGATTTTTGTTCAACTGAAATCAAACATACAATCGATCTGGATCGGATATTCTTAATGATTTCACACGTTCTGCATTGGCATCTTTTTCGAGTTCATCTCGAATATGTACTTTAGTTGGTCGACGTTTCTTCTTCTTCTTAGTTGAATCTACCATAGGTAATATCGGTTCATTATCGTCGTCGTCATTGTCGGAATATTCTTGTTTTCGTTTGTTGTGTTTCTCAATGATCTTTGGATTCATTAGATCTTTTGTTTTCGGTATTGGGAAAGCTTCTTTAATATCATGAGCAAGTGCAAATTCATGATAATTTGTTGGTACTGATAATTTTGATTCCCAATTTGAACGGATCAATGGACAATGACGTACACGCACTTCTCGTTTACGTTTTTCTTTTGACCATAACCTTTTTCGGTTGATTTCATGTAAGTAAACTTTGCCACGTTTACGACGACGGGTTTGAACCATTTTTTTCCTGATCTAAAGTATTACGAAAGAATCATAAGGATGAGGTTGCTCGCTCGTTTTTCTCATTCATTCAAGTCTTTAGAGTGTGGATCGTATGAATGTACATTTACTTGCCCATTTTCTGATTCGTTCATATGTCCCGTAGTTTATTCAATCGATAGATGTCTCTGTTCTACATCAATGCTCGTCAACCTTTATATGCTAGCTGTTATTTAGTCAATATCATGAAGATAAATCGAGTCGATTTGTTCGTAGAGATGCGTAAATACAAATGCAAACTGTATTTTGAATTTTACTACAAAATATTTTGATCCTACAATATTTTACTCAATAAATCTATATTCTGATGTACTAATTCTGCTTCGGATCTGGAAAATCTAGAATGAGTTATTTTGTGTTGCCATTTCAATGATCAAGAGGATGAAAATTATGAGAACTGTAGTAGTGATCCTCAACAGTGAAATGGTTTGACATTATATTGTTGGACGAATTGAGAATTGGAAGTAACAATGTAAAATATCTTAGTTATTCATTGATATCGGGCATAGAATGATGAGAAACAGATCAAGGACGGACCGATTTACATCGAAATATAGATTTATTGAATACAGTACTGTAGGATTACAACATTTTATAATACAGTTTGTATGTGCGAATCTCTGCCATAGTTGATGACATTGTTGATAAGTTGATTAATTGCGAACACTTCTGACATCTTATTATCTGTATACTGCTTCCTCGTAGAAATATATAGCTGGAGATAGAACGTTTTCAGTTTACTTATCTTATCGTACCATATAGACGAAAGCTAATCTAGCTGTCACATGATGCTAGCCGTTGTCTTCTTCTTGTTGCTAATTCAGCAAATCTATGGATCATCCTATACCGTGAAAATGAACGAAGTTGACGTCAATTGCATTAAGGAGTCAAAGAAATTATCGTCGCTTCCAATTCAAATTATTGCTTTTAACATATGGAATAACGAATTATCTCTTCCTGGTGCACTCGATCTTTCAATGACAATCAATGTTACGAAGAAACTCAGTGATAAGATACAATTTTCAACTAAAGTCGAAAGAAAATTCGGATCTGCTTGGCTCGATCTACCATGTTTGGCGGGTATTGGTGCATGTGACAAATTATCGTTTTGTGATCTCATCAAACAGGCCTGTCAGAGCAAAAGTCTTATTCGAGCCAATGCGAAGAATGCCTCGAATCCATGTTCTTGTGACCTTGATACTGGTATATACACGTTTGAACACGTGCCTATGAAAATTAAGCGAAAGAAAAGTGCGAAACTTGTGAAACCGATGACGACTGGAACGTATCGATTCAAGATCAAATTTTTTGAACCAAAAACGAAAGCACCCGTGGGTTGTGTGAATGGCTATTTAACATTGTTTAAAGCCAATAAATTTCTATAAAATTCTTTATTTTCTTAAAAATCTATATGTATGCTTGATAAATGTGACAAAAGACGAGACTAAGGCGAAAATATTTCAATAAATAATAGAAGTATATAAGATAAAGCTTGACTATTCTTCTAGAAATATTTGACAAACACTGTTCTACAAGATGAGTAGATTATATAGCTCCTGCATATGGTAAATGCTGCCTATGTGCTTGAGAAAGCAAAGCACCAAATGACGATGGAGCAGGAACATACCGAGGAGGTGGTATTGCGCTGCTGAATGGTGGGTGTGGATAGGAAGACTGCGATTGAAATGGTGCGCCGTGTGACATTCGATTCCATGCATTGTTGATAGGTGATGGATGATGAGCTGCATAATCTACTCTATTCCATACGTTTGCAACAGCTGGATTGGATGGATTGGCAAGAGGTGGAAAATTACGTGCTGCGAAAAAATTGCCAATAGCTTCTTGATTGTGTAATGGTGGTGATTGTGGCTGATTAATACCGAATGGTACGTTACGCGCAGCAAGAAAATTATTTATAGCTTCTCGATTTGATGGTGGTCCCCACGATGGTGGAGGTTGACCATATGCAGATGGTACACTACGCGCCGCTAAGAAATCGTTTACAGCCTCACGAGTTCGTGGTGGCTCATTGACGCCGTATGGTATGTGACGTGCAGCGAGAAAATTGTTCAAAGCTTCACGATTTTGTGGTGGCGGTAAGGGTTGATTTATACCGGGTGGCAGATTACGCATAGCAAGAAAATCATGCACAGCTTCTCGATTTGCCATTGGTGGTGGACTGTGAACAATCCCACCAGTTGGTTGTCGCATTTTATTAAACACGTTCCACGTACGACTGGCATTTTGTTCGGCAGCGTTACTTGCTCGATTCCAAACATTTTTTATAGCATTTTGATTCATATCAGGCGTTGGCGATGGTGCATTTCGCATTGCTTGCCAGACATTATTGATTCCTGAAGCCGGTGGAGGGGGAGGAGGAGGAAGGGGAGATGGAGGTCTGTTTTGTTGAGCTTGCCAGTTCAAATTGGGCGCAGACATTGATGTCGGTAAATGTTCTGATCCAGCTCGTACTTTATCCCATACTCTACCTAATACATCATGCATAGCGGGAGATGGCAGTTGTAGATCATTGGGACCGGAAAGATGCCGTGTTCGGGACCGCGACAGCCGTCTGCGAAAACTATCATCTTCTGTATCAGATATTTCTTGGCAAACAAGCCGTCGACGGTGACGATATGGAGAAGAATGAACTGTAAGGTCGACTGGTTGCGCTGTACCTTATAAAATATCATGAACAAGTATACACTGATCAGTCCATATCTGAATAATATTTAGTGCTTACTTCTATAGTAATTATTCAAAGTATTAGATTGTTGCAATGCTCCGACATTAATGCCAAACTGTTTTAAAATTGCTTCAATGGGAATATCATCTGCAGATGAATGAATAGTTTTCTACTTAATGCAAATACAAGAAAGAACAACAAATATAAACCTGAAACATGATAAACAGTTGCATTACTGCCTATCGTCGGATTTATCTGTGGAACACACTGTAAAGTACACGCTGGTTGTTGGTAGGGAACTACGTTATTAGCTCCAGATGTAACACTCTATTGTATATAAACTTATTTACAACTTTCTAACAAAGAAATGCAATCTCACATACCGCTAGTATAGCATCAATATCATTGTACGTAGTCGTTGGTACCTGTGGTCCCAAGTAAGGGAATTCATAGACTGGACTACTTGTGAATCCTGTCGGATAGTTCATAACGATACTATTTATCCTTCAATGATCTGCTGAAAATGCGAACAAATGATCGCGTATGAATACATAAATATTAGAAGACCTTGCTTCTTCGTCTACTATAATTCAACCGTGAATTGTGCCGCATAGAAGCGACTCACCTTTGTATATGTACAAGGTTAATGTTCAGTGAGTTAGACAGCTGAGTGTCATATCTATTCTAATCGACTAACTTGATAACAACAAGAGAACACAAATGACTGTTCGAACAAATCAGCGATCATCTTTTCAAAAGTATGATTAAGGAAATTATTAGAGTTGAACGAAGGCGATTAATAATAACATGATTGATTATTTCAAAACTCGTTCCACTTCAATAAATATTTGCAAAAAATGGCAATGAATCTTGTACTTTGATTTATAACAAGGAGAGAAAAAGAACAACGACGAACGCAAAGTAAAGTGAATAAGAGCAAAATTAAGGGTATAAATTAATTATAAAATCAGAAGAAGAAAACTGTTGGTGTTCTGTTTTGATTTTTTTGCCTTATATACATTTATCACTGTGAGTAACAAATCAATTAAAAAGATCATCAAGTTCAGAGGCTGCCGATTTTGGTCGTACGGCGTTTGACGGTGTGATCGAACCTCTGATGACGGTCGAACCCGGTGGAGGTGGTGGTTGAAATAGTGTTCCTGGATTCGAGTTAAAATATGGCGTAGGTATTGATGAATTTGCGTTCATTGGTGTTGCTGATGGGCTGGTTTGTGGCCGAGAAGCCAATGAATTGATATTATTCAAAAGACTTGATGTTAGATCAGTTGTTTTTGATGATGTTGATGATGATGAAAAATTCATCGCTGGCCGAATGGGCTGTTGTGGTGTGATGGTTGGTCGTATTAACGATGGCATTGTTTGGGAAGTGGTCATGCCGTAAAGTGGTTGCGATGGGAATGATGATGATGCTTGTTGCGGTGAGTTTGGATCAAACAATGAACTTGTTAGGTCTTTGTACAATGCTGACGAAGAGTTTGATGCTGCTAATGATGACATAGGCGTCATTGACATAAGTGGAATGTTCGATTTTGTAGTTGGTAAAGACGCTAGTGGTGTTTTCTTATCAGGAATGAGATCACCTTGTGATTTCATACGTTGAGTTTGTTCAGTTTCACGCATCATTCGTTCTTTCTCTTCGAGTGTTAATGGCTAGCCACGGAAGTTAATATTTGAAAAAGGATGAAAAAAAAAAGAGAAACCTTACTTTTTTGCCTATGGAAATGTCGGTTGAATTAGATTGATTGGCCAATGAAGATGACATTTGTTGTGAGCGTTGTAGTTGTGGACTATCACCCGACAGATTTTGGTCGAAACTCGCTGATAGATTTTTACTCTGTGAGATTTCAGAACTGAATCCATGACCAACCATAAATTGATCCATCTAATACAGAAAACTATACTGATAATTCGCAAATGATACCCGATCTGATTTACCAATGATGATGCATTGTGATCAGAACTAACAGCCGTTGTTACTGGTCCAATGGGAATGATCGGAGCACTAGAAAACATTCAGTTCGAAATCGGATTTACACAGATATTAGTTAATGCGTACTTTGCTGCTTGCTGAGAAAGTTGTTCTAATTTCTTACGTTGTTCAATTTCAACTGTTTGCAACATATCTTTAATCGTCGACATGTAAGCATTAAACTAGAGAAGTGAGACGAAACAAAACACGTATTACTTTCGTGTGTCAAACATTGTATGGGTGGAACAAAAAACTACGGAGAAAAGCTCGTGTCACACGATTGAATAGTGATAGACAAATTGCACTTATAGAAATACGTAAGGAACATTTTATCTTTCGCCGCAAAAATGAATACTCTACTAACGATGGCAAACAAACGAACTTGTTTGAATTAAGTAAATGAAGCGAAATGAAATTTACCTGATTTAAATTTAGACTAGTTTCGATCGATATTGGTACTAGAAATGGTATAATTTTTGTCGCTAGTACTTCACGTGGTAGACCGCCAGCTTTTGTTGATGACAAGGCAACTTTGATAATACCTAAGATAGCCATAAGAACGGCCGGTTCGCGAGATGGTATCGATTGAAGTAGTGGTAAAACTTCATCAATGATAACCCATTTATCTAATGATTCAACTAATTTGCCAAGACATATTAAACAGTTGACACGAACCTGAAAATGGATTCATCGAAAAATAAGATGAGAAGGAGTTCATCTCACTACTTACTTACACTTAATGTTATAGTTTCGAAACAGATCTTCTTGATTCGTGGTAGAATTGCGTATTTCATTGCTTGTAAATCGATTAAATGTGCAAATGATGGAATAATCGCTAGACAAAGTTCCTATCATGAAAGACAAAACTCTTTTTCTTTTCCTTCATATTAACTTCGCATTTCTCTACTTGAACTTGTGATGATTCGGCATCCAGTGCGTTGTAAACCACAGGTAGAATATATTGTTTGATATCTTCAGGTGGAGTTTTAGTTAACATTAATTTCATATTACGCATTAAAATTAAAAGAGTCTACAGAAGAAGAGAGAAGTCAAACTTCTTTCTAAATCAATATTTTCTACCTGCATCACAGCACCTGATGTACCACTTCCCTGGAAAAGTTTTGAAAATCATTTCTTATTATTGCTTCGATTGTTCGATATTACCTGAGGCGGTTTCTGTATTTTAAATACTTGTTTCAATTTGGGAAAAATATATTTTTGATATTCTTCGTTATTCGCTTTTTCCTAGACAAATGAGAATACGAAAACTTACTTATCGAACCACAAAAAGACAGCTTACAGCAATGAGAAACATATTTGGAAGGACGAATGGAACCATTTCAGGATTGACGAATTCCAGTTCCATCGCTGAAGCTATTCTTTGTAAGTTAACACGCTATGAAAACGAAGAATGGAATGACGACTAGAAATCAATCGAAAAGCAAATTTACCATAGGTAGTTTATCAATCACTTGCGGAAGGCTTTTATAAAACATCGATCGTTGGATGTCATCGACTTGAAATAATGAATCAAGGTATTCTAATGTTTTCGTACCGACATCTTCGAAAAACGGAATCTAAGCAAAACCACATGTATATGCACGTTGATCGAGACATGCTTAAAATTTACTTTCGAAAATTGACCGGCATCTGGCCTCAGTTCTGGCCTTGTACTAAGTAACATTTTGACATGTTCACGAACTTCCATTGGTAAAGAAGATAATTTCGTCGCATTAACTGATTTGAGATCATCGGACATCTTCATAAACGAAGAATAGCTATCATGACATTCATATAATGTTCTACCACGATTATACAATGCATAGATAAGCATGCCAAGAGAAAACATATCGGATTGAGTATCGTAAGCTTTGACTGTACCATATTCAGGTGCCATATAGTCGAGTCGAGGATTGAGTATCGGTGGGATATTTCCATCGTAATCGCGGAAAGGATAAGTTACCTAACGACATGACACACATTTTGATGAGAAAAATCTTTCTGAAAAATTTTCATAATTTACTCCATCTGCTGAACCGGAGATTGACAACTCGAATCCAATCAATTTCCATGCGCCATTGGAATTGATAATAATCGATTCAGGCGATATATTTCGATGGAGTAATTTGACTTCATTATGCAAAAACGCAAGTCCTTCGCAAAGCTGAAGGAAAAAAAAACAGATGAATCATGAGAGGAGGAGAATCTATTTTAAGCTTAAGATCAATCATACTTGAACAATACCATAACGCATTTCAACATCGTGAAGTTTATAATCTTCGAATTCTTTTGATATTGGTTGAGCCACATTATCATAGAAGCCAAGACAGTTTGCAAGACTGGCAAAACACGATTCAGTAGCAAATGCTAAACTGTCTCTATGATGTAAAAGAAAATGACTTTATCGTTCGAAACACGTATGAAATCTTTACTGACCGAGATTCTTCTAATGGATGTTGAAGACTCAATATTCGGGGATGTTTAATCTTTGCTAGTTGTTGCACGCCTTTCTTCATCGCTTCCAAAATGAGATCTCGATCTTTTTTAGGATATTTATCTAACAAACGCTTCTCTAACACAAAGACAGCAGCCTCCTAAATGATGAAATATTTTTCAAAATAAAATTAATTATTCATCGAAGAGCCAAACTTGTTTAGTTGAACGTTTAATGGCACCGTAGATTCTCCACAGAAGACAAGGGCCCGCTGATCCAAGCGATCGAACAAGCTACAAAAATCGAGATGCTTTATTTTTTCTATTCCCAACGATTCTATACTTCAAATTCTCGTGTAACCAAGTTTCCCGGTAAGACATCTTTGAACATCTTCTGTCCGCCATGTGCCGTATCGACCATCGATTTAACCACGACATTCTTCACCTGATCACCGTAGGTTTTTAGTTTTTCCAAGTACTCCATAATTAGTCACAGATATCGTTTCGATACAATGTTTGAAAACACAAACTGACACTGACAAGAATGCATGCATACAATATAATAAATCGAGGCGAACTTCTCTGATTGGTACAGCCGAAGCGCCATCTATGATCAATTAGATTTTTCGTTGATCGGAAAAATGAATTTCAAGAACGAAATGGACTTGCTAAGTTGATGTTAAAACTGTGAAGTTTAGCCGTCGTTTTCAACTAGTTCAGATCTCTACAGCTAATAAGAAAATGAGGTCACTTTTCCATTGGCTTATTCTTGCTTCGCGTCGTCGTTTGGTTGTTTGTTTGCTTGTTTACTAGAATTTCTCATTTAGTTACTCAATCGCTTATTAAATCTTTTTCAAGCAGAACATAATTTCCTTCTTTTGAATCGTCATATCATACAGAAAGAAAATCTTCGACGTGTAACTAACGAAAGAAGGTTTTGGATTGTTCTAGAAATATTTCTTCGAATATTTCTTTTGAATTACATCATAAAATAGAAATTATTATTTCAACAGAGATTCGCTGTCATATCACGTGTTTCGATTTTCTATTTCTATAGTTTTCCCTCTCGGTAAATATGAAGAGACAACAGAATATTACTCATCCGACATTTTTTGTTTTAGTCATGATTTTTTCTCTATAATAAATAATCAATAAAAATAGAAACGATGAACGAACGCAGTTCTGCGCAGGCGAACACTCCAACGTCAGCCAATATGCAGTACAGTTATGCACCTGGTAAGAATAACTTTTTCTTTCTCAATACTTCAATGCTCTTTATTGTCGTTCTAAAGGCCATTTTGATCTCATGAACATGCCGCCTATACAAAATCACAATGACATGTATTCATATTATCCTCCAAGTTTGTATCAACCTTTCGCTCCATTTGATGAACATAGTCAGTGGGGAACGACGGATACATCTGGCAATGTTCCACCACCGCCTCCTCCTGGTCCCATGCAATATCATCCACAAATGTATACACCCTCGCCACTTGATATACCTCGCAGTCCATTTGATTATCCACCTCCACCACATGCCTATCCACATTATCATCCAGGCTTTACACCATCAACGTTTCCTGGTCCACCCGCAGCGGCTACATCCGCATTCGACATGTCGTGGACGCCGCACAACCTACCGATGCAACAGATGCAAATTGCTCAACAACAAATGACACCGATCGGTGGCGGACCAACATCGAACAAGAAACCATCAGTGTACGATGAATATCCGCCTGGTGGCGCTGGTGATATGCTCGCTCAACAAATGAATTCGGTTGATCTTGGCGGCACCAATAACAACGATGACACACATAGCTACGACAACGGAACAAACGATAATGCACAAAATGTAAATGTCCTATCATCAAAAGATCAACAGCAACAACACTATCAATCTAATAGTAGTAATCTTTCGTTATCAACGCGTCCATCTCAAGCACCTTCGTCGAATGGTCCAAAATCGTACGCATCCGTTGTTTCATCAGACACTATTAATTTAAATAGCAATAAATCGACCGCATCCGTTCCAAACATGTCTGTTCGTCCTAATCTACAATCGTCGACGACGGAGCGTAATAACGCTGTCTCGAACTATTCAAATGACTCTATGAATTTGCGTTCGAACGCTAATCTGCGAGGTAACCACAATAACAACAATACGAACAATTATTTTCAACAAACACGTAACGGTACAAGTGGATATAACTCTCGTAACCAACAGCAACAGCAACAACAATCATCTGGTAATGGAGGATTTTCGAACTGGACAAATAATAATTCCTCATCAAATTTCCGTGGTAACGGTAGTAGTGGTGGTGGTGGTGGTGGTGGTGGTGGTGGTGGTGGTAATAATAATAATAGTTCGTCGACGAACTATTACAATAACGCATCATCGAATTATTATGATCGATCGTCCTACTCACCACAGCAAACTTCGTCGTATAATAATAATTATAATAACAACACGAAACGCCAAAATTCGAATTATCATCAAAATTATTCGTCATCGCGATCAATGAATAACATGAGTAATGGTAATGCGGAAGCATCGGGTAATGGACAACAACAACTATCTGCTGTGAATCAAGAAATTCTTGACACATTAAAAAGAAATCACCAATACAATCCAAGGGAATTCAATTTAAATCCAAAAGGAGCCAGATTTTTTGTTATTAAATCTGTAAGTTCAAGTCAATATAATCTTTATAACCTATCCTAATAGTCTCAGAATCATCAAAATCAGTTGTCTTGTCTCATAGAATGTACTAATCAAATCTAATCTAATCCAGTCTATACTTTTCACACGTAGATAGTAACATGTAGTCATTGGAATTTTTTCTTGCAAATATTTCAAGAGGCAGTGAGATGACCTTCGCACTTGTTTGCGCTCTCCTAGTTATGCATATTTACATTTGTTTTCAATAAATTTTTTATCAAATTCCCACACTGACTTTCTAACTAACCGTTGTTCTTCTTGTTTAGTATTCCGAAGATGATGTTCATCGTTCGATTAAATACAACATATGGTGTTCCACTGAACATGGCAACAAACGTCTAGACGATGCATTTCGTGAACGTGAAGGCAAAGGACCGATCTATTTATTTTTTTCAGTCAATGCTTCCGGACATTTTTGTGGTATGGCTGAAATGATGTCACCTCTTGATTATGAACACAAGACAGATGTTTGGCAGATGTCAAATAAATGGCAAGGCAAGTTCGAAGTCAAATGGATTTACGTTAAAGATGTTCCTAATCAACAATTTCGTAACATACGTTTGGAAAACAATGATAATAAACCAGTAACTAATTCACGTGATACGCAAGAGATACCTTACGAGAAAGGTAAACAAATGTTGAAGACTATGCATATGTATCGTGATAAAACATCCATATTCGATGACTTTCAATATTATGAATCAAAACAGGCTGAAGAAGTCGTTAAGAAACCTTCGAATAATGAATTTAATAATACTACTACTAATAATACACGCGGGAATAATAATAATAAACGGCAATTTTCATCGAATAAGTCGTCGTCATCAACATCATCAGTTCCGCTAGAACAGCAACAACAGCCGCAGCAGCAAGAAGAAACCGAAAATCTAACCAATGAAAACAATAATTAAAAACACCAATATCAATATGCACGTGGTTTTTCGTTTTTTTTTAGGTTATACTAATTTATATCCTGTCGCTTTCGATATGGCAAAACTCTCTCTCTCTCTCTGTTCCTTTTCATGTGTGTGTGTGTGAGCTTTTTAGTAGACATCATTGAACACTCTGTTTTGCGTGTACATTTGGGGATGAGGTTATTTGTTTTCTTTTTTGGTTCATTCTAACACATTGTGCTAACCCCATACTACAGTAGCAATTTGTTGCTGTTGTTATCATTTCATGATTTTCCTTTTGTTTACACTTTTTTTTGTTGTTGTTTGTTTTCTCAATATCGAAACAAGCTTACTTATTCTCATCCATACATTCTCTTTATTGCTATTGTCTAAAGAAACTATTTCACATTATACTTCATTTTGCTTAACAGTTTTTTTCTCTCTCTCTTGTTTTCCCGCTAACATTTCACATATATCGTTTATCCGCGTGCATGATGATTATCTTCAGTTTCTTTTTCTAATTTAACGTCGTCATTCGATTGCACACATCGTTTTCTTCTCTCTCTCTCTCTCTTCTCGTGTATGCCTGTCGTCATGTTCTGTTGTTGGCTTGTTTTCTCTTTTTTTGCAACAAAGATCTATTATATAAACTTTAAAGAAAAACGAAAATTGAAATACACTATGAAGTCAAAGACATGAAATTATTCATCTGAAAACAAATCGCCTTCGATTCTTTTCAGGCTATGCATTTGACTCTTGAATTCGCCGGTGGCGCTGAACTGCTATTTGGAAAGCAGAAAACTCATCCAGTCGATTTGCCAGAGAGTCAAACACCATGGACGATACGAACGTTGTTGGTTTGGATGCGTGACAATCTTCTCCGAGAACGACCCGAACTATTCATTCAAGGTGATTCTGTTCGACCAGGAATTCTAGTTCTCGTAAACGATACCGATTGGGAATTGTTAGATGGTTTGAATTATCAATTGAAAGAAAACGATAATATTCTGTTCGTGTCAACGCTACATGGGGGTTAAAATAAAGCAAGAGAAAGAAGATGCTGTTTTTCCTTTACGAGTACATGTATATTTATATGTAAAGATTTTTTCATTTCACCAAGAGACACGAAAAGAAAAGAAGAAGAACACGAATTCAACCAAGTAACACCTTTTTAAATTTGCTAGACATATCTTTCGTTGGGATACCATCGGTATTATCATCCGAATCCGATGATGTCATTTGAAACGTAGGTGTAGATGTACAGGCAGGTGAACAGAGAAATTGAAGTAGTGGGAGATAGAATTTACCACAAAAGTCGACAAATTTGATGTTTTTATGGCAACTCTCGAAATAAACACCTAAATCAAGAAGAGATTTTCAGCGATTTTCCGAATCAGTTTCGATAGTTTACCTTTGCATTTCGGATTAAGACATGACTTCGCAGCATTTAGATATTCAATCAGACTCTTTGGGATTGATTGGTCATCGTAGCGGACTTTATGAAGTTTGATCGTTCTACCTGCTAGCTCTTTCAATGTTGGTACATCATAGGTTAAATCACGAACGAAACGCACGACAAGTGGGTTGTTTCGTAAACTTAGTTCTTGTAAATCAAGACGTATGATATCTGGCGGTAAAGCACTGAATTGATTGTTATGTAGTGACAATGATTTCAAACGATTTAAACCTAATAGAAACGAATTCAGCGTCGAAGAAACATTAGAAAAGCGAAAGTAACTAACGAGAAATTGAACGTGGTAAAGTTCGGAGACGATTGCCACTTAAATTCAAAACTACTAGTGAGCGCATGTAACCAATTGAATCAGGAACATTTCCAATATGATTTCCACCAAGGTAGAGAACTTCGACTCTAAAGATTCAATTTGTATGTTGCTGTCAGAGGAAAAGCTCGTGTTACTTAGTGAGACTATGAAATAAGTCTGGCAAGAATGCGATTTGATTTGAACCAAGATAGATTTCTTTTAAATTGATCATTTGAAATAATTGATAGGGAAATTGTTTAAGACGATTTCCGCCTAAATTGATCACTTCTAATTGTTTAAGCAATTGCAGCTCTTTCGGTAGAGAGAAATCATCGAGAGAATTGTTTTTCAGGTATAAATTCTTCAAATTGTTCAATAGTGACAATTCAGTTGGTAGTTGTACCAATTGATTGTTTGATAATTCGATTGTTATTAACGATTGAAATTGTTCGATTTGAGGCGGAATTGTTAATAACATATTTGAATTTAACTGGAAATTTTTTACACGATTTGGATTTTTGACTAAGCTTAATAATTCGTTTGGATCGAGTGTAGACAGATTTCGATGAGAATAATCAATCGTGTCGCCGAGAACTGTTTCCGAGCTGAAAATAGAGCTCGATTATTGAACGTACTAATTCAAAAAATACACGTACTTGCAAGTACAGTCGTTTTCTTCGTCATCGAAATCATCGTCAAGGTCATAATCGCCTTCGTAATCTTCAGCTGTTGTGAGCGCCGCCGCTGCCATATATTTCCAATAGATGTTTGATCTACAATGTTAAATATTATGTGCGTTGATTATATATAATACATTCTATCATGTGATCGTCAAACAAGAAGGAAAAAAATGCCTCGATAAAACGTAAAAACACATTGTAGAGACTCAAGGTCGTAGAAGCAGAACAATAATAACAACGATTCTTTCCATCCAATAACTTTATATATCATATGTGTGCGATGACGATGGGATTTTTCATTTCGAAAGGAGGTAGGAATAGAGCAAAAAAAAAGAGAATGATAGAGTACCAAGAAATCAATGCATGATTTTATCATTCAAAATAAAGAGAGTACTGAAAAAATGCCGAGTCATATGTCAATGCAATCGGTATAGGTCTATGTGCGATCTTTGTATTCATATATGTTTTATTTACAATCAAAAGAGATTACCTAACCTAACAAACAGATCATATTTTCAACGATCAGTACAAAAAAAAATCTTCTACCCATACATAGAGTGAATGGTGGTGATGTTGACAAGCTTTCTTTTCGACCAATCAATCTCTACTTGCCGAGGAGAAGTTGGATGTTGTTTGCATCTTTTACTCTACCCATGATAGACGAGAGGAGAAGAAAGGACGAACGAACGAACGAGGCAAATAATCAATTCGTGGCTTGCAATTGTACTATTACTAGCAATTCGAATGGAAAATGTCAGGTCAAAGTACGAGAGTAGTTCGAAATATCGGAGATTCAAGCAAATCTCTTTCGATGCGCAAAAAAATAAGAATCGAAATCGAAGAAATGAAACCAAAGACGAGTAAAAAAGATTCCATATCAAATAATTTATCGATTGATTGATCTCATGCGATGAAATATTTTCTCATTTTCACTTTATCTAGATACATTCTTCCTCTAACTAAAGGTAATGTTTGTGAAGGGCATCGGCTAAGCAAAACATTGCATTTATCAAATTTATCTCTCGAGAATATATATAGACATATTTTTCTTCATCAAATCTGATCGCTTACATCATCATGAATAATGTAGACAACTTGTAATTAAATGAACTTTCAGTACAACGTATAATCGATGCAGATTCTCTGCGAATGTGCGGGGGGTGAGGTTGGGCAGTATAGTTTTTTTTTCTATGAAAATCTTTTTAAATAAACAATAATATTTTGAAATCAACAAACTGAAGAGAAAGCAGAAAAAGATATAAAAAAGAAGAAGAAGAAGAAGACACATCAGACGATTTCTTTGTTGGATTGTTACACAGAGTAGGACTAAACAAACGATTCTTTATCAAAAGCACGACGATTTAGCGCATCAAGTACATCTTGTACACTAGGATAATAATAAAGTCGGTTACTATGTGCTGATCGATTGTTTGAACTATTCATATTGTTATTAGTATTATTGTTACCGCTATTTGAGATTTGATCTGATGTTATCGATCTGGGTAATGTATAAGAATGTGTTGTCGATTCGAAATCGGATGGATTGACAGTTGAATTTCGTTTCGTTGTGACGATATACTGTTGTTGATGATACTTTTTCGGACGTTCGATGATTGGATTCGAGTGGTAATTATTAATTGGAACAGGACGTTTGATAGCATGAGGATTAGTTGTTTGATATGGTGTTGATATCGCTGACGATGGCATCGTTCCGATATCAATCGAAGGAAAGTCATGATCAATCGGTTCGAATTGATAATCATTGTGTAGAATTGTACTGGCGTTTTCGTATAGCATTCGATTGTTTGTGTTCATTTGCTTCCAAAGTCCGTCGGTATCGTTTTCATTGTCTTCATGGAATGACGTGTTCGTTGCTAAATGGAAATGAGAGGAAACTCTTGAATTTTCATGTCAATTTAACTTAACATATGGAATGTGATAAACAATTTTTTTCAAGTTACTGATGAATAATGCTGATTTCTTCTCGCCTGTCAGTTTTTCTCGTCTAGAAACTCTCTTGAGAACTTGGACACGCACACTGGCAATAATACAAGGAAAAGAAAGAAGGAAAACCTTCGATTCACTATGCTGATAGATATTTATGCAATAGAATTATATCCGAAAGTTAGTTACTAGCGTCGTTATTTTTTTTTCTTTTTTGCTGTTGAAAATTTAGCATACCAGCATCGGTTAACATGGTTTCTCTTGAGTTCATTATTGATGATGATAGCTGGCAGCGGGAACAGGAGTTGTTTAATCGAGGAAAATGCGCTGAACGAAGTGCAACTTGCGATTGATGATTCCGGATTGCAATAGAGTTTAAATTAGCCGAAAGATTATTATTCGATGGAAGATAACCGAAATGAACGCCGTTGCCAAGCTGAAAAAGAGACGAAAGAAGAAAAAAATGCCATTTTGCTTAGAGATATTAATGAAAAACTCTTCTGTCTATTCACCCGTTTTTCTTTTTTCTTTCATTCAATACTGAACAATCAACTAACACAACTGACATTCCGCGTCTTTATAGTCGCTGTTTTCCTCCTCCCTCTCTCTCTCTCTCTCACTCACGCTCACCCCTCATCCGCTGTCTTTCGCTTCACCACACGTTTATTCACAGAGATGTAAGCTGGTCTTTTTTTGGATTCCAAACATTTAATTATGTTCCATATGTGCGCAAAGTTGCATATGAGAAGCGACTAAAGACATTGGCAAAGCTACTATTCACCCAATGAGACAATCAAGCGAACATCAACTATCTTTTTTTCTATCAAAGAGCCAAAAGAGACAGTAGGAGTTCTGGAAGAAGAAGAAGAAAAAGAAGAAGAAGAAAAGATGTCAATGAATTTCCGTTTCGGTTTTTCTTCATCGTCGTCGCGGTCTTTTCCTTTTCTTCTTCGTTTCTCATCTCATATATTTCCTTTTGTTTTCAACTAAATACCCGAAGATTATGTTCGTAATTTGTTCGACTGTCTGATTCTTAACTTCTTTTTTGATTACCATTCCCATCAACTTGCAAGTTAAACAAACGATCTATTCGTCATTGAATGCATTCATAGAGATTAATTCATAAGCGAACTTTCTAATTGCTCTTCATAAAGACACTCTATTCTGTTTACATACATATGCATATGTTGATCTGCCGTCTCGACAAGAAAGGCAACGAGTCTTGACTGTTTCTTTATCAAAAATGGACAGGAAAACAGAAAAATAGAAAGCAAATTGAAGGTCGCTCTTTTTTCGGTCCTCAACTTCCGCTCTTTGCCTTCTGATTGATGTATTGACTAATTTACATCGTCTTTTTTTCTCGGCCGAATATTGAACAAAAAGAAACTTACATATCGACCGGCAGACTCGCTGGCCGCACAGCCAGACGTAAGAACAAAATTAGCATCAGTTATAATATGATCAGCATCATAGCTTGTATCTTCGATTTCATCGTCCTCGTGTGTTAACGTTTCTTTGCCACGTTGATGCTGAGAATTGAGTGGAAAAGATGCAGATTTTGGTAAGACAGTAGCAGATTGACTAAGAATCTCATGTTGACGAACTTGAATTTCAAATTGTTCGTGTTCTTGCTTTTCCTTTTGTCTCCGGCGTGCTATGCGACTGTAACTATAGCACGTCCACACGGCGATGCAGACGAGCACAAACCAACTGACGATCAGTAAGATTAAAAACCGCCATTCGAATTTCTGTGAGAAGAGTTTCAAAATAAGATTTTTCTGACGAAGAAAAAACGGAATTGCCAGTGGACGCAAGTACATATTACTTTCTCGTTCGTGCTCAATTTCATCAGGAATCAAACGATGTGTTAAATTAAATTTTAATGTATATAATCGTTCACGCGATATGAATAAACCATGATCGCGAAGAACAAATGCCAATGTGTAGAAGCCATCAGGTACGGTCATATTTGCTCGAGTTATCAACAACGACGAATTTGTTGCATTGTTCACAACAAGATGAAAGTAGTGTACTGATGAACAATTCAAACAGTCGATCGAAATCATCCCGTTGAGACCTTCATCGAGATCTATGGGTTGAAATTCGTAAATGATTGTTTCTTCGTTATTGATCTGTTCAACAGACAAATCAAATGGATTGGCAAGGAATGGTTCAAATGGTAAATTATCATTTTCATCCAGAATTTGAATAATAACATAAGTTGGAAGTGAATATGACTTCAAAAGACGATCGTATATGAATATTGATAGGGTATAATTCGATTGTAATTCTCGATCAAGTACAATCAATGTATGGATAAAACCTTGGGAATCAATAGAAAATATATTCGATAAGGACTCGTTTCGGTTGGAGTCAACGAATAGAAAATCAATCGTGGAATAATTCATTGTTCTAAATAGTAAATATCGACATTTAGTTATGAAAATGAAGCAATTCTAATATGTTCGGACTCGTTCATCGGTAAGAGGATTACTTCAGACTTTTTGCATGAGTGATCATCAATGAAATCTTCGAAAAGTCAGTCGAATGATTCAAACGAAATCTCTCAAATATTCTTCATCCAAAAACTATCATCAGGAAATTTTTAGACAATACCTTGATGTTTTACTCATTAGTGTTAGATTGAATAATTCCAAATCGACATCTTCAATGGTTGACAGATTAATAATTTTTTCCACTGGTTCCTGTTCATCTCGATCGGCTATTGTTAATCGGCCGACAATAGTTCCAATCGGTAAGTTTTCTTTCATATCGAAATGATAAACATCATGAATAAAATATGGAACATGGTCATTGAGATTGTTGATTTGCACATCCACAATGGCAATGGAGGAATACTTTCGCGTAGGATATCCAAGATCGTGAGCACGTATGCCGATACGGTACAATTCGCATTGCTCACGATCGAGTACATGTCGCGTACGTAGGATACCTGACCGACTGTCGATAGAAAATTCTTGGCGTTCTTTTACCATTAATTCATAACGGACAGTTCCGTTTTTTCCTTTATCGAGATCGGATGCATGCAATTGTGTAAGAACGGTGTTTTTCGGTTGATTTTCATCGATTTTTATATGAAAATAACTTTGACTGAAGATTGGAGCATTATCATTGATATCCAAAAGCGTTAAGTAAATGAACAGTTCGGATTGTAATGATGTCAATGCTGATTTCATTGTGTTAGCATTGATGTCCAGACGACGTTTGAGAAAATCTTCAATATTCAACGATGTGCTTTGCCGTGAGATCAAACGCTTCTGTTCCGCTCGTATCGGACGATCACCATTGTCATTGGCAAGGAAATGTAAGATGTAATTTTCATGTTCGTCACGATCAAGTGTTCGAACAGTAAACAAACCGTATACGTTTGGTCGAAAAACGGATAAACGAAAAAAATCCGATATGCGACATAGTGTGAAATTATCTAAATGTAAGGAATGATAGAAAGCTTTTGAAGAAATTTTGAATCGGTGTCATGTCTTTTACCTCGATGAAATCTCTCACCGGAACAGCGTACATAGGTTTGTAATTCTAGTGTAAGAATACCGTTTGACGTTTGGTCATTATCCCGTAAATGAAGTAAACCAAGAAGTGTATCAGCAGGTAATGGTTCTTCTTTAACAAAATGGATCAATTCGGCATCATTTTCAAGAAGATTGACCTTTGAGCGAAATGATTGTAATAGACGATTTTGTTCTAGAATAAACATCATTTTCAAAAATCTCAATGTTGTTTGCTTCTCTCCTCATAGATAGGACTAACCATGATCTAAATTTGTTTTCGATATATTCATAAATTTGATATTTTCATCTTGTTTATCTTCATTGGGCATTGTAAAGATAATTTGAGGTTTTTGATCATTAATATCTTCAATACTAATAACAATATCAGCATAAGAGGGTACAGATGGCCATTGAGTTGCTTCGACATCACCATGATCTTTTGCTTCGACCATTAATGTGTATTCTTTTTTGGATTCGTAGTCCAAGTGATGATCCATTAAGAATAATTCTCCGGTGTCTCTGTCAATTCGAAACATCGTTCGATTTCCTGTTTGAATAAGATCGTGCCCGAATAAGTTATACGAAACTTTCCCATTGAGAAATATGTCCGGATCGTGAGCTTGCACTCGGCCAATCAATGAGCCTGGCGGCAGATTTTCCGGTATAACAAAATTGAAATGTTCACTTTCAAATTGTGGAACATGATCATTAACATCAAGAACAACGACAGATAATTGAATAGTTACAACATTCGTTTCATCAACATCATTTTCAGCAATTAATTGTCGACGTATAGTAAACATCGGTGTTTGTTCGCGGTCAAGCAAACGAATTACATGTAACGTTAATGTACAACTATCATTCGTTGTTAACAGAATCTCAAACGGTATTTCTTGACGATAGGAATCGGGTTTTATGGAATACATTGAGCAAAATGTTGAATCGAATGTGTCGATCGTTTGTGTATGGCCGATGGGCACATCTTCGGCAACGAATAACCTACGACCACAAAGAAGTGAAGTTCATTTGTCATGAATTGGAGATACTTACATGTAGGTTCGATTACGATCGGATTGTATTGCCGAAGAATTCTCATCATTTGTCACTGTTAATGAAATGACTGAGTAAAAAATTAAAATATATCTTAATCTGAACATTGGAGATCTCGAGTATTGTTTAAATGTGGTTGCATATGTTGGTGTATATATGTATATATTTGTATGAATAGAGGGTGTCACATAACACTTAACATACGATTAGAGAATAGTTCAATGAGTTCCGAACGACGACAATTGTTGATTGATGACATTGATGTTTTATTCTTTGAGCTACTGAACAATTTTTTTCTTCTGTTACGTATAAATACCTATATCGGTATGCCAATTATCTAGTTTCTTTTTTCATTCAATCGAAGTTTTTCTTCTTCTTCTTCTTCTTCTCCTATAGAATATCCAAATAAATAAAAAAAAGTTGAAGAATGTTGTGACCTGAAGGCTTCAATTCTTTTATCAAACCAATTCACTCACTTGTATTCTATTAAAATAAGAATAAGATAGGATGGTTGAGTGCATACGATTATTGANGATGATTATGACAGTACCTCCGCCTTAGTTCGATGAAAAAGATACATATCAGACATACTGTCTTTCATTCATTCATGGAACATGTGTTGTTAAAACATCAAAAAAAGAAACATTCATTTGCATCATCATCATCATCAACACGCTATTTAGCACGTTTGACGAAGCGAAACATATTATGAAGAGAAGAAAAACGAATCTTATGATCCGTTTGATTTTTTTTTCTTTAATACGTATTTGGACGCTAATGTTCGAAATGATCGATACATTCCACATGTAAAATCGATTATTATTCAACTATTGATATATGTTCATAGGCGAGAACAGAAAACGCGCAACGAATTCATTTCACTTACTATCAAGACCTCCGTAAACAGAGGGTGTTGATGAATTGGTGCTATAATCCGTAGTAGTTGTGAAAGTTGACGACGATGAAGTAGTGTATTTTTCACTGTAGGTTGTCGTTGACGATCTGGATTTTAATAACTAAATAAATGTATACATGGAAGAAGAAATAAAAGAGGATCAATGTCTGCTCTTTCTCTTTTAAGACAGAATGACACGAACGCTTTCTTTGGCAATATAAACATTCAATTATTGTTGATAAGAAAAAGGAATGAACAATGATCAAACATACAGGAGAAACAAAAGAACTTGATATTAAGAGTGTATACTATCTTTGTTCTGTGTTCTTTCTATCCTTAACGAGAGAGTTATTCTGATAGATACAGTCGAGTAACAATCGAACTATTAAGGAAAGAGAAGAGCTAATGAGGACGGCGATTTACAACTACATCAGATATTGAGTTGTCTAAAGGAAAAATAATTGCAAGAATTGAAAGAGAGAATTCTTACATCATTTGAATTGAGATTTGCGGTTGCATTTGTTGTTGTTGCTGTTGTCGAGGGTAACGATGGTTTCTGATCTAAATCGTGCCTTAATGATCTGGAACTAACACCTGCTGAACGAAGTAGATCTTCTAAATTTTCAATGTATTCAATAGCATTGCGTAAGATTTCCACTTTTGGCAACCGTTGACTCGGATTTGGACATGTTCGTCGTTTCAAAGTTTCAAATGCTTCGTTTACTTTACGTAAACGTCGTCGTTCACGCATTGTTGCGGCTTTTCGTCTATCAACAGTCACAGTTTTGCGTTTACAAGCTTTACATGCCCAGAGTAGACATCGACGTGTACCATCACATGAGCCAGTGCCAGGCAAAGACATATTATTTGGATCGGTAGTCGTGCCCGTATGATGATCATTTTTATGCGGTGTCAATGTTAAGTTGGATTGCTCATCACCCGAATGACTTGAAGGTGATCGTGAGCCAGCTGCTGAAGATGACATAATTGAGCTAGATGGTGAAACATGAGAATGTGCTGTTGAGTAGAAACCATTCGTATTGTTCAGATGAGATTTTTCTAGACTAAGTTCGGATGACGATTGCGGTGGCGGTGGTGGTGAAATTGATGGTGCTCGAAGATGAAGATAGGGTGAATTTGTCGGTTGTAAAGTTGAATAATGTGGTAGAAATGATGACGATGAAGACGTATTCGATGTTGGAGTCAGTGAGGATGCATCCAGATCATACGCTGTATAACTGCGAATATCTGTTGAATATGGATGTTGGTTTTGCTGATGTTGATGATAGAATTGTGATGCATATGATGGTGCAAATTGAGCAACAGCACCATACTGTCCATCCACAGTCGAATACAATTGAGTTGCTGAGTTATTAGCACTGTTTGGATGAAAGTAAGAGCCGTAAGACGAAACTGAAACAGGTGCTGCTGAAGATACCGATGGACCATCGCAATACTGTTGTTGACAACTGCGAAAATCTGTCATCATAGTGATTCGATTTCAAGAGACTATTATACTTAATGTCGAGCTCTTCAATCTAACAGTATGTATCAAATATAAAACAAAAGTCTGTTACTGGATTTCGTAATGATGTATCGTCGTTTTCTTCTTCTTCTTCTTTTCTCTCTAGCTCTATCTTCTCGTTTCTTCTTTTTCTTCTCTCTAGTTTCCTTTTATCTGGTTGGTCAATTAAGACTCTATTTGATGGAAGGATCGAATAGCAATTAAGAAACATTTCTTTTCTTCTTGTTCTTCGTCTTTCTCTCTTTTGGTACTGATGATGCTGATGTACAAGCAAACTGATAAGAGATGAAGGCGAAGAAAAACGAGAGCACTGATGATAATACATCACAATTGAAAACGAAAACTATGTGAGAATATAGAGTTTATTTTCTACTCGATGGTTTCTGACAAAAAAAAATGTGAAAAATTCGATCTCGTACATTCTGATAGCATTGCTCGAGTGAAATACGAACGGAAAACTGATCGATCATGATGTCCGAGTAAGATAAAAACAGGTGTGTATGTTGCTTGAAGAATTACTATTAGTCATTACAGTCTGTAAAAACGATTACAGAAGAAAAGACATTTATCGATTGTCAAAAAAGATAATGGCACAATCAAAACGAGAGAAAAAGAACAATACTGCACAAATGATGATCATTCGATAAAAGACAAGAAACAAAATCAATTATATCCATGTCAAACATGTACGGATGGATACAGAGATAGATATATATAAGAAAAGAAATAAATGAATATCGACAATCGTTTGAATAGAGCAGAAAACGCGTAAAAAGATATTTTATTTGTTTTGAGAAATAGTTCGAGATGAAAGAAATGACAAAAGGTAATTACTTCGTTTTGTTCTTTTACTTTTATCTCTCTATGAGTCCGAAGCAACTCCCTCGGTGGGAAACACATCGATGATGTTGGACTTTGTTAATTGATATGTTGGAGTTCTATTCCACTGAGAATGATATGCTTACATAGGACCGATACCGATGAGTAAAGAACAAAGCAAATTAGGCTGTGATTTTCGTCTCAGGAACCGTGGGTGGTCGATATACATATATATATAAATATAAATACGTATATACACATACATGAAGAGAAGAATCTTCTTAATCTGAAATGTTAAATAAACATATGTATATGGGAAAGTATATGTCCTTGTGAAAAAAGAAAATCGCCGATGAGATTTGGGATTTCAATTAGATAACGGGAAAGCACGATATATTCTTCTAGAATTACATCTATTTACAAGTTAGCCTTGTGTGTGTGGATAATGGAGTACAAGAGATAAGATCGGATATTTTGTTTTGAAAATAGTTTTCACGGTTAAATGAAATTTCTCGTGTCTTTTTTTTTCTTTTCGTTTCGAATGCTAATGATGTATCGATCGCTGATCGATTCGGCATATTCCTTTCAGTTCGACAAAAACTGATACACGATTCGTGATGGTTAAAGAATTAAAAAGGCAAGCTCATTAGTTCCGGTAATCAATTGATCTGCATGTTGGAGAATAAGTATGAGGAAAAAGAAGAAGAACACCGACACGTTGATGCTTCTTCGATTTTCAAATTCTATTTAATGTTTCCCCAGAGGGGGTGAATGTTTGATCAAGTGATGGAGAAAATAACCTATCAATATTATGGAATGAATGCAATCGTGTCTTTTTCCTCAATGATGAACAATTCATCTTATGACAGCGTTGAATCTTTGCCGAAAGTTCCGTTAAGATGATATTCCGTGACAATAGACCTTTCAATGGTCACACCACTCATCATGCTGAACATACGAAAAGCAATGGCGTATGCCGCAAAGTCTGCTCTACTAAATCCTCGCTTTATAGCACATCCCGGAAAGTGACTTCTATTTGCTAACGTGTGTTAATGTAGTAAGACAAATGTTTGCTTTAGTTTCTTGAAGTAAGTATTTTTTGACCAGCAAATGTTCACTTATTAGAATAGTTAAGTGTGAATCAACAAGTGAACTCGAATTTACATCAAACATCGAAGTTATTTATTGTTATCATTTGAGTAGACAGAGACAACATGTAGGAAAATGTAAGAGATTAAATGATGAATGGCTCAGAAAATAATAACAACAATTAGGATAAAAATATTTTTTTCTGTTTTTTTAAACAATGTTTCAACTCTAGTTAAATAATTCACGATTTGTTGAGTTTGTCAAACAGGAAACGAATACTTAAAAGATTCTCTCTATCATGATTGCCGAAAAATACAACGTTTATGCTTGGCATGCCAAGAAACAATAAGGATAAAACACGAGACGGCACAACACTTATAAACGATAGACGAATATGTATATATGTATATGTAGTTGGCGGTTTAGATCTTATTTTTCGAAGTTTTTTTATTTAGTCAGCCAATGGAATATGTTCAATTTCATTGTCCGGCGGTCGTTGATAACCAGGATGGCCAACCAGATAGAGAATAATACCCGCAAAGATAAGAACGAAAACGCCGAAGAAACAGATTAAGTTCCGTTGGTAGTTAACTTCATCATTATTATAGATTTTATAACTAAAAACAGGCAAAATTAATAGAAACAAAAGTATTCAGCAAAGAATTCGTCTTACAAAATACTATATTCAGTAATTCCCATTAATACTGATGCAACTGCAAGCGAGAAAATAGCTTTACCCCAAAATCGATGACTAAAATAGAGCAAAAACATAACAAAAGATTGATAACTTAGTTTAACATGCCTACCTTGGCATATAAGCTTTACGAATGTCTTCACTTAGTTTCGGAAAAAGAAAACTGACAAAACCACACACCCATTGGGCTCCGAATAAAATAACTGCTGCTAAACCGACCCATGAATGTAATGAATAGAGGTTTTTCTTTGGTGGAACGGCGTAGTTATGATTATCGAAGACTGCTTTAAGACCAATGGATGCAAAAATAAACGAAAGTGCTAGTAAAGATCCATGTAAGATTTTCACGCGTATTTTCTTCACATCACGGAATACTCGATAAGATAAAATCGCTGAAATACAACATACAATACATACGCGTAATCGGATAACAAGAACTAACTTACCATCACCATAGAAGAAAATCATACCCAATGTCATAAATAAAGGATGATAATTAAATTCCTTATCGATGTCCTAATGGAAGAAAAAGCTTTCAGATCGAAGTCACATTCAAATCCGCAATTCACTTACTGTCCAACCAAATCCACCACGGTATTGACCAAAGAGTATAGCCAGGAGAATAATGGCGAGTACACCGACAATTTGAGAACTTAATACCATTAAAGAAAACCATTGTAATGTGATTCGATTTGAACCAATTTGATCAAATTTGCCTTTACCCATATTTTCTTCTTTTTTACTAGATGAGAAAAAACAATCTGCAAAAGAAAAACATCGATTTTTGGTTCTTATCGCCGACCGATCATCATCGCTTTGTCTCTCTTTTCTTCATGATAAGAATAAAAAATAGAAAGAACAACTACGTCCTACTGACATATGTTCATGTTTGTATTGACAAAGGGAAATTCCATTCGAGATTAACTAAATATGAATGAATGACAATGAAGAAATTTATGGCGTTAGATAGCTGATTGACAATTTATGGAAATAATACGAAAGACGTTGCCATCAGTACAAACAAACTAGTGAATACAAACGAAAGAAATCAATTGAAACATTAATGAGATGCATTCTGAAACGATTAGTTTATAATAAGATGTTCACATGAATACACTCGGTTTTGTTGAGAAATACACAGTCGAAAACAATTGATTTCTTACCTACACAGTCGAAAACAGTGAAAAAAACAAACACAATTTATGAATCTCTCTCACAATATACACGAGTAATTAACTTTTTTCGGCTCTTCGATAGAAAAGAGAATGGAAAAAATTGTTTATATTTTCTATACGGGTCGCGTTCAACAACACAGTTCGTAGAGTTTCATTTACAAAAATTGATTGGTTGATTGCACAGCCAATTGAAATGAGCATCCATGTCGAAAGAATCATTAGATTGTTTTGAATCGAAGAGAACCTATAGTTCTCCCGTCTATTTCCTACTTTTCGATTTATCTTCTTCCTTCAGATTTTATAACTTGCGATAAATCATGCCTCCTAAACAACAGCAACCAAGTAAAAAGACGGTTGACAAAGCAAAAGCAAAAATCGTTGAGGTAAACGAATTTTTCGACGAATACACAATAAACAAAATGATGTAACTTGGAACTTTTTAGGATAAAACATTTGGTTTGAAGAACAAAAAAGGTAATAAAAATCAGAAATATATCGCACAAGTACAAAATCAAGTGCAGAATGCTGGCAAATCAGCCCGAGAAGTTAGTTGCATTATAGTGTCATCGTAGAGCTTGCGGAGATAATCGATGGTTTATCTTAGATTGCAAAAATGCAAGAAGAAAAAGAAAAACGAAAAGAAGATAAGAAAAAAGCTGAAGCTGAAATACAATCACTGTTCAAACCAGTTATCGTTCAACAAACTTTAGCTGCTGGTAAGTGTCGTTTGACTTCTACCAGAAAAAAAAACAATTCTCTGTTTTCAGGAGCCGATCCCAAATCGGTTTTATGTATGTACTTCAAACAAGGATCATGTACGAAAGGCGCAAAATGTAAATTTTCACATGATCTCGCTGTTGAACGTAAAGCTGAGAAACGTAGTTTGTATGACGATGTGCGCGAAGGCGGAAATAAAGAAAATGGTATGTAGGAAGTCGAATAACGAACTAGAAATAAAGTGATCTGATCGATATTTAGAAACAATGGCAAACTGGGATGAAGCACAATTAGCTGACGTTGTCGAAAAAAGACACGGTGAAGATAATCGTAAGAAGAATGCTACTCAAATTGTGAGTCGTATTAATTAAGAGAAATCCTCAGAACATAATCGATAATTCTGCTAGGTTTGCAAATATTTCCTTGAAGCTGTCGAAAACAGCACTTATGGATGGTTTTGGACTTGTCGTAAGTTATTCATTCATCTTAAAGACAGCAGACATGTATATTCATTGTTTTTTCTTAGAAAACGGTACAGCATGTCAATATAAACACGCTCTACCACCGGGTTAGTGCCTTCTAAAATCCCACCCAGATGTTCTTTATTCAGTGATTTGTAGGCTTCATGTTGAAACGCGATCGAAAACTATTGGAAGAACAAAAAGAAACAATTTCACTGGAAGATCTTATTGAAAGTGAACGTGCATCGTTAGGTTCAAATGTGACGAAAGTGACTCTCGAATCATTTCTTGCATGGAAAAAACGAAAAATCGAAGAAAAGAAACAACAATTAGTCAAAGACGAAGAAAAAAAACGAAATGAGTTTGTTAAACACGGTCGTCTAGTCGGTCTATCCGGTCGTGAAATGTTCACATTTAATCCTGATCTAATCGCTAATGATGATGAAGATGCAGACAATGATATTGATTATCGACATCGATCAGATGATGAAGAAGAAGAAGAACAGCCAGCAGATGATGCAACTGCACAAGGAGCTGTATGAAAATCTTTACAATGTTCAACGTGACTTGTATCTTTTCTTTCAGGCATCGGTTGTACGAAAAGCAGCTATTCGCGATTTGAATGATATTGATTTACTAGCACAAGAAGCTCGAGAAGTAGACAATACAGGCACGATAGCAAGCGAAGATCGATTTGAGAACTATCGACGAATTGAACAAGAAAAACAAGCAAGACGAAAGGCAGCTGCTGAACAAGGTTTGTGTAAAAACATTCGCATTGTGCTATGTAACAAAAAAACGGATTTTATTTAAGCTGCCTTTGCTGAAGGAGCAAGTGAATTTAATGAAGCAACTGGGGGTGGTGCTGCCGCTGCCGCCGCCGTTTCAACTTGTGATGACATAGTCGTAACAGTTAACAATGATGATGACAATGATGACGATGAAGGCAACGAAGAAGTACAAATCGATGAAGATTTATTCGGCGATGATCTTGACGATGTTGAAGAGCAATTACGTGAAACAAATTTAGAATCATAACAAATTTGTACAAATACTATTGCTCATGTCTTGATCTTTGCCTTCAGTCTTTGACGTACTCAATGTTTGGGATATTTATTTTTTTCTTGTCATTATTCCATCATAGTTTTAAAAGACTGAATGTGCTCAGGATCTTTTGGATGCTAATAAACCTAAACAACAACAACAAAAAAAAGCAGCAACTAACATTCGAGTTTTTTTTTGAATACCTACTGATTGTTTTGTTTGTCTAATTTTCAGATTTGCCGAACAAATGCGAGTGCGTCGGTGTTTATTGCGAAGACCTTGTTCCTTCGCTAAATTGAAGAATATACGTCTCTGTCGACGATTATCATTAATTTATCAAATATTCTACTATAACAATGACAATTCAATCGATCTTCGTATTGACACAGTTCTTCAGCCGTTATTTTTCATGACTGATCGTCTGGCGAAATATCTTGGTAGATTATTCATTTGTTTCTTTCTGATTATTATGTCAGTTGTTATCTACATATTTTACACCTCCATATTTGTCCATCTATACGATGCTATTCACAATGAGCACAACTATTTCACGTTTCTCAGTCACATCATTGTCTCGCACTGGCTGCTCATGAATATCATGTTCAATTATATTCAGTGTACACGAGTTGATCCAGGCTCTTCGCCAAACTTCGGCTATGTCAAACCATATGATTTTGACAAAGCTAATCGTGATCTAATGAAAAAGCACGATGCAATTATCGATAGCAATAACAACAACAGATCAAAAGAAGTAACTATTGTGAATATTTCAAATGATGGTAAGTTATCTGCTAATACGACCTACTTTCGAAATATGATCGTGCTTTTCTTTTCTTTAGATACTGATTATACTCAATTGATGACTAATACTCCTCTCAATTCTTTGAATTCGATTATCAATACCAAAATTAACTGTCAAAATGTTTGCCGAAAATGCATATTTCCTAAGCCTACACGTGCTCATCATTGTTCCATATGTGCACGTTGCATATTAAATCAAGATCACCATTGCCCATGGATCAATAATTGTGTTGGCCATTTGAATCATCGTTATTTTTTTCAATTTTGCTTTTTCTTAACACTTGGTTCATTCTATGCGGCAAGCTTGGGTTTTACTGAATTTCAACATTTTCTCTTCGGCCGCAAGGTTTTCTCCTATTTGGATCTACTTTTCGGTCGGCATATGAACGAAGTGGAAGTTTTACCGTCTGTGACCAATGCATCGATGTATTATACATTTTTATTCTTATTTATTGTTGCCATCACAGCTGGATTGGTTTTATTCGGTTTCACTCTGTGGCATTTCTGGTTAATATCACGTGCTGAGACAACGATCGATTTCCATACCAATGCAACAGAACGAAAACGGTTAAAAGAGCTCAATCAAAAATTTGTCAATCCATATGACTTAGGCTTTGTTTTGAATTGGAAAATGTTCCTGGGATTTAATCGATGGTACGAAATTTTGTACAAAAACCTGTTGCCATCCACGCACCGACCATTCTGTGATGGAATCAATTGGCCACGAAGAAAACTACCGGACATTTTAGAAGAAAAGCCAATACTCGGCATCCTGAATGTTTGAAAATGAATCATTCGTGCCTGTGATCACTGTTCTACAAACAAGAATAGGGTGTATACATAGTTACACATGTTTTGATTTTACGATTGTTCTTCCATGACTTCTTTTGTACTGTCAGAAAGTAGTGTGTATTTTCCAATTCAATTTATTTTCTATCCTTTCAAACGAGTTAAGATCAAAAATAAAGAATGAATATTCGGAATATACATCACGCAATCTGATATGGAGAAGATTCGAAAGATGACAACGTGAGAAATCACCACATCTCTCTACTAGATTTTATTTGTGAATACTTAAAAAACCGTGTTTGTCTGTATGAAAGCGAAAAAGAAAACTGAAGCAGAAAATGAAAGAAATAGAGCGGATTACATCTTCAAAGCTCACAATAATAATAATAATAATAATAACAACAAACAAATACAGTTACTACTATATATTTTGTAAACACGACTGATGGATGGATTCGTGCACGCGCAAAATGAGAAAAAAAAAACATCACTCTATATATTGATCAGTCAAACTACTAAAACAAACGCTAAAGAAAAGGAAAGAAAAACTGAAAAAGATTCTCTGAAATAATATCTGACGTTGGAAACAACGAAAAAAGACAAGATAATCACTATGACTTAGGTTAATTGTTTGTTTGATCGTTAACAATGCAAACAAAAAGCGAAACAGAAGAAGAAAACATGATTCAGAATACTGATGATGCGAGAACGACATCCGAAAAGAAAACATCAAGAAAAAGGAGGAAATTCACTGATATAGAAAGAGATGAAAATGAAAGATACTTAGTTTGCTTCTACCATTCGGAACTATTTGCGGCAAAGTATTATAAAAAATAACTTGGAAACGTCTGCTTTGCAAAAAGACCGAAATCTATCTGACAATTGACTTGCTTATAAATTACTACCGGACCAGCCATTAGCCATAGCTGGCCAAAGCGATGCAGGACTACCGGATGGTGAATTACTACCAATTGGACCGAATATGGTCGGCATTGATGTTGTGAGATTTTCATCAAGACCAAATGTTTGAATACATTGTGTACGAATCATTTTTTCGTATGGAGTTGCAACATGTCTGTTATTGTCGTCACCGGCGGCTTGGCAGTATTTGATTGTATGAGCTATTTGAATTAAATGTGAGTGTTTTATGTGAAGAATTTGAACGAGAAAAATTACCTTGTGCGCCTGTTGCGCCACAGATTGGACATTGATAGGCACGTAAAATAGGACAGGTAACGTTACCAACGGAATCTTTCAACGAATGACTTGTATAAATCAATTCATTTTCGCCATTATTACGACAGAAAACACAAACCTAGAAAGATTGACAATCGAATATTTGTGCGCGAATGAAAACTGTTTACTTCTTTTTTCATTCCACATCGTCGTTTCCATCTAGCTTCTCGAATAAGATGCTTAATTATTTCAATATCGATTTTTTCGGAACGCAATGGTCGATTATTATTATTTGAATTAGCGGCAAGAATTTGTTGAGCTGCAGTACTTAAAGTAATATTGGCATTGAAAGCAGCCATTTGTTGTTGTTGTTGTTGTTGTTGCTGCTGCTGCTGCTGCTGGTTTTGACGAAACATTGCTGTCATTTCTGCTAAAAGCCAAGCATCACTGGATTGAAATTGACTCATCATCGCTTGTGACGATTGCTGTTGTTGTTGCTGTTGCAACGGTTGAGGATGAGAAAGTGAAGGCATGCCGATAGGAAGTAAAGAACGATGTTGTTGCGGTGGTTGTTGTTGGCCGGAAGATTGAGGCAGTGTAGGTGGAAGGGGGGGTGGTATTGATTGTTGTTGCCACAATGGACGTTGACTTTGTTGAGATAATGGCAATAGTTGTTGCGCCTGATGTGTAACTGGCGATTGTGGATGAAAGACCGATGCATGGCCAAATGGGCTGTTCGCTGATGTCGGATTACTATTCGGTTGAAAATGGGGAGTCGTTGGGTTCATACGTTGCGAGAATAACGAGTTGTTCAGATGAGGCGGTGGAGGTGGTTGAAGTGGCGACGATTGTTGAAGAGGTTTAAAATTGAGCTGAGGTGTTGAAGGTGCATATGAATTACTGTTGATACGTGGACGAGATAGGGAGGCAAGCGAAAGTGTATCCTCATTGGTTGTGCCATTGGAGCTCATCAGTGCTGACCATGCCGACGCCGTTGTTGATGTACAAGATGTTGGCAGATTCGCTGGTAAGCCGTCAACCAGATGATCAATGTACGAATACAAATTGTTTGATTCTAAATGAAAATATGCTTTTTTCAAATTTTTGATGTAAAGAAAAAGACGAACCATTCGGCATTTCAGAGAGTGGAACTGTCGAACTTGATTGATGTCTTGTAGACGCAGCTGGTGAACTAACAGATTGACCTGCTGGCATTGATAGATCCAGTGCTATGAAATAAAGGAATATGTATCAATTGAAATGATTGTTTATATTCGAGAGAATACGTACTAGTCGACGACGTAAACGCTGAATCAGAGAGGCGACGATGGCCAGTTAAGAATCGATCAAAACTTGTCGGAGTCAAAAGGCTTGCCGTTGTTGCTGTTGCTGTTTTTGGTGTTGCATCCGTAGCTGAAGCAGCACGTGAAAATAGGGTACCATTGATTCGAATTTCATTTGCTGTCGTTCCCAACGACCAATTCGTACTGGTAAGATCGGCACTTCTTGGTGGTGTCAACGGCAAAGTTGTACTACCAAGTGTCATGGTTTGGAACGCACTTGTTGCACTTGTTATCGAATCTAGCAAACAACGTGGTACTAATGGTGTCGGTGGAGGTGTTGCTTCAACAGGCATCATCTTAATCGGGGGTGGTTTGAATGCACCTTTGTTTTATTGAAGAAAGACTGACAAATTAGTTCGCTCGAAGATCTCCAAAGGAAAATGCTTACCTAAGCCCATTCCACTGATTTCATCGATAGATGTTGGAGGAAGCATTGCATTACTCGTTGGCACAGTCGCCAAATTCTTCTCTTCTTCTCCAACATTATCCTCTTCGGGATAGAACAAATCATCATCTTGTTCTAAATCTTCATCAATGGTACTAGATAATGGTGAATATTGGTCAATTAAATCAGATTCGTCATTAATTGAATAACCGCGACCGAGAATTGATTCCATTTTAGTATTGTTTTATTTTATTTGATTCAAATTGTTTTCGATTGTGATTAAATGCACGAAGATAATACCAAAGATAAAGAATATTGCGATTACAAATACACACACATACACTCTCTTTCTTTCTAAAAATACACGGGAAAGAATTGCGAGATTTTCGCCAGGCATTCACTTCCAAACAAAGGACATCGATTTCGATTCTTCTTCTTTCTTGTTTAGTCATGTGACAAGATATCTGTCGAAGACATACGTATGGCGAAAGGGTGGATAGGGAGAGAGAGAGTGTGTATGTGTGTGCGCGAAGAGTTTTCGTTTCTCGCTTTACTAGACGAACATACGCGACGAAAAGGACGAGAAAAGCATTTTTGGAATGTACCTCGAATGAGATATATACAGATGAGTGTGCAGATATTTTCACAGGAAAAGAAAAATTTCCAAGCGAGATTCATCGTTTATACCCTGGATATCCGCGAAGATATAGGGTATATTTCGCATGAAGAATTTAATCACAATAAAGAAAAGAAAATCGTCTTGAGATACTTTATTTTGAACAGATGATTATAAAAATTGAAAGCGACTTCATAAATATCAGAATATTTATAGTACTTTTGTTGATATCTTGTTTTGTACGTTAACAATCACAATTTCATGTTTGACAAAAGCATCAAATTTTGCTTTTCTAACTAACTAACTGACATTAGAAAGTGCGTCGTCAGTTCATATTTTATCGGCCAAGATAATCTCTTAATTACACATAATATTCTAAGTTTCTATTCGATCAACCTCGTGTATATCATCAGCTATTTCATCATACTATCGACACGTTTATCCGTAGATCATAGTTGCCAGCAAGATGGTAAAATCGAAGTAGTAATTAAGAATCTCGTATGGTTTTGAAAGTGTTTTAGTTAGATTGATGAGTTGACTGTTTTCTTCTACTCATACCATATGTGTTCGAAGAAAATGAAAGTAATCTTTTCTGATCGACAAGATGTGAACTTTGCTAAAGTGCTAATCGACATAGACATGCTCTTTACCATCGAACAAGTTTATTTTCCTAACAATTCCTGTATATACAGAAGAAGAAGAAAACTTTCTGATACTCTTCTGCGAGTAATTTAATAATGACCGATTTGTATACATATTGATTATTTCTTTTAAAAAACCTTTTCGTATTCTTTGTCTGCTATGTGTAACTGATCCATTCTCGCAAGAACTAATTATCTCATTTGTTTGTTTGACTAGAAAGAAAACGAACAGCTCATTTTGTCCTTCGACATAGAAACTTGCGAGAATTTCAAAGACAGAAAAAAAAACATCTTTTTTCTGTCGTATGGAATTGTAATAGTTCATCTCGCAGATTCATACTCCTTTCTATTGAACAGACAAGAACAACAACAACAACAACAACAGAGGGAAGTTCATCATTGAACAAACTATGCAAATAACGAACGATACAGATAAGAGATATCATCTTGGCATGTCTTAATTTTATGCAGCATCAACTTTTTATTTGCTTGTTGTTTTGAGAAACAAAAAAGGATGAGTTTGTTATTTCTTCCATCTAACTGATCTTTGCCGCGTTAAAGCGCGACTAGGAGAAGAGATTTCTTCATGTATCCATTTGGGAATTGTTCGAAAACAACAATCGATATACGTTCTTTTCAATTCAGCTTTCAGATTGGAGTCAAAGCAAAGATAATAAACGTATTGACCATTAGAGTACAGAAGGTGGAGATTTCAATTGACTAGAGAAGTTCGAGTCTATTTAGCTCGTTTTGTGTTGATCGATGAAGACAAATCATCTAGATGCCTGCCTTTTGAGAAGGACAAGATAGGAAGAAGAGCGAGAGAGAATTTTCATCTCTTTGTATAATAAACGAGCCGTTGACATACGTGCGTGCGCACAAGTTATCAACAACAATCATTCTAATTGCCCTTTGCTCGTGCAAAACTCGTCTAAGAAATACAATNGCAACAGAACAGCATTGTTTGCACGTTTGCTTCTTGAAAGAAAACAAAACATATGAACGAACAGAGAAGTAACAAGCAGACATGCTGAGGATGCCGTCGTTTGTCTGATGATATTTGAAGGTTGATACGCTCCAGAAGATGTATGCATGTATGTATATATCAAAATGAACAAGACAAGACACTTGGAGCGTAGCGGGTGATTTATCGAATTCATGAGGTTACTTATCAAAAGGTTCGACAGTAATGAATATAAAAGTCAATCCATTCTTACAACTAGACGAAAATAGAAATGATTAATCATATCAATATAAATTACTCTGAAAACTTGTAAGACCCGAATTTTGTTGTCCTTTTCCTGTTTCGAAGCATACATATATAATAAGAACGCTTAGAGATTAAGTACAAGCATTATTAAAGTATTCGTGTATAAATAATGAATAAAAAGTGATCCGGTGGTTTTGTTTTTCGGTGTTCTCTTATATCCAATATGATAATCGTTACAGTATTGTCAGTACTGGATTACCTCTGATGACACGAACGTGCTTATATAGACATTCATTATTGCAAGAAAAAACATGTAAAAAAGAATAAATACCATAGTTAAGTTGAATATCATGCATTAAATATGCGAGCGATCGTCGTTTTCTTCTAAGCTGACCTTAAATAAAAGCAAATCTTTTTCACTTTTGGCAAAAGAATCACAGTAGATTTTACAATTCAAGGTGTGCCGTACCAGAGAAGAAAAGGGTGTGCTCATAGTCATACATTGAAATGCAATAGTTTGTTTTTTCTCTCATTTGATACATATTTGACTGTTTTTCAGATGACTACAGTTGCCTTCGATAATACAACTGATCTGCCTTTGAGTGTGTTCACTTTGAACCTGACTTTCACTACAATCGAAGCGCTTACCAATGGAAATACGACAACAGTTGCTGCTATTGCGGATGCTGGTGGATCAGTACCGATATGGATTGGTTTTATCGGATGTTTGGTTGCATCGATCTTTTTCGGATCAAATTTCGTTCCAGTAAAACAATTCTCGGCAGGTGACGGATTTTTCTTTCAGTTTGTGTTCTGCGTTGCAGTCTATATGGTTGGCTTGATCGTTGATCTTGTTATAAAAAATGAACATTGGTATCCATTAGTACTGATTGGAGGTATACGACATGCCTTTTCATTGTACTCAACATCGATTATCGCATTGTAAATTTTTTTAGGTGCCCTATGGACGACGGGAAATCTAGTGACGGTATTCTGTATAAAAACGTGTGGTTTGACTGTTGGCTTACTTATTTGGGGAACAACAAGTTTGATTGTCGGTTGGGCAGGAGGGCGGTTCGGTTTAATGAATATAAAACCACAAGTTCCACCAACGACGCCAAAGTTAATTATGAATTATGCATCAGTTGTCTTAGCTGCAATCAGTGCAATCTTTTTCGTATTTATCAAATCAACCAATGCACCACGCAATGCTCCGCGTATCGAAATGATCAATGGCGATCGAGCGTCTGTGGATATCGTCAAAGAAGACAACATGCCGGTTGCAACTGAAGAAATTCTCGATACTGATTTTCCATTCTTGAACAAAATCAGTGATCCTATTCAGAAAGTTATAGGATGCTCTCTCGCAGCATTATCCGGTGTATTCTATGGTATAATGTTTATTCCAGACCAATATATTCGTGATCATCCAGACAAATTCATCTATAAAAATGAACGACCACCTAACAATGGCCTTTACTATATAAGCTCACAGTATGCTGGTATCCTTTTCTCTTCGACAATCTATTTTGTAATCTATGCCGTATTAAAACGCAACCGGCCATCGATTAATGCTTCGATAGTTTTGCCAGCGATGATCAGCGGCCTTATGTGGGCGATAGCAAATATTGGATTTATCGTTGCTATAAGTTCGTTGAAAAGTGCAGTGGCTTATCCAATTGTTAGTGTTCTACCGGGTATTGTGACAAGTTTATGGTCATTGTTTTGGTTTCGAGAGATCCAAGGGAAAAGAAATTTCATCTTTCTTGGTATTGGTATGATTGTGCGTTGTGTTGCTGCGCTTCTGAGTGGCCTTTCGGCTTGACGATCGCAAATACGCAAGTATAGATTTTGTTTGTGGGACAAAAATACGTCTTCCTTTTCTCTTTTTATTTATTTATATATAGTTTTTTAAAAGAATAAAAGTAAACAGTAAACATCACGGTGAATTTACTTCGTGAGTAGATTTTGTTAAATGATCAGGCTTTGTTCTATATTAAAGACAGAAAATGTATCTAGATTAAAATCGAAAGTTGAGTTTAATCAATTAAGCAGATGTTGTCGACTCATTTGTGTTTTCCTTGTTTATTTTACTCTCGTCATTCATTTCATGTCCATTCGACTAAATAGAGATGAATTGAATAGAGAACATATTAGCTAGGAAATGGAGCTATACTTTTCCCGAGTCTTTTGACATTTTTGAAAAGATTTTTGCATATAATTGCTTTTCTTGTTGTTGATAAGCTTTGAGATGCTCACGGCATGTTTGAATATGTTGAGTTGCGGCGCTGTTCGATGCGTTCAGTTTCAAAACTTGCTGAAAATCTTTTATTGCTTCTTCGTACCGATTCATCGCCATTTGACTTTGTGCACGACGGAAAAGACATTTTTCGTTTTTAGGATCTAATTCCAATGCAGCATCGCATGCTCGAATGCACTCAGCATGTTGACCCAACTTCAAATGACACAGTCCCAAGTTTGAATTGGCAGTTAATTTCAACTCATCGGCTTTCTTTTTGTCACTGTCGCTTTCGTAGTTTTCTGATTTGAGATATTCAGTGATGGCTTTGTACTTCTTACCGGCAACATAGTGATGACCATCCTAGGAAAAGATTCTAGATTGGTTCTGAAATAGAATATGAAAGAATTTACTTTGAATAATTCACCGGCACGTTTTTTCAATTTTTCAGACTGCTCGATTTTATCGGCATCGCTCATTGAATATTTGTCGACACCCTAAAATAATGATCAAACTGCTTTCTTCGATCTGATTGAACATTTTTTGAAACAAACTTTTTCAAAATCGTGCAATGTCACAATGTATTCCACGTGTGCGTTTTTCGGAATGTTAAATTTCTCCAAACCGAATGTAGCTTTGGATTTCAATTTCAATTGACAGTGTTCACCTTTAGTCATGCGTGTGATGGCATGTTCAACACTACAAAACATCTTCTATGAACATACACTGGCGTAGATTTTCTAAAAACAACGAACCCTTCAGGAATGTTTTCCAGGTAACCCTCGCCAATTGTGAATTTAACTTTTCGATCATCGAAAACACGATTTTCATGAGTACCTTTCAGGGATACTTCCACGCGACTATCATCACTTGGTTTTGCCCATCCTTCTCCTCGCTTATATATTCGTCGAAGAACACTTTGGTCTTTTCCTTCACTAATATCATCACCTAAATAGAACAAGAAAGAATCGGTTTTTCTATATGACGCTTTTTCGAAAAAGTCTTACCAATGAAATCAAAGAGTTCAACTTCGAAAATTAATGTAGCATTGGGTCCAATCTTGTCTCCGGAACCGGTTTCACCATAAGCATATTCGGGTTTACATACTAATCGGCAGATTTCTCCGCGTTTCATAGTGGCTACACCGATATCCCATGCTTTAATCACTGCACCTTTACCAATTTCGAATTCAAATTTTTGATTTCGATCTCGACTGCTGTCAAATTTCGTTCCATCTAATAAAGTACCAACATAATGCACAAAGACTTTATCGTTTGGCAACGGATGTTCATCGCCAGAACCTTCTTTGATAATTTCTTTCAAAATACCTGAATAAATAAAAATGAGTCTAATTAATTAACACACATAACAAAGAAGATCATTTCTAACCTCCATCTTTTGATGGGGAGATGTCTTCGCCTTTAAATTCACCGTCGGTTGCCATTTGTAATCAGTCGGTAGATTATGGTAAAGTGAAGATGAAAAGAAAAATCCTATTCACACAAATACATCTAGAATGTTCCATTAGATGTCGCTAGATGCACATATTTTACATTTGAATTTCTTTTTCAACATTTTTACAAATGAAGATGATTATTTTATTTTGTATTTTCAAAAACAAATTTCGTCTTTTGACCATTTTCGAATCAGCTGAGATCGTCTTCGTTGCCAAAGAAATGAATACATCTATGGTAGCCTTCTTGTTTTAGTTTTACTTCTGCATATCGATATCGTATCGTATCTACTTAGAAAACTCGAACATGGTAACTCAATACTTTGAACATAGACTCGAACTAGGAAATTATTCTGAGCAACCTCATTTTCAATTGATGGAATGGCATCCATCGTTGAACATTCTTGCTGTAGCTTCAATTAACGCCGGAACAAATATATTCTTCTATGGAGAAGATGTAAGTCAGAGAATGTTCGACTCAAATCGTACTGATTGACAATTTCTGCTTTAATTTCGAATAGGGTGAACATGATGAGGCAGCGCGTGTGCAGCATACAAGTAATGCTTATTGTATGGGATGGCATCCTGTCAAGAAAACACTAGCAATTGGTTTTGCGAGTATGAACGAATAGATCGATTGAAAATCATTGTTTTCTTTCACTAACGTCCACTAGATGGTGAACTGATGATCTGGAATGGATCGAATCGTCGGCTGGAAAGTGTGATTGTGCACAAGAGTTGTATTACATCGCTGACATTTAATACCGAGGGTACTCAATTATTGTCCACTGATCAGGCATGTCAAAGAGGAAATGAATCAAAACTTGATTTCTGACCGAAGTTTGCATATGATTTTTTAGGAAGGTATGATCGTCGTCTGGAAAGCTGATTCTCTTGCACAGGTATCTCAACAAAGTGTCATGTTACAAGTGAACACACCTGGTGAAGCTATTACTTACGTATTATGCAAATCAACACCAATCGGTCGATCTGATCAGTATGTAAAATAGAAAGTCACGCCTATTCCAAGAAGTATATTGTTTCATAGGGATTATCGAGATCTGGCACGAGCAGCAGTCGAAGGTGATCAGGCCGCATTGGACATGCTGGCGATGAAAACAAGTCGAGGACATTCGTATGAACCAACGATGTTCTTTGTTGGCACAGATAAAGGCACTGTTTACACTGTTACGGATCGATTGCAGAAAGCTTGTTCAGCCGATGATGGTATTGCACGTTTATTACATTCGTATGATCATAACATTCTTATTGTTATTACTGTAACAAACATGATGACACAATATAATATTCAACAGATTCAGACGCAATCTGACGTTTTAATTCCTACACATTCAGTAAGAAAACGAAGCATATTTGCGGAGTTGATCATAACCGAACAAATGACTTTTTCTTATAGGGGAAATTATCTGGTCGTCCAATGGATTCTGATTTTACGTTAATCGGTACAAATTTATTCGCATATGTCACTGGTGAATCAACAATACGAATGATCGATTTAAATTCATCCGATAATATTTTACTGAAACTCAGTCCAGCAATGGGTTTCGCTAACAATGAAGTTCTCATCTGTTTATCCTATAGTGCTGCAAAAGGTGAATCATCAAAAAGATTGTTGGAAGATGATAAATAAGTGGCAATTTTTTTCTACTAGGCATTATTGCTGCTGGTACAAGTAAAGGAAATATTGCCTTTTGGGTCTACACTCCAAGTCGCCGCGCAATAGATATGGAAAAACAATGGAACCTCCAGCGAGTTAAACATATATGCAATGGGTTACCTATTCGCAAAGTGAAAGTAAGACGACATCCACATAAACATTGGTTTCAATGTTGTTGTTTAGTATTGTCCACAACGAAACTGTCTTGCGGCAAATTTAAATTCGCAACTATATATGCTGACTAATGAAGATATGTCAGCAGCTTATCGGGATAACGTAAGCTAGATCAAACTGATAAGATCATTGTCTATTCCTGATTTACCTAGTTGGCTGTTGTGCAATTGAGTCCTACTGTGGTTCATATCGCATTCTTTCGATATAGTATCGTCAAAGAAGAAGAACTGGATATGCCGTTTAAAAATCTATGCGTTTCAAAAGTAAAATATTTCCTGTCTGTGTGATACGAAAAGTGAGGATTTATAAACGTTTAGAATCATATTGCTGTGTGGAATAAGAAACAACTTCGTGTTTATGAACTCATCTATGACGCGTCGAAATCGGAAGAAGAGAAAGTTGTTCGTAATAATAAAGGCATAGTCTCGTGCTCACCATCGAATGTTGTCTTGTACGATCAGTTACTCTTCGTGCTTGAGAATGGTCGTGTTAATGCTATGTCGTTTCAAGTAAGACTCCTATGAATTCGATTGATAGGAAGAATCGTTGTTTATTTTAATCAAAAGGGTACATCTCGGCAGTCGTTGGCATTTGGACAAAATGAAGGCGAAGTAACAATAATGAATTCCAATGCATCTTTTCTTGTCATCGGATCGAATAAAGGCTACGTAAAAGTATTTGATATATCTCGTCGGTAAGTGGGAAAGAATGAGATATCATTTTCCATTCATTATTTTCATTTCTTATCCTAGCGAATTACAACAACTTGGTAAAACATTGAATATTAATTCGCATACACCATCTGTTGACTCGATAAGAGAATTGGCAATTAATTGTGTGGGAACAAAAGTTACGGTTTTGACAGCACAGGTAAGATTGGCAACTTTGTTAAAACTTGTCCTACTACGGTTTTCGTAGACGAATCTTCAACCGAGCAGCCGTGTTTATGTCTGGGACGTGGAAAAAGATATCGTGAATAATTTTGATTTTAGTTCAGAGAAATTAACAGGAAGTGAATACGGATTGATTCGACGAAAGGATGCCACATCACAAACTGCCCCACAATATCGTCGTTATCCGTCAAATATTCAATGGGATTCTGAAGATGCTCGATTGATGGCCTTGGAGATCTATTTACATCAACAGAAATTTGATTTAAGTGCATCGTTAACTACGGATGATCTTCTTTTGACAAGTAGAGGTGTGGGTGATGGCGAATCGACAATGATTGATGGTCATCCGGCTGCTTCTCGTGAAGTCATGTCAGTTAATAATGAAGATTCGGTACATATAGATATTTCCTTTGAAATGTTCATTCATCTGACAATTATGCATTTTGCTTGTAGGCAGAATCACTGATTGTCAGTATGTTCTGTACACCGGACAATCAAATTTTACCCAAAGAGGTCTTTCTTCGCAACGCATCTTATCGTCAATTGATAGCAATTAAAATTCCATTCTATTTCTTCGTCACTCGAGTAATATAAATTCATTTTCATCGTCATATTTGACAAGCTTTTCGCTGCTCTCTCATTAGGATAAAAATGTTGAATTAAATGTGCATGCAGTAAAACCCAATAAAACGTTGAACGAATCCAAAGTTGATCTACCAGAGGTGGCCGACGAAAACACAGCTATTAAGAGTTCTCGTATTCGTATTCAGTTGCCTAAACTTGATGCAATCGATGCAACTGGTCTGTTTCCTCAAACAAACAATCATGAAAATCATTCGAATGGATTCTTTACCGATGCTGAACTTGGTGGTAGGAAAAATATTGATAGCTGTGATATTCATTCGGCTTGTTTTCGTTTTCTCAGAAAGCATCGTCTATTCCGACTATCTAACTGGAAAAACAATGGGTGATTTCGTCGGTATTAACGGTCTGGAGAAGAATATTATTGATGCAATCATGAATTTCGGTTACAATTTAACGTTAGGGGATCTCGATGCTGCGTTCAAAGCAATTAAAATTATTAAAAAGTGAGATCAATCCTTCTGTTGCGATAAAAACATACGCGAGAATTGATTATTTGTAGAGAAAGTGTCTGGGAAAATCTGGCCCGCATGTGTGTTTTAACTCGACGGGCGGATGTTGCGAAAATTTGCCTTGGAAAAATGGGTCTATTTCGAGGTGCCCGAGCTTTACGCAATGCTGATCAAGACAATCCCGACACCAAAGTAGCGATCTTAGCCATACACTTGAATATGAAGGTACGTTTGATGGGCTCGTTGTGAGATAATAAAACTCGTTTTGGCTTTCATTTTAAAAAGGAAGAAGCAGAAAAAATTCTCCTTCAATCAAAGCAGTATGATCTTCTCAATCAACTGTATCAATCGACCAATGAATGGGAAAAAGCCATCGATACAGCGACACGACATGATCGAATACATTTACGAAATACATATTACAATTATGCGAAATATTTCGAAGAAAACAATCAATTGGACAAAGCTATTGAATAGTAAATACTTGATATCTGATTGTTGAATGTACTAGGAGTTTTTTTGTCAAACAATAGTTATGAAAAATCTGGTACACAAACAACAGAGGTACGGCGAATGTTCCTCGATCGACGAGATATGGCAGGATACAAAGCCTATACAGCGAACAAAAACGATCCGTAAGTGTTATACGAGTAGAATTGTTTGTCTACATTGTGTTGGGTTTTAGGAAGTTATTTCGTTGGTGGGGACGATATTTTGAAAGTCGAGGAAAAATTGAAGATGCCTTGGGATGTTATCGTAAAGCAGATGATAATTTATCTCTTTGTCGATTACTCTGTGAACAAGATCAACCAACTAAAGTATAAAATACGTCGATCATTGATATTTCTCATCTAAACTGATTTGCTTTTAGGCTATTGAATTATGTTCAGATACTGGAAATAAAGCAGCCTGTTATCATATGGCACGATATTTCGAGAAGAAAGGCGATTTTAAACAAGCGATTGCTTATTTTCAACAAGCATCTGCAATAAGCAATGCCATGCGACTCTGTCGAGTACGGTTTTTAATGCTCAAAGTCAACAGTTATATTCGCAATTCTTTTAGGATAATCATTTGGATGAATATATGGCTAATATTGCTGCACAAGGTACACCTGATGACATGCTCGAAGCTGCACGATACTTTCAAACGTTACCTATGCAAGAGGATCGTGCCATTCTACTCTATCACAAAGTAGATTGATTTCAAATCGCAAGCAAAATCATTGATATCGGATTTGATTTAGGCTGGGTTAACTTCGAAAGCAATCGATTTGGCGTTTAGACACGAACGATATTCAGCATTAGCACAGATTGCTGATAGGTTTGTGTGCAGCAAGAAATTGCTTTCATTCAGTATTTTTTGTATTAATTTAGTGTTGGGAAGAATGCTGATCCAACTCAAGTTACGCGAATGGCAGATTATTTTATGCAATTGAAACAATTTGACAAAGCCGTTGACCTGCTCGCTGCCATCGATCGAGTGAGTTTCTACCGAAGTTTTCTATAATTATATTTTCACATTGATTGTTATAGGTTGATGAAGCAGCAGACCTAGCTATTCGAAATGAAATACCATTAACAGAAGAATTATTGGAACGATTGAGTCCAGCTAAACGTAAAATCTTTTCTCTTTACTCAAAGATCTCTTATATATATACCGCATCTCTTTCAGCTACAAACGAAGAAGACATGCCGAGATACCAAGCTATTTGCGAAAAACTAGGTGATCTAGCCGTTAGTCAAGGAGCGTATGCTGGTGCAGCTAAGAAATATCTTGATGCTGGCAATAAAATAAAAGTAATTTATTCTTGTTCGATTGATCACATCGTATCAATCGTTTCTTTGCTTTTTCAGTCAATGCGTGCGTTGATTCATGCAGGCGATGTAGAGCGTATAAGTACATTTGCTAATGTTGCACGTAATCGTGAAGTTTATCTACTTGCTGCTGATTATTTGAAAACGTTGGATTGGAAGAAGCATCCTGATGCATTACAAAATATCATGAACTTTTATAAACGTGCAAAAGCATACGAGAAACTCGCACAGTTTTACGATATGTGCGCTCAAGTACGATACTCATTTACGAGAATTATAGAAGAAGTACAATAATGTTGTTTTTATTAGATCGAAATCGAAGAATATCGAGATTATTCCAAAGCCCTAGGTACAAAAACAAACTTTGAGCACATTAATTCTGTGCAATTGATCCCTGTGCTTTTATTTAGAGGCATTAATGGAAGCATATAAGACATTACGAGATAATGGAGAGAACACCTTTACTAAGGATGAAACATTACAAGAAATCGAACTCAAATGTCGAAATATCAAACGATTCCTTGATGCTAAAGAGTAAGAAATTCAATAGGAAACTGATTTGATCACGTGTGTTCCCCCTTTCAGTCGATATGCCGGTGATCCGGAAACGGGTGCTCGTGAATTAGCTGGTTTATTGAGTGAGCAAAAGATCTTTACAGGTGTCCATCCAGGTGACCTCTATGGTATATTAATCGAACATTTCGGACGCCGAGAGAAATACAAACAAGTAAAATTTTTCTTAATTCCATTCAATATTTGATCTTCTCGTCGGAAATGTAGGCTGGTATGCTGTTAGATGAACTGCAACAGCATGTTTCCGAACGCTACTTTTCTCATTATATCAATCCAAGTTTATTATCAGCGATCTATGCTGCAACTGGACGTAAGATGGGCGCATCAGATACTATGGGTTATGACGACAATGATGATGGAAGTGCGAAGAGAAAAGAAAACGATGACTATCAAAATGACCGACGACGACAACAACAACAACAACAACAACATGGGCAGTCGGGAAAAAATCATGCGTATGCTGAAGAGATTGATGACAACATTGATTATGGATCTGTCGATGATTAGAAGGAGCATTTTTTGTACAGTGTTTTGTTTTGTATAAGCAAGGATTTCTTTTAAAAAAGAATATACTATCGCCTTTGTTTGTGAATCTTGCAAACAATAAATTCAACAGTTACTTATCTCAATTGAAGAGCTAGGATACAATGAATAAACGCCAAGAATGTTGTAAAAGAAGTACAATATTTGACAAGCGATTTTCATCTATTCAGAGCAGCCAGATTACATCATAGTTCTCATATTTTTAGTAGATATTTAGATGATGCATTAGTATTATTACAACAAAACGCACTTAAATTACCATCAGTTCGGTTCTTCGTCCATGTGTGCATTCACGTGTCTTTGACGATCATAGATCGTAAAACTTCTTGGATATATCATATAACATATAGGACATTTATTCGTAAAATCATCTGTTACAGAATCATTTGTTCCAGCTTGTGTTTCGTCTACTTGTGAATGACTAACGCGCAAAGGTAGTTTAGAAATGTTCAAGCGAGCAACACATACTTCTTATGATCTAAATTTGAAGATGTTGAATCAGAAGATTGCTTTTCGGATGAGGTCTTGTTAATGTGTGCTGTTGTATCTTCAAGTTTATGTTGTCTTCTTCGCCTTCTAGCACTGTGTAGCGTAGCCGTGCTATCCGCACTTCTTGTTTCTTCCAGTTCTAATGTGATAATCACATCCAATCTGGTCCATTCATGTGTGACACGTCTAAGTTCCCAGTATTGAACATTTAAATTATGAAATTTAGCACACAATTCTTCGAATGAATTCTTTTCAGTTTGATCAGAGCTGCTGCAGGCTAAATTAACGATTTCTTCACATCGTTTCTTCAAGAACTGTTTTCTGAGCGTGTAAGCATCCACGAGATGAGCTTTCTGTGCGATAGCATGTTCATTTATCCGTTGAACACATTGAGAACACCATTCCTCGATTTTCTTCATGGTTGAGCAATAATCTTCTTTCATATTTTTATACTGCCTTTTATATATCGCGTCAATCTCGTCCATATACTCCTTTCTTGACACCACTGTATCAATCCGGTCTGAGCTTTTGCCTGCCATTGCGTAGAAATCTGAAAAAGATTGCATGTTTTTGCGTGCATATCGATACAAAAAAGCGACACCGAAGAACCCTAACAACATGTCTTTGTACAAATTTACCGAAGAACTGAAAAAAAAGCCACGAGACAACGAGAGAAATAAGTGCGCAAACAAATAATCGGAAGAAAGAGAAATGGAAACTGGTGCATTGTAAAAGTGTTTTGATGACTAACCATTCCCTTAACACATTACCGCACACATCAGAAATTCTAAGTTTGATAATATTGAATCAACTCTGATAGTTTTGAAGGGAATTATTTCCAATTCCAGCTGAATACTTCATTTGATATCTACAGTTCAATCTTCTCAGCTAAGAAAGATCTACAAACATTTTATTTCGTTCGTACTCAGGAATATATCAAAAAGAGAGATAAAACACAATCAATGGTCTGATAATCTTCAGTCATTAAAATAATGTTCTTGTACATGTTCAGAACGTTTATCTATGGTCATGTCTTTTGTGAATATCATGTAACATGTTGGACATTTCTCATCATCATTCGAATTTGACTCGTTATTGCTTGCAATATCTATTGAAACACATTGTTTTGAAGATTCCATTAGAATGGATTCAGTTCTTGAAAAAGCACAAAACTTTATAAGAAATCAATGCAAGTTTATAACAGACTCACTCTGGCCTATTTGAATTCGAAGACAAAGTACTAAGAGATGAATCGTGATCTATGTATTGATGAATTTCACTATTAGAAATGTGCTTTGTTTCAGATTTAGTTTGAGACTCGTTCACACAAGAATTGGCAATTCTTTCTTTTTCGATTTGCTCTTCAATAGTTACAATTCTATAGCTATGTAATTCACCTGTCGCTGATTCAAGTCGTGCCAACTGAAACTTTAGAGATCGGCAACTTTCGCAGAGTTCGTTGTATAGCTCAACATTTTGGATTTCATGATATGCATATGCCTTCGCTAAATTTTCATCACATTGCTGCTGACAGCTTGATTTAAATCGATTAAAGTCATTAGCAAGAGCGTGAAGTAGTTCATCGGCATATTTATTCGTATCATTAATCATTGTTTGACGCCATATATTGATCTGATTTCCCGCTGCCAAAAATTCATCTTTCATTTTTTCCCAATGGCGAAAAAATATCTCTCGAATCGTGCTTTCTGCAACCGCACCATCATCTAGCAAAAATTGACTGGGTGTAATCAATAGAGTGTCCATCACTATACAAATATCTATAAGAACACGTACAGATATAAAAACTGATCGTTTTTATGGTATATATTTCTTTCGTAAAACTTTCTCAACCAATGTCACTAGGGAAGCAATGGCGAAAATAAATGAAGTGAAAATCGATACTTCCGGTGTTACTCTATCGAGTAAATCATTCAAAAACTTGAAAAACATTCTTACTCTTTTTCCATCCATTAAATACTTATTCGTTCGTGCGATATGGCTGGCAACTGTCGTCGAGTTAGTTTCTCTCAAGGTGATTATCCGCCTCGAAATCGAAACTCTTATGCATTTCAACCAAAACGAGCATCGTTGAATCCGAACATAATGGAAGATACGTCTTCTGAAACGATCAAATCAGACGTACAAGATATCGATACGACCGACTATTTAGAACATTCAGTAATGGGCGCATCACCGAAATCAATAGAGTCGCAAAAACAATCTTCCAATTCGAAATTATCAATTCAATCAATACTGAAAACTCGAACAGCTTTCAAAAGAAATAAGAGTTTGCTTCGTACGAATGAAACGAACACTTCTGAAACGAAAAACCTAAGTTCACATGGAATATTTCTCGTACCTATCGAAATTTTCGAAAGTAAGTCGCAATTTTTACCGATTCCTCATCCTATACGATTGATCTTTAGTTGTTCATCTTCGTCGATTGATTCTGTCACACAATCATCTGTCTTGCGTGCCACGCGAGATTTGTTCATTGGTCCATCTTAACTATTTGGATATATCTTACAATCCATTAGTTCTCGAAGACATTCTCAATGACGAACCATGCTTTCCACATGAATTCCATCATTTAACAAATCTTCAGACATTGATAGTAGCCGATTGTAATTTAAGGGATATTCCAGCTGTTATCTGGTCTACGACTAGTTTGATTAAACTTGATTTGAGTGGTAATAAAGTAGGATATATAAGTGGCGAGATCGGTAAGCTGAAGAATTCGAGTTTTCGTCTGAAAACTAATTTTACGTGTACGTAGGTAATTTGGTAAACTTGCAATATCTTCGCTTGTGTCGAATGGGTCTCGTTACACTTCCAGCAGAAATTGCCTTCTGTGATCAAATCAAAATGATCGATATACTTGAGAATCCCATCGATAATCTACCCGAAACTTTAACGGAATGCCGTCAACTATCCCAGTTAAAACTTAACTACAAACAATTCTCTAAAACACTCGATGACTACATCATTCTATTGATCGACCAAGGCAAAGTTCAATCGCAGCATATTCCATCAATCATATTCGAACTCGAAGGTTTAGCCGTCTTAGATTTAGAAGAGACAAAGATCAATTCCATACCTGCTGAACAAACTCTCTTCAATCTAACCGAATTATTTCTATCCAATAACTCTTTTCATGAAATACCACAATCTGTATGCATGATATCACAATTGAAAGTACTCGATATATCAATGAATCATATCCGTACGATATCAAAACATTTACTCGGACTAACTCGATTAGAACAACTGAATCTATCGAAGAACAGATTAACTTCACTTTCCGAACTGTTTGCCGGTTTGCCCATGCTGAAAAAGCTAATCGTTAGTCACAATCAAATCTATACAATCGAAGAGAAATTTTCACAAAGTCGATCACTGCTATTATTAGATCTATCTTACAATCATCTACATTACTTTGCAAATGAATTCTGCGAACTTATCCAATTACAAATGCTTGACATACGATATAACCAACTTGGATCTCTTCCGTTGTCTATTCGACGAATGACTGGACTTAAATCAATGAATTCTTTCAACGATGTCTCTCAGCGAACTGGACTTCATTTAGTAGGTAACTCAATAAACAATCCACCGAGCTTCATCTGGAAGTCGACAGATATAGAGGCGTTGTTCGTTTATATGGACATGGAAGAGAAGCGCTTGTCAAGAAGTTTCTATCATCTGAAATTGATTTTTATCGGACCGAAAGGTGTTGGGAAGACAACATTTGTCACGGAACTTTTACACAACGAAAGCCGCATTTCTAAAACACGGAAAACGCTCGCTATGTTCACTTCTAAACGTCAATTAGATAAACCTCAATTACCTTTCACTGACCAGAATTATCTCTCTGGTACTAGTTCACAAATATGCAGAACGTATCCGCCGCCGTTGAAAAACTATCGTTTGTCTGAAACATCAATCAATATGGTGCACAAATCTACATTTTCCACAAAGAATAATCTATACTGTGCAATTATTGACCTGGCAAGTGCAACAAGTTTCGAAATACTATACCCGTTAATGTACGATTCGAATGCTTTGTATATCTTGCCAATAAATCTCACTAGTTTACTGGAAATTTTACAAAATACACATAAGTAAGGAGATACTTCTACGCCGTTCTACTCAATACCAACTACATTATTTGTTTTAGCAATGAAAGCCACACAGCTTCGATTGATTCTACTGAATTACTGTCGAAGGACTGGTTACAAAAACATATATTTCGGTACTTAGAATCACTCTCTAGTCATGGTAAATACGTCTCTGTCGCTGTAATTGGCCTTATTGACGATTCTAAGCTAGTGCTACCTATGTTCCATGCACAAACGCTACTCCGTGAGATTCAGTCTCGAGTCAATACCTTTTTGCTCGGTGCGAATGTCAATCATTACTCTCGCTTTTTTCCATTGCCAATTGATTTCAAAGAGAAAACTATGTTAACATCGTTTCTCCAACAATTGGAGCGCATTGCGCAACAACGGAATGTTAGACATCACAAGCATAAACAACAGTTAATTAAACAACGACTTGGCCTACATCAACAACGTGCTTTAGTAATGAACTATGAAACTTGTTTCAGATCTTTCCAAGAACGAAATCTAACTTCGTCCATTGCAACGGATGCCAATGAGGCGCAAGAAGAAATAAATCAGATGTCATTCGACGAGTGTTTAAACTATCTAAAACTTACAGGAGATATTCTATGTGTTGGCAAAACACCACATTCGATTCTTATCCTTCAACCCGATTATCTCCTAAATAAAATCTTCGCTCATACTCTCTTTCGACCAGATCTCGATTGTTGGTTAAACTATCGAAAAAATCCCATCTTTCAATTCTCTGGCTACTACTCATCAGAAGAATTATTCGCAAAAGATCGACAACGTCTCCGTACAAACGGAGAATTCTCATGGCGATTACTAAAGATTCTATTCTACGAACTAACAGCAAACAATATCAATGTTAACGAACTAAGTATTATTGAATACTGCCGTTTGATGGAACGGTTGCAACTTGGTTACTTGATCGAATCAAGTTATAATCGTAAGAAGTAAACGTTTAGTTTTTGTAAGAAAAACTCCTAGCTTCTATTTTAGGTCGAGAAATTACAACCTGCTCCTTTGTTTGCCCGGGACTCATACGCAAAACATAATTCATTAGCGATTCACCTAAGAAATAATGTGCGTTGATATACTGTATAGAAACATGACAATGATCAGTTTCATTCCTTTTTTTATTTTTTCAATGTAAAAAATAAGTGAAAGAAAACAAAAGTATTCGCCATAGAAGCAGAGCAGTTCGTAGGATTGGAACTATTTTGTCATACTACAGAAATAGGAATTTCATAGCAAACAAATCGAGAGACATAAGCATATATACATAGATACATACAAACAGACACACTGTTGCTGAAATATAATACACAATGAAAAGACAAATCAAAGAGAAGGCAGTGACTAATCGCTAGCAGCAGCAGGAGGCGGCGACGAAGTTGTTGAAACACGATTCTTCTTATCTGTTGCTGATTTATCATTATCATTTTCATCATTCTCATCATCTTCCATTAGCTGTTGATCAATGTATTCTCGAACACGTCGTTCGTAGTCTCGACGATGGTTTTGATAGAGCATTGCTGCCTCTGAATTTGCTGGTGATGCTGGATTAGGATCAGTTAGTAAAGAACGAATTGACACAAGCAATGTCGAAACATCTAGACTCGCACTCCAACGATGTTGTAATATATCAAGACAAATCGAACCATCCATATCTGAATGCAAATCAATGAAAAAACACGTGAAATTTCCAATAGATATTGTCTCTTACAGATATTTGGATGAAAGACTTTCGTGACAAATTTCACCTCAGGTGGATGATTTGGATAATCTCCTGGAAATTTTAGTGTTAGAACAAAAGTTGCGTCTTCGAAAAGACTATCTTCAGGTCCGTCAAGAATGGCATTCCATTGGAAGATGTTGTCTGCACTAACAGGTGCAGCATTGATACCTTCTACTGGATTTTGTGTCAGATCACGTAAATCGCGCATTAAACGACGTTGAGCCGTAACGGATGTTGTTGTTGTTGTCGAAGCACGTGCATCAGCTGATGAACTCATTGTGCGGTTTTTATCAATGTGACGTGAGAAGTTTGCAAAAAAAGTAATCTAGAGAAAATAAGAGTCGATTCGGTTGTGGATGTCTTGTAGAGGACAATAATCATGTGGTAAGTAACACGAAAAACAAGAAATGAAGCAAATGGCGCATAAGAATAGAATTATATAATGTAGATGATTTCATCATGATTATTATTCATCTAGAAGATATCTGACGACCACATCTATATTAAGATGTCGAAATTTAAATATTCTACACTCGCCTATCTAGAACATTCGGAAAAGAAAAGTTTTAATGGCCAATCTGTCGAAATAGATGTCGCTGAAGTTTGTTAATACGGCCAAGCGGAATAACCAATGAAAATTAGACTCGGTGTTAAGTTTGAAGTTTGAGTGATATAGGAAATGAACTTTGAATTTAGACGGAAGAAGAACGAATATGTCAAATGCAACACTATATCCGTGCAAACAAGGCAGCGTACTGCGCTATTTAAAAAATGCTTCTGTTCTTCACCAAGAGACGCTGACTGTAAACTTTGTCTCGATCTTTTGCTCTGCTACATGACACATTGTGAAGGGGACTAACTGTGTTCTTGCTGGCAAATTGCCGTGTTATATGTTCTCTTTGATAAATCGAAATCTCAAAGGTCACCTACGTCCGATGATAACACTTTTTGTGCTGCGTGCTGCATGTTGATATACTAATGAAATTACTTCTATAGAGACAGCCTTCGTTTGGCTGAAATATATAAACGAATTAATCAATGAAGATATAGCGCAATTAATATTTTCAACGAGTCTTCTTAGGTTATATAAATAGATAGAAATAAGCTTTTGTTTCCTAAATAGTGCATTGCGTAAGATGTCGCTTTGATAACGGTTGAAGTTGAATGGATTCTGGTCATATCGTTCACTTGGACGAAATGGTGGGTGCGCGGTCAGATGCGAATGAATTCCAATTTCTAAACTTGTTTTCGACACACTCTACCATGAAGATGTGTTATACTCTTCGTTTTGTATACAGTAACTGAATTGTGCATGTGTGCGTATGCAAAGATAGAAACATCACCTATAAATGCACACTGATTGGTCTAGGCTACTTTTTCGTTAGTGTACAAGACGAAAATACCCGATTTTCTTTCACGTTTACGTCATACGTTTGTTCTCTTCTCTTTTTTTTTGCAGATGGCATTAAATCTTCTCACTATTGTTGAATTCGGTGCTCAAAAGCAACGACTGTCGCTCAATCCAAATAGTACATATCAAGAAATTTGTGATCAAATCTATTCCCTATTCAAAGTTAATTCCAATCGATCGAAATATATTCTTCAACGACAAGATCCTCATCGACCTGAACTCTATGTCAATACTGATGAAAATACATTCCTAAGCGATATGAAATATCAAGCAATGAATAATAATAAAAACTCAGTTGTACGACTACGTCTAGTTCCCGTAATTATCCTTTTGATAAATCATTCGATTCTTTCAACGAAAGTTTTTAGTATAAAACCAGCAATGGAGTGGCTAATAGAGGAAAAACTTGGTCGACATCTTCGCAGTGTCAACATGATGAGAGCGACCGGGGAAGTACAACTTCAGCCACCACAATTGATATTAAGAAACTGATTAAAAAATGTTTATCAAATCTGAAAGGTATAAGCTTGCATAGAGAAAGAATGAATGCATGTTTTGCCATTTTAGAAACTACTGAAAATATTCAATTACTCGATCGTTGTCTTCATCCAGTAAGATTTCCTCGATTGAATTTACTGTCTTATTTGTGTTCTACGCAGGAAGATTATATGGATGAAGATTGTCAATCAACGACAAAAAGTCTTTCTGATATTCAACAACCAGTCGTTAACTTAGTCAACAAAATCAATAGTCAGATTACACAAGCGTCATCAATGTTGTCAAATGCTCGTCTTCCATCGTCAAATGTCATCGATGAACTTGTCCCAGCTCTCAATCAGTTAATCAATAATCAGACAGCGACATCATTGTCGAATAACAAACCTACCGAAACATCTACTATAACTCCTTCATCAGTTATCAACAAGCAACTTCAACCCAGTTCGCCTCCCCCTAATGTTCCGCTACGAGTTGCCACTAAGTCGTTCAGTAATCGACTTGGTATGCTGAGTACACCAAATCACATACAGACATCAGCTGTTCAAGAAGTCAAATCAACTCCTACGATTCAAAAATCGAAATCACCTGTACTTTTTAAACCATCACCAAACTCACTTCCAAACAAAAGTCCAGTAGAATCAAAGGCAAACGAAATTCCACCGATAACAACAGCAATACCAAAATGTAAGTATAATTATCATCCTGTCTCTCAGTTAATCTATCGTCAAATGTCTGTATAAGGCACCATTGAATTAAAACAATACGAACCAGACACTACTGTCGAGGGTATTGTCTCTGTTGCATCGAATGCTTCCTATTTCTTTCTACAAGTTATTGATCAGAACAAAGATGAATTTGATCGTCTTTCTAAAAGTTTACAGTACGTTTTATTTTCACGTCGCTTCATTTGACTTGCAACTTCTCTTCATTACTAGTGAATACTACTCGAATCTTGATAAAAATGTCCATTTTCATCCATCACCTGGCGATTATTGTGTAGCCATGTACACAGAAGATGCTCGATGGTATCGTGCACGTGTTATACGTTATCTTTCAGGTTTATTTATTGCATTTAACATCTATTTTGTATTCTCTTCTTCACCAATGATAATGTAGATCAAACATGCGAAGTTTTCTATGTTGATTATGGCAATATGGAAGAATTATCGATCGAATTGGTTCACGAAATTCTACCAGACTTTGCTCGCATACCTGCTCGTGCTATTGCGTGTACCATTGCGGAAGTAAAACTAGAGATATTCATAGAATTCAGGAAAAAATGAAAATTCTATTGAAACTAGATCCTACCGCCCACAGGTCAAGAAGGCTGGACGAAACGAGCCACATTTGCATTTGCTTCACGTTGTAGTAATGAATCTGTTCAAGCGACAGTAGTTGAATCAATCAATATTAAATGGCCGATGCACGTCGTTCAACTACGTGTATCAAAAACGAAAGAAGTACATACATAAGGACGAACTATTACGTTTAGTAGTAAAAAGTTTTTGTCTTATAGGATATTGGAGCATCACTTGAAAGCTGTAAAGTGGCTCGTCGCGTTCCCAATGCTGAAATATACGAATTCTGGTCAAATAAAATTCATTTGGAACAGTATATCTTGTACAATTTGCAAGAACCTATTCCATCAAGATTTCCAGCATATGAACAAGGTACATCTTCTTATTTCCACTATTTGACTGTCAATGCAGTTAAGTTTTCACCATCAACTATGATCAATACTCACGATGAAAACTTCCATAGCATTATTGATAAAGTTAGCAAAGATCTGGCATTCGTGCATCGATATTAGCTTCCATATCGATGATTATATCTTTGTACTTTACTTTCCTGTGTTTTTCTCTACAAAGTATGCTGCTGACTGATATATGCATAACGTTTTTTTTTGTCTCACGCTTTTTAAATATCAGTAAACCATATGAAGGTTATTGTTACTGTTAGTTTTTGTTTGTTTGTTTGTTCTCATATATTGTTTATTGGAGATTTAGCCTATTGAACAGATATATAAAAAAAGACAGATGAAGAAAATAAAGAAGGCCTATCAGAATATGATTCGTGTTCGTTCCTAAACTAGAGAAGGATGGGATTTTATAGATACAATCGAGGATCAATATGAACATATGTACGAACTCTTCTCTTTTCTCTTCTAGCGCCAGCAAAAATTGAACAAAATGAAGGTACAAATACACTTCTCTCATCGTCTTTGGAACGATCACCGTCAACAGCCAAAGGCTCAACAAGAGAAAAAACATCGATAATAGAAGAAAAGAGTGACTCAATCAAAGCAATTCTCATTGATGATGGACAACAAGATGCAACTGAAATACCCGATAATATGGAAGAAGAACTCATGGAGTCGGATAGTCCAATCACACCATCGTCTGTTTTGAATCCTGACGCAACACCGTTTACTCCGGAATTACCAGAGAAAATCGAAAGATTGGAATCGGTGTCGACTGGAGATGAAAGTGATGATGAAAATGACTCCAATGCAACACCGGTCACATCTGGTATGAAAGTTCATCGAATAGTTTTCCACCTATAATCCGATCTGATTTTATTTAATAGAATCTTCATCGGAACGACCGCGAATGCCAATGAAGGAAGAAGTTATTGTTGATACTAATCTAACGCCATCGGCACCTTTAATTAAATCCTGGTTACCTGTTGAAATTACACATATTGAAACGCCGACACGTTTCTACATTCGTTATGTCTATGGTCCGAGCTGGAATCTTGGGAACGGACCAACACGTAATTAAATATTCATTGGGATTGATTTCGATTATATAGGAAAACTTGACTTTCTTCTGTAGCACAATTGATGGAGAAAACGGAACTACCAGAAAAGAATGTTCTTTTGAAGGAGTTAACTGAACAAATGACGTAAGATTTTATTCGAATCTACAAATCTTGTAGAATTCCCTCTCTAGTGAATGCTACAATAAACACAAGCGTATCTGTCCAGGCAGCAGTTATGACGAAGGTGAATTAGTTGCTGTGAAATCACGCTTACTATGGCATCGTGGTCGATTCATCCAACATAAGCCAAGTATTGAATTTGCACATGTAAATCATTAATTTCATGTTTAATCGCATCTCACATCTCTGAATTTTCTTAGATATTCTTCGTTGATTATGGTTATACGCGCGCGTTACCAATTCAGATGATTCGACCGATTAACAATCGTTTCGTGGTATGGAATCGATTCACCATTCGATGAAAAGTATCATTGTCTGTTTCCTAGTTGCATGCAGAACAAGCTCATTTAGTCCATTTGCATCAACCAGGTGCACGTCGCGGTCGAATCGAATGGGATACAAATAGTATCGATGAATTTCGGCAGTTAACTAAAGAGGGTACATATTTATACGCTCGAATTATTAGTGAACCTAATACAATCGATCTGATATCGTATGATCCATTGACGAAAAAATGGTTTTCATTCTACGAACATTTTGTTAAACATCTCAGTGATAATGGTAAAACAGATGAATAAATTGAATAGATGTGTTCATCCTATGTTTGCATAATTTTCTTGTCTTTTGTGTGATGTTAATATTCCTGAGTCTTTGTCTTTTCTTTTCTGTATCGATCTTAACTTCCTAGAAGAGCTTTTATATTAAAATCGTTACTAGAGATTGAACAGATCAACGTATCTCTCATTCGATCAAAGGAATGAAAGATCTTTGACGTATATTCGTAATCTTGGCTCGATGTTATCATCATCTAGTTTTGTGAGTTTTTGATTGTACAAGATAGAAAAAGTGAACTGACTAGATCTGTTTATAATGATTGCATTTCAACTAGAAGACATTAGTCATTTCAGTTATCGATCTAAGAGAGAAGAGAAACGCTAGTTTAAGATCATCGTCCTTGACGGAATTGGCCACCGCCGCGGCCGCCACCTGAGCCTCCCCGCGAATTTTGGTATCCACCACGACCTGCACCACCACCGCTGCGTCCTATGATGATGCATAAAATCACAAAACCATTTATCAGTTTGTCTCAAGAAAATGTTCTACCTCCGCGTCCACCATCATTTCGACCACGAAAGGGTCGTCGCGTGGGCGGTCCTGAGCGTGATGGCTTTTCGTTGATATCTTCTTTGACAAGCGCAAGAATATCTTCCGGTAATCGAAGGTACTTGACTGTGTTACCACGGACGTAACATTCAGAAATTTTCCAGAAACGATCACCATCCTAACCATCGTCGCAATTCATTCTATCAATTCTTCAACAACATATATCTTACTCGTGAAGTACAGATCACATCACGTAAATGAATATTCATAAAGTTATCACAGCTAACTAGATTTCCATTGTATGTTTCACCATTCTTCAATTCAATTAGCTACAAATAGGATGAAAATGTTTCACATTCTTTTTTGCACAGTATTCACATACCATTGGGTGATACACCGCAGTTCGAAGAAGTGTTAAAGGTAACTAAAATAGAGAACGAGAAAGTCATTGTGTTGATGTCGTTGGTAGACTTTGTCGGAGAATAAATGACTCACCATCTGAAAAAGAAAAGAAAAATATTTACTACAATCACTTCCGCTTAGTTTTCAAACAGCAAAAATCAAAATCGTCGCTTTACAACCATGAACAAGAAGAAAGTTGATCCTGCAGGAAATTATCTTCCTTATCCTGGCTATACTATCATCGCTCATGCTCTACATCCGCTACCTGCACCATTAATTGAGCTTGTCGCCTATCTTTCCTCGAGTGAACTTGGTCATTATTATTCATTTCTTCCATCTACAAGTTATCATGTGACAATAAATCCACTTAGAAATGTCCTCAAGGAACATCAATCCCTTTTACAACTAGAACAGCATGAATTACAGAAACGAAATACGTCATCTACATGCATAACAGACAAATTATGCTGTTCAAAGGTTCTGTTAATCGAAGTTCAGTTTCCACTTTGGTGATAATCACAAATTCGAAACTATTCTCAAAAATCTCCGATCGGATCAATTACAACAAGCGAATATTCTGCCTGAATACACCCTTTCCTGGCATTTGACATTAGCCTATCAATACAAAGAGATCGAAAACGATGCAATCAAATCTCGATTGAATCATATTATCTCGTGTATTCCTCGATCAGCAGCGATGCCTTTCCAGATTCCACTCGATCATATAAGGATATGTCATTACAATGATATGACAAAGTTCACCCCGATATGATTAACGAAATGAAATTAAACAGAAAGAAAAAAGCAAGACTATCGTGTTTTATTTTCACATCAGAGTTCTTAGTAACAGATAAAAACGAACAAATTGATTGTTTTTCACTTTAGTTGAATAAAAGTATGATGTAAATGAAGTAATGAGTAATTGTTTAACAGGAAAGAAACTTGACTATTTGTTTAATTAGAGCTCCACTTTCTTTTCGAGATCAGCACCAAAATCTGTTATTTGCGAGCCGGCAAATGAGCTGTAAGCATCGACGATTTCGGCCGATGTGCAATAACCATTGTTATCCGTGTCACATTCTTTAAGCAAATGATCGGTTTCTTCGTCGGCTGCTGAGGATAATGTTGGTAAATAATAACGAGCAAATTCTTCGTAATCCCCAAAACCATCTTTGTTTGTATCGAGCTCTTCGCCTAAAGATTCAGCTGTGCCACTTTCTGCTTCTGTAAAAGTAAAATACCGTAGTCTTTTCATGGATACAAATGACGAATTCTACCTGTCATTTTCAAGTATTCATCATTGGAGATCTTTCCATCGTTATTATCATCGTATTCTGTGAGAATACTGGTAATTTCAAGTTTACGTAAGTCTTCATGATCTTCTGGTCGAAGGAATTTTCGGAATTGTTCGTAGGTTAAATACTGATCACCATCTTCATCAAGATGTGTCCATTTTGCTTTATCGGACAGGTAATTCTGTAAAAAGACAAAAATCAATTGAATTATTTAAGATTCTATTCTTTCACAATCTTTTACACGTCGTGTTTCACGTGAACGTAAATCCGACTTGTCTTTCTTTTCTAATTCATTAAGATTCAAATCGCCATAATTATCTCGGGTATACGATTGAAATGAAATCTTGTTTGTTTTACTGGGATCAAGTGTAGAGATAAAGTCATCCGCTTCACGTACATGTTGTTCTCTGCAATCGATTTCGATAATCAAATGAATATTCAAAAGAAGATGAAACCTACTTCATGCGTTGTTCGATATAGTTACGCATTTCTTCACGAGAAATTTTACCATTTTGATCGGCATCGATTTTCATCGCAATAAAACGAAGTTGTTCTTGTTCTTCTTCTTCATTTTTCATTTTTATTCCTCCTAAAGCGTCACTTTCAATTATGAGCCAAATTCATAGACAAATCTCACACATACCTGTGAACAGATTCTTGTGTGCTTCATGGTCGTGATGATCGTCTAAAAGTATAAGTTTGCATTAGAGAGATCGTATCGAGTTACACTTACGTCCGTCGTGATCATGATGATGATGATGATGATCATCGTGGTCGTGGTCATGACCATGTCCGTGCTCTTCGTGTTCGATATCAGCAAACGTAGCAAGTACCAATAAAGAGATGCATACGGCGGCTAAGAGTAAACGAGCCATTGGTTTATTGTTCAAATCAATTGAGAAGAAATAGCTTTTTTCTAGAAATATAATGTCTAGTTTGACTCTATAATTGTGGCGAAAAAAAATCGCGTTAATCAAGTCGAAAAAGAGACTACTATGTCTTCACGTTCCACTGATTTCCATCAATGTACAAAAATGCGGTATACACGTATTGCCTTCTTGCACAGTATAGCGTGAAAAATGTGAGGAATGGATTGCAACGTTTACGTTTTATCTTCCATTCTAGATTTGTCTCTCAGCGATTGGTTTTTCCCTGACAGCCAGTTATATGTGGAACCTATAGAGTGCGTTCCACATGCTGTCATTTAATAATGAGACGGTAATATAAACTAAACACAAGTGATGTCAAATGAGTAAATACGAAGACATGCTTAAGGTTGTTTTATGAAAATAGAAGTAATTAACAAATGATCATTTAGACGATAGTATTCTCTTATGTGTGCATGTCACCGTCTGTCTATTATAATCGATCAAGGAAAGAGCATAGATGAAGGACGCCATAATAGATTTACCGACAGGATTGGTTCATCAGTTCCTCCAATCTGTCCTATTTTTTGTTTTTTTCCTTTTCTTCTTTTCTACGGCAATTACAATCATAGCTTAGCTCTGTTTTCTTTGTTGGCAGCTTTTTTCTTAAAAACCTGATCGAATGGCAGCGCAGATTCAGAAACATGTTCGCAATCTCGAAGAAACGCTTAAAGGCTATTTATATGAAGGACCACTGACACCTTTTTGGGGCATAGTCGAAGAGAAGACCAAGGTCAAACGGGAACGTGTCGCAGTTGGTCTGCTTGGCTTCATCGCTATCTACTTGATTCTTGGCTGGGCAAAAGATTTTGTCTGTAATTTCATTGGTTTTATCTATCCAGCTTACGCTTCGTAAGTTACACTGAGTGAGTTAAATACTGAAAGTCAAGTTCATGTTGCAGAGTTTTGGCTGTTGAGACAACTGCAACACAGGATGATACTGAATGGTTAATTTACTGGATTGTTTATGCATCATTCGGTATTGTCGAATACGTCGGATATGCTTTCTTTCATTCTTTACCGTTTTATTGGCTGGGTAAATGCCTGTTTCTCATTTGGTTAATGGCCCCAGGAGATAAAGGTGGTTCCCAAATTTTATATCACCGTTTCATACGTCCATTTGTATTAAAACATCATCCTGTTATTGACAAACACATTCGTGATGGTATGATTGATAACATCTGAAATAAAACACATTTCCTATTTGATTGCATTTGCATTTTAGCCAAAGAGCAGATCAACAAATTTTCCAACAATGGTAATCGCTAGAATGACTCCTGAAAAACCTGATTTACTCATAAATGATGGTGGTGGTTAACATTTACAATAGAGATGCTTAGTTTACATATATTTCTGTTTCGTATCCTAAACCGAAAATCAGTCGAATTCGAATACATACAAAAAACAGAGATGATTGTTGTATTCCCTCGTCTTCTGATTTCGTCCTCGTCTCCTTTGGTATCTTCTAAATCAATCTCTCGACTAATATAATCTATTTGAACTTTTTTGTTGTTTTGTAAACGGATTCATCAATAGTTTGCGCGTGTTTAAATAGAACTCATTCTATCACAGTGAAACATAGCACTCATCTACTACATCGATCCCGTGATCAAAGTCAACTCTATAGTCTCGGATTAATTTAAACAGCTGTGTTACTTCGCTTGTATAATCGAAGATTTATAAATTACCATTCAATTGTTGGTCCACATTGATTTGTGTGTTTAGTAACGATCTATTGTTAGCCTATTGAAGTCGACTAGCGTGATTTGAAAGACATCCAATGAACTCTAATTTTCTGTCAATATTATTGATGTCGACATACCTATGCACTAGCTCTGCTCTTTTTATGACTATAAAGCAAACATTTTCTCTTGACGAATATTCTTGCATTTGTCTTGAGAATCTTCGTCAATGGATCTGTCGGAGTCGTAGCATAGTTATTTGTTTGATTTTCCCCTCTACTTGTAATCAAACTAGCAAGCACGATCGCATGCCAATCAGTTGAAACGCTCTATGATTTACGGTATATATTTGCGATAATTGTCTAATAACGTGGTTTTACCACCTGTGTTAGCTTTGCTTTTCTTCTTGGCATCAGATATGTCTCGATCAAATCTGTACATCGTTTATCAGAGAATGCTGTGAATCGATTACAGCAACGAAAACTTATTTGCAAGAAATGATTGTGTATAAACAAAATATTTCCTCCTTTCGTTGATTAGATAAAAGAAGATAAAAGCACGTCTCATGCTGACTACTTCAATTACTATCTGAACAACAAACATTTAGACAACGATTCCCACAGATGCCTGATCTATGTATAAATACAAACAAGGACAATAGTTCTTAATTTATGCATTAAAGATTCAGCGCTGCAAGTTTCCTCTTAGTAGTAGCACATGTTCTGTATACTTGCAATTGGGAAACATATATCCTATGGTACAGTACACGCGATGTTAACTAGTGCCATCTACCGGATAAAATTGAGCGATGAAACTATAAGAAAATAGACGAGATAATTCCTACGAAACGTATTTCATTTTTATCGAAAACTTTTTTGTGTCGAATTTTACTTATCAATTGTCAAACCTCCACCATATGTTTTTACAAAGTAACATAATGATGGTGTTTTGAAACAATAAAATTGATCATATATCGGTGGCGCGGAGAAAACAGACATAGACATTGTATATTAATCATCCAAGCGCCACCTGCGACATTATTCTCATTCTCATCAATGACGAGATTTATTTTCAAACGTTTACTTTCAGATATTTCTTACATTTCGTCGTCTATCGTCGGAGAGAATGACTGCTCGCGATCAAATCCGTGCTATGTTGGATCAATTGATGGGAACGGATAATGGTATGTATGTATGAATGGTCTCAGCGATAGAAATCCTATTCGAGGAAACGTTTTTTGCTCACATAAATATTGTTGTTCCATTCGGATAATTGAAAGAGTGTGTGATCATTTTTCAACTGACTTTTCCATCCGTTGCATAAATTGTCTTTGAACAATATGTTTTTAGCTGATGTCATGATGGGTTTCATAAGCTGTTCGAGCAGCAGTACTTCCAAACTAATTCTTGTGAGTATATGATTGATAAAATCGAGAAGTGGCTCCTCTGTGTGAGTAATATGTATATATAATCTATAACATTGAATTGATATCCTCATTCGAGATATCGTCATATTTATTGATTTCATATATTTTTTTCTATTCATATTTTGCGAGCTCGATAACGTTTTCTTCATAAGCAGATAGGGTACGTATTCGAGGAGATCAGGTAAGTATATACGAGCATTTCTTTCCAATCCGATATGTAGATCATCAAGAAAAACTCATTTGTTTTCTTCAAATGATTCTCATTGTAAATGACATATTACAGGTACAGCCAAGTCAACGATGTCGTTCGAAGACCGTCGGGTATGTCGACCATTTTTACTCAGCTGTTGTCCACATGAGATTCTTTCCGGGACGGTAAGAGTTACAATCGAAGAGCTGTTTTCATACTAATCATCGTTTCTTGTAGCGCGTAGATATGGGCGAATGCAATAAAGTACATGAATATGCACTACGTGCTGATTATGAACGTGCAGCAGCTACACGTAATTTGTACTATGAAATGGATGTAAGTTGCTTGATTTGATGAATTAGAGAAGTTATTTGATGAATTTTAGGCTTTGGAAGTGTTGAACAAGTTCGTTGCTGAAAGTGATCGTAAGACTGAACATGCGAAGCGAAAACTTCAAGAAACGCAAGAAGAATTAGGGGAGGAAGCAGCAAGAAAGGTAAAGTTTTCCTGACTGATGACACCGTATTTTTAAAAAACAAAGCAATACGATATATTTAGATGAATTCAATTCATGAATTAGGTGAACAAATCGGTACGAAATTAGCTAGGGCAGAAGAATTAGGTGCTGAAGGCAATGTTGATGAATCGATGAAATTATTGGAAGAAGTCGAAGAATTACGAAAATTGAAATCCGACTCGGAACAAGATTTTCGTGCGACTATGCCAGCGTCGACTTATCAACAACAAAAACTGCGTGTTTGTGAAGTCTGTTCAGCTTATTTGGGTATACATGATAATGATCGTCGGTTAGCTGATCACTTCGGTGGAAAATTACATTTGGGTTTTATTCAAATACGCGAGAAACTTGCTGATTTGAAAAAACGTGTCAACGACTTGAACGAAAAACGCGAGCTCGAGAGAAAAAATCGACGAAGGTAATTGTAGGAGAAAAAACGAACTCTACGAATGAAAATATTCCTCTTTTAGTTCACCTGTCGCCTCATCGAGACATGAGGCTCGCAGTGATCATCGTTCAACACCACACAGCAGCAGTCATAGTCAGTCGAGGAAAATGTCTAGTAGAGATAGAGACCGACGACGATCACGATCACGTTCAAGGTAAGCTAAGCGAGTTCTTTGATGTTTCAAATGATAGTCTTCCCTTTCGATCTTTTCTAGATCAGATCGTCGTTCGTCGAAATATTCACGTAGTCATCGCTCTTCACGTTCGCGTTCACATAGTCGAAGAAGACATAGTAAACGTTCACGTTCACGGTATGTTTCATTTGAAGGTTTCGAATCAAATAACAGTCTTCTCTTATAGATCCGGCTCGTCTCGCCGCCATCGTCGTTCACGTTCGCGTTCGCCTTCAGGAAAATCCGCCTCTCGACGTCACCATCGACGTGATTCAAGATCACCTGCACATTCTTCATCGAATTCCAAACCAAACGGCAGTGGTGATACTCAATACAAGGACAAATCTGAGGATCAGAGTTCATCTAGTCATGTACATAACAATGACGATGATGAAGAGACAACTCGTATCTTAGAAAACATTCAACGAAGTATGCTAGAGGATAATCAGAAGAAACAATCAGACACGTCGATGGAATGAGTCTCTTTAATCAAAACAAAGAAGAAAGCTAGTTTCATCTGTATATGCGCCTTTCGTATTTGTTTATTTCAATGTATGTATGTTATTATAAACAGAAAAAAGACACAAACAAATGGGTTTAATGATGAAATATCAAAGATAGAAAGAGAGAAAGAAATTCTTTTTTCTTTTAGATAAAATCGGTCAAAATAGAGTTCGATTTTGAATTTCGTCTTAGTTGTTATTTAATTCTTTGGTTATCATTTACTTTTATTCTGATTATCTTTACTTGGTATCGGTACAGTCAAAGCATTAGTCAACAATTATCCAAAACGAGTAAGTCATTTTGATCGAATCGTCTAAAGCGGATGAGAACGAATGTACCAGGGATCGAGATCGTGTTTCTGCATGATTGTCACCATGAATTATGTAGAGTCGTAATTCTCGAAAAATTAAACCTATCGGATACCATTTCGGAATAATTGTCTTCCATGATCATTTCGAAAATTTGACCTGAAACAAGACTTGAAAAAATCAAATTTTTACTTCATGCTCTCTTTTCACTTTTCTAGTCTCAAGCTTTGAATTACACGGTCGATCACGATCGCATAGTTCATTGAATATCTTAACTGCGACTCCCATCGGGACCACCGCCGGTGTTCCTTCGAAGAAGCTCGATTAAATAATGTTCTGAATTTTCTTCGGAAGATCACATGGATAATCCAGTTTTTTTGGATGAAGAAATTCCTTTTGTCGAATCAGGTGTTTATGAAATAGATGAGGCCACCGGCGGCGGGAGTGGAACAACAACAACACTTGGACATGGAAACATTATCTCACTCAATCATCAAACACATCACTTCGAAGATGATCCCATGTGGTCAACGGGTACACCTATCAAACGTGGCCGGCGACCAAAATCCCAAACTGTTGTTATAACAACATCTTCCCCATCGATACAAAAACCTGAGCCGAAACGACGTGGACGAAAGCCAAAACAAGAAACTCTATTATCAACGAATAATAACAATAATAATAATGATTTGAATGATATTCTTTCGGAATCTACAGAGGATATCAATCCTAGACAGCAACGTCGTTCAGCAGGTGCGAAATCAAATAAAAAGATGAAAACTGACGATCAGCAACAACTTTCAGGTGAGTTCTACCTTCTGTACGCATCTTGTACATATTCCTGTACTTTGACTTAGAAGAGATAGGTTCACGTTCAAAACGTTCGATAAAACCCTCGTCACAGCAAAATTCCCAAATGCTCACTTCTAATTCGACTTTGAGCCAACTTCCAATCACGAGCAATAATTCAGCCAAAATGAATATTAACGCATCTGGCAGTATCGTCATTTTGGGTAATACAAATCGAGATAGTAAATCAATAATAACTAATACTACCACGGCGTCCTATGATCAAGCAGCTATATTACAAGCACTTTGTCAGGCAGGTGTCAATCCGTTACATCACGATCCGACAGGAGATGATTCTGATTCCGATTCCGATGATGAAAGTGGATCCGACGATGAATCGATGGTCAATGACAGTGGAAATCATCGCTTATCAGATATGGATGAACTGATCAATGCTGCGACGGCTGCATCTTCGTCATCATCAGCGCGAAATCGACAACGAGCGAAGCCCACTAATCGAAAGAAATCGGCAACTACACGTCGTCCGACTGCAGCTACGAACAATAATAGCAATAGCAAAAAGAAACAAGCTAGTCTTGACAAGAGTGTCTCAGATGATGATGACGACGATGATGACGATGACGATGATGAAGATGAAGATGACGATGATTCATCAGATAATGATGATCTCGATGAGCTCGGAGTTGGAAATGATACGAATAATAATCTAAACAGTATCGTCGATTCCTTAGATGGTGATCCATCGTTAATTGTTCCACCAGACTTTTCGAATCCTGATTATGTACAAAATCTTGTCAAACCACATCGTAAACGACGTACACACTTACCAACTGATGATCAACCGAAAACGATTCGTTGTCCACAATCCGGTTGTACAAAAATGTTTCGTGATACCGCTTCAATGAATAAACATTTACATACACATGGACCACGTAATGACCTTCCTGTAAACCACAATTTCTCATTGCGTTATCCTTGTTTTAGGTGTACACGTATGTCACGAATGTCAGAAATCCTTTGTTGAAAGTTCAAAACTACGTCGCCACCAATTGGTACATACGGGTGAAAAAGCTTTCCAATGTCCGTTCGAAGGATGTGGAAAGCGGTTTTCCTTGGACTTTAACCTACGGACTCATGTTCGAATACATACAGGTGACAAGCCGTATGTTTGCCCATTTGATGGTTGCAGTCGACGTTTTGCTCAATCAACAAATCTCAAACAACACCTTTTAACACATGCCAAAATTCGTTCTCATCAACCATTTGCAATTCCAGCTGTGGCAGTTACGATCACCGAAATTCAACCACAATACTAAACAAAATCACACATTACTCGTCTCTTTTTTGTATATCTTGCCTTTTGTCTATGTCTATATGTATGTTGTCTTGTACATAAATGTGGCATGATCAGCCAGTCAGTCAATCAGCCACACATCGACGATGTTATATTATTCTCTTCTAGTTTATTGCACTCGTGTTTTGTTTCTCGTGAATGGTATGCCTCGTCAATCTTTATATTAGATNGTGCGTTGACCGACCCACCACCGTTACTATTGAATGACTGACGTTATGTAGAATTATGAGAAAGAAAGAGCGAATTAACCTAACTAATCATTGTCTGATATAGCAGGAAATGTGTGGATTGATCATTTGCTTCATCTCTCTTTTCTCGTTCTATATACAGATATCGGAAGCGATCTGTCTCTGCTCTAGTTCTTCTCTCGTTTATTGTGTAAGCGAAAGGGAAGAGAGAGAGCTAGCTAGCTTGAAGAATTCTACACGGGTGCATGTGTATCTCTTTTCTTTTCTTTTCTCCTTTTATCTATCACTTGTGAACAGATATGGTATACACAACGGGCATCTAAAACAGGTAATCGATAATGTTTGTAGAACGGTGATGATGACGCTATGTTGAAGCAGCACTTCCTAATGACACCAGTCTTTTCTTGTTAGATCTTCTCTTCTTTCGGACAATTACATAATTCTTTGGAAATTTGCTCTTGCTTTGTACGTGCTTGTATGTCTGTGAACGAAAAAACTACGTTTTGTTATGGTAGTATATTTTGACAAGTGGGTGGAGTAGAAAAAAAAAGACGATGGAGAGAAGAACAAAGTTTCAGTATGTTTATTTAATCATTCCTTGAGCTGACCGATGAACAATTTACATATACACGAATACACTTGCACAATCGTTATTTGATGTCAAATGACAGAAGGAGAAGGAGAAAAAGAAGAAATGAACTTGCAAAGGATTAGTTATTCGATTAAAAGTTTTCTTCTTTTTTTTTCTAGATTTGAATGTGTTCATTAGATAATGTGGAGAGTTTATCATCGATGTCTTCTGTTTCTATGGATACTTTTCGTTCAAAACAATATCATTCAAACATCATACATTCGTCATCTTACATTACCTAGTTCCATCAATCATCTTACATACTCATCTTCATTCAAATGGCTCTATGTCGCCTCAATCGATTCACTTTCAGTTTATGATGATAATTTAACACTTGTACAAAATATTTCTCTCGCAAATTCTTATTCGAACGATGACGAATTATGTCAAATCAATTCTTGTCAATGTTTACATAATTCATTGAATAATAACAATAATAATCCTGATGACATAATAGCAGATCGAAGTCGTCGTTCGAAATTTTCACGATCGATAGATCCATTAAATAGTATTAATCGAAATAATTACAATCTTCTACTATATCTCGAACGTGAGAACACTATTGATAATCAACCGTATTTAATCGATTGTTGGTCACTACAATCAGGTTCATGTATTATCCGTAGTGCTGTCAATCTATCGAATGTTTTTTATCAACAAACGGCAATCGACGCAAAAAATCTGCGACAGAAGCTTTTATTTAATTCTGATTCGACCATTCCCAGTCATATATTTCCGTTTCATTTCAAATTAAATAAATGTAATGATACACCGATTTATTTATTTCTATCCTCGACGTTGAGGAAAAACTTAGTTATGATGAATACCAGAGAGAAAACGGATAATGTTACTGAACTATTCTACGATAAATGCCTTGAACAATCGCAAGGACGTACAATTGCATTAAGAGCATTTGTCTTCAATAATGGAATAAAGAGAGTAGTCGACAATGTAAACAAACCATTGATTTCCAGGGACATGTCATCATTAGAAAATTTTACTATTGTTCGAGATTCAATTACAAAACGACAAGTTTATAATCAAAACGACTCCATCAATGGCACAAGGTTATCTTTAATAGACGATCGTGCACGTGTAAGATCAAGTCGAAGTAGTTCTCAATTTCCCCCAACTGCTTCTACGATTTCGGATGGTCATGTAGCTAATTCATCATCTACACTACCTCGATTCGATGAACCAAATCCATTTATAAACATCAATGATTATTGTCCTGAACAGTTCTCGGTTGTTCGCACGATTTATAAAGATTTTTTCGAACGTGAATCACCGGACAAATTTCGATTGTTTCAAGATGTCATCTACGATAAGAAGGATTCCGCAATTTACGTCTTTACCAATCAACAACGCGTCAGTAAAGTTGTTCGTCTCTGCGAAGGACAAATCTCATTTCGGCATTACGTTGAATTACAAATCAATTGTGGAAATGATTACACGCTCATACAAAAAGTGAAATTGGTACAAACTAAAGATAATAAACAATATCTATTGACCATTGCATCAAAACCTAAAGCCTTGGATAGTCTTGAACCATCCATTAGCAGTCATTCAGCGATATGTTTATATAATTTTGATCAGATAAGAAATGCATTTATTGATAATATACTCGACTTAGCTAAGGGAAACGTTTCGCTCGGTATGGCCTGGTTACATGGAGAATCGACAATTGTAAGTAGATGAGAGAAGAAAAACCATGCTAAAGTCATCATTTTATAGCCACAATATCCGGCACCATATGGAAATCTTGCTCGATGTTCCACAACACGAGATGCAAGCTATCTGATGATATTTGAAGGCTCAACAAATATTGTTTCAGAGCCAATGATTACTTTCCTGACTGACCAATTAACGGCTCTCGAAGCAGCTGTAATTAATAATTATATTGTTGCTTTAGCTGGTACAGCTGATGGAAAAATCAAAAAGGTAATCAATATTTTGCGGAAGAGCATTTCTTTACCTAATGACTGATTTTCTCGTGCTGATTAGATAAGTATAGAGTTAGCAACGAAAAAAACTCATCAATTCGAAGAGGTCTACGTTGATTTTAATCATTCGATTCTTCGTGATATGACCTTGAATGAAAATAATCGATTTCTATATGGAGCAACAAAAAGTCGAGTAAGACAACGATGAAAAATTTGTTCCATCCCTATCAGATTTGTTTACTCATAGCTATTTCAAGTGGATCTTCATGATTGTGATCGTCACAAGACATGTTCAGCGTGTCTTTCGACGCAAAATCCAATATGTGGATGGACCACCACATTGAATCGGTAGAATATCTATCCAAGATCAACAAAAAAAGACAATCTAAACTATCGTTTTAGTTGCACCACTTATTCAGATCAAATTGCTGATGCAAGACGTTTTAGTTGGTTACAAATGGATGCTCACTGTCCAACTATCATCAATATCACACCCGCAGTCATATCCAATGCTAAATCGAGCAAAGTAAAGCATCAGTGTTCTATTGAAATTTGCTGTAAGAGCACCATTTAACATTTTAGCTACGTTTGGAAGTGGAAAGCATACCCGATGATACGACATCCACATACTCGTGTTCCTTCGTCTTATCTTCGCTAATAAATGTAGACGAACATGATTATGATAGACCAATTTATATATCAAATGCAATTAAACATGAAAATGACATCGAATGCTATTCACCGCCAGCACAAACATTGTCGAATATAAATCACGGTATCATCATTCTCGAAAATATGTTCCCTGTTGAGTAGAGAGTAAACATTGCTAGTGAAATATGATACTTGAAGAGCGATATCATAGTCTCGTCTGCATGAGTTTATCGCTCATCACAGTAGTACTTTATCTAACATGATATTCTGTAACACAGGAAGAAAGTTCATCTATAGCGATTATCTTGTTAGCCATGTATTCAACGTGAATACGAAGGAAAGAGTACCGAGCGTCTAGACAATCTCGTATAGTTCTGCGCAGTATGTGGAGACAACCTGCTGTTATCTGTCATATATATTGATAATTTTATGATTTTCCACTTTAGATTCTCTGACCATACGTTTATTTTACAATGATATTGTTCTAACTGAGAAAAATTTGACGTTCTACGATTGTTCATCGTATTTAACGTAAATATTCTTCTTTCGATCATAATGTTCTTTCGTTTCCAAGCGAAATTTCCTCATTTAGTTGTGCATCATGTATGAACAATTCATTTGATTGCTCTTGGAATTTACTCGATGCAAAATGTATTGATAGTGATTTAATTCTTGACAAAAATGAAACTATCATAAGTAATTCCTCAATCGTTCAATGTCCGCGATACAATGTTTCCAAACATGAAATATTCATTGCTGACGGCGAACAGTTTATGCTTGGCAACAAAGAACAAGTTGTTATACAAACAATTTCATTGAAAACTAACATTCAAAACTCTTTTCGTTGTGTATTAATACTAAACAATGGTAGTATCATCTCAACTATTGGGAAAGTTCAGAATAATCTATTGACATGCAACCCATTTCGAGTATGCTGTGTGCTCTTTTAATGAGAAGAAGTTCAACGGAATACTTTCTTCGTTAGATTTTCTACGATAAAGATGTTGGCCAACAAAGCTCACTCTTCAAAATTCAATGGGCTGAATGTGAGGACGAATGTACATATAAAACATTGGAAACATCAACAAACTTAACAGGTAATCTCATCAATCACTCTTCATCAATCATCGTTGTCTTTATATAGTAAATATATACAAATGTAAACATCTGGCGGACTCCTGTGGCTCATGTATCTTACTCCATGATGACTATCGCTGTCTCTGGTGTGAAACAGATAAATCCTGTCGGCACGAAGTGAACTCATCGAATTGTCAATCGAATCATATCATTAGTTCATCGATGGGTATTTGTCCAGATCCACGTCTGACAGAAATACATCCAAAAATCGGACCCGAATACGGTCGAACACCCATTCATATTTATGGTTCTAGCTTAGGTAAAAGGCCACATGACATATATGTTGTTCTTATACATTCAAATCAAACTGAGTATCAATGTCAAGTTCAAAATGAATCCTATGTCACTGCCCAATCGTTTATATGTCAACCACCGTCTTTACCTATTGGAAAATATACAATCAAAGTGACGGTACATTCTGTTGTTAGTAAAGATCGACCTATTTTTCGCATTGTGGTAAGATGATTTTCGGAATATGAAAAGAAATGTTGTTTTTACTTTTGTACTTGTCTGATAGAAACCAAATGTTGATGAAGTTCATCCAAATATTGGACCTCGATCGGGTGGGACACTACTCTCTATAAAAGGAAAACATCTGACGATTGGTAGTAAGATCAACATACTTGTTGGACATCAGCAATGTTTTTTAATCGAACACAAAGAAACACTTGTGACGAATATCATATCGGAAGATGAGAATAACCAACGATTCGCTTCATCGACCTTTGATTCTGAAACTGATGATAAAAATGCTGAAGAAATTATCAAATGTCGAACTTCGAGGTTAACCAATGTAGACGAAGAGAATCAAAGTCGACAACAGAGATTCGTTAAACGACAAGCTCTATGGATCGGAAGTCTGACTATTTTAATTGATAATTTCACTGAAACCTATTCGAATATCACTTATTCTTACACGGAGGTAAGATACAAAAACATTACTTTCAGTGTTCTAATCGAATTCTATGAATGTAGGATCCGCATGTACTTAATTTAAGTCGATATTCGGGTATTCAGAGTGGTGGCCTACCTTTTCTTGTTCAAGGAAGTAATTTTGATTCTATACAAGCACCACAGTTCTTTGTTGAATCAAATCAAAAACAGATCTTTCTTGAGGTATGTTGTTTGGCGTTCATCAGTTCTCAAAGAGTAAAATTTGTTCTCTCCAGCCTTGTACAGTGAAGTCATCTGAAACGATGCTTTGCTACGGCCCTTCATTTGCTTGGATGGGAAACGAAACAAGTTCAACAACTACCGTAGCGTTAGCTGAATCGACAACATCAACGATTGCTTCAATGTTAAGTCCTCAATCATTCTCAAACAACCATTGTCTCGAATTCAAATTCGGTTTTTTCATGGACGATGTCGAATCAGTTCGCAATATTTCAAACTACCGTGAGGTTTTCCTCCTTTGTCCAGATCCGATCATTTATTCATTCAACAACGACGGAAGACGCATACAATATCGTTATGACTATCTAACTATCGAAGGTTCGAATCTGTTGGATGTTGCTACAATCAACGATTATTCCATAACCATTGGCTCATTTCCATGTAATATAACTTCGATATCAGATAAACAAATCGTATGTCAACCAACAAATCAAACCATTGAGAAATTAATTCGAAAAAAACGGCTGCTTCTCAACATCAATACCAAAGATAGTGAACAAGCAATCGTTCGAGTAAGTCACACAAACATGATTCCCGCAAATCTTACCTCTTTTCTCTTCTAACATCGATTAGGTCACACTTGGTCGTCGAATTTACACACTGGGTACATTGACATACATATCCAACATGGAAAAACGATCATTAGTTTTGTACTATATCATTGCGAGCGTTTGCGGATTTCTTCTAACCATATTTATTATTGTTATCTCGATTGTTTTTCGACGAATTAATACTAAACGTACGCGACAATTGAATCGTTTGCAAAATCAAATCGATACACTCGAAATGCGTGTCGCACGTGAATGTAAAGAAGGTTTGTGATTTCTTCTTTTCTCGTACGAACAACTTTTAAAACTCTTCTATCAATAGCGTTTGCTGAGCTTCAAACCGACATCGGAGAAATGACCAATGATCTGTCACATTCAGGTGTACCATACCATGACTATCGCACGTACTGTATGAAAATATTGTTTCCAAATGCAACTGAAGAGGATAAATATATGATGCTGCATAATATCGAGATACCGGTAGGATTCAACTGAAGAAAAAAACTAATTAATTCTTAGATTTATTGCTTTAGTTTGAAACAAATCGACGAAGTAGCGTTCGACAAGGACTTCATTTACTTGCTCAATCATTATACAATCGGCATTTTCTTCTTCTAATTATTCGAACACTAGAAACAGATAAAGTCAATTTTCGTCTACAAGATCGTATGCAGTTCGCCTCATTACTCAGTATTGTTCTTCAAGAAAATATCGAATACTTCACTGAGTATGTTCCTAGAAGTTAAAAAGAATATTTGACATATTTCATTTATCGACATTGGTTTCAGGATATTGAAAATATTGTTAAAAGATTTAATTGACAAATCACTACAGCAAGATCGAAACAATAGTAAAATTCTATTGAGAAGTAATGCGTCGATAGCTGAGAAAATGCTTTCAAATTGGTTCGCCTTCCTCCTGTTTGGATATGTTAAAGTAAATTACACAAATTTCCACTTCATTTCACAAATTCATCGTTTCGATTAGGAACGTCTTGGTTCTCCATTGTACATACTATTTCAATCAATAAAACAACAAATTCAAAAAGGTCCGATCGATTGTTTTACAAGTGAATCGAGATATTCGTTGAGTGAAGATAAACTTCTTCGACAACATATTGATTATCTATCGATGGTAAGAATTAGCCAGAGAAAGAGGAAACGTGTGAGCGACGCTTTCTTTGCAGATTGTGTACGTTGTTCAAGTTGAAGATGGAAAATCTCATCTTATTTCGACACCGGTGCCAATTAAAGTGCTTAGTTGTGATTCAATAATACAGGTGAAAGAGAAAATAGTCGATCATTTTTATAAGAATGTTCCCTTTTCCAAACGGCCATCCATCGAAGATTTCGATTTGGGTACGTAAAAATATCTACATAGAATTCCGAGTGCGAAAGCAACGAACTTTTCTAGAATGGAGAAGTGGATCACGTATGAAATTATTACGTGATGACGACAAATTTGATAGTCCTGATACGAATGACTTTGTACAAGTACAAACTTTAGCGTCCTATAAAGTAAATCAATCGAAATAAAAACACTTCGATCACAAATCATGTTCATTTCAGGTTCATGATGGTGCTCGACTATTTTTCAGTTTAAAATCTGGAATAAATTATACAAATACCTCATCGTTAACACATTCTCAAGTAAATTCATCTGGAATAACAAATGGCTTAACTAGTTGTTATCCAACCAATGGTTCATGCTGCATTAAAGCAACTGATGCCGATCAGAGTTGGCAATCGTTACAAGGACACGGTAAGATACTGTTGAAAAGTACTCCCTTCGAATAGTTAACTGCTTTTGTATGTAGAAAATCAAATATTGTTAAACTCTTCCAAAGAAGTATTGACCTTACGTCGAGATCATCGTGTAAATAATACAATTCAGTCTCAACAATCGTTTTCACGCGCTCGATTAGAGCCCAATACACGTTTCTATCATCTCGTAAGTTGATGTATGTCTTTCTGTTCCGAAAAACATATATGGTCGTGTTAAGGTTAAACCAACAGATCGAGAAGATGATGATCGAACATTAGTGACCAATAAACTGGTTTCGGAAGTTTATCTAACACGTTTATTAGCAACAAAAGGTTCACTACAGCAGTACATCGATAAATTTTTTGACTCCATCTTCTGTCTCGCTGATTTACCATTACCAATCAAATATCTATTCGATTTTCTTGATGAACAAGCAGAATTCCATCAAATATCGGATTCGAATATCGTACATACATGGAAGAGCAATAGGTTCGATGAAAAAAGACAATATAAAACTTGCTAAACTTTATTTCTTAGTTTACCTTTACGATTCTTTGTAAATATCATCAAAAATCCTGATTTTATCTTTGACGTTCAAAAGACTAATGTTATTGACGCCTCTCTATCAGTCATCGCACAGATGTTTATGGACAGTTGCGCGGCTGGTAGTCATCAACTAACAAAAGATTCGCCTTCGTCCAAACTCCTATTCTATCGTGATGTACAAAAGTATAAAATTTTAGTCGAAAAGTAATTTGTCCAATCTTAGATTCTGAAACTTCTCATGTTCGATCGAATTACTCTTTTTTCTTAGATACTATACAGCGATTTCTTCTTCTTGTCCACCTGTATCTGCGAATGATCTCGATCGCATTGTCACTTCGTTGAAAGAACAAGAACAACAAGTAGGAATGGATTGATCCTTATGTATTCTGATCGTATTCTTTCTCCGTTGTAGAATTCATCAAATCGACGAACAAAAGAATTCAATCGATCTTATGTTTTATTCAAATTATATAACGATTTTATCAGTCCATATAAGAATAGTTTACGAACAGCGATGGCGAATGACCTGAATAGTAAACAGTATCGCTTAGCAACATTATTCGAACAAATCCTTAATCATATGGACAGTTTTGAACTAGATATATAAGATGTTTGTTTTGTTTCATTTTGTTTTCTCTTACGAATACAATGTTCTTGTATTAATTACAATCGATCAAAATTTTAATCTTCAGAATGATTCTAGCAGCGTTTGATAACAAGCGGAAAACTACTGGATCATCGAATTACACTTTAGAAGTTTTTCGCAATTAATAAAAATGAAGCTTAAGTATATTGATCTTTTTCCAAACAAAGACAATATCAAACAGTTATCTTGCTGTTTGTTAGATAAAACAAATGCAGTAGGAACAGTTCATTACTAGACGATTGTACACTTAACCATGTTGCCAAAATCGATTGAATAGTGACAGATTTGGAGTGATAGGATGACTTTCCAATTGTTGAATTTCTTCATTACTTAACCGCCATCCTAATGCACCTGCATTTTGTTCGGCTTGTTTACCATCACGAGCACCACCGAGCGGAATGACACCTAAAGCGCATAATTAATTTAATTGAAGAGAAAAATGTCTCATACCTTTGCATATCACATAATTCAAAGCAACTGAAGAAACACTGACTTTGTGACTGTTGGCGATACTACGCATCGATTCCAATAATGGCTCTAATTCGTCCAGACTGACGTCGGAAAACTTGCGGCCTGCAGGCGGTGGATTCGCTTTAGAGTATTTTCCTGTTAGACGACCCATTGCCTAGTTGATGCGATACAAAAATAGATACTCTCTCGAACATATTCACTCACAAGTGGAGAGTAGCCAAGCACGGCAATATTCCGTTGGTGACATGCAGCAATCAATCCCGATGTTTCAGGTACTCGTCGAAGAAGTGAGTATTCAACTTGATTTGACGCAAGTTGAATACCGTGCTTTTGCAAGCAATCGTACATTTTAATTGTATCTGCGGTTGAATAATTTGACACGCCAACAGTTTTCGTCAGTCCAAGTTTAACGGCTTCAGCTAGAGCATTTGCAACAACTTCAATAGAACGAAGATGAATGGGGCCGTGAATTTGATAAAGGTCAACACACTCCACCTTTAAACATCAAACGAAATCATCCTTGTAGACATATATTTTAGAATTGAAGGAGAAACCATACCTTCAATTTTTCCAGACTTGCTCGAAGTGCATTGATCAATGAGCTCGGATATGCAAATTTGTATGGTAATGGAAGAAATTTCGTAGCAATGACAATATTTTCTGTGCCAGCAACTGGTTGATTTGACTTATATCGAGCAATACAACGCTCGCTGAAAAGTGAGAATTCTGTTTATTTCGTATACAATCATACTTTCGTACACTCACCTTTCACCGTTTCCATACACTTCAGCAGTATCAAATGTATTGATACCTTTAGATATCGACATATCAAAAGCTTCTTTTGCTTTCGCATCCAAATCTGCATTCCAACCCCATTGTTTCTCTTCTCCCCATGCCCAAGTCCCAAGAACTACAGTACAGATGTGATACCATCTCTAAGCATCAATTGATGTATAACTCACTAAGCGGAGAAACTAAGATTTGATCAGCAAGTTTCACTTTTGTTTCTGCAGTTGGAGTAACATCATTTGGAATATATACATTATACGACGAACTACTAGACGCCATTGTCTTAATGTTGCCTTGAAAGCACTTGTGAGATAACGATCTTTTTATACAATAAAAAGTGAAAGTCATCCTTACTAAGCAAGTTTTTGTTTGGTCGCAAATTTAGCTACAAATGGATGTATATAATCACCATTAGGTGATTGATATGGATAGGAGTCGCTGCACTCTTGTACATGGAATCAATATCGGTATTTCTTATGAAGTCCAACGGATTTTTTTCGCATATATAACTTTACAACAAGAATTCTTTCAACGAATTTGACGCATCAACATGTGTATGTCAGTTCTTAATCTGAGCTTATCAATAATAGTGGAAGCATGCTATCATTCTAATGAAACCTATGGCGTGTTAAAACGAGATGTGCAGATTTAGAGAGATCCGCTCAGAAACACTTTATGTAATATTGCTCGTATGCCACAATGAAACGGCTGACAGAGTTATTATATCATAATTCAATCTGTAGTCGGCTACTGAAGTTTTCATTGCGTCTGACGATCGAATTCTGTTAGTTTTCAAAGAAAAACATCGTCTACACAATGCTTTTGTCAAATAGCATATAATAGCGCATAATGTACTGGTAATGTATGTAGTTATTTAATTAATACGACATCTATACATCAGATGACTCTGTCATCAACATGTATTTCTGCTGAGTATCTTAGATTTAAGCCAATCAAATACAAATGAAGAATGTCGTCGCCGTCAGAAATCTTTTGCCATTCTTGTTCTGTTAATATTATTTTAAGAAACGATGGATTTTGAGGCAGTTTATGATCTTTTACAAGCTGATCTCGTTAACTCTGGTTTTGAAATTCACCCATTTCTAGTGAGTCATCATCTGTTCATCGCTCTTCATTTGTCGAAACAAAGACAGCTTATTCTTTAGATCTCATGGTACAATTCTGTTGTTGATCCAATATTTCGTTTGACTGATTACGATGACGATACAGTGGCTTTTCTCATTATTAGCACCCCGACTATGTTCGAAAAAACGTTCTTACCATATGCTTTGAATAGACATAAAGATCTCACTCGTGATCCAATCGATTGTTGTGTGAAAGAAAAGATTCAATCGGCTGTTGAAGTATTCCCTCATACTATTTTCTAGCACTGGTTAATACAAACTTATTTGCTTGATAGAAACTTCCTGAACATGAAATCGATGTTCTTTTCGACTACGATCTTTGGCCAACGCGAAGACCAAAAATAATTATGCAAACAGTTGGACATATCTCAGGTGCTGCATACTTTTACAGTCGTCATCAGCTTATCAACGATCCATTTCCGAAAGACAGAGTAAAATCGTACTGGAATACAGTATCTGATTAATACTATGAAATGTTTTCCTCTTTAGAATATGATGGGTGTTTGTATTCATCCGAAATATGGCGGTTGGTTTGCTTTAAGATCCGTTCTTGTTTTTAAAACTTTGAAATGTTCATCGTTACCACGTGTTCTGCCGGTTGATGTGTTCAATGGCGATGAAGCATTGATTATCGATGTTTTACAGCGATTTAATTACTCTTGGCAAGATAGTACTTATCGAAATGTTATACCAGTGATTGCTACGTATTCAACCTTACAACAATCCTATTTTCAAACTAAACCCATCGATCGATTCGTTTGGTTGGATAATATCCGTCAAATGAATAATGAAAACGTTTAATCAATCGATTTCTTTTAGAAAGATCGTTTTGTAGTGTAATCTCCGTAGTTTTGTTTGATTTGAATAACCTCCGTGATTCTCCTCAATCAATCTGGTGATAGGTTTCTTTTTTTAGATGTTTAACATATTTAATCAAAAGACAAATGATGGCAAATGAAACAAATACGGAGACAGATCCGACAGGTAAAAAATATGGTGATGAATCTGATCGATTGAGTCCGATGATAAATCTTGTATGTAGATGCCGATATCTGTCGGGTTTGTCGGTGTGAAGGAACAACCGATCGGCCGCTTTTCTATCCATGCCTATGCCATGGAAGTATCCGATACGTTCACGATGATTGGTAAGATCGTCTTCAGTCGGTAGATTTATATACGATAGTATTTGTAGTTTGATTCAATGGTTGAAAGTCTCTCGTAAAGACGAATGTGAACTATGCGGAACGAAATTTCGTTTTACACCAATTTATCATCCGTCGATGCCACCGGGACGTTTACCTCTGAAAGATTTAGTTAATGGTTTACTACGCACCTTTCTCAAAGCTTTAAGATATTGGCTTCATTACTTAATTGTTGCTTTCTGTTGGCTTGGTGTTGTACCAATAACAGCAAGTCGTATCTATCGATGTCTTTTCGCTGGATCAGTGTCATCAATTCTTACGTTACCATATGACATCGTGTCGACAGACCACATATTAACCGATGTACTTCAAGGTGGTTTAGTTGTTTTTTGTTCTCTTGGTGCATTCATTTGTTTACTTTGGTTGAGAGAACAGATTCTCACAGGCGGTGGACCAGTATGGCTGCAGCCAGCTGAAGCTGAACCTGCTGCACCAGTAGCGGTCGTTCCACCAGTTAATATTATTGCGCCAATAGTACCAGCTGATGCAGTACCTGTACCACATCCTGAAAATCTTCCTCACGTCCCTCTTCCGCCTCAAGTTCCACCTGTGCTCGAAGAAACCGAACAGACATTACCGCGTAAGTTGTTGGATTTGTATGTTTATCTTAGTATGTAATGTCTGTTTTATCGACTAGAAAACGAACATGAACATGAAGATGCGACATTTGTCGATGCTGTTAATGATGAAGATGACGATGATGATGATGACGAAGACGGCGAAGATGAACCAAACAATCCCATTGCTCAGCCAGCTGTCGCTGCTGGTCATGCAGCAAATCTTGAACACAATCACAATTGGATCGATTGGGATCGAGCTGCCGATGATCTAACATGGGAACGACTACTTGGTCTCGACGGTTCATTACAATTTCTTGAGCATGTTTTTTGGGTTGTTACACTTAACACATTGTTCATTCTCATATTCGCTTACGCACCATACCATCTTGGCAAAGTGATCATATCTAGTAAAACTTTTCGACGCACTGTTGCTAACACACGATTCACCACTCCGATTAATACTCTAACCACTTATGGTAAGTCGTTTCACAGCCCATTGCCCCATATTCTATGAAGAGAATCTGCTTGTTCTAGGTTGTGTGACTGCATTTATTGGTTATCTTTTCATATCTTTTGTTCTTTTAATTACATTTACCATTCTCAGTTTTGTCAATTACTTAACGCGTCTACGTCGTCTTGTTGGTCTCGCTTACATTGTCTTAAAAGTGGCATTACTCGTCATATTAGAAATTCTGCTCTTTCCATTTATATGTGGAATATGGCTCGATATATGTTCATTGAGAATATTAAATGAACGGACAGTAACGTTGAATGATCGGTTAATCCAATTTCAAATGAGTCCCGGAACAAGTACATTTCTCCATTGGTTATGCGGAATGGTTTTTGTTTTTTATTTTGCAACATTTATCTTTCTCCTACGTGAAGTCCTTCGTCCAGGTGCATTATGGTTTTTGAAATCCATCAACGACATGGACTTTAATCCAATTCAAGAAATGATCCAATTACCACTTGCTTTACATTTAAGACGTTTTGCCACATCGATTATTGTCTTCGGTTGTGTAATTATTTTAATGTTCTATGTGCCAAGTGAACTGCTTATACGTTGCATACCGAAATTTCTTCCATTCAATGTCAAAGGAAGTCTAGAAACAGTCGTTAGTGAATTAATGATTGAATTCATCTTACTCCAAGGAATTCTACCAACATTGCTTGAACAAGGACATACACGAACCATGCTCAAATACATGGTAACGAATATTTCCACCCGTATGTCCTATTCTTATATACGTTTGTTTTGTAGCTTCAATTATGGGTCGAACTAGCATCATGGTTATTAGGTTTACGGTCTTTTCTTCTTGGAGACGCACCACCACCAATTATTCCCAATACACCACCAGTTGATCAGAATGACAATGTATTACCTGTACCAGTGGTTCTTGCACCAGCTGATCAAGCTGAACATAATCAAGCTGAACAAGCACCAGTTGCTCAACCAATTCCGTCATCTCAAACATTTATTGAACCTCCGTTGTTTCGTCTTCGTTTAGCTGGTCTTTGTTTATTTACTTGCGTATCGTTAACCTTTCTTTCAATACTTGGTTTAACCATTCCAGCAACCATTGGCCGTTTCCTCCTTGGCCTTCTCACCGGTTCAGCACGTCTACACGAATTATATACAATTTTGACCGGTCTTTACATTCTTTGGCTGATTTCTCGTATCATCTTCTTCATTCGATCATTATTACCGTTCGATATAGATAATATCATTGCACGATTGAAATCGTATAGTATTCTATGTTTACGTGTGATATTATGCACATTTTGTGTGATTGGTTATGTACCATTTATGATTGGGCTCGCTAGTGAATTAAGTATGACTGATCTATTGTTTTGATTGATATTTGAACTTCTTTGTACATGTCTATTTTCTAGTCTTAATCATACCTCTAAGTACATCGATTGAACAGACTGCTGTACTTACACCACTACGTGTTTGGATCATTGGTTTATTGAATACAAAGATTGCCATAGGTAAAATCTTCTTTTCCTACACATAATCTCTTGAGTAAAACGAACCACAACTTGTTTCTTCGTTGTCTAGCATTGATTATGAGTGGCCCGCAATGGCGTTTGAAAACTGTCCTTGAACGTCTCTATCAAGATGGTCTCCGCCGCATTGATTTCACATTTTTAATCAATGAATTTCTTTTCCCATTCACAATCAACATTGGAATGTTCATGGCATTTCCGTACTTAGCTATATCATATCTAGCACCACGACTATTTCAAGCATCGACTGTTCATCATATCGAACGTTATATTTATTCAGCCATCATTTCGTTCATGCTCCTTTTGACATTTGTTATCTTTCAAATCAAACAACTTCGTCTGCTCTTCGAGCATGTACGTGATGAAAAATATCTCGTCGGTCGTCGTTTAATTAACTTTGAAAGATGAGAAGGCTTTTCTTTTATTTCTTTTTCAATCGAAACTAGATTGTGTTGTTCCTCATCGTTTGTATATGTGCGTGCAATAGACAACCGAAACAAAAACTACACACACACCACCGTTTTGTGCTCGATCATCTGCTGTATAGTTGTCTTGTAATCCTTTTCGTTTTTTTTTCTTTCTGTTTAACTTATATGTAAAAATATATATATAAATCTATATATGAAAAGTAGATTTATTTTCATGCAACACAACAAAATGAGAAAACAAAGAAATTGAATTAGGCAAGGATATAGGATATCGATATCACGAATCGTAGATAAAAATACGTTGATATTTCTACAAATACAATTGAAAAGCGACTAGAAAAAGAAGAAGAAGAAGAAATGAATTTAATTACAGTACTGAAAGCAAGAGATTCTTGGAGAATATATAATGAAAAATATGGGAAAAGAAACTGTTCTTTGTTCGGCATCACCACGGTTCTTTAAAAAAAGAAGAAGAAGAAGAAGAAGAGAGTCGAGTACTTTCAGATTGACAGAATCGGAATGATTTTTCTTTTGTATCATCTCACTGTTCACTATCTGACGTGTTCATCGTCGTATTGGTTTTGATCGTTTTCCCACCTGATGTTTTATCTGATTTCCGTTTCTTTATAAATTGTACTATATACAATACTATTGTCACACAACCAGATAAACCCATGAAAATTCCAGCGATAATTAACGATGCTATATAACTATAGCGTTCAGCAATCCAACCTATTCGAAAAGAATCACAATGCGAACCTCTCATATCACACTTTGCAATCAAAGTCATTTTACCTCCCATAACTGGCCCAAATAACGAGGAAAGTCCTTGTCCAAGTAAGATCAGTCCGTAAGCTGATGTTAACAATTCTAAACCACACATGTTAGCAAGTATAATGGATGTCAATGCATAATTAGCTGAGACTGCTAATCCAAAGAGGAGAATAGTCGATACTAATGCGGGGTATGAGTAAGCAACGAATGGGATCAGGCAACTAGCAACACTACAAAGTATTGCACCGATATTGTAGAGGATTAGTTCGTCAATAGCTGAATAGTTTGCTATAAAACCGAAGAAGAGTTGACCGAAAAATTGGCCGATACCAAGAATAGTCACTAGCATTGTCATCTGCGATTTTGAATAGCCAATTACTGTTTCTCCATAATCAACTAAACAAAAGCAAAACAATCTATCTTGTAAGACTCGGCAATTGGTCAAATTTACCTGGAAATAAATAGATTAAATCGTAGAATAAATAGAAAAGAAATTGTGAGATAAAAATCAATATATAACGATAATCACGGAATAATTGTAAACCTAACATTCGACGTAATGTATGAAGAAATGATAAACCTTTTCGATAGAAAAGCAATCGATGACGTCGCTGACGAGGTCCTCCCGATCTATCTTCATCATCGGACTCCGACGATGAGCTCGATATCGATGTTGCTGATTCTTCGTAAACATACGATTGAGTTAAATCAGGGCAACTTGTCGCGGATAACGCTTGCTTTTTCTCCGATAATTTTATTGGCACATTACCCGGATAGAAAATATCCTTTTGATTGATTGGTTGATAGTAAACTTGTAGAAGATGTTGCGCTTGTTTTGCCGTTGCAAGTGAACGAAACCGAACCGAAGGGCGACCAGGTGCAAGCGTATCTTTGTTCGCTATGGGTAATAAATCGATGTGCTCTAGAATGAACATCGTTAGTTGATTAAAAAAAAGCGAGTTTCAAACGTACCTGTTTTGAGAATCGAGTCTTTCTTCGGCATAGCATCTTCAAATGGTATTGCTGGTGAGATATTATTGTGTTTTAGCTCGTCAACAACTGGTATTGGTCGATCACGACCATGATGTCCAAGATGATGCGTTGTTGAATTTATTTTATCGATTAATGGATTTTTGTTTTGATTTGGCACAACTAATGCATTGTTTCGTTCTTTAGTCTTATTTGATATTAAGTAACGGAAATTAGGCATGCGAAATGATTTCAAATTCGTTCCGGCTTCACCTTGCCTTTTCGTTATTTTCTTCCAACGTTCATTGATGAAAGTTCTGTCGTTGGAGATCTTTTCGCGAAAGGTGACCATATCTATTTTCGGGCTATTTTCATGTTGAATATCCGTGATATCATCAGCTGAATACGAATCGAAAAGATCGGATTCATTCGCAATGGATATCGAATCATTGTCGTCGTTAATTGTGGAGATTCGTTCATTATTCGACATTGAGATACTGACAGATTGATTTGCATGGCGTAACGCACATTGCTTATCCATCTCATTGATGAACCGTTGTAATTTTTCCATCGATGTCATACATGATGGTGGTAAACGCATATCGTTCATCGTATGGTGATAGTTTTTATCTTTTATATGAAATGCAAATTCAGCAGGACGAAAAAGTGCTCCAAACAGCACAATAGTGAACATTATACCCGATAAGAACAGAGTCGTGTCTCGCCAATCGCTGTAGTAATCATTTAATATGTGAATAACTTGTGCCACAACCGCATTGCCAAGGCCTAGAAATCGATCGTAAATAGGCGATTTTTTGTCTATGTTTAGATATGTGTTTCGTAAAACAAACCTGTTCCACCGACAGCAACAGCTGTTGCTATAGCACGATTCTCATCAAAGTAATGTGCCACAATGACAACTGCCGGGACATAAACACACGATAACCCTATGCCTACACAAATAAACAAGTAAACAGTATGTTAATTGATGTATTTTTGTGCACTTACCACAGGTTATTCCAATGCCAATCAATGCGCCCGTAAAATTACCGAAAACTGAAGCAAAAACTAACCCAAGAGAACAAAGTACACCACCTAGCATAGTCATAATACGACAACCAATTTTATTGACTAATGCACTACATAGCGGTGCTAAGAGGAGAGGTAAACTAACAAACAACGACGCTATAATGCCGACAGTATGTAATCCGAGATTTAAATCATCTTTGATTGTATGCATAAGAATACCAAATGAAAAAAGAAGACCGTCGGCAACGAAATGAACACCAAATGATCCAAAGACAATTACATATCGCCAGGCGGTTGTACGACGGATAACTGTTTGAGACGATGAACTATCGGTGGTATTCGAATCGTGACGTTGTCGACGTTTTTGTTTGCCTGCACACGCTGAGAGTAATTGAAACGATGCAGTTGATGCTGTTGTGGATGGTGGTGGCGATGGTGGTTGTAGTGGATCATCAGATAACATTTTGTTATTTGCAACCGTGTTAATTGTGATTTAATCATGCAGCAAAATTTTTTTTGAAAGTAGAATTGCTTGACTCGTTTAAGTAGCAATATATAATTGCGATAGTTATTGAATGAAGAGCGTGTGTTGATAGTTGAAAAATAGCAAACCGAAGCGGCCATACACCTAAACGGTGCTACTGATGACTTTGTCTGAAAATACCAGTCTGTGTGTATAGATCATAAGAAATAGAGCAATTGCGACGAGCTAAGAGGCCACTTATATGACCCAAGTATGTACTAATCAATAGGCAAGGAATAAAGATCCCAAGAGCAACAGCAGTTCTTTCACAGGGAATAATCTCGAGTTGTATTTTTGTATCTAATTATGGTCACATTATGTGACAAAAAATAGAGAACAGAGCGCGAGACGAGAGAGAGAGAGAGAGAGAAAGGCTAAACGCAAGCGAAATCAGTTGTTTTGACGGCGAGTAAAGGCAAAGAAAAAGGCCGAATGGGAATAACTCAGATGTTTTTTCTCTTCTCATTCTTTAACATTCGTATCGTAAGGAAAGAGAAAAACGACATGCAATTATGTAGGTTTTTCTCTCTCTCATTCGATTCGTTACCACCGATGAGAAATTAATGGAGAATAATGTACTAAAAGAAAAAAAATACGACTGACTAGGTTCATTGAAATATAAAAAAGAAATTAATTCCTATAAGAACAACTTTGATTTCATCCGCGCAAGTCGAATACAACAAGACCAATCACAAAAAAAAACAGCCGGCATTTCTTTCATTTAATCTAGCAATTTTCCACCATTTTCATCTTATACAAGACGCAAAAGCCGATGCTCTACTTGTACTTATATTTTACAATATTTTCCGACGCCAATAAATCCATTAAAAACATCTCTAACATCATTTTGACTTACGCATGTTCATAGCTCAATAGTCTTTAGTTAGGTTATTGTCTATCGAACCAGAATTTATGTGTACGCGTTCGGCTCTTGAAAATAAATTCCTTCATTATGTAAATACTTCAATCCGTTACTTTTGTCGTACGAATCCAAATCGGCTTTCTTGGAAAGATTAATCTGAAAAAAAAAGCAGATATCAATAGAAATGTTTTTCTTTTCTTTAAAAGATATTCCCAATTATGTTTCCATTGTTATTTCTACAAGATGACAAAAAAACAAATTCGACGAAATACGATAAGCTGAACAAAGAAAAAAGATGTAGAAAAATAGCCAGATATTTCCTTTCTAGACTTCATCAACAAGATGTAGTAGTAGTAGTCTCATGTAGCATCTGACAAAAATCTTTAGAAATATGCGCTGTAGTACTAGTACAAATAAACACACGAAAGTAAAGATGTTGAATATGAGATGAAGAGAGAGATAGAGAAGACACATTGAATTTAAAGATATATATATGTGCAAGAATTATGTAAGTAGTGCAGAAATTGTATTCAGGAGTTACACGAATCCAAAGGAAGAAGATATAAATTGATGTGATGCTATGCTTGGAACGAAAGACTACTGGTAATTGTGAATCAGGAAAAAAAACGTATAGAAGAAGAAAACTTAGTCCGTAGGATATCGTACTTTATCGAACCAGCCGTTGAGCATCGTACGTGCTTCACAGATAATATCTGGTAAACAGTATTCATTGGGTAGAGCTTGTTTAACATTCTCTTCGAAGTAAGAAAAAAATGGAAACCATATTCTCATTCGACTTTTATCTCGTTGAAAATATGTACGATTGTTTGCCAAACTGAAATCGAATTCAGAAAGAATGCGAGTACACTGATAAGAACAAGAAGTTATGCACAAATCTTACGTATGATAGTAGATGAATAGGCGGGAACTAAGTACCCAAGCAATGAGAATGTCAATAGAATAATGCTGATGTCCAGCCAAAATGAAAAACATGCCGGTGATAGCCATAATCCAGCTGAGAAAATGAAGTAGATGGTACGAACGTGGAGAATCTTAAATGAATAAATATGCACTTGTTTTCCTAGATCAATACCACTTTTAACAATGTCAAAGGCACATCCGTAACAGAAATAGACGCTTTTCTTTTCATATTTCCGTATGGTCTCTAGCATTTCGTCTCTTCTTCAAAGTTATTGTGAACCTTCATATAATGAAGCCGGCATCGTACTTAGCAAACTTTAATGAACCTTTTTACTGACCGAGACTTTGTTCTTTTAGCACGTTAGAAAAACAAAAACGCAATTACGAGCATTCTTTACATACATTCGTTGATAAAATGTGTTGCGAGCACGAGGGTACAAGTATGACCACTATACAAATAATCACCACATGTTTTAACACCGAATGATGACATTCCTTGACCGAGAAAGATTAACGTTGCCTTTTTTAAGCGTGTACCAAAGCTGGCCAATCTCTATTCAATGAAATCGATGATATTCCTAGGTGTTGGCATTCCACGCAAACTTACTTCAGGTCGGCAATCAGTTACTTGTGTAGCTACTGGTAGAGATGTGAAAACCATTGTTAAACTACGTAGAAAATAAAGTGCCGCTGCTATGGCAAATAATCGACGAATAATAATCAGTCTAAACAGAAAGAAAGAAGATATACTTCAGTAAATATTTATAATCAAGATATTCCATTAGAAATGTTTATGTAAATATACGTTAGAATTGATAAGAAAAGTGAGATCAATTTTCCTTTTTGTTGCGTGTTAAGAGGACTTTCATTACTTACCAATATTCAAAGTCTTCTGACGAAAAATGGAAAGATGAGTATTTAGCTAGGGAGAGTATGAAAATGTCTATTTACCGATGTCGATGCAGGACGATAATCGTGATGAGAGTGAGCACTTCGACGAGAATGATTTTTTCAGTAACTGAAAATGCCCATGGAATTTGTTTGACATTGTCGAGAATAAGGTCCGGTAATGGTGGAAAATTTTTGGGGTCTGGCAAGCGTTCATCAACGATTGTGATAATGAACGAACAGAAATATACAGTGCTCAGCGCAAGAAGACATGCGGATAAAGTCTTCTTTCGATCGGAACGTATTGAAGCAACAAAACAACAACTTGTAACTGGTTGATCTTCAATTTGATCGGCTGGCGTTCGATGTGGATTCAATAGAGGATTCGTGACACGCTGCGCTGTGGACGTAGATGACGGTGGAAGAATATTAACAGATGCATTTGATGTTGACATACTATGAGAAGAAGATCGTCGATGATGTTGTTGTTGTTGATTATTTGTTGAACGTGTCACAGATAAAGGTGCACGCTCGATCAATATGGTCGTTGGTGTGACTGATTGAGTTTGATTTGTGGTAATCGATGCTGTTTTTGCTAAAGTCTGTCGTTCCTGATGTGGGTTCATTTGTATAGTTGTATGCGAAGCTCCTGATGACGAAGTTGAAGACGATGATGTTATCGATGCTTGTGATTGCGTTGTTAGAATTACTGGGTCAGATGATGATGTTGCCGGTATAGCAGGTACACACGAGGGTGCTGTGCGAAGTTGGTTCAAAGGTGCAAGAGATCGAAGTGGTATAGATGAATGTAAGGCAGATGGGTTAAAATACGAAGATGCTGTCATTGGAAGAGATTGTTCAAAGTTTCGTTGTTGAGCAGTTGATGACCTCGATGTCCACAGATGATAATTACTCGAATAGAATTGTTGTAATTGCTTGATTTGTAACCATAGTTCATTATTTTTTCCAGTGCCTCTCAAACCCAGAACATCTTCCTCTTTTAAATTCATTAATCGTTGACCATTCATGCGATGTTCATAGCAGATAAGCTCAATACAATCATTTAAACCGTGTTTTATCAACCATTCTTCAACTTGTTTAATCGTCCATATCGATGGATTAGTTGTTGATAAGGGTGCTAACGTTGATGTCGAAAACGACGATGGAAGCGACGAGTGTAATGCATTCGATGATGTTAAGCTATTAGTTAACGGGTGCGAAGTAGCAGATGGAGTTGAAACAAGCATTTTCTTTTCTTTCTGAAGCCGGATAACAAAAACACCAAGAAAATGTGAATATAGTACTGAAAAATATATAACTTAAGGAATGTCTACAGAGAATAGCGAAGAAAAAGAAAGAGAAAAATCGATCTAATCAATATCTACTAAATCGAACTGAAAGAAAAATGTCATGATGTGATTAAAATGGCCAGAGTAAGAGAGAGTAGGAGAACACAAGGAAAAAAGCATCTCATGATTTCATGATAGATGAGACAAACATTCATAAATAAAAAATTAACGGCAAGTCTTATGATCTATGTATTTGTTTTTGTTTTGTGCTACACCGGTAATTCTTGTCACGAAGAATAGTAGACGAACGACATGCGCGCACACACACTCTCGATCTTAGAATGAATCTATCTAATAAGTAGTATTAATTCAGCAGAATTTATCTCTCAGTCGAGATCGAATAATCAATGTTGATATTTAGTGAAGTTCAACCAAATCAACAGATTAAAAACAAAGTCCCTGGAATGCTTCATTCGTCGTCCCGTCGATGTCGTGCTCATCACTCATCAGTTTTGATTTAAAATAAACGAACACGATTCTCTACCATTACTCAGATGTCAAACTAGCACTTCTTTTGCTTTACTGAAAACACCATCTGACACAGAGGCCTTTTAAGAGGAAATCATACAGATACAAACTCGACTTTATTTTACCTCAAATGACAGAGAAGAAAATGTTTTTTTTTACCACATCGTTCTTATTTACCTCAATTTTATGTAAAGCGTCTGTTATCAGATTAATTTTGTAATGTCGTCATTTGATATCGGTATCTGAAAGAAAAACATACACATATTTATAGCTATGTCTTCACAAGCTATTCATTTCAAGAAGAAAGAAAAAAAAATAAAAGAACACATTTTATGTAACTGCACTGGTTAAGATTTTTAGAAAGAAATTATCTAGATGGGCAAGATCTGTAAGTGATCGACACTTAATCATTCTTTCGTTTTTGCTTATGAAAATTGCAACGATTTTGATCGCATGAAATGGATTGTTTGTCATCGACGATATCTTCGTGAACACGAAACAATGTCAATGGCCATGGCACGCGGAACACATTTGGAACCATACATTGAATATTCTTTTCAAAGTAGGAAAACATAGGAAACCAGATGGATAGACGTGTGTCTGTTCGTGAGTGTAAAGCCGCATTGTTAGCCAATGAATGATAGTACAAAAACAGACGACTTGTTAGAAAAAATGCAATGAGTACATCAATGGTATAATGTTCATGTGCGGCGAGAATTAAAATCATACCAAATAAATTACAAAACCAAGAAATCAAATGTACAACATAGAAATCAGATGTTGTATCTAAAAAAACGAAACTAAGGTTGGTACTTTCGTTTGATTTTCTTACATTCTGTGATACAATGATTCAATAGGGTGAGAACAACTGTATGACCAGAGAACATATAATCACCACATGAACGTACACCTTGGATAGATAATCCTTGAAAGACAAAGATTTGCAGACACCGGGTAAAGATTTCTATCGACGTGCCGTATTGCTAAAAACAACAAACAAACTTGGAAATCAAGAAGATATTTTTTAGTTTACCAATGGAGTGCACTCAAGATGGTGACCGGGAACCTAAAATACTAAGTAAACATGTGTTCCATCCGGTGATATAGATAGCTTACACTCAATGATGTGACTAACATAGTGACAGATCGGAGAAAGAAAATAGTTCCTCCTAAGGCAAAAAATCTCCGCAAGATGATATTCCTAAACATATTACTAATGAATGCAGAAAGTTTTTCTAAATTATTTTCTACTTACCAATATTTGTGAAAAATTAAGATTAATAAGAATGTCAAACTCATAACAACGATGATATATTCACTAACGGAAAATGCCCATGCTAAAGCACAGAGTCCAATCGAGTTCGTCGTGATTTCTTCATTTCACTTACATATATGCGGAATATTGTCGAGAAAAAGATCGGGTAACGGTGGATACCTGAAAATAAACGTCGATGACTATACACTAAGCACGATTTGATTGATTACTTTTGTACATTTGGAACACGATTATGCACAACAACCATAATAAACGATGTCCAAATTCCACTAATCAATGCATAAATGAAACTGACTAGTAGTTTTCGTTTTTCACCTCTTGATGCGTTGAAAATCGGTTTCTCTTCAGCATGAATTTTGCACGAACTGTAGATATTATGCGTATTGGAATCCAATAGATGCGTTGGCGACAAAGATGAGTGATTATGCTCAACAACATCATCATCTAAACATTGTTGTTTCGTCGACATAAACAAAGGATTTAGCTCGTTTTGGTTGTTGAATAAATGTGAAGGATAGAACTTCTTCTGTTGACACTGCAGTAAGCAAATATGATACCATAGTTTTTTCACATCGACTAAACGTTTAATTGCCATAGGCTCTTGTTTAAGATCATCCTCTCTCATCAGTAATAACGTCAAACCATCGATGCTATTTTGTTTACAAAATTTATCAACAAATTTCGATAAATTCAACGAACAAAGCCATTGTTCAACATCAGCCGTTGTCCAGGATAGAATCGATGAATGAGTCGCATGCTTCAAAAATAGCTTTTTCATCAAAATTTATCTATAAATCAAGGCATACCGAATGAGTATCACCATTTGTTATTGCATTCGCCAATTTCGTCATAATTAATAAAGAAACAATGTCTAGAACTAAAAACAATTTTTGACATGTTCTAATCGAATTTTCATAGAAAATGATTAATAGATTGACATTATTGGCTCGAGTCTTGACTACGTCAGCGTTACGTTGTTTACTATTCGTTCTTTCGCAGATAAGGACTAGTGATTAGCTACAAGAAACTTTACTTAGGACCCGATAGATGTCATAGGCAATCAGTCACGAGAGTTTTACTTATATACCAACGCAATTCTTTTCCTCTCTTCCTTTGTGTGTACGTAGACTAGTGCATACGTATAAAAATAGGTCAGAAAAGAAAGGACTTTGACCTTAGAATTCCTCCAGGATCATACCTTACTGAATTATATATCACGACGAAAGTTTTTTTAGTGCAAAAAGAACGATTATATCTTAAACTTTTTCGAAAAAGTTTTATCAGTGCAAGAGATCTTTTACTCGAACAACTATCTGCTTTGCCGTACGACTTTGACTTTTACCTTTGACAGGAGATAAAAGGTTGCGTAGTCAACTTTTTCATCTGTTATCAAATACGATGTTGATGGCTTCAAATGAGATTGAATATTTGAATAAATTCATCGGTGAATCTATATGGTGAAAGAAAACAGTCTTACATAGAGTATTGGTTCAAATGTATGTGTGCATAATTACATTCTACGGTTACACGTCCGGATGGAAAGCAAAATATATCGTTTTTGCTTTCATAATTTCTTGACAAAGGTCAATCGATAAACAACGAAGTATAATATATGTAACTGTTGTTTTTTTCTTGTCATATCGGCAATCGATGGAGTTGTCTTGTTTGGTTATTAGACATGTAATCATCGTTTTGTTTCATGAGTTAATGTCATCGGAATGTTATGGCATTATTAATTCGCTTTTGGTTTTCTCCCACCAAACACGATATGGAATGTTGTTGCCTTCTCTCCTTATTAGACATGACGATACGATATGTAATTGCATTCAAGAGTGAACTTGTCCAGGTTTTGTTCTTTCGACCATTGGACGTGTTAACAGAAGATAAACTAAGCCTAAGTACTCTTCGTAGTCTCGAGAAGTACCAAAATACTTTCGTATAGAAGAAATGCTTAGCTGATAGAAGATACGTCGTATTATTGTTGTAATTCTATATTCATTTTCTTATAGTAAATAAAATGCAGCCAGGATGGGTACACGTCGGAGTATATACAATAATATACTCCACGGATGAGAACGTGAATGTATGGACTAATCAATGGAAGATCAGAAACGATCGTTAATGTGTTATATCATTTTATGGTGACTAGTTAGAGGATTTTCTCGAAAATAAGAGTAGTAAATGTTCAACATACGCTAAATTGCCTTCTGGTATGATATTTTCAATGAAAACTTGTTCTTAATCAAACTTGAATAGACAAGCTGGCCGATTATATTGCAATTGTTTCTATTCTATTGAAATTATACTCATCTAATGATAGCAATCGATCTGATAAGGATATTGTGTCACATATATCTCGATTGATAGTTATCTCTGCAATAAGCGTTTCTGCTATACCAAATGTAAAAATACAAAGATGTTATTTTCGGTTTGTGTCTTGGAAATACATCTTGACTAGAAGCTTAATCTAGTAGACGTCGATCACTAGTCAACTGCCTGCGGCTCTCTGGTCGCGCGTGTATGAGCACGCTTTCAGCTTCATCGATCATCAATTAACACTGTTGTTCGATTGATCAATCGATCGATTGAGGTACATTCAATATTGTTCGCTGTGTTTTTCATTGCTAGATTAACATGACAACACCCATCTGTCACTGAGTTGAAAACATCTATAGACGATGGCAACGACCGGTGATCGTTCAACTTGTCATTGTATATTTGAATTCTCTTTCTTCTGCGTTATTTCTCAGGAGATTTTCCATGCCTGGTCGTAAATATGAAATGAGATCATTGGACAACAATGAATGGACAATGACCAGAATCATCGCGTGTCTCTGTCTATTCACATTAACACATCCATTCTTTGTCGTCGTTCTCGTTGGAAATAATCAGACTAGTTCAAAGAAGAGATATTCATCTATCGAAATCAAATTCAGTTAGCTCTATCTTTTTAGTTATGGAAATCACATCATCAGCATTATCATATATTCTATTAGTTCATCAAAATCATTTTATGATCAATTAGTGGAAAAAGTCAAATGAGCTTGATTAAAGACAAGAAAAAGGAGATCTATCAAAAACTGTAGGGGGTGACAACAATATCAAAATACACGAGCCATTCATTGATTTCTTTGTCTATAGAAAGCTAATTATGATACATGCAAATAACTTTACACCGGCTGTTCAAAGATTCTTCTTGTTCATACAAATGATTTTTCAAAGTCAGTTCAGTTCATTCGTATTGGTTTTCTTTTCTTTAGTATACAACGAAAGGAAAAAAACTGAATCAATAAGGTAAAACGAAGAGAAAAAAAGAAAACGATGGTTATTATCATTCTTGCATTGATCCATGCACAAATAAACAGACGACGGAGGCCGCAAATGTGTTGTTATTGTTTTGTACAATACTTTTTTAAAAAGTGCACAGAAAACGAGAGAGGAAAAATTGATTTGCATTCCGATAATGAGAGTCACACGCAAACACACACACACAGATAATTAGATGTACGTCAATACGACAGAAAAGAGAAAATAAATATAGATGTAGAAGAACGAAAGAAAAAACGAGAATGATGAATAGATGTAATTGTTATTTATTAATAGAAGCTGGACCATAAGGTGTGACACCATTAGATGAATTAAGTGCGGATGATGATGATGCTGCTGCTGATGCTGAACTTAAAGGACCAAAAGGACCAATTGTACTGAATGCTGATGACATGAGATTAGTCATTCCTAGAAAAGAAAGATCAATTTATTAGAATCGATTTCCTTAAAAAAAAAACGGTTCAAATGAACAATAAGAAAACTAATTCATATACATTGACGAACAAGTAGACGATGACGAATTAGAGTTGATCAATAAATTATTCCAATTGGTTAATGCGGTGGATTGATGAAGAGAATTGATGGAAAGGGGTGATTTAAAAGCACTATCATACTGTTGATGATAATGTTGTTTGAGTGCTGTTTGACATACGAAGGACAAACCATTTTGACGATTAACTACACATACACATACAAACATACACGCATGCCAAACGTCAGACAACATAGACAAACAAAGTCAAAAGAAAACTAACCGTTCAAGAAGCCAGGCGACGGTACACCGTAGGATGGTGCAGCTGACCCATATGCATTGCTGTATGCGCTGTAACTGCGTGGTGACATCGGTGCTGTTTGATTTCGTGAGTAGCCTGAAAGACGAGAGAAAGAAAAACGAATGAGTATTTCGGTTGATGAAGTCGAAAGATTGCTGGGTTTCATCTCTGGAATTCAATTTTAACTATTCGAAATTCAAACACAAGACGTTCATGCAGAACTAAAGTATGATTGATCAATCAAATGAAATGATTATATATGTATCATTTTCGTATATGCAAATAAAATGGAAAAAAAACTAGAGATCACATGACAAGCAATAGCATATTTCCGACAATTTCAACGCATTCATTCGCTGCTATATACCTTCCAATGATGACATGTAATAAGCTGAAAAAATATTAAGAAGTTGAGTTCAAGACTTCTCACGGAGATGGTCATATGAAAATAAGAATAGAACTTACTAGAATCGTTTTCATGATCGCTTGGTGGTGTGGGAAGAGCAAAATGATGTGGGTTGCCTGACATGGTATACCATTGTTCAAGTAAATCAGCTGTACGCTTAAGAATCGTTTCCTAAAAGCAGATAAGATCAACGGTAAAAGTGTTCGTTATTTTGGTTTCTCTCTTCTTACTTTGGATAAACGATCGGGATCGTCAGTATGTTTCGGTAACAATTTCATTAAGCGTTGCAATGAGTATTCGATAGTTGGATCTTGCATTGCTACGAAGCGAAATTCTTGTTTAGACAAAAAAGACTTTATTTTATACAGTAACTTACTTATATACGTAAAACGTCCAGGGCAATCTCGACATAATTGTTTACCTTTATAGGAAAGTGTCACATCTACTACGCCTGGATTATGTCGTGATGGCGTGTGTACGCGAATAGCGCCTGGTGTAAGAACCTGTTCGAAATAGAAAGAAAAAGCATTCAAGATAGTTGTCTTCTCGCAGCCTGGATATGATCAACAAAAGAGACGTACTTCACTGTAAACAACCATATTATTGAACATAACTTGAAGACCATCGAAAAAGTTTTCGCCAAGAATGAGAACGACTTGTCCTCCGACAACCCAGCCTTCGTTCGGTTGAATATGTTTGATGACTGGTGGTGGAATCAGTGATTCTAAAAAGAAAGTATATTCTCATTTACAACGAAATCATTCATTTATTGATGTCAGCAGAAACAAGTTTTCCTTTCGCTCTGATATCTCACACATAGACGAACAGATACGATGAAAACTGACCCATATCGGAGTCTGAGACGGACGCACCTCCGTCGATGGGATCGAGCCGTCGTACACGTCGACCATGTTTTGAATTATTATGAACAAACATGTTTTCTGATACTGCCAATAAGGGTGTTTCAAGACCAACTGTTGTTGATAAGACCACCTAAATACAAACACTCGTTTGTTACTCCGCTGTTCTTTGATCATCAAAGGTCTGTTATCCTACCTGGAATCGACGCATATCACGTGGATTACCCGCATTTTTCAAACAATTTTGATTACATTTGAGAAAAAATTTGAGGAAAAACCTGAAACAAGAAATATACGGACAATAAGCAAATCTAATTTATTATCAGAAAACGCATGGGTCGCATGTCAACTAATCTTTCTTCACACTTCATCGTTGAGAGGAAAAGATGATCGCCTGACTTTGCATTTCTTTATATTTCATCTTGCACACAACAGCCTGTTGATCGCCTCCTGTTCAACTATATAGTCTACCAGCAAAGAAGAAAGAAGCAAATCAAGGAAATGACAGGTAGAGAAGAGAGGAAAAGAGATCGATTGTAACAAGGCAAAGAATTTGTAATCAGTCGTCACATTCTTTCCACTTGTTGCACTTAGATGATTGGAAAAAATATAGCAATTCTTCTTTTTTTTCTCTTCGCAGAAACGAATTCATTTTGATTAACATGTGCTTAATGTTCAATTGAAATAAAAAGCAAAACATCAGTGTCAATTTCAATAATATCATTTGCACGATAGAATCTGCTGTGGATAAAGAGGGGTCAACTCTCCGGTAGGAAACAACAAAAAAAATTAATTTCGATAGGCATACGTTGTCGACTCAAGGGACAGACAGCCGTTTACTGTCATTCGCAATTAGTAACAACAAAAAGAATAAGATGAATAAATGCGCACATATGGAAGGAAAGAACAACTAATTTATGATTAGGTTCGATTACGCACTACTATTTTTAAAAGAGCATACGTTCGCGTCATCAAGAGATTGTTTTCTTTTTTCCCCCTACTAATGATTATCAGTCTCATTTTGCTTTCTACTTCCAAACAATAGCCATAATGAGTACACTCAATGATTCAAATAATCTAGGGGAAAGTCATGTTTCTTATCTGGTACATCACGTCCTGTTTTTACTAAATATTTATGTTGGAGTGATAAGAAAACTAATCAGAATGGGAGAGATAGATATGCGTGTATCTGTTCCATTTACCGTTCGACAACAACCGGATCCGATGGTGTTTCGTTTCGATTACCACATGATTTTTTGTCACAACAACGACTGCACATCACTTCATGAGTTAGTAAAACACGGCACATTTCTGGATTTTTGTCTTGGCCTTCGTATACAATTGGCTACAATGAATGACATTACTTTCTTCTCTTTTTGAGTAGAAAAGATAAAACTACATACTTGTTTCGTGTTAGAATCAATCATTCGAACGTAAATATCCTGTTCATGTCGATAGTTTACTAAAGAAGAAAATCTTCTTTTACAAAAAAAAGATCATCAAACTGTTGTAAATCTTACTTGCTGGATAATACAAATTAAGTCGATAATGAATACCGTTATTCGTACGTATTCCATCCGGTTCCTAGGCAAGAATATAAAAATAGTGACATATGTTCACGCGTATGCGGCCTCTCTCTTCTGACAGTTCTCAATTACAGCTGTGCAAGTTTTATAGACGGTTCAATGATCAGAAGACTATAGAAGATACACATGGAAGAAAAATAACTTGTCGATGAGTTATAGAACTATGACGCGTAAAAAAACGAACATCTTGATATAGAAACCATCGCGTGATTGCAATCGCTGCCTGTTTCATGTGGATAGATACACATATGGAAAGAGAAATATGATAATAGCAAGTGATAATCATAATCATTTTCAAATATAGAATCAAGTTCGAATTTCCTCGAGTGCCGATCAGCCATCGATTATGATTATGTTATGAATCAATGTGATCATTTACAAGATAGGGAGAAAATGTTGTCTTGTTACTGTATTGTCTCTTTGAAACGATGAAAAAATAAGCATATGCTTTTCTCGATCTCTCTCCCTTTCGTTAATTTTAATATAGAAAAAAAATGTCGAAGAACCTAATCAAATTAGTTTGTATATCCTACGCGGCTATTCTACAAGTGTCCCGTTACTTTACTGTGGGCGTATAAATAGCAAAAATTATGTTAATAGCACAATACTTTACTGCTTAATACTCTCGTGTACACATGTAACATCTGGTCAATAGGCATTGTAGGCGGTGCCCTTGTCTACTTCTGCATCAATATCACATATACATTATAGATTCGTTCAAATGACCATCATTTCTCGTTTGAGCTTATATGTATATTTACCATTTCTTTTTCCACGAAACCAACAAATGCTGTACGCTCGATTTCGATTGGTTTATTACTGCGATCGTAGAGAGCCACGGTAAAATGAAAAAAGTTGCTTTTACGTAAATTGTTTGGTGGTTGCCTTTCAAAATGGGCCGAACCGACGCCAATGGTCGAATAGAGGTAACTTGAAAGAGAAAATTAGCAAGAATAGAGAGATAATACGAAAGGACAGGTGAAAACTTACCAACTAGGATCGACAAGCATAGCTGGCCATGAAGCTCTCAAAGGTTCTTCTTTGAGACCACCGAAACTTGATGAAGGCACCCGAGATTGCATAAATGGGTCTGGAAAGAATAAAAATAGAGGTGTTTCTCAAGAGATTTTGAAGTTTCTTCTATGATAGAGATTTTCTATTTGCCTGGGAGAAACGCTTGTATGTTTAACTAGCTCGAAGAGACATCTTTCTAAGAAGGTAAATGTCTCATGAGATTGATATGTAGACATAAAGAAATACTCTTCTTGTTTCTACTGGTCTTCGGAGACAGATTATTTACCGTATGGATTCGACGGTTGAGAACAAAGATCGACTTCAGTAGGAGCACCGATTCGTCGTTGACGATTATTTGTGTCACGTCGCGCCACCGTTCAATAACTCCAAGATAAATTGTTTCGATATATTTTATCTTTATATATCGACTTCGCAGTAATATCCAATAAATCTACTTCAATCTTAAATAGACCAATAGGGATACGAAATAAAATAAATAAATAATAAAGCACTCATATCTCTGATGCTCCACTCGAGGGAACGACTCCGAGGTTCTTCTTGAAAACAGATCCGTGCTGATTAACTTTCGAATCTGTAAATATCAACGATATATGATCTAATTGATTAAGAATAGTCAAGAGAGAAAATTTCGAATCGAATGTTTCAGTCAGTACCTTATGTTCTGTTTTCTATGGTTGTATGACATGTAATGTTATTTTTCTTCTTTCTTTATTCTCATCGAGAGACTGCGGATACCAATGGGAGAATCGCGAATCGGGAAAAGGACTGTGTACGAGCTCTCCTACGAGACCTTGCGCGCCGTAACAAAGAAGAAAGGCAAGGGAATTTGTAAAATGAAACGATTAATCTGTTTTTCCTCGTAGATCGCAAAAAGAGAGAGAGAGAAGCAGAGAAAAAAAGACGAGCGCGTGAAAAGGTCAAAATGATGGAAAGAAACTCCTCTCTCTCATCGTTGTCGTCTTTTTTTCTTCTCCTTCTTTTCGTCACTGGCAACAACTTGTGTTTTCCTTCCTTTCCTTCTGTATCTTTTTTTATCTTACGAGATGGGCCAATAAGAACAAACGATAAAGTACAAGCCAATTCCCTATTGGTGCTAAGAAAATGATCATGATCAACATCTATACTTACGAACAACTCATTTTTCATCGTCTATGCGCGCAAAGACCGACTTTTTGCTTGCTTCGTCATCTCTTCTGGATGATTATATAAGTACAAAACATGGGAATGTGAGAGAAGCAGAGGAAGACGGAAAGCCAGGGAGAGAGAGAGAGAGAAAGGGTACGTGTGATCGTTGTTCCACTCAATCAAACGTTTTTTCCTTTTCTTATATCTTTAGAGAAATCATCTAGACTAGGGAATTCTTCTTACTACTTTTTAACAGCGAAAAAAAGAAAAAGGGGAGACTGAAAACCGACAATAGTCATTAATATGTGCATGTGTGTAAAAGAGCAAATCAACATATATGATTAGAATGAAAGAGCTAGCAAACATTCAAGGGACTTCTGATGCTTATCGGAAAGAAAAAAGTCGTTCTCAAAAAAATGATTATGATACATAAGCTGTTTTCACGATAGAGACAACCTATATCGCAAATGATCATTTTTACGACTCCTCGGAGTCCTACACAGGAGTTCGATTAATGTCCACATTTCGTATTGCACATGCTAGTTCTTATCTATCTCTCTTTTCTCCATGAGAGAAGAATAAGAAAAGACAAATCAATTGATAATATTAATGATAATTGTTTTTCTCTTCTCAACGAATCGAATTGTCAAAACAAAACAGTCGAACAGGTGTGGTGTTTCAATGTGAAAAAGAAAACCGCGTGCGTCGAATTCAATGACACATTTCCGTTTGATTACAGCTCTCTTCGTTTTTTCCTTCTTCTTCTTTGGAACATATTCATCAACAACATCAGAAGAAGATGAGTCAAACTTGTCAAAAGATTAGATGCGCCTGATCAGAATCAGGTGTTTCTTCTTCTTCTTTTTTTCCTGGCTGTTTAAAAGATCAGGCTTAGCTCAAATTCTAATTTATGCAGCAACAGTCACACCATTGAGAAGAAGCGTAAGGAGATATGACAAGTGGTGAACGAAAGATTTCAATCAAGCACACAGCTTCATTGCATCACGTTTCGCTCGAATTTGATCGTATTGAACATTTTTCGTTCCAGTCAATCAGATAGACTGTACTTTGCTTCGAGTTCATATTTTCATATTTAAAACAGTTCACCAACGAAAACTGAAATTATGCATAGGAATATTTTTCTCTTTCAAAATGAAAAGAACAATGTAATTGATTGTTTTCAAGTGATCTCCATTGATTTGTTTATGTATGATTAGGTTGATAGATACTCAAAAAACACACAATATGTATCATGCTATCTGATTACATTAGTCACAGTATGAAGCCTTCTACTTGTTCGATAGATTCAGAGATTTCAAAGTTAATTTAAGAACAACATCAAGACTTCCGTTTGTTGCATCATGACGCACTTATGATCTTCAAAGGAAGAAGACGGTAGACCCCCTGTTTATGTTAACTACCTGCTTGAAACAAACGTTGTCATCGTCAATGAGAATACAAGCAACTATCTATTTTCGTCTTCTTTTTGTTTAACGATATGCCGCGCCGACACCATCCAGTGTCGAAGACAATCAGCATATAACGTACCTTACACAATCGCAGACATTTATCTTGTCTCTCTCTCTCTCTACGTAGACAATCTATTCCAGTAGGATGGAGAATTAATGATGATTAGATTCTATAGATGTTTGTCTTTTATCTTCTTGTTTCGAGTTTTTGATTTGAAACAAAAAAGAGAAATCGATTAATAATTTATCTTCTTTTCTACTTCTTGCGGTGACTTATCATATCATTCAAACAAATATATCGATCTCCATCTGGTTGTATCTGAAACAACAATTTGACAAATTATGTTTTGTGTTCGTTAGTTCAAATGATAATTACACTTCGTGTTCATTGTGAAACAGTACAAAACGTTTCATTACTCAAGACAATTGCTTGTCCCCTGAAGACTTGACTCCATAATCAAACAAATTCAATACTACCAATACTCGACGCATTTGATTGCTCATTAACGAAAGTCACAGACAGAATAAATTGTACATGAATAAAGATAGTTTCGATGCATACTTCAATACATTTTGTCACTCACTTGAGATCATCGATATTTTCATATGTTTTTTTTTCTGCAACGTGCTCAAGTTTTGACACGAATCATTCTATTGAAAAGATGACGTGACTTACGACTAGTCTGCATCTGACTTCTTGAACTTAACAATTTGTTTCTAACCAGTATACGTTGATGATGGCCAATCCATCATCATTCGTTTCTTCTTTTTCCTCCATTATTCAACCATATTTTCTTCTTGCTCTACAACTGCGTAACGTAATTTTATTATTCCCTTTTTCTCTTCTTTTTACATTACATTGCATTGCACTGTGTATGACGAGTACGGAGAACGACAATGCATCAAACTTTCTTTCAGCATCGTCTTTGTCGTTCGAGAAAACAATAACTTAAGTAACCCCATAGAGCAACAAAAACATATTGCAATTTCGATTGTTCACATGTCTTTTGTCAGACTTTCATAAGAAAAACATCATGCAAGACGTTGTCTCCTCGACTGCCCTCTTCGAACATGACGACCAAGATTCCAACATTGCAGATGCTAATTATGAAAGTGAATCAACATCAGAGACGTCTGCAAGTGGAAAAAGACGATCTTTGTCGCGGCAAGAAGCGTTCCGGCAAACCAGTCGTCGACCATCAAGAAGAACGGAGTATGAAAATGATTGGCAGGGGCCGATGAAAGTAAAAAACAGATAATTCAACTACTTGATTTCGTCGCACAAGAAACGTCATTTGTCTAGGACGTCCCGAATTTTGATGCGTTTGATAGTCATTTGAACATATTTGCCAAAGAAAACCTCCCACGGCCTATCGTACGTGACAATGGCTCGGCTTCACAACGACGAAGTTCGGAATCACTCGATGCAAAAGAAAAAGACTCATTGTCCGACGCGGAACTAGTAGAATACTTTGCAGAACGGTAAATATAATTTTGGTTTTAGCAAATGAGACCCGTTATTTTTAGAATGAGACGATTACCCCTGCTATACGGTTTCAAAAGTCCCGAACGGTTCAACGTATTACAAAAAGCGATGTCTGTAAATCATGACAAGGTATCTTCGACATAGTTTTTTTTCTCATCAAATCGAGTTTATTTGCTTTTTAGAATATAAAATCAAGACGTAATCTATTCGGAAGACAAAATCATTCCAAAAACCTTTCTCCTACAAATTCAATCAAATCAGAGTAAAATAGAATATTTATGATTTCGATTGTGATGGATTATTCGATTGTTTGTAGAAGTAATTCGTTCAAATCAAAAAGTAAAAGAGACGTTCTTCTTCCAGTAAGCCCTCCTATTTGAAATACAACTAACCCATACGTTGCTTTTCACAGAAAATCAATACTACATCCGATCAACATCACTATTCTTCGTTCATGACAGGTCCAGCAATAGCCTCTCCATTTCGAAGCAATACTGAACGTTTCCCAACGAAACTAGGACGAACCGCGCCTGGTCCTGGCATGTACGACAGAGTGATCGGTTTTCCAACTCAAAAGCAAATTGGGTCGTATCTATCACGTGGAATCTATTTTACTACTAACTATTCGTAAATCAACCCTTCAGCCATGCGTGAATCTGTAGAAAAGAAAGTTTTCATTGCTTGAATATTTATTTTGTTCTAATGCATACATTTTTGACAAACAGCAATCAAAGACGGCCACTGAAAATAAAAGCTTCTTTTTTTACCATTGCCCGACTTGCTATTAAACTAAACAAATAGTTGCCAGTGTAAACAATTGGAGAAATGGAAGACACGGAATGTTTTTTTCCTTTGACATCATCGATAGTATGACACCGATTGCTTCGTTAAAGTTCAACAAGAGATTTTTCTTGATCAATGTTTAATAATGTAACAAGAGAGAAAAAAAGCGAAACTACGATTTCTTCTAATCAGAATGAAATATGAGAAAGAGGACAGCGGTAATTGTGATGAGACTTCGTGGCCATTTTTAGCGTACGGTGATCTGAAGCCTATCGAGAAATGTTTGAAAATAAACTCGTAATATTGACATTAGGTGGAATTGAAATCGAATCCTAACAGGAGCTTAACACATTAAAAAAAAACTTTCTTCGTTTCTTTCATGATACTAATGAACAGAATAGATATAGAGAAGAGAAATTAATACACAATTCGAAAAACTCATTTTACAAGAAACAGAATAGTTCAACACAATTAATGTCATGGACTATCGGGCCACCAGGAAAGAATATCAATCGGTGATTGAGGTACATCACCAGCAGCACTACTCATATGACTGTTGATTGTTAGCATATGTTGTTCATCATCAGGAGACGACCATAATTGATAATAGTAACTGGAATCTATCGGATCATGTCTTGAGCAACTATTTTCAATTCGTTGATCACCATCATTGTTCGTAGTCAGATCACCGTCAATGTACGCATCAAGATTTGGCACAGCAGCTGCCGCTTCAGCAATATCCTCCGATGACCAAGTAACAGTACATGAGGTATGATCGGTTCGACGAAAAAACTGGTGGTCTAACGCGCGATTAGCTGTTGGACGGAGACTTTGGTTGAATGAAAGTAATGACTAGAAAGAACATGAGATCGATCGTATAATACATGACACATACGTTGAAGAATCAATGAAACTTACTCGAAGGAGATCGAATGCACAGCTGTCTGGAAAACGAACAAGTCGTTCCAGAGTAATGATCGGTTGACGACAGTTCTCAAATGCTTGTCTCCCAATGTGCGAATCTTGTGGCCAGTCAGTCTCAATCGGTAAACCCATTAAACTAAATACCATATGGAAATTAGCGAATCTTTGTAGTGTTAGTACTACGTGATCCTTTGAGAAGAATCTACACTTACTGAATAATGCGCCGCAATTGACGAGTTTCAGATTTCGCAGAAAACAATGGTCGACCTAAAGCCATTTCGCCAAGAATACATCCGACGCTCCACATATCAGCTGATGTACAATAGGGTGATGATAGAAGAATTTCTGGTGCCCGATACCACATTGTCACGACCTTAATATTCAAACAGTATTTATACATATTTGTGACTGTCAAGACATATTTTACCACAGTAGTGAAAACTTTATGTTCATGATATTCTCGAGCCAAGCCAAAGTCAGCTAGTTTCAGTATACCTGCAAAACAAATGTTTTTCGTTAATCATTCTAAATCTTTTCCCAACAAACCACTGTTTGTAATAAGAATATTTTGTGGTTTAATATCGCGATGAAAAATCGAATGACTATGAAGGACTGAAACAGCTGTTAATAATTGTTGAGTGAAATTCTAAAATCGAAAATGAAAGAGAAATTATTCATCACACACGTCCTATCAGACTACGAACTCGAATCTGATCAATATGCAGGAGATTATGAATTTTTAGATAACGTTCAAGATCTTGTTCAACATATTCAAAAATAAAGTATATATTCTGTTGATCAACACTTGATTGTTCACTAAACACTTCTTTCAAACTAAAAACAAAGACAAAGGAATCGTGAACATGAAAGAAATGCAAGGCTCTGGATAGATTCTTACCAGATCAAATTATCACTACCAACTTTTCCAATTCTTTTCAGTAGAGCCGCTTCACGAATCACTGAAGGTGGTAAACCTTCTCGAGTACGCAACATGCTCATCCGTTTGATCGCCACCGTTTCATTGGTCGCTACATTTCGACTTTTGAATACGCACCTATGAGACAAAGGAACATACCGTTCTTTACGAAAATCATTTTTTCACAAGGAACAGATCTTACCCATAAGCACCTTGTCCGATAATTTCTCCTAGTTCGTAAACATCTGATTTCACAAGAAGTAGTCTAGCCATGAACGTATGCGCTCAACGACACGATGTGAAAGAATGGGATAACATCGCTGAACTTTCATTGAACGAAACAAAAACAATGATGATATTCAGACGAGGTGAACATTTCTTTTCCTTTCTTTGCATTTATTCGTGAAGAGATGGATACACATGCGTCAATAAATATGCAATGTTCGTTCGCTATATTGATCGTCTCATTTATCATGAAAAATGATTCGTTGGTCGTCACATTTGAGGGCCCTGACACACTTTATATTAACCAAATATTAAAAAAAATAATAAATTGTATCACAGAAGCTACTTCGTAAAAGAACGCAAAAAAAATTTCACATCATTCAAGAAAATATTGTCGCATATCTTTGAGAATCAATGTTTCGTTATACGACAAAAATATCCATTGTTGAGTTTTGCTTGTTCGGTTGCATCGTTCCATGAACACTTTCTTACTTTCTAACTCACAATCTAAGCACAAGTGTGTGGATACATGGATAATATGAAACGACTTGAAATCATAGATAAAATGCTGGTTACCACGCATTCCTGTACACATGAGAAATAGAACAAACGATAGACAATGAAAGTTGACAGTACCATGACAACTGAATAGTATAACTGGTGTACGTTTCTCTTGTTGTGGTACATCGAAACATAGTTCACGTCCGTTTGGTCGAATGTCTTGTCGCCAGCTGAGCTCGAATTGCTAGAAAAGTGAAGTTTTGAGAAAGTTTCAATGAGATTTAGAAGCCGTCGATTACTTGTTCACCACTCCGATCACGATGATCACGAAGACATCGATCAAGACCGAATGTTGCGTGCTCACCGCCGAATTTTGTGTCGATGCACAGAGAGCTAACCATACTTCGAATCTATATCATTTGAGAAAAGTTTCGAATTCATTATCTACCAAAATAATTCGCCAATATTACTTCGCCTGTTGCATACGGTGGTAAAGGAACAGGTGGATAGTATTGAGGTAGATCAAATGCAACATGCTCCATAAACCTAGAAATACAACTGATAAGATGACTATTGGCCATAATTATTCGATTGAATACCATTTAAATGGTTTACAGGCTAATTTCTTTCGTATTGCCAGTTGTTTTTCAATATTACCTGGATCTATATTTCTACATACATAAACAAATGGATAGGCTTAATTCAATCAAAAACGAATATACCTCATATGTTCATTGCGTTTATACACATACTCAGCATATTCGTCCATCCAAACTGCAGCAACACGTTTATGATTCTATGATGGAAAAATATATTCAATGAGATATCCATTGATAGATATGTTTACTCGGGATAAATAATCACCCAAAGCAAATCCACCGTGGGGGTTAAATTGACGATAGATGTGTCCAACTCTCGAGCACGGCGCATCAACTAATCGACCACCACATTGCCAGATTTTAAATGACAACTCGTATTGTTCACCACCCCATATATCTAAACCTTCGTCATAACCGCCTAATTCCCAAAACCATTTGCTACTTATAGCAAAAAGACCACCCGCCATAACCGGATTACTAGAAGAGAAATATTCACCTTAACAGAGACTTGATTTGTGAGCGCTTACTCGAATGGTTCTGATGGATTTTGTGCATGCGATGATAATAAAGGTAGCCGTTTATAGTACAAACTCCAATCAAAAGCACCACGAGCTCCTAAAGACTGACCGAACGTAGGTATCACTTTTCATCCCGTTTTCTTTACCTTCATCCTGAGCGATATATGCAAAATTTTCCCATTTAATAATATCAATAAACGGACAAACGCTTGTTTTGTAATTCAATGCAATCGGTTCAATCAATGGTGGTAACCAATTGATATTGACTTCCACATGTGAATCAAAAAAGATTAACACTTCCCCTTTTGCTTCACGTGCACCAGCGATTCGAGCGCGAACTAAACCCTCACGTTTTTGAAGACGAATCACACGTGTCTTCTGTAAAACGGAAATACGCTTATCAAGGGGACCTTTCAACTCTTCTGTTAATAAAAAAAATATCAGCGGTAAAGTTTTTACGCATTGAATAAGTTTACCTTTACGACTGTTATCATCAACCAAGATGATTTCTTGTAGAAGATGAGCAGGCGTACGATTTATTATACTATGGATCATTCGAATCAATGTAGTCAAATGTTCGTCATGAACAGGAACAACGATGCTCACCTAAATGGAACATACGAACTAGTATACTTACTAAAGTTTACATTATGCCTTACTGTTGGTAACTCAGCAAGATATAATCGCTTCTTACAACTAAGACAGAAACAAAAAAATAGACTCGTATTGGAGTGAGAGAATTATTTACTCAGGATGTCGAATATCTTTGACTGAACGCTCCAATGAAATGTTATTTGAGATAAATGCATTGAAACCATTGTCACGATAGAGTCGTTTGAATTCTGCACTGCTGCGTTCTTGTGCGCTGGGTTCAACACCCGCCCCTCCTTCACCGACACCTATTCAATAGTAAAATGGTATTCTGCAAGGTCGAAGTTAAGTTAAGATAAAACCCACCAGTGCGAGCATTTTCACGCTCAATTGATTCATAATCGTGCCAATCAATTCTTTTCACTTGTTTTCCATCAATTTCGACAATTTCTTCTCGTACAGATCGAAAAGGTTTCTTCGTTGCCGCCGTCGTCGTTCTTTCATCGATTTTCACTCTGGAATGTGACCTTCTACGTACGATGACTTCGTCATCCACCTTCAAAGTCTCTGACGAATCATTGAGCAAATAGATCAGCGACAAAATCGTTATAATCAATATGATTATCAAACGATTTCGACGGAATCGAAGCGACATTATTTATACATCGATCTATATCATATCTAAAAAATGTCTTCAAGACGAAGATGTTCTTTATTTTTAAAAAAAGAAAAACATCATTTTATTTTTTGCCTTCGACCATTATAATATGATAACCGAATTTGGTTTTAACAAGAGATGATATCACTGGTTTGGCTAATGTACTAACAGGTAAGGCAAACGCTGCATCCTGAAATTCCCCGACCATTGATCCGCGCGTCATCCAGCCTAGATCTCCCTACATGAGAAGATATGAATCAATCTATCTAACTACTACATCAAGCGCATCTTACTCCATGTCGAGCTTTATCTTCGGAATATGTACGCGCAACTTCGTCGAATTTCATACCATTATTGAGTTTTTCCAAAGCCTCCAGTGCTTTCGATTGTTTTTCACATAAAATATGTCGAACCTTGAGAATAAAATAATTCTATTCCATATTTATGATCGTATATATTTACTTTGACTGAATTACCACCTTTGCTGCCACCACCTGATGCTTCGCCCGAATCACCATCAGCAGACGCTCCTTTGCTTTTACCCTTTTTCCCCGACATATGCTAACTTATTATGAAAATCTTCAAACTGTCTTTTTGCAACGACAAGAAATCAAAAAAGTGGATTGCGTGTGCATTTATGCAAGCAACCAGCAAGTCAAAACCGATTTGTTCTTTTGCCTAATCAATGAGAAGAGAATATGTCAGAAAGAAAGGATGAATGAATGAAACAAAACATAGGTGAATAAGAGCGACATCCCATCATATTATGACATATCATCTATCAAGCAGAACTGAAGTGAATCTACCAAAAATAGCTGTTATTTCTCTGAACAATGCCTTTCTATCCCGCTGATGTATACATTCATCAGCTGGAATGACTTTTCATACGATCCTGTTCAAAGAGAAATGCTTGATTCTTTCAATATGCGTTGATGATCATTGAATGGAATGAAATCGATTTCATTAAATTTCTCTTTCTATTTTGTTTTCAAGTGATGAACTAAAGCCAGAGAAAGAAAAACGATGAGAGTTGTTGAAATAATTATTTGCACAGACGCGTGTCCTTCATAGTACCATACTCAATGTCATGTGTGTACATTCACATCAATGACTCTGAACTCATTTCGAAGACAGACCATTGCTTCTGAACATTCTTTCTGATTAGACAAGCGCACACACTGCACCACTCTTGTACATATACAACATTATCATTATCGTCTAGAACATATGTATGTAAGAAGATACTCTATATAACCACTATATAATCTTACGACGGTCGTCAGTATGTAACTATTAATCCATTCAAACCACGATACTAAATATCATTTTCACTTTTTTCCTTTATTTAACAATCTGATCAATCGAAAAGAGAAGAAAGAAAACTTTCATTCTAAATATTCACATTGTTATGCGACAAATTGTATATACAGCACTGTTGAAGTTATTTAATGATCAATACACTCGTATGACGACATTTTCAACAAGAGATCATTGTCATTACATATAAGTAAGTTATGAGTGTATCGCGAGTTTATGACGATCAGATTGTTGTCATAAAATGATCTCTTATGGGTAAGATTCTCATTCTATTTTTTCTCTTTCGACTTATCAGATTTCGTTGTAATCGGTACTGAGGTTTTCATCAACGCAAAAGGATATCTATTATTCTCGTTCTGTTACCTTAACAATCGTTGCTCATATAATGCGGTCATTTTATTTCAGTGAATCGCAAGCTTAAAAGCAACAGCTTGAATTCCTATTCTTCAGTTTTCTTTCTCCGTCTGTTCATTTTCGATCTGTTGTCTGCCTGTAGGAGTTCTAGTTTGAAATAATTACTTCGAAGTACAAACACCATCAGTGAATACAATGAGATATGATGTAATATCGTTTTTTCTCTTTCTAGTTTGCATAAAAACAGAGAACAAGAGTCGTCAGGTTGACGTACTTCGCTATTATCCGTGAGTATGCGTACACGATGTCATATGTACAAGAGACATTCGTAGAGAAAAGAATGTATTTGTAAACATCTTCCCTAGATATATTATATAATCATGTTCATCATCGACTGACGTATGAGAGGAGTTGACCAAATGGTACATAGTCTTCTCGTCATATTGACATGATCTTTTTTTGTCTTCAATGAGACTGACAGGCAATAGTTTAGAGTCAATAGTGTAATGAAATATTCAATTTCTTCGATGCCATTAACCACTTCCCAAGGTTCGCTGCGTCTTTTTCTTTCTCTCGTCTATGTGACATCATTATATCATATACATCTATGCATGTGTACGTGTACTAATCAAATTTTTCGATGTCGTAGTCGTTCTAGGTCAGCTTTACAGTCAGTAAGTAGAGACAATAATCTCATATCATACATATCCAAGTACATAGACACACACATGCGCGTTGTCGAAGGCGGCTCAACATGAAACAAATAGCGACGCGACATTGAAAAGAATCACTTTGGATTGTTTAAAGATAGAAGCAATGATCATTGTCAAGTTTCGTAAATGAATAAAAAGCCTGTTGACAGATGTTTTGAATGACAAAAAAAGACGCTGCTTGAGGAAAAGAAAAAGTTTCTATTATTAAATTTGATCGAATGTCAGTCATCTCGAATGACTAAATGATGTTATTTTGTCAACTTTTAGTTTTTTTTTCTCTTCTTTTCTTTGTTCGTAACGTGCCCATACGAAATCAGATATGTCATTTTGTTCAATTTTCTTTTCTATATCTCGATTAAGAACATTTTTTTCTTATTGACGAACAAAAGAAATCACCTTGATGTGTTGAGAGTCTTCTCCCATCGGCATTTGCTTTTATTCATACGAGCGATGAACAGGTACTACATATTCTCGTTCGCCATACCGATATTGGTTCCCAACGCGAGAGACGATAAAGAGAAAAAAACGAAGAATAAGTGACAATGGGTGTTTCGACGAAACATCACGGTTAGTAACCGTTTCTATCATCCATTAGACATTGACAATACATGTATATGTACATACGCCAAGTTTGTTGATGTTCCTTTCATGTAATAATCATTCGACCCGTGCTTTTCATATAGCATTACTAGATGTACGTACGTATGTGCATAACGATAGTTTGAATGTAATTATATTGAGTTGAACTCTCTTTTTTTATATAAACCATATGAAATAACCTTCTGGTTTTTATCACAGTGTACCATAACTATAGTGTCCGATTTTACCATACACATGCGTCCCACATATAGATACGTATTCATCAGACATGATGAAATGATATCAATCATTATCATACACATATCGTCGGAACGAGTTTTTCTCTCCTTAGCCCTGAAGGTTATCAAATTATCACTCTAACTGTTAAGACTATACACATTTGTGTTTAATCGAACCTATCTTGATCATCTATGAAACTTTCAGCGACAAATGATAGGGGACGTGAAACAAAAATAGGCAAGGAGTGGGAAGTAACGAAAGTTCATTTCGATATGTATACATGATCGAAAATTTGCCTCTCGACTTGCTGATCATCCTCCTTTTCATGAGCAGCAACATTGAACTATATACTAAATGAATGAAGAGAGTGAAGGACAGGACACACACATATATTTATATATATATATATATATATATATATATATACGTATCATACTATTGTTAGTACAAATAAATAGCAAATGTGTAAGAGAGACAGAGAAACCATAATTTTTATGCATGCATACATGCGACATATTTGAGAGTGTTGAATGCATATACTACTTTTATATTTATTTTCATTGTTCTCCACTCGTTTTTCATTACATTGATATTCTAAGGTTTTCAATTTGATTTCGTATTCTTTTTCAGTTATTATAAATAATTGATACCATGGGTAATTGTATCGGCAAAAAATCTGCTGCATACGATAAACAGCGCCGGCATTCGTCTGCGACACTTGGCACATCGTCAAAATTGTACTGTAATGATCAACGGCCTACAAAACAAGTTCCGTCATTAGTATTAGCCTCCCCGTCAATATTAAATACCTCATCGGAGCGAAAGACCATTTTTCTTTCTCATTTCTCCGATGTACAACAAGCGAGTGTAACATGCAATGATAATGACGAGAGTAAAAGAAAATCGATTATTCAATATTCAACACCCTCACTTTTAGCTACGATGACACCATCGACTAATGAGCCCTATGCATTGATACATGCATCATCAACATTGTCGCCTGTTCAATTGTCCTCTGAATGTTGTAAAAAAATTAAATCGAGCAATGCGATGGTAGTCTTTGGTGAAAATCACATCAATCAAGCACTTACATTGACAACAACTGAACAAGAGATGACAGTGGGACACCTGTTTAACAAAAAGAAAGATTTAAACAAAGAAAATGACAATAAACATGATAATACCAAGTTGAATATTGACATTGAAATACATCGGACCGACAATGAACAAAATAAAAGTCAAGATTATTTTACTATTATCAACGAAGACAAACAACTAAATACTGAAACAATGATCGATACACAAGAAATCATCACAGGTGAGCTATATTACAAAAAGTATACAAGCCTCGATTGAATGATCATACTTTTAGAAACTCTTGACACATCACGATCACCATCTCTGTTCGATTCCTCACTTTCTTCTCTTTCACGTAATACAACACCATTTTCCTCTCAAGATCGTTTAATTCTTTCATCATCACCATCCTCATCATCTTCAACAGCTATCCCACCATTTGCATCATGCAGTCGTTCAACGAAAACCAATCCTTTCAATACACACAATACTTCCCGTTCCTTAACTTATGCTGAACAAATCTATCTCAATAATCAATTGTCGTATCTTTGCCCATCTGAAGAAAACTTCACTGCTGTTCTTCCTCCTTCGTCCTTATCATCCTCATCTCGTTCCGTTCATGATTTATTTATTAACGAGTTTCACCAGAATATGGTTTCTCGTCATTGTAAAACACTTAAGACTGTTATTGACAATGTTGTTCAGCAGCAATTCATTCGTATACATCAATGTTCAAAAGTTATTCTAATCGAACACAAAGAACTGGAATGTGAATATTTAAAGTAAAACATCTCAATGTTCATTCCTCGTCTTATTCACTTCTTTTCTTTAGACATGTAAAAAAATTTCATACACCGTCCTTAATCTTCGATGAACAGCAAAAACTTGTTTATATAACAAAGCATGCACGTTCACTTGGCCTACAATCGATCACATGTACAACGAATAATGTCACGCGTTTACCGAAACTTTTCTCTGCATGTGATCATTGCTCATCTTTACTTTCCGGTTCCAAACTTAACAAGCGTTTACACTCATTCCTTCTCGTGAACACCACACACAACTTAGTTAAAATGTGTTTCAACGAAACGAATAATAACTCGATCTTTGGTTACGTCTCACAGAAACATCCAACAAAAGTTCGACAAACGATTATCAATAATTCGAAGTTTGCCTACTCTTACGATCTCGATATTGGCCATACGACACTGTACTTCGTTCTTCGCGTTCGTTCATGGCCACAAGATATTCGTCAAACGTTCGAACAACGGCAACGCGTCTGGCCAGTGAATCTCGAAAAACTATTCAATGAAACTTGTTTTATCCGAATCAATAATAACAACGACGAAGATGTTTCGACAACGAACAAATGTCTTGCTTGTGAAAAACTACTCTCTGTCGGGTCAGATACCACTTGGTCATACACCTACGCCGCCATCGAAGCTGAACTGATTAGTCTCATGTCAGAAGAACAAATTCGTTTCGCTTCCATCATGTGGAATTACTTAAATGGTAAAACCCATGGCGAACTTCCATTCGACATTTTCAAACATACCATTTTCTACTTCTTCGAACAATATTCACCTGATTGTTTCGTTTCCAGTGATCTACTCAGTCATGCACATCTTTTTACTGATTTTCTTTTTAATTGTTTACAAACCAAATCAATCCCGCATTATTTTAATTCCAATCATAACCTTTATCGAGTTGATCTATCCAGCACTTTGTTGAGCACTGTGGCAATTAAAATGACATATCTAGATTTAAAAAGCTTCTCCATTTATCTTTTACCGTCGTCGTCGTTATATCTCTATCAATTACTTTATTTAATACAATTTCAAACGAACTTTTTACAATATCTCCTTGCTTGTACATCATCAAAAACGAATTCAATCGAAACGATCCTCGACACACATGAACTAGTTATTAAACAATTATCTCGCGGAATTAAAACATACAAACGACAATTAGATACAAATCTATCGATGAAAACACAAAAGACACTAACACTCGATTGTTTGTATCGATATCAAGAAGACAATGTACAGATCATTCTCGACTATTTGCCATTATTACGAGACAGGGAACCGTCGTTACTCATTCATTCACTTTGGTCTATGTTTATTCAATATTTTAACTGTTTATTTGATGATCTTTTTATTTCGTAGAAAGAATATGTGAAAATAAAACGAAACTATGCGAGGAATGCACATATAAAGCCTCTGGCCGCCCTCCCAAAAAGAAAACATAGATCATCAAGCTTGTGTATATATTATTGAAATGAAATGTTGCATTAGTTTTGACAAATGACAAAAAAAGATACAAATTATTCAATATTGGAGTGAGAATCCAGGGGAGAGAGAAACCATGTGTTGCTTAGCGGGTTGTTTTTTTATAAAAATAGAGAATACGAATCGTACAATACACAGAATAATAAACAAAATGAGAGAGAAATGTAACATAGGATTAGTAGGACCGTTTAGCATGACTATAAAACAAGGATATTTAAGTAAAAGGAAAGAAAAACGTGTGAATGAATTTGAATACACATGTAACAATGATATTGCTTAAAAATTTCATTGATTGATGCCTTCTTTTTTTGTTTGGTGTCTATTGCACATGGGAAATGTTCGTTTTAAAAGAGATTTATGTACTGTTTTGCGATACTGATAATAGAATTGAAGGGAATCACGATTGTTCAATGTCATCAGCATCATCATCATCGTCATCATCATCATCATGGAAGGTATCGAAGTCATTGGTATCTTCTTCATTGAATGCTTCATCTATCAATTGTTTAGAAACATCGTTTTTAGCCTCTATTTGCGCTCGACAATGTTTAAGGCCTAAGAAAATATTCAATCAAATTTTTTAGACAAAGAATAATGAAGATTTACCGTAACAGTTCAGAATAGTCAATGCACCTAGGAAAGAAATCAGAAATTCATTTTTGAATTCGAATCGAGAAGGAAAACTGATCTAAATGAGTTAAGCATGTAGCTCCCATCTCTCATGATTTTATCATCGACTCTTATGTGAAGAAAGACTAGTGATACATCACCGCTATTAGTAGAGTGATTACCTTCTTTAAACATTCGAAAGGATCTAAATTCATATTTGAAGTACAAAGACAGTCGGAAATCTCTTTTCGTGTGATCAACTAAATTATTTTTATAACTAATAAAAAGATACGCTCTTGTTTTTCGGAAACTTTATGCAGCTGCTGATGATACGTACCTAATGCTTGCGCTTTTTCATCGATATTTAGAATTCTTTCACGAAGTTTACGCTTTTCGTTTTCATCGGTGTTGCCATTTTCATATTCTTTTACCATGTCGTCTCGCACTTGATATTGCAAATCGATTTCCTGCCGCAAACGCGATATCTAAAAGTATCGTTCAAGAGATAACTCGCTAGTGTCCATCTCCGAATAACTAACTTCGTCTTCAAGTTTTCCTTTTCGCTCTTCGAGGGTATATTCAGGAAACAGTTCTGGCCCAAATTCGCGTGCCTTTGCGTACAAAGCCGCATCATCGATATCTCTTTCGTGTAGTAGAGGTTCTAGAGCTTTAACGTCATTGCTTTCATCTGACAAGATTTTCTAAAGAAGATAAACAGATCATGTTTTCTTAGACAATCAAGCATCATTATTTCATCGATTTGACTTACTGAAATGACTTCACGCATATCTACTTCGGGAACGATTTCGCTATGCACTAAAGTAGAACGAGTTCATTTGGATACGATCTGGTATTTGTTTTTTGTAATCTTACTTGAACCCGACGATGTAGAAGTCTTTTTAGTGGGAGGCGTTTCGACCGTAGTAGCAGCAGCAACGGTGGCGGCAGGTAGTCGTCTTGATTTGAACTCTCGAAGTCTACTATATGCGGACGAAGCGGCATTTGCGAGCTTTGACGATGTCTGAGCAGGTGGAATTGCTGCGGATATTTTGATCGATGATGATCCCGATATTGTTGATGCATTGCTTAATGATTCATCGCTTTTCGACAGTTCGGACGTTGCTGAAAGACTTGGACTTGTACTTGCTGCTGGATTATTGAGATTTTTATTTCCAAATGCACCACGGATTGATCGACGCGCAGTAGAATCAATGACAGAAAAGGCAGCGACGGCTTTTGTTGAAAGACGATGTACGGTTGTTGGTGGCGTAGCAAGTGCTGTTGTTCGATTATTCATCGCTGTGTCTGGAACTGAGATTGGTTCAAAGTTGTTTCTGACTACCACCGAGTCAATATTATCTCCAACAGGAGTAGTGACAGTCGAATTCGCTGTATTTGCATCGGGCAATTCGATATTCAGTATGCTCTTCGAATCATCATCAGCGGGTGAAGAAATTTGAATAGATTTTGCAGGAACTGGTACATGTGGACATGGATTCTCGACATTACATCTGTCTTCACATTTTTTGTGAATGTTTATTAAACAATCTCGACAATGGCGACCAGATTTCATCCATATCTTTTTGGTACAATAATCACAATGAATAGCCAATGTAAATGTTTTATCTTCGAATATATGATCAGTTGGTCTAAACAGAGAAAACAGTTGAATGAAATGTTTCTATATGTTATCTGAAGTGAGAATACGAATCATCTGCCTCTTCATGAGTGTCAGTACTATCAACTTTTCAGCAGGAATTAGTCAGTATAAATTTCCTCTCAAATTACTTTCGTGGTGGTAGTTCGTGTTGTTCATTGATTGCATTGATATATTTCAACTGATCTTGTTTTCTTTCTTTCTCTTTCAGTTCTGTACATATATCGTTTAAGATGGGACTATTCGCAATAAATTGTTCTTTCTTCTCTTGAGGATTCAAATTCGCTTCGATTTCCGGCCAGTGTTTGATGTTTATTGTCACGAAACCATTCGCCAAGTTCTCGTCATAACCTTTGTGTGTACTTAATTCCATTCGTTTTTTACTAAAATAGGCGAATAGAATATCTTCTAGAAATCTATTCAATTGAACAACGAAAATATTAGTTTAGGTGAGTAGAATTTTTTCTCATGCATATGTTTACTAGATCATAAATTTTACCTTTCTTCCTCTGTCAAACAAGCATTTCTATGTAGATACGAATGTCGATAATTGCACAAACACACATGTAAATGAAAGTCGATTCATCAAAGAAATCATACTTACAGATTCGGTTTGGGTGCATATGGTGATCGGAAATTCACTGTCATTTGTGTTTCATGTTTGTAACTCATATGAGCATCAAGTACAATCTCTGATAAAGCAACCGTAGCCTAGATCAGAATATATCAAATCATATATTGGGATTTGATAGTCAATTTTTCCTTACATAACCGAGTAGGATGAGTTTCTTTCCAGGGTCTTGAACGTCACAATTAAGTGGTGGTTTACACCATAAGCAAACATTGAGGAAACGTTCATTTTCTTTCACATGAAAGTTAAACAGATGATTGAATTCAATATACTAAAGAGAAATCGTTTATTTCGTTTTGCTAGTCAGCAATGAAGAACGAACTGGCTCTGATTTTCGTGGTGCCACTGGCTCAGCGTGAAACTTTTGTAATAGATCAGTGTTCATCATTATTAAAACAATATCATGTCCCGATGTTTTCTAGAAGTCGAATAGTTGTAAGGAATAATCTCAACAAATAAATCTGAATTTACTGCTTGTTTCGGTTTTTTCACTGGATGTTCGTCTAGCACTTTGGAAGAACTGTCTATTGTATTTATACTTTGTGTATCTTCCTCGTCTACATCGACTTGTTTAGTTGTTAAACCGATTGAACTAGCTGCTTTATCAAATTTGACTATAATAAAAAAAAAAATTTTCATTAGAGAAAAGAGCGATTTGATATAGTAAGGAATAAAAACCTGGTGGTGGTACCAGTCGTTGTCGAACAGTAGTACTTGGTGATAATGAAGCAGTTGTCGAATGATCGGACCGTGTTGACAATGTCGGAGAAGTGGCATTCTAAGAAATAAATCGTTTCAGTAGAGATCATTGTTTATTAAAGAACTTTTACTAGTTTTTCTCCTTCTGGTGTTGTAGGTGAATCCGCGGCACGTTGTACACGAACACTATGTAAGACAGGCATACCGACAACAATCTTTATCTTATCTTCATCAGTATTATTTAGAGTGGTTGTCGTTGCTGCTGCTGCTGCTGCTGCTGCAGTTCCATCATGAGCTACTGGAACAGCTGACTTGTATTTTAAAAGACGATTGACCTGTTTGCTTGTTGCTGCGTCTTGATCTTGGATTTTAAGTAAGAAAACATTTTTATCGTGTAATGCTGCTTTGAATGCTGATTCATTTTCGATTCCGACTGGTAATGGATCGATATCTTCGATTAATAGCTCTGTTCGATCCATATAACTCACTTCCTTGAAAATTAATTTATGAACATTACGTTTCAAGAGAATTTCTTTCGTAGGCCATTGCTCCCGTTTGATATGTAAGTAATCAGCACACATATCATCATTAACACTAATTGTCAAAAAGACGAACACCGACGATGCTTTTTGCTTATCAAATATAGCCAGTGGAATTGAAAGACGATCACAATACTTAATGAGAACATCAAATGTGCCAGGAATAATATTTTTACCACTTGGAGTCAGAACTTCTGTTGGTTCTGGGATTTTCGAAGTAGGAAAAAATGGTTGCAAGCGAATCTTATAACTTGGCCATGTTTGCTTTCGTTTAATAGCACGACGCAGCTGTTGGGTGATAATTTGTGCTAATTGAGGACTTTCACCCGAACCTACATAGGATTTCACTTCAAAATCTATCAATGGTTCTTTTTGAAATACGCATAGCCAATGACAAAACGGTTCACGACGAAATTCTAATCGTAGATTGCCTTGAATTCGTTTAACTTTCACAAACAGCCGACATTTATGACCAAATAACAATGTGATTTCAAGTTCGACTGAAAATCCATCTTTATAATCGGCATCTAAATTCGCGACGAATCCCTAAATGTAGAATGTTCCTATGTGTGATGTACAGCATGCTATCAATTACTTTGATTAAGTTGCGTTCGTCGCGTTCTTGATGTTCAAGATGAATATCGCTGAATACGGGACATTCCTTACCAATGGAAAACGCTTGAATCTAAATCGGACAAGTTGAGTTAGATGAGATTTTGCTCGCATGAAAAGACATACAACAATATTTTGCAGGAAAATCTTTCCTGTTCGACCATTCTTCAATTCTTTGAATTCAGTGTTTAATTTGTGCATTAAATAACGTCGTAATCTCGAACTATCTTTTAATTCTTGAAATAGAAATTGGAAGAGGTAGTTAATTGCTTCAACAGCCGAATTCTTTTCCCCTCCATTCTAAAGGCAAATACAGAAAGACATGAATTTATCTTAATGTAGGATATTTGACTCACTTCAGGTAATGGTTTGAAGGATTCATATTGATCTTCTTGATGTTCGTTTATAGCTACTGGCGTATAGACTACGTAACGTGTGTATAAATAGAGTAGTAAAGCGATGGTCGACGCACATCCCAGGAGATAGCTGAGTAGTATAATTAGTAGAAACATATTTGTAAATGAACGAATCAATTCCTATAACTCATCTTGAAAGAACAGAAAAAAAACTCATTTGTTTTCAATTTCTCTTATTTTTAATAAGTTCCTGTTGTTCGTTTGTATTCAAAATTCTTTGTTTATACACACACACACACGCACTTCGAAAGCGTCATACAAAACTATACAAACACGTGTATGAGAGAAAGAGAGACAAAAAGAGAGAAGAAGAAAAACTGAAATAAAAGCGTATACAATCGATCATCATCCACCTTCAAGGTCGTTATTTTTCCCACACTAAACTACACACACACACATGTCGAGAAAGAGAGAGAGAGAGAGAGATACATGAGAGCGCATTTTGCGTTTGTTTTATTTCTATACGGAAGAATCTTGCATCGATGAATTTAGTATTGTAATAATATCCCTTACATAGTTTTTCGTTAGAATATGTATGTATATATAAATATTCGAATGATAAACAATGTGTTAAATCAGTAATAATCCTTATGTACAATGAAATACAAAAAGAAACGAACAAAAGAATGAGAGAGAGAGTGTGTGTGTGCGCGCTAAGAATCGTCGCGGCAGTCTTCAAATTCTCACATATTCAATCGTTAGAGATATGAATGTGCGTACGAAAGGAGAGAGGAAAAACATGAAAAACTGTTGTCTATCGTGAGAAGTAAAGATCACTGCGAGCATAACGCAATAGAGAAAAAGAAAACCAACAGTATGACAATAAATTAAAAGAAGAACAAAAAAAATGAAGAAGAATCAAAACGAAGTATAATCGATCAACACGATTATTGTTGAAAGAGAATCTGTGTTGAATGGTTTCTTTGTTCTTTTTATTTCTCTCTCCCTCCCTTTTTTCCTTTGACTCACACGAGAAAAAAACAAAATGTGCATGTATATAAATATGAGCGATCAAGTCAAACTAGGATTTTGTATGAGCAATGACGCATCGTCAACATTCGATGATAAATGATGATGATGATGATTATGATGAGAAAAACTTGGTGGAACATAACCAAAGATTTGTGGAAATGATGCTGCCGAAGAAGGTGATGTATGTGTTCGCTGAGATGGATAATAGCTGTTGGTAGAGTTATTTGCTGTTTGAAATTGTGTTGGCACACCCAAATCAACAGATGTGATATTCGAGTCTAAATTTGGAAAATGACGTGTGATGTTATTCTGTTCATCGAGATAAGTGTTCGTGTTGGTTGGATTCACGTTGGAATAATTGGTTAGATAGGATGCTGCTGATGATGGAATCGTAACTGGATTTGGATTGGCTATTTGTGTTAAGGTTGATATCGTTGAAGATGGTGTTTGATGAATTGATGGTGCTAAGCCTGGAAATGGTCTTTGAATGCCAGACATGAAAATTTGTTGCTGTTGTGATGTGGAATCATTTGGTTGCCACAGATTCGGTGGTGGATACTGCTGATTGGCACGTGATGGTTGATTGGTCGATGGAACTGTTTCAATGATATGTCGATACGAATCTTGACGATAGCGAAGAGCTAGAAGACAAAGAAACGAATGTGAATACAGATGACAATCAATCACTTTGGCTAGCTGTTATAATACCGAATAGTGAGATCGAACTAAGAACAAGTCCAATGACCTACTTACGTGGCCTCAAATCAAAAGATGGATTAAAAGACAATCAAGCATTAGGAACTCATTTGCTAGCAGAAAAAACAGACAATCTTTATTGATCAATTGATTCGTAAAAAAGACAAACGAGTGTTGGTATTACGATAAAAAGCAACGTGCAACGCAGTTCTTTCGAGGCTGATTTTCAAAGAAATAGACTTCGCTTTATTGAAGTCAGTTCATATAGATATAGTTATGATTAAAAGTATTATCACGATTGAATATATTCATCGATCTTCCGGCGTCAAAGTTCCCGTGATAGAGATAGTTACGGTCTATAAACAAAATATAGATATGCTTAGACTATTGAACTCTGCTAGCTGAAGAAAAGTTGAGCAGCGCAAGTGTTTTGCATGATCCTCTCGTTTTAGCTTAGATGTTGATTGCACTCACTCGGATCGAGGTTAGGTGAACCATTCGAATTGAGATTGACCGATGCAGTTAAGTTGGTGCTCAGAGAGTTATTTTGCTGCAGCAAACTATTCACATTAGTTGTGCCATTATTGATCGAGTTGGTCAAAAGAACATTTCCCGTTGCTGTTGACGACGCTGTTGATGTATGATTCATCGCTGTGGAATCTTCGTATGTGCGCTTGAAAAAACTGGCTTGTAGTGCATTGAACGGTAAAATACGTCGTTTAGGATCGTATTCTAACATTTGCTGAACAAGTTCTTTGAACTTTATATAATCTGATGTGGAATGATTAGGCTCGCCTGCACGACGACCACCTGGTCCACCGACTTCAACACCCAATATATCCTGTAATTTTCGAGTGCCCGGAGCGCGATACTAATCACACAGATTGATAAATTAGCCAAAAAAAATAAATACTTTTTCAATGAACTCACTCTTCTTTCCTTATTCTTTCGTGGTACCCATGAATTATCTGGTAAACGTTCAAAAAATCGTTTCGTTTTTGTTCCTTGTTCGAGGATGTGTGTCGGCGGTACGCCCAGTACTTCAACAATTTTCATCATTTGATCATACTAAAAAACACTCTTGATCCTGATATTTTCCATCCAGTCTACTGTTACTCACTTCATTTGTGCCACTAAATAGCGGTTCACCCGTATGCATTTCCACAAGAATACAGCCGAGACTCCACATATCAATAGCCATATCATATGGAATACCAAGTAATACTTCCGGTGAACGATAGAAACGACTTTGAATATATTGGTAAAGCTAGAAAACGTATCATTTTCTTTCTATCCGAAGCTGGTAGAGCAAGAGCTTACCCGTTGACCAATTTGACATGAACTACCGAAATCCACAATTTTTATTGCTGACCGTTTGGGATTCACCAGAAGAATATTTTCAGGTTTCAGATCTATTTTTAAAAAAACAAGATTCTTATCGAACATATGATACGAATGATACACTTACCACAATGAAGGACATTTAGTTCAGGTTGGGACAGAAAAAGTAATGCTGATAATAATTGTAAAGCAAATTTGCGTGTTAAATTCAACGACACGCCACGAAAATTTGTGTTACGTAACAAATCATACAAATTGTATGACAATAATTCAAAGACCAGACATAAATGATTACGAAATGTGAAATGTCGTTTTAATTTCACTAGACAAAGAAGAGAACATCAAGCAAGAGAAACAAACGAAACTTTCCACACACCTATATAACCATTGTTATCAGTATCATGGTCATTCATTAATTCCAACAGGCGCACTTCAATCTGGGCTTGGGAAAGAAAAGGTCGTTTGTTTTTGATTATCTTTATCGCGACGTATTCACCATCGATATGATCAAATGCTTTAACAACCTATAGATCAAATCAATGCACTTGATTGTTTTCGAAAAGCTTTCTTTTTTGTAAGAAATGTACCTGTCCAAAGCTGCCTTTACCAATTAAACAATCGACGGTGTACCGCTCCAGCCAGACTTCACCAGGTCGCACAATGTAATCATGATTTTCATCATCAAAGCCATCATTTAAGTTTCGTTTTTCTTTTTTGTGTAAACTATTCGTGTCTTCCGTTACTTGGTTGTTGCTTCTTTTCTTCTTCTTCGCATAATACACCTAAACAAAGAAAACAAATGTATTGTCGATCGCGTATTCGATGGTTAAATCAAGGAAAAAAAAAGAAAAGCTATTTTCGTAATACTTCATAATTCGATTGTAAGTCAGGCGAGGTGCGACCTGTCGGCGGTGGAACGATATCATAGAGATAACTCGTCGAACTTCCATATGCTGAGCTACCATCAGTATGACTACTTGCATCTGATGAGAGATGATGAGGACGATAAGAACCATTTGATAAGTATTGTTCATAATTGAATGGTGCTATCCAATCATTATAAGGTATCTGTGCGTACTGCATTATATTACCTTTATTTAGCTCTTACAAAAGCATAAATGACAGATGAATAGAGAGGAAAAAGACAATGGGAAAAGAAGAGAAAAACGAGAAGCTTTCACGGAGAATGATGTTAGAAGAGATAGACCATATCGAGTTAATTACTATCGAAATAACAAAATTTGAATATTGAGGTTAATCACATTTATTAGCTGGGTATACTAAAAGAAAGTAGGAAGTTTTAGAGAATACAGTAGTAATCATAACAGCTGATGTTCTGATTTTTTTTCTCTCTTGTTGGTAAGATTAATACACTTCAATGACGCTCACGGTCATTGAATTGCATCATATACATACAATCATATCTTTCTCCCAATGTATATAGAGATGACCCGAAAGAGGACGCATTCGACCATCACAATCAAACATTCATATTTATATACGTATATATCGCGAAAAAGACCCACAGAGAAAAACGAGAAAGAAGAGAACGAAGAAAAAAGCTCGATACATATGCAGAGAGATATTATCATTAAACGCATCTTTGTTTTCTATGCTCTCATTTTTGTGCACCATGAATATGTGCACTTGTAAATCATGATCATGATCATGATCATCATAGAGAACGATGAGGAGAAAAATGTGTGGAAAGGAATACATAGATTATATATGTACATCGAATATTGAATGATATTTATATAATATATACGTATAGGTATATGGATATGCGGTTGAATAAGCGGAAAAAAGATTTTACCTCGTTGATATGTTTGTAAGTTTTGATGAGATCAACACTCAGTTTGCGCAGAGGTGCTTCACTTGGATCGCGATAGGTGTTCATTACTGGCATCATCGTGTATCTTATAGAAGCATTAATAATATTCCATAATTCGATGAAATCTTCATTGTAATATCACACGACATTTTCTAACAAAGACGATTCGTTTGTTTTTCTTTTCAAGTACGAAGATTTCGTTTTACCAGAAATTCATAGATGTAGATATTGGGTCCGAACGAAATATTTGTAAGTAAAACAAAGAGGAAGTCGTAATTAGATGAATAAGAGGCTCGGTGAATCACTGCACGAATGAATAATTTTATGTATGGACTGTACCAAAAGATGAATTTCTAGTGCAGATAATCGAACCGACCGTGTGATGATCTAAAGTAAACGAAAGTTGTTCAGTTTATGACATTGATTCATATTTATCATTTATGTCTGACTCATGAAATCTTGAGACGAAAAAGAGAAAAAACATGAAAAGGAAGGAAAGAAATAGTGGTAACAGCAACAAACAAAGAACTTCAATTTGACTGGATCATGCATTCACCTAATGTTCGCCATTCAAGCAGATCATTTTATATAGCCTCATTGATGGTATATATCAAAACTACAAATATTGGTCACTTGCAAAACTGTATGGAAAATATATTCCTCGTGACGGAAGAACGAGATTAAATTCGACATTCAAATTGCTTTTTATAGAAAATAATACTTTAAGAACTATTTGTAATAGGACAGTTAAGTGGCGACATCTGTAATATCAAATTTTTTTTGCTCGAACGGCAACTATTGTTTGGAATTGCATGACTTTCTCGATCATGAGTGTGTTGATTAGAAATAAGTTCCTTCATAGTAACGAAATATTTCGGTGGGCGAGAGCGTCTCCTATTGAAATATCTTCACGTAAAATGTTGTTTATTGCCAGCAATGGAATGTTCACTTCAAAAGTCGAAAACGATTCGAATAACAAAGTACTGTAGTTATTTCATCAATAAAAGAAAAGAACGAAGAAATATTTCATAGTCTATCATAAATAACGCCTCGTAGAAGACATGATCATCATGTGAAGAAAACAAAAGGAGTGTCAGACAAAAGATATGTACAATGGAAATTACTATTATCATCAAAACACATTTGAATTACGATTGCTGACCTTTGAAGTTTTCGTCAAGTAATGAGATTGCGATCGATGATGGAGTTGGATTAATCATGGATGTAGCCTTTTTTACTTGATTGGTAGTCGATAACTATGAAGATGAAAATGATAGCATTTGGCGTTATGTCTGGAGTTTAGAAGTGTATATTTTTAACCTCTCGTACTTTATAAATGAAGACTAATCATTCGGTATTGAGGACGAGAACTTACTTTAGGGATTCGTCCGCCACCAAATAGGTTGGCGTAGACAGTTGATTGTTTAGTAACCTGTTTCTTCTTTTCTTCTTGTGTAACGGGATCAATCAGAGATAATAGCGATGTCGTCGGGGCGATTTGGTTGGTTTCGGCAAGTTTTTTTCTTTTCGCAACGACTGAAAACGTTCGTGTACATACTACGTCACTTGGATTTCCATCCAATTTATCAAGTTTTTCTTTATAGTTGATAAAACGGCCATTTGGCCATTGTTTAGTCGAATGTTTGAATTTGACTTTATATAAATTTGACGATAATGGATTGGTGGAATGATCAAGAAAGCTTTCGGCTAAATCATAATTGATTGCTCGTTTTGGTAATGATAATGAGGAGTGCCAACGACGATCGTGTGCGCGTGCACCGCCACGTCGTGCTCGTTGTGGTCCTGGCTTGAACTAAAATCGTAAGAATAGTGAAGAGAAAATTGTCTCAAAATTACGTACTGGTCGTGATTGTTTGGTATTACTACTAGCTGTAACAGTGAAATTTTGCATTGATTCACGAATTTGTTCATCATTTGGTAAACGTGAACGACTATCGTGATTATGAGAGAAATCATGTGGATCAGAATTTCGATTATCATGCCGTAACCGTTTCAGATGATGAGCCATTGTGATATAAGAGACAAAAAGAAATATTTATTATGAAAATTTATATAGGAATGGTTTTAAGTCTATTTGGTGAATAGTGTACAGAAGGCGAAGGAGAACGAAAAAAGAAGAGAAGAAGAGTCGAATTCATTTGGTATATTAACGTACATTGTCATCCATAGACATCTAGTGGAAAAGTACAGGCGTTCAAATTTGTACGACTATGTCTAGATGGCTGAGAAAAGACTGATTTTATTTGAATTAATTTATTGAACAGATATAAAAATAGGAACAACGTGCGAAGCTGTAGGCAACTCAGGCGATTCTTATCTATTACGGATTCGTTTGCTCTCATAGCGTTGTCAGGATTATTGTGTATTTATTATAACTATTCACGAGAAAAAATATAAGAATTATACAGTTTATCGTGAACAATGGTCAAATTCGAAGTGAATAAACTTTTCAAATTGTTCTATCTATGACTTGATCATTTCTTGCACCTGTGCCAATCAATATTACTGGAACACATGTTGCTTTTTCGACCATTTCGATGAACGTTTTGGATTTATCAGAGAGCTTGTCGTATTCGGTAATGCCAGCATCTTGATAATTTATGTACTGTATGAAATTGACAGCCAATTTTGTAACACCCGTCAATTTGACTGCACGTTTGATTCGGTTTATATCTAATTCGAACACACGTCGAAGCTTTTTTGTAACCGTGGAATATTCTTTCGAAGAAAATGTGCCTGGATGTGCACCACTCCGTTTTTCTACTTCTTCCCATGTGAGTTCTATTCCACCATCGCCAGAATATGCTTGACCGCCATCCTCCTTAGCCATTTCGTTTGAAATACGAATCGGATATGTTCGAATGACACCATAGATGTTTCGAACGAATTTTATGGGAATACCATTATCTGATAACCCTTGCATTGGTGAGCATTCTCTGCTTGTACAATTTGGATATTGTAAGCCATGGTTAATACCCAATTCAAAACCTTGTGCTACTTCTAAGATGCCTGCTTTGCCTTGTCGTAAATCGTCGCATGCCATTTCAGCTGTATCGGCCATGAAATCGGACCATTCCGGGATATCACGCATTAATTTATGATCGGGATGTCGCATGACTTTGAAAGCACTGGCTGCACCAACACCTTTAAATGTACTACCGGATCGTATTATCTCTTTTTCCCAATCACGATGTCGCTGCTGAATTACTGATGCTCTTGGATGAATGAAAAGCCGATTTTTTGCAGATTCTTTTCCTCCAAGATATTGATCCACTTCATTCTGAAGCTGTTCTAGATCAATGACAGCTCCAGCGCCAATATACAATCGTGTATCGTTATTGATTAAAGCCTGTGGTAATTGTTGTACAATATATCTCGTGCCATCCTCTTTTATAACAGTATGGCCTGCTTGTACCCCATAGCTTTCAATGGCAAAATGATATTTATTTTTTGTAGCCAAGTATCCACCAATGAGTCCTTTTCCAGATGATCCAAAGCATAGATCAAAGATAATATCCAATGACTGTTCCATTCGAAGGAATACCTAATTTGCATAAGTATATGATTATATGTAGTGAACAAGATTCATCATGTTGTGAGGTATGAAAGATAACGTCTTCAGACTAGTGATGCAAATGTCTTTACAAGTCGGTTCAGATGGAACGTAACCAAGCTGATAGTATGAATGGATGGATGTGGCGACTATACTTTCTTTTCTTAATCGATAATTCACAACTCGGACAAACTATCTCACTTGAGTCAACGTTCTAACTACACGCTATCATTCAAAACTCCTTCTCGACATCAACACCATACTGTGACAATTGTTGATGGGCGAGATGCGTCCGTTAATAGTAGTGCGCCTATATTTATTCCTTCTTCTAAACATTCGCACAATGCTAATATAAAACACGCGTTTATATACTCATGCACCGAACACAAAAAGCGATAGGTAACCTAAAGTACATCGAAATCCACAGAAGTAAGAGCAGAGAGCATGCACTCGATTGCGTCACACATTCATGCATAATTTCCCATAGAAACTATAACGTTATCTCCTCTGGTTGTATACAAACATGAGTAAATAACACATCCTCCATCACTCACCGTTTATCTTGCTGCACTCTCGCAGTCTTACTGAATCTCTCGTCGATGTTTCATGTCTTTCGATGAGGACTATTCGTTATATACTGCATGTCTGGAGTCAGCTTTTTCTCGATAACCAGTACAACATTTCAGCATTCGATGTAGCTTTATTTGTGTCGTTTCTTCTTGCTTCTCCCTTCTTTTAACTCCCCCATCCTTATGTCTCATTCTCGCACATATATCACTAGAATAAGGTCTTAACTGATTGTAAGGAAGTCAACAACTCCCAACATCTATCCTAGGTTATTGCTTAATTGCCTAATTCATCTTTCATATACAATGTAAGCACTTCCGAATGTTACAATATCGAGCATAATAAAAAAAAAAAGAAAAAGAAAAAAGCCTTTTCTCGATGCACAGCCGGTGCGATAAATTTGCCTCTTTACCAGTCACCACAGTATTTGTATTTGATTTAGAGCCACTCAGAATCGTTATATGATGAAACTACCCCAGTACCGCCCTGCAAAAGCTGACCCGTTGATGTATTTATGTTACCTCTATACCTTTTTGGTGGAAAGAACCTGTTACAAAGAACAATATTTTCTATAAGACATATTGTCATCGCCATTTGTATGCTGTGCACTTACTATTTTTGTTTTGCTGATGCTGATAGTTTCGTTTAAAAATACAGATTGTTTCTTTTGTAGAGAATAGCATTGTACATATGTGTCTCTTGTACAAAACATGCCAATTTATGTGTTCGTTTTAGAAAAATTTCACAATACAAGTCTCCTGTGAAAACAGTAATGGAAACAATACAGGCTCTTCGTGACCATGTTCAATTGTCGAATAAATTTGAAAAGCTCACCGAATTCCTACGAATTTTGGACACAGCTGAGACACATTTGAAAGATGTGTTAAGTAGAGATAAAATTACAAAAGCTAACTGTGTAGATATCGAAGGTAAAGCGCAAATATTTTTTCTTCTATGATCTCACCAGCAGAAATATAGAAAAATGTCTTTGGATTAACTACTTGTGAAAAATAAAGGTCTCTGAGTTCTGATAGTAACTGTAAATAATTTCACGCGAAAAAATAGGAATCTTTCTATTTATACAGTTATTTATCAACAGGCATCGACGGAGTTGGAAAAACCACACTGGCCAATGCACTTGCAGGCTCCAACCTCATATCTGGCTCTATATTATCTGTTTCCGCCGAACTAAAATTATTTCGACCATACTTCGATGAACAGAATGAATCAACCAAACGGCATTTCTTTCATTTGTGGGATATTGAGGTTTCTAGTAAACTCAATAAAGCTTCCGATGAAACTATCATTATTCTCGATCGATATTGGCCTACAACAGCTGCTTATAGTTTAGCTAATCGAAGTGCAAACTTAACGTCTAATGAAGAAATAAGCTGGCCTCAGTATCTTGTACAACCATCTCATATATTTTATCTTCATTTAAACGAGGAAGAACGATGCCGACGTATCGATCAGCGTCAAACGAAAACACCAGTTAATGATGAAGAAAGAAGGATTGCATCTGATTTGCAGTTTCGGTCGCGACTGGATCAAATTTATCGAAGTATACCAGGTATCTATCCAATTGATAGTAACCAGTCGATTGACAAAATTGTAGGAATAGTGATCGAACGTATTCGAAATGGTTAGCGCACAAACAACGAAAAGCATCGCTAAATACCTAGACAATATCAAATATCAACATATTCAATTGGTCTAGACGAAAAGTACTTACTTGATTTGTTTTGTGTAACAATATAAACCAACTATTCTAATAATAATTATTGTAGAATTGGCAAGGTTTTTCAGCCGTTGCAGAACGCTTACGCGGCAGAATTCAGAATTTCCTACATATAACTTTTCTATTCATGAATGCGCATACGTGGAAATCTAAGTCAAAGATAATTTCTTAGAATTTTTCTCCACACTAAAGAATATTGATATATCAGCATATTATTACACGTTGGTTCAAGCGAAACAGAGATGTACAAAATTCTATGCCAAATAACTAACCCGCATATTTCATCTAGGGTGAGGGTGTGTTATTTATCCATTTATGTATACAACTAAAGGAGATCTAAGTTCTTATTGTAAAAAATTGGGCATATGCATTTCGATCAGACATACTTTCAAACAATTTATTTTTATCAGTATATACTTCAGAAATACGACTTTTCGTCAAGTAATCGTTGACGACATCGTTTTTGCTAATCTGCATTTTAATACGATCGACTATCAAAGGTCGTCTTCTGTGGAATGCTGACTTAATCTCTCTTCAAGTATTCATGTACAGATACAGGTAGAAGTAACCGTGACGACTGCCGAAAGAAATAGTTCTGAAAAGAGGTTTGTACGACCATAAGAATTAAAGGAGGTTCGATGATCTCTATTCTGCCGACATTCTTTTCCACAATTCGTGCCTACGGTGAAGTAATTTTCTGACGATGAGAATAACAACCAAAACAAGAGTTTGGTAAATTGTTTGTATCAGTTTCACTTTTAGAAAAAAGAAACCATAATAAAGTCGCAACGGTAAATGAGTGCTGTAGTCGAAGGTAATATTAGCGCTGAAAATCGACCGTATTTGAAGATTTGAGAGGATTGGAATCGTATGCAGTAGATCACTTTGTGCTGTCTTTTTAAGAAAATATTGTCTTTACTCTAAATAACTGAGATTTTAGTGAGCCGTGCTAGCGTTCGGTGAAACTGTATAAGACACAACAGTAATGCTTTAATATAGATGAGATTTTCACAATTTGAACGGTTGAACCAACTGTACTGGTTATAATTTCTTGGTGAATATTTTCTTGAGAAGTAAATGTTAGAAAATCTATTTTACCGTTGAACGCTGTAGAAGTTATTCTACCAAGAACCAAGAAAATGGGGGTTTACGTTCGAAGCGAAAGTTTTTATTAAACTTGCCAAACTGCATAATCCACTTACCACAAAGCCAATTAAAGTCACGAACCAATCTATTTACGTCGTTCGGAAGTATTTTGCAGAGAATTCGTATCATAGACAATTATTAGATGGTGCGGAATACAAAATAATCACCGATAGATAAAACTGTCAAGTCAATTTATGTAGCAGGTAAACGTATGTCTTATTTGATGAATATCATATATATTCATTTATGTATATATTTAGTCTATCTTCGGATCGAATCATTGGCATGTATGAAACGTTTTCTTAAGACTCGGCAGCAAGATGCAGAAGAAACGGAGGAAATAGATTATCTCAATGATATTCACGGTAGTGATTGATGTGAATCATGCGGACAGTGAAGTTCGATAAGATGTAAAACAACAGATCGAAAATTTTATAAGTCACGATCGATGCATATGTAATAGTTCTTGTTTCACATGGTTTTTTGCTCAAATCTAGATAAATTTGCTTCTATTTACTAAAATTTCTTCTTTAACAAAACACCAAAAGAAAATCAATTGAAGGTATATGAAATGAAATTGAATGATCACATACAAAAACTGCACAAATCTTTTAAGAATATACACTATACAAACAAGCAAGAATAAAAGCCTATACCTGTCGTTATCTGTTGAAAGAAACATGTACGGAGAGACGCAAACAACCAAGTAACAAAACAGAACAGATATTCGGCAAAATAAATAAAATTCAAACTGCCGTATGAAAGATTCGAGAGGGTGAATTTTCTAAACTTCTAGTTAACTGAGCACACTGAGTGCCGACGATTACGAACGAGGCTCATGGGATTCACTCAACGAATGTAATGCATCGCGTGTGGTGTAGAAAAGTATATTTTTCGCCTAGAGAAAGACAAATATTGAACTGAAACCTTTCGAGAATGATTCCTTACTTGAAGGATATCAGCATGGTTTGTATGAGTGTTGGATAGTGATCGAAATTCATTCGTGGTTATTAAGCATCGATCGAGATTTTCGGGTGAAACAAAATCTTCGGCAATTTTGATACACGAATGAAGATTTTTTACCTAAGAAGAACAGTTTCTAGCATTGGAATCGAGCAAGTTATTCTAGCACTTACTTGATGAGGTGCGCCACTCGGTATAAAAATCGCATCACCAAGAAATTGAACAATAGGATATACTTCGACTTGACAACTGGACTTCAAATTAGCTAAATCTTCTTTTTCTAAGTAAGCTGTTTGATCATGTATAGAATCAGTTCCAGCTACTTTCCGTTTAGTCTAAAAAGACAAACCGTAAACTAGAGCAATGAAGCAAAAGGAACGTACTCGACTAATGTATTCACGAATTTTCATCGCGTCATCCGAACGAAACAAATGCCACAATGCTCCGGGTCGCTCGCCGCTCCTTAATCGCTGCAATTGAACTTCGTCGATGTTCGACTGAAGTATTTCCTGTTCAACTTCTGTACAAAAATCAAAATGTAAACTTTTTCACAACAATCAGCTTGTTTACGTCGAAGTTCTTCTTCAGTATCACATCCATCTTCACCATGACCACCAACACCAACGTAGACGAGAACATTAATAGCATCCGATACATCAATATGAAGATTGGTAGTACCAGCTTTTCTCGATGATTGGCTGATTAACTGACCTGAAACAATCATTAAGTTAGTAAGAAGCTCAACATTTTCGAAAAGAAAACGGACTATAGGCAATGTAGAGTTTCGGTCCTAGATCAGGCTTGACAAGACACGCTGGTAAACGTTCGACAATATTCAAAACTCCGCCATGATACGTGATGCCATCATATTGATACGACCGTCGAGTGTAGTCACCTTAATGGAATTTGAGGAAAATAGCATTAGAATTGGTTGTGTTCATAGTTACCAAACGGAATGTTTGTCATCAAATCATGTAGACGTGTTGGAAAAACGGATGCAAAATCTTTTTTTGTTGGCCAATCTTTCAATTTAAGAATTCGCATGCGTCCACCATGTTCAGGATCTCTCAATCGAACTATTCAGAAAACGTTCCTTGTTTTTTCTAAATGTTTTCATTCAGCCAACTCAACATTACCGTCTAAGTGTTCAAATCCATCCCAGAATTGTGTTAGAATTGTCTCGTTTGTTGGAATGGGTGTCAACGTTTCACAATCCCACAATGCTGGTGTATCACGATGATCAAGCATGTGTCCTTTAAATGCATTCGGATGCCATAGAGTTTTCGATAGATTACGATGAACTCGTTTAACCAGTACTGGGCAACTAGCCGCCCATACACGTTGAAAAAACTAGAGAGACAAGTATGTTAAGAGATGAAATTCATCGTGGATACGTCTCTCTACATACACATTTAGCATTCTCACTATGCCATTCGTTGAAAACAGGTAAACGACCATTACAATAGAATTCGATATTGGAATCGTAATCACAATCGATAGCGGACCAGGTCTTTTGAATATCGCGTATCTCGTATAACCGTTTCATTTTTAAACTTTTAATAAAGATTGAAAGATTCTCATTTCGTGATGAATGGTGAAATCTTATCGAGTAATCAATTCGTAATTTTGAAAGGTAATCTATACAGTCCAAACGTAGCTTTGTCAAAACTAAATATAAAATGTGTATGAATTGCAATTAGTTAGCACTGTCTTACTATTCCATGGTATAAACTCTGACAAACAAAACGAATTTTGATGCATACATGCACGTTTTAATTCTGAAATAAACTCGATAAGTTGAAGAGGCATTTCGTTCTGAAAAGATTACTTTTGCGCTTTTCAGGTGTCATTTGCGCGAACTCATTTAAACATTCAATGCAAACCATATATCCACATTGTTTGCACATGTAGTGATAATTGAACAATGTTGTCAAACATTCATCACAAACTTCTCTCCAGCCTGATACATACCGTTTCCAGATAATTTGCTCTTTTCAAAGGAAACAATCGAAGAAACAACATGTTAAATCGTTCAGTCTTACTTTCAGTTTGTATTGATTGTTGAGCTTGTTCGTATGCAAGCATCAAACAGAACAATTTCGATATCTGAGTCAGTACGTAGTTCGCACTGATGAAACTCAGCGCCGGTTGATCACCTAAAGCCGTGACAAACGATTTCTTCTGCGTTTATTCAAAAAATTGTTCGACTTTACTCGAGTTCGGAACAACGATATGTTCAAGATCCTGAGATTTCGCTTTGTCAGGTGTCGTAAATCCATCAACTTCATAACGATCATCACCGAGATATTGCAAGCTAAATGAAAAACGTATCGTTTTGAATTTAGGAAAAGAAAATCAATATCATCTTTACGTTCGACAATATTGAAATCGGCAGCCGGAGAGATGCATTGTTAAATCGGGTGGATCTATTGTCTGGCAATCAACGCATCGTTGAATATTCGTTGGATAGGTGACACAATAATGTCTTTGGACAATAATTACTAGAAAGGAGCGAGAGAGATACGGAATTTTCAAGAGATTAGAAAGATTTTACTTGGGATTGACTTTTGATGACGACGTTTAATCAAAATCTGCTCAGAACAGGAAGATTCAAGTGCTCGTTTGTTCTTGTTCGAAGAATTGACTTGTCGATGATCGCTTTGTAACAGATTTCCATTCGTATCCAAGGACAGTAATGCTATTGGCTGAAATAGTAAAGATTCTGGATCGCATTTCGTGTTGATTATTTTGAATCGCTGCTGTTGAGAACGTCGAGTATAGACCGGTGATCGGCATGACTTTCGAGGAATACTTGAAGTTCTTAACAAAGAATAAAACGCAAGCTGGTTTGTTCCTCTCTGATAAAAAAGTCACTTTCTACGTACTTGTTGAGAATATTCTCAGACGGTGTTGATGGTTTGTCGAATGGATAAACTGATGAATGCCTCGGTCGATATTGCGGACTTTTATCATTTCGATATTCATCAGTATGATTATCTGCTAAAACATGTTGAGGAGATGATATATTACCAGTTGTTAATATTTTTGCAGGCTTTGTTGGAGACAGTAATAATCGATGAAGAATAGGAGATGAACGTGATGGTTTTTTTATGATTGCCAAGGGCTGAAAGAATAGGATGGGATGTTTATAGTTTCAAGATGACAAATCATTATACATGTTTATCTTGATTAGTATTAGTTGTTGAATCGATTGTTAATATATCAGAAACCTGTTCTACTTTGGTAATAAAACCTAAAGTAAAACTATGACGAAATTTGTCGATTTTGGTAAGAAAAATTTACTGGAAAGTTCGTAATTGAAGGTAGTCTCGTTGTCATTGGTCTGTGATGTTAAAAGATCGTATTCTTTGTGCGAGATTAGTTTCGACACACACGAGTCGTTGGAAGAATTATCTGGCACAATCGATTTCACACCTGAATCTGACACATTCGAACTTTGATCACATGCTGTGTTTGTTTGTACTGTTGTTGTTGTTGTTGTTGTTGTTGTTGTTCGGTAGTTGCTGTCTGAGGAATTAGATTTGGAAAGCAACATTCCATTTGAATAAGTAGTAGAAACAGGTTGTGAAATTAATGTATGATCAGCGTACAGATTCGATGACGAATTAACAGACTTCTGCGAAGATGTATTCAAAGATGCGGGTGAAATTTCCACTAATTGCTGGTGAAGTTAATTCAATGTAAAAAGATCAATTAAACTAGAATCTTATGGTAACAAATTGGTCGTCTTTGATGATGCTGCAGATTTGATAGGAGTAGTAGGTTCTGCTTCAAGAGATGTATTTGGTGAACTTGAATATAAATGACTTGATATTCTATTTGATTCGATATATTGATTCATCTAAATAGGATGTGAATGGGCTGGAATGAAAACTGTTCAATATGATAGTTACCTATTACACATGTGTCAGTTGTATATCGACTGACTTGGTATAGATCACTAATTTACAGTTTGTCACCATAACATTAACAAACAAAAAGGAGAAGAAGAAGAAGAAGAAGGCCCCACGTCTACCTTTTTTCCTCTTTTTTGCAAAATCGATTAAGATCGATAAGGCACGCAAGGTAAGACACCAATCATTAGATAGATGGACTTCGTGACATCTATTGACGTAAACAGGCAACTACCGTTTTTTTTTTGACCAAATAATTTATGTTGAATTAAATTTAGTCTAGAATAGATACTCTACGAATTCGTAACTAAGCAAATGATATTCTGTCATCAGGACAACGCGCGATATTCTATCTGATTTATGCGGCTTTTAGGATGAATGAAAAAGAAAATACATATCAGTGGCGATAAAAGGTTGTAAATGTCATAAAAGTCTACGATACCATTTTGTCTGTAGTATTTGATCAAATTACATAACAATGGATCAAGACTCTGGATTCAAACATCTAAAGGTCTTCAGTTTATTAATTAATCGTGTACGGTGATTAAAAAATCAATTACCATGTTAAATATTGTTAAACAGAGAATGATGCTGTTCACATCGACGTTGCGCTGAAGTCGTTTAATCCTTCTTGTGAAGTTTAGTTTAGTTTTAGAGCAAAATAATTTGATTCAATGAAAAAAAACCTTTATATGTGCATAATGATTAAAGCGTATTTTGCTGCATAAGATTCCATATTTGGATAGAAATTTCTTTTTCTTGGATCAGATAATGTAAACATGTTCATATGAAAACAAATTGCAGTCAAATCTGAAGAAAGTAGAACAGGACGTCAATGTGACCTTCGTCGCCCTAGTTGTAATGATGACGGGGATACAAAGCATGGACAATGTGCTAATTGACTGCATGTGTATTAAGAAATGCTTTGAATAGGTATGCACCAAATCCAACTCCAATCAAATTCAAACCCAAATCTTGTCAAATCCATTTCAAATCCAAACCCAAATCGACTCAACTCCGATCAAATCTGAGAATTGGAATTGGATTCGGTGCATACCTAACATTGATGAAATTAGAGATTTGTGTCTTTATTTTCTTCATGAACGTTTTGCTTGATTATCAACGTTGATTATTCATGTTCTTAAAATATCAACTTCATCGACATTCATGAATTCTAGGGTGAGTATAATTGTTGCTCCGTATGTGCTAAAAACTGACCAATGGTTTTTTGTAGGACAAGCTTCCAAACTTAAGATGTTTCACTTTGATGTCGATTGAATATACGCTGGTATATGACAAAGTTATTATTCCACTACTTCGCCAAATGACAAATCTCGAAGAGTTAAGTGTGCTTCTACCAGTAGTACGACTTGCTCCATCTTATATTGATGGTATTCAACAAGTAACGCTTATACGTTGGATTCGCTTACCCTTTTCTGAAAGAATTAGGATGATGATCAACGCATTCGTATTCTCTAAGTAATCATGATTCATTAGGCAACTACGCTTAACATCTGCTGTGATTTTGATTGTGACTACACCTAAATGTTCGTTGTTAACATTAAAACCCGATAATAGGCGAGAGTGATGATTCGTAAGCAAAATTTTACATATAAAGCCGATTTGATGACAAAAGATGATTATTGCTGCAAGGGAGTTTAATACTGAATTTGTTTTGATAAAGTTATCGTTGGAAAGCGTATATTAGCTCGTGATTCATTCTATGTACTCTGAAAAAAAGGAGTAAAACTGTATGGTTATTTGCTTATTTTTATCAAATATGTGACTATCTAACTTTCACATTCATATATGCTCGACTGACACTCGACCGATACCTTGTAGTCAGTCATCGGTATGCTTCTGATTGAGCACTGCCGATTGATCGATTTTCCGTGTCAGATCGATTAGATCAGATAATGTAAATAACTTCATTTTTTATTAAGCGACTTTGTCAACCTAATGACAGCTTCAAATAGAGTATCGGATTATAGATCACCTATAGAAGGATAGTATTATTGGTGCACATAGAGACAGATTAATCAGTAGAAAACAGCAATACCAGCTCCTAAAATATTACAATCGAGTTCGTTAATCCCTACATCACTTAAAATAAAAAGTATTAATTCTACTTCAGAAAACAATTATATACTCAAAAGAGCATACTATTTCATCCATACTCTCGAGTTTACATCCATCGTCAGTTTAAAAGTCAAATAAAGTTGTATAGTAACTCAAAATAAGTTCGATATGGATTATTCATGAAACTATCTAGTTAGCCGCCCACTCACAGCTAGCCGTGCTAATCCATGGCATGTTTCTTCTGTCTCTAACTACAATAATACCTTCTTTCAGAATTGTTCGTGAGAGTAGCTTCAATCTTTACTCCTACTGTAATCTCAAAATGGACGAGAGTTTTCCAACAATGCTGTCCTGAACCGAATACCGGTAATCAATCGCGACGATAGATGAGCTAATTTCAACTTATCCACATGTAGGATATACTAAACATGGATTCACACATGAGTGTATTCCAATTCTCGTTTCTTTCGTTCCAACTAAAACTCGATGAGTTCTATCGATTGCATGTCTTATTTATCAGTTTTGAATCATATACAGCTGAGAAAAATGCCAATTGTCAAGTTATCGTTCACATGTACAGTGATAAAAAATCTCACATGAATCAGTAGCTATTTTCCATATCGGAAATTTTAGACTTCATTGATGAAGAAAATAAGTGAAAAAGTTGATGCATGTTAATCGAATAATCTAAGCATGTAACATGAAATACAAGTTAAAGCATTTATAGATGGCACACTTTGTGAGCTGTTAGATGCGCGAAATTGCAAACGAGTGAAACAAAAACTTGTTAGAAGGGATTGTTCGATAGAGAAGGAAATTTACCTAGGACGATGGTTCCTGAAGCAGGATTTTATGAATTTCCGACAAAATCTCTGAGGAAACTCGCCATTTCTGGGCGGAATCTGATGGAGAAATCCGGCTACCGGCTTTTACATGTTTCTGTCGGTTTCGGCCATCGGATCCGCTCGTCGGGAATATACTGATTCCATGAAATCCCCGTACTATCACGGAACTAGCCGTTTCCGTACCTGATTTTTCGGTAGTCAATTTTCTCTGTATTGAAAACAAGGCTTGATGTCAAATATCCCAATCAAACATAGGATTTCTTCATAAATTCTTTCATTTATCAAACTTTTGCTTCATTGGCAAATCGTTGTCCTAATGATCACAATATTGCTATTCTGTTCAGGTTTTATGATTAATCAGAAAATGAACAAATGAACTTATCAGTTGAAATTTATGGAACTCCACAATTCTTTCGCATTGTTCCACAAATCAAACACCTCATTCATTGACTCAACAATTAGTCCATTATTAATCAAGTGGTGATTGAAAAATTCGTTTCAAATATTTCCTATAAGGATTATTTCCTTCAATGGGTTATCGTTCGATATCTGAAGCATCAAGAGATTGTTCCACAATCCCGAATTCAATAGTTAATTGACAATAAAACTGAATAATTGTCGCAAATACGCTTAATTAACACACAAAGATTTAGATTGAAGCTTGGCGCGAACTCGATGGCAGATTTAAAATAGCTTCGTTCTGTTCTATTAGATTCCATGGGATATACTGAATACTGCGTCCTTATCTCAATGAAATCCGAACGAATGAATTATGTTGAATTAAGTAAAAAATACGCATTGTTGTTATTTGAATGCCGAATACAAAATTCCTTTTTTTTTCTTGTATCTACGAATATTAAATACTGTTATCAGAAGGGTTGCTTTCAGGTTATTATCTCGTATATAATATATAGGTGGACGCAAAAATATCATTTAAATACTAGTTTCTGCTGTGCATCGAGATAGCAAAATAACCTACCCGAGGGCAATGATATCTGGTAAAAGTCTTGAAAATAATCGAGATATCATTTGAACTGACCTACTTTTGTTATTCTAGGCATTTGGATATTGTTTTGCCTTGTTTCAATATGCTGGACAGCACCTTTCGATCGAAAAGGAAAATGTGATCCAGATTGTGATTACAATATAACCCAACTTATACAAACCAAAGGTTATCCATGCGAAGAACATAAAGTCGTAACAGAAGATGGTTATATTTTGGGCGTCTTTCGCATCTCACATGGTCGTAATGGCTCATCAGTAGGTCGACCAGTTCTTCTGCAACATGGGCTTCTTGATAGTGCAGTAACATGGGTGATGAACTTTCCCGATCAAAGTCTCGCTTTCATCTTAGCTGATGCCGGCTATGATGTTTGGCTGGGAAATATGCGTGGAAATTACTATTCTCGTGCCCACGTCAAATACAATCCTGATCATGACGAAGAATTCTGGGATTTCAGCTGGGACGATATGGCACGTGATGATCTACCATCAATGATTTATTATATTTTAAACGCAACAAAACATACACAAGTGGCTTATGTTGGCCATTCACAAGGAACAGCTATTGCTTTTGCTGAATTCGGTCGTATGAATAGTGCTCTACAAAATAGTGTTAGCTTTTGGTCAGCATTAGCACCAATAGCACAACTCGGCCATATTAAATCGCCTATCAAATACTTATCACCACCCGCTATAGCAGACAGTATAGAACGTGTTTGGCATTTAATATTTGGCCGAAATGAATTTTTACCTTCATCATCCATGATACATTGGTTTGCAGAACATGCTTGTGACGAGACGATTATCGATAAAGAAGTCTGTGAAAATATTCTATTCGTTCTATGCGGACCAGAAACGAATAATATGAACATTTCCCGCATTGCTGTTTACGGTGCTCACGAACCTGGTGGAACCTCTGTAAAAAATATGATTCACTTTGCCCAAGGTATACAGTCGAATCTGTTCGAAGCATATGATTATGGTTCACCAGAAAAAAATCAATTGCATTACAATCAAACGACACCACCTCTATATTCAATTCGTCCCATAAAAATTCCAACAGCTATATTTTGGTCCGGCGAAGATTGGCTCGCTGATCCTGTGGATGTCGCTTACATATTTGATAATATTCAAAGTTTGGTCTACGAGAAATACATTCCAGATTACAATCATTTAGACTTCGTTTGGGGAATGACTGCAAATAAAGTCATCTATTCAGATTTGATCGCTCAAATGAAAAAATATCATCCGCCAACGTAAGGAAGTGACACATTCTCTTTTCCAGTTCTTTTCTTTCTGTACCAGTACTAATGTATAAAAGTCATTCTAATTCGTTTCTATTCTTGTTTATTGTTGAACTTCCACATAGAAAAGATTTACATTCGCTAAGAAAACCAAACTACGACGACGGGCTACTATGACGACGTCGGCGATGTTCGTTCGAAGAACTTGCATTTCGATCATTGTCGTCGGATGATTTTTGACGATGCTGTCGATCATTGTCGATAGTTATTATAGCTGCACTAGTATTTATCTCTTCGCCCAATAGTGCACCCTCTTCGGTGATCGGTGCAGCAGAAAATGTCAGTTTGAAAAAGTATGGCCATCTCGATGCTAAAAATAAATCCATGAGTGTATATGCTCTGATTACAGACGAAAATTTGTTATAATTACATGAATGAGGTATTGGATAATTATTCGCTAGGATCAAAGCCTCGCAAGCATCTGTAATTGTTCGAAATTCAGCTAGGCCAGTCACACCTCTCGGTTGATTACTATGTCGTCGATCACGGTCGTCTATGACGGTAGAGAAAAAGATAAAGATAGCTTATCAGTTGAATGCTTTCGAAAACAATGCTTACGATGGGATTCTTTGCGTGATGGAAAATTTTTTATCTTAACTGGTCGTTTAGCACCGACATCCTCAAAGAATCGGACAATATCAACTTCAGACATGTTCGGTGGCGTATTAAAATAATAGAGCACATGTGCTGGACCGACAGGTCGATTTTTCATAGCTTGATCACTTGTTAAATAACGATTATTACGATTTGTATCGAACTCCATATAGGATGCATCGCCATTTTCTAATGGAAATGGCCGTGCTAAAGGTTGCACTTCACTTTGTCGTGAATTACTTTGAAAAAAAAAAGAATAAAAACATAGGAGTAAAATGATGATTCGAACGATGAACTTACAAAATAGTAAATGTTTGACCGAAAATGAATGTTGAACTTAGATTTTTCAAATGTTGATGAAGATTTTCACAACGATTCATTTGAACCATAGCCCCACCTTCTTTCGATTTCAAAAATTTGATCTAGAAAGAATGCAACAATCAAGTGAATAAATCTGTTTGAGAACTCGAACGTACGCGTAGGACATTTCCATAAACACAGAGTAAATTGAATAAGCGTTCACAGTTCCAGTTCGGTGAAGAAAGGCCATCAACATTGAAGACCGAACAGTCCGATTTCATGGATCGTGGTGGTGATGGTTCACGAAAACGATCCGATTCGGCTTGATAAGGAGGAAGACGTTGTGAACGATCAAGAGAACTCATTTGCGAAGCGGGAAAACGTGAGTTATTATCAAATAATTGTGATGATTGTTGTTGTACCAATGACGATTGAAAACTTCCTGGATTTTCCCACGATGACGCTGATCTATCCTGCGATGGCATACGTTGATTTAAAAATCGATCTAGAGTATTGATGGCCGGTGAAGCAAATCTTGCATTTGCCTAAGAAAATCATCGCTGTTCAAATATTTACGGAGAAGTCTCTTCAACGTACCGAAAACGAATCATTGTTAACCATTGAAGGTTCTAAAGTGAAGTTAAGAGACGTTAAACGAACTAATATAGATTTGTTTCATTACCGAAACGATTAGTGGCTGATGATGACGGCGGTGGTGACGATAATAATGTCTTCCGATGGCCATATCCTAAAGCAAGATATCAGATACAGATGAACTCATCTCATCAATTTTGAAAGAAGCTTGAAAGAAAAAGAATCTCCTTGTACATTGATCGTTTCTTGTTCAACCGTATTGTCTGCAATCTAAATAAAAGAGAAACATATTGTAAAATAGCATCATTCATCGTTTTTCGACTTGAAAGTATTTATCTCATGAAATATTAAAAGTATCATTTGAACCTTGGGGGACACAACGATTTATAGATTAGAGTCAGCAGACATGCGTAGTTTATCGCAATAATTATTTATTCATTTTCAACTGAAAATCTATTTATAGGAGAAAAGTATTTATATCGCACGAGATACAATGGCAAATACGGAGGAGATTAAGTTTACGGTGGGAGTATTTATACGCAGCAAAATAGCTTCAAAAGTATCAGATTTATTTTATCTCAAAAAATTATTATTTAAGAAACGTTTATATCTAATCGATAGACGGGTCAATTTTAGTTATGTCGAATATCTTTGAGAGTACAGAAGTTTATATGTGTATAAATTAATTCGATATGAATAGATACTTGTATGATGTCTCTTACTTACATTTAAATCTTTGTTGTGATGATAATTGTCGAGAGGAATTCGTACATGTTTGTCATGAGTTTTTATAAAAATGATTCGCTAGATTGGTATAAATTATCATCGCTTCTATACATTTAGTTCTAGACATTTTATGAGATGTTTGTTGGTTGTTGATGTTAAATGTAAGATAAACAGTTCACATTTATAATCATCTTTTCGCTTTCGAAATCCCTGTTTGATATTTTGAAGAAGAAGATCGAATCTTGTTGAATACTTACGGTTATCATCGACTGTTAAATCGAGATTATCTTGATCGTTGACGCGCACGACGAGATGCTTCAACTAAAAAATGCGATGTTCATAGATCTATGCCAAGGAAATTGATTATTTACATTAGCAAAATCGATTTTCAATGTGCAGCACCCATAGTAGATATCAGCCTGAAAGAGAGAACGATGAAAAAAAGAATAGGAAGGAAACAACGCAGAAAACGTACACCATCCAGTTCAACTTTGATTCGGCGGGCGGTTTCGGCCGAATCGAATTCAACAAGAACTTGAATAGAACGTCGGCGTAATATACAAATACGTAAAATTTGTCCAGTTATCGAACATATCTTTTGAATTATATCCTAAACGTTCACGTAGAATAAGATATTCGTCGTAAAATCAAAGTTTACCAATGTAATCGGATATTTAGCATTTTGAACGGTAAGACAAAGCACAGCTGTTTCATTCATTGTAAAATTTGTGAATGGATTCATAGCTCTAAAATAAAATTGACTTAAAACTAAGAGGCGTATTTCGTTTGTCTCATACTCTGATCGTTGATCAACATCATTTCCTTCCAATGGTGTTACATTAGTATTGTTTCTATTGTCATCGAATGAATCCCATTTCATACGATGAGAACTACCTTGATCGTTTCGAAAATCGTCACCGCGCATACGTTTGATACCTTGTCCGCCATACGCTCCCGTATTTCTTGAATTATCATTACTATTATTATTACTATCTCGCATATAATTATTAAAATTTCCTCGCTGATGTTGTAGCATACTTCAAACAAATGAGAATTAGAATGAGGTGATATAGATTTATCGAAAACTTACTTGCGACGTGGATCAGACATTTGCCGCGATGAGTTGGGATATGTGTTACGTTTGTCCATGATATCAGTAAGTATTATAAAGTTTGTTTTGTTCTTCGTTTCGCGAAACAGTGAGGCGAGTTGAGTGTAAAATGTGAAGAAAAGAAAAACGATAAAAACAAGACTACGATCATGATTGGTCAAGATAATGCATCAATGGAAAGAACGATAGGCGATGATGTCGTACGCTCTTTACCCATCCTAAATGGTAGAAAAGTTTATGCGTAAGTACAAAAGTGACATCGTACTTCCTCATTGATGATTCTTCCATTGTATAGGCTCGAAGAAGCTCAAATCTGATTGAAATACATAGTGCAAGGGTGTCTTTTCTTTTCCATCATGAGTTCGAATTATGTAGACAGCATCTCGTATACAAATTCCATCGATAACATCCATCATTATTACTTTTGATATATCTATCATGATAGATTAACACCAAATGAATTAGACGAACAAGTTTAGACAGTATTCACAATCAGCAATATTAGTTACTCCGTTTTTCTTCTCTCTGTGACTAGATTGAAATATTTGCGTTGTGCATGAAAGTGAAACATACGAAGCGATTCATGTTATTTTGTTTTGCCAAACGATTACTGACGTGTATCGTGATTGTTACTCTGTGCTCATATTCTTGCCGGCACAGCATGAAAACAGAACGAGTAGGTAGAAAGCAAACAAGCAAGCAAGCCAATGAAATATGGATGACTCATGAAGCTAGCAAACGCGTCATCCACGTCATCATATGAAGACGTGGCTGTTTCGATTGCTTCTGAGCATGAGTGCATAGTATAAAAACAGCAACGATGTCATTTACCATAGCTATTTTTTCATAATAACCATGGAAAACATTCAGGCGACTATTCAACAGATGCTTAATGAAGATAAACGACGTGACACATTCAAGTTTCTAACCTCATTAACTGGACTCAAACTTAATCAAGAACAGGTGAATAATTTACCGAAATATAGTTTTTCTTCGTTTCTGTTATTCGTAACTATCAATCGTTTTGTTTTTCAAGGTTTTTGTCATCGGTGGTGGCCAACAATTTTCTCACCGACACTCAACAATGGCTAATACTGATGAACAACAAATGTCAGACGATAATAACAATACAGCTCTCTCGATACTTGATCTTCCGGATGAAGTCTATCTTCATCTGTTCTCATTCCTTAGACCGATCGATCTCTGTCAAATCTCGAATGTTTGCAAAAAATGGTATCGTTTAGCAACAGATGACAATGTCTGGCAACAAAGATTATTGCATGATATGAAAACTTGGCCAGCAGTCAGTTCGCGTTCCAACCCACTGAGTTATATGCTTGTCCAATCAGACCGTTCACAAAAAGAAATCTTCCTTACTTGTTCTCCAACCATTCACCGTTGCTCAAATCAGATCAATGACAGTCTTGTTTATTTATCCCAATTTTCGAATTATTTTCGAAGTTGGTTTATCGGATCGAAAGATTTGATTATGTTTGGCCCTGGATTAGAAAGTTACACATCTCCATTAGTCAAAAACCTTCTTTGGGATGAATCAAAACGTTTTCAAACCATGGGAATGATTCCCGGCCATGCCGGCTTCGGATCTGGTATAAAAATAAAGCTGCAAAGTCATGTGTTCAACCTAATTACTCTATACACCAACTGTATGAAGGAACGTGAAAATCGTCAAACCGGTGATCGTTTAGCGACAAGCAATCGCCTCGTTCGCTCGAATCACATCGATGATTTCGATATCAGTCCACAAGTTCGCGATGCTTGCCGTGAAGCAAATGGTCTTGTCTACGTTATTGAAGCTAGTCGTGATAACAAATTGAGTGATTTCTGTACGGAACTACAAGTGATGACTAGAGAATTTCGAAATTTACCATTATTGGTTCTCTCCTGTGTACGAAATACCGAAACCAAACGTTGGTCAGCTATTGATGTTGTTCGCGAGCTACAAATGAGTTCCTTTGCCAACCAATGGTTAGTGCAAGATTGTTGTGTTGATACATTGAAAGGTGTTGATGACGGCTTCATTTGGCTACTGGGATTACAATCTAATAACAATCTAGTTTTCGGTGCATCCAACGAATCAGAACTGAATAGTCCGTAATTGATTTTCTTTTTAAATATGTGTAGCTGGAAAACAAAACGAAATATTTATTTTTGTAAATAAAGTAGATATGATGGTTTCCTTTCGTAAACAACCTTTCCATATCAACTAGCTATTCAATCATTATTAAACAATCAAAATAAATCATGACATTTTGTTTTCTCATCAGATCGTATGGTATGTTCGCAGATTCCCTCAAGAATATTCAAAGTCTAACACATGCTTACATTCTAATCACGTCATTCTATAAAGTATAGTAAATATCTTATAAGACTTTTCTTTCTAAGCCGTTGAACACACATACCGATCCACCTCAGTGTTTCCAATCGAGAAAACATTTTATTTGTCATGCGCTAAGACTTCGAACTATATAGATAATGAAGAGTTATATACAATGAAATAAGAAAAATAAACAAAGATATAATCTTGGTGAACTATTTTAAATCGATGAAATCATCATCATCATTGGTATTCTCTGTTCCAGATGTGATTTGCTCTTGTTCTTTTTTTATTGTCCGTAATGCGTGTTTTAATACATAAGCAACGATTTCCGCGGATAGGTCTTGATACACTAGATCTTCGACATTGTTCGATGAGATACGTCGTGGACGAATCGTGTGATGAAAATCATCGATAAAATCGTCTTCGGAATATTTATTCATTGAAATTTCATCAATACTGTCCAAAAGTATTTGATCGGCAAGTGTACGAGCATTCTGAACAATTGTATTTCGATCGTCAATAGAATATTGATTATTAGTGTCACTATCACTGTCCGCATCCACATCATCAGCAAATGAAACACTTTTGCGAGATTGTAAGAATGCCTTTCGTGAGGGTTTATTATAAGCTTTTACTTGTTTTTGTGAGTCATCATCGGCTGTTATCACCGTCGTTGTATTATCCGATGTTCGTCGTTTTGTCGATGGTGAAAAGGTATTTTTTACTTTGTCAAATATCGATTTGAACGATCCACTTGCATCGATCTCAATTATTTCCAGTGGCGAAGAAGATGACGTCGAGCCTTGACGCGCACGAGAAGATGTCTCAACATCGTGATCTGATGTAGTACGCGCTTCTGAAGTGGGCCGACTTAAGTCACGTTTAAACGCGAGTATCGGTCGTGCTAAAAATAAAGTCAATCATATCATTAGTTATTCTCTGTCTCTCAATAAATGGTTGCGTGTTCATTAAGTCAATAAATAGAATGTTTCTCTTTTCCTGTTCTCTCGTACTCTATGTATCATTAAATAGTAAAAGGACATTTCAAACGGCCGATACTTTCTTGGAAACGGAACTTATAAGTAGAATACTATCGGATCTTTTTGAAAAACATATCAGATGCGAATAAGCGCTCTCGCCAGTTAAAAATTAATGCATTCCCTTTCTTCTTCCAGCTGGCACAAAACAAACCTATTCGTGTGTGATGATGAATAGTTGCCTAATAAAAGTAACATGAAAGATTAGTAATGGCGATATTGAAGAATTTCCGTTCTCTTTGCCGTCTTGTTTATCAACGTGAGATATATTTCGTTCAGATTCATGTAATAAATCGCTGTTAACTTACCGATCCGTTGTTCGAAAACGCCTTGCACGGCATTACTGTACGATTTCAATTGACCGAAAAGATTGCTTTTAAATGTATCGACTGGAAATGCCATAAAGATTTCGAATGACTAAGGAAAAGCTCTTTTTTTCTCTAGAATATAGAAAATAGGGGAAAGGCAATAGACGAAAGAAGAAAAAAAAGAAGAAGAAAGCAAGTTACAAGCTCATTTATTTCTTATCTCACTATTTTTTTTCTTCGTCCCTCTCTCTCTCTCTTTTCCGCGCTTTCTGCATCTCATGAAGACTAGAGATTTAACATCAACATCTTCCTTCTAGACTGTCCTTACATATTTCTATTGTTTTCTGCTTCTTCTTCTCATCATGTGCTCAATTTTCTGCTGAACAAAAATTATAAGAAAACATCGACAGAATTGTTATCGAATTACAAATTGAATACGACTACGTATCGATCTATGCGCTAACTTTCTCTTATTTTCTACTAGCATGCTATTACGAAGAAAATGACCTTCTAATAAAATTGACAGACACTAACTAAGAACACGAACAGAAAATTTCCGTTTTATTTTTCTCGTCGTCGGACAAAAACAAACACATAGAAATAATGAAAACAAGTCATCAGACAACATATCTCGTGATCTACTCGACCACCTGATAAAGTGATCATTTATCTAATTGAGGATGATATTGTGCTAAAGTTGATTAATTACAGATTGTGAGATATTTGAGCAATTTACATTTGCCGTTGAATAGAAAACGAACGATAACATTTACTTGGCATTCTTCTCTTTTCTCTGTCTCTCCGATCAACTTCCATTTCTTTGCCGGAACTTCTCATTATCTCATTTATGAAAGAGAAAAAGAAAAAAAAACCTAGAAATGCATAGAGAAATCTCGAGACGAACGTTACGATAGGAAAAGAAGAATCCTATTTAAGTAAAACATGCTTTCTCACTGCATTTCATCGAAGCGAAAGCAACGATACTGACTATGGCATAGCCCTCGTCGTTTTCATACTTCACGGATACTAACTATACACAAGGGAGCGATAGAGTGCTCATTTTCTCATTCTCTACACTTATGTTGGACTCGAATAATAAATGAAAATGACAGTGAAAAGATGCTAACGAAACATCCGCATCTGCCCGCACAAAGATCACCATTCCTAGATTAGACATTCGGTAAAAGCCTTTCTTCTTTCTTTTTTCGACTGTCGACAACGTGCATAGATCGAACAACCTATTAATTATAAAAAAGAAACTTTTTCTACGACATGAAACCAAATGATGGATGTGTATCTCCGTTTCGATATATCTCAATGAAAAGAATAAATTATGCGAACATACATGTTAGCATATTGTTTGAATCTGATTGACAGTACTGATTCTATCATGTTTGCCAGAAATCGAGAAACGAACAATAACGGCGAGTTGCATGTTAACGATGATCATTCGAGGTCTACCATAGCAATGTTATTTCTGTGAGATTATCACAAGTTGTGCATACTAAAATTATTATTCATTCGTCATCTTATTTAGAATTCACTCATAGCACAGACTTGATTGGAAAAGGAGTAACATGAAGAAAGAAGGATATTTTCTTTCACTTGAGTTTACAGTAATACTACAGCAGGAATTCCACTGATGAGTCAGAAAGTTTTGGATACATACCTCGTGTGAATCTATAAATATGAGAAGCGAGAAATCTTCATGGTTCATCTTCGAAACTTGATAGTATTTAGAACATTTTTTGCGTTGACGTTCTTTTAGTATTCTGTTTGAAACAAATTTCACTACTTTAATATGTAAGTGCACCCATTTCAAAATACGCATTAGAAAAATTATGCTGGAATGATACTTGATTAGAAATGAAACACACCATAGTTATAATTACTAATGTGCAAAATAATGACCTTGCAGGAAAGAAACGTGAAATACGATACGTGGGAAATGGATTTATCAAAGCTCATGTTATATATGGAAAGTTACGCGAAAGCTAGCTTCTCACACAGCAGGTTGTATTTACTACCTATGTATGTGAATGTCGACCAGACAGCTACTCATTCTATGATTTCATCCGTTTTCCTGCGTCAACATTGATGTTTTCAAGAATAGAAAGATCAAAGAAGAGGTTCATATTTCGCTGGTTTGCTCTGCCTGTGACCGATATAGGCATTGATTCACTCGAGCTAAATGTCATTTTTTGTTCCATAGTCAATCACATTACTGTATAAGGTTCAAAAACATCCTCTAGTTTGATTCAATTTGCTCAATCCATAATTATGAAAATGCCCGTACGATTGTGAGAAGCAGCAAATCATACACGATCGTTACTTTATTAAAGCTATTTATATTTGTTTTTCTTATTTTTCAATCTATTCCTTCACGATTGAAGATACGAGACAAATAGAAAAAAAAAAGATGTAATGCTGATTTTTCTTTTTGAATGCTTTAGATATTGACCTTGTAAAAGAAAAGAAAAGTAGCTCGACGATTCTTGTTTGTTTACTTGTAATACAGATGGTAATAGGGAAAAAATGAAATGAAATAATAGAAGAAGAAAGAAAGAAAAAAAATTCAATAACAACAAAAAGAAAAGATAAATGAAGAGACGATCGATGGATTTTGTCGCGCGCGCATTTCATTTTTCGTCACCAGAATCGTTTTACCTACACTCACACGTCGAAAAAAGAAGACAAAAATATAGAGAAACAGAATGACAGAGACAAGACAAGAAAGAAAATAATAATGACATTTTGTGTTTTTGAGTGTCTTTTTCGAAAGAACTGCGCAATTTCTTTTCTTTTTTTCACAAATCTTCGTCATCGTCGGGTAATGCTGCATTTTGAGCATCGGCTATTTCCCGTTCGTATTCCTTGATTTTTTCGCTATCCATTTGAACTTCAGCTGGCTGCAAAACAAATCAAATGTATTCAATCTTTGCGAAAAACCTTCAACATACCATAAGAGCTGGCATAGCAGTAAATTCAAGGTTGGCATCGCCAGCTAATTTACGTGCTAACCAGAGAAACGGTTTTTCGAAGTTGTAATTTGATCGGGCGCTAATATCATAGTATTGCATGTTGTTTTTACGGTGAAATGTTATAGCTTTAGCTTTAACTTTACGATCTTTAACGTCGACTTTATTACCACAGAGGACAATGGGAATGTTTTCACATACACGAATTAAATCCTTGTGCCAGTTGGGCACGTTTTTGTATGTGATACGTGACGTCACGTCGAACATGATGATCGCACATTGACCACCAATGTAATAACCATCTCGGAGACCTTAAAAAGCAATGAACAAGATGAGGTTTGATGAAGGGAACGGGCGCGCATACATACCGCCGAATTTCTCTTGGCCAGCTGTGTCCCAGACGTTGTAGACAATTAAACCCCGATTTGTTTGAAATTGAAGTGGATGAACTTCAACACCGACGGTTGCATTGTATTTCTTTTCGAATTCACCGGTCAAATGTCGTTTGACGAATGTTGTTTTTCCTATTGATGAGAAAAAAGAGGACACATATGATGATGATCTGAAAATAGAGATGCTTCTGTATTGCATCATCTACATACCAACACCACCGTCACCAACTAACACAAGTTTAAATTCGGGTGCTTGTTGAGCCATAATTTAGTTTGACTTGATTGTTGAATTGAATGAATGAAGAGAAGTAGTGTGTGAGTGGCTTGTGGTGATCTAAAAGAAAGACGGAGAATGTTGCAGTATTGCATTGAAATACAAGCAAACGAGACATTCTCAGCGCGTATTTACGCAATTCTATGACTAATCGTTGTTAAAGAAACTGTCAGACGGATAAAAATAAGTTCTCTGTCATGTACAGAGGGTCCGTACAGGTCTGTGGGAGATCATCATTCAGTCTCTTTTGTGAAAAAGAAGAAAATATTCGAATTTTCTCTCTGACGACTACGATGACGATAAATGAATGTGCACTTGCAGAAAGAATAGACAATAAACAAAGTACAAAGACATCCATATTTTCCCGTTGCTTCAATGAATCATAGGTTTCCTTTCTTCTTTTCTTTCTTTTCATGTTCTACTACCTCAGTCGCGGTGTAATTGTGGCAGCAACAAAATAAAACAAAAGAGGTCGCTAGGTTGACGTTAAACATCTTTGGCCAGCAAAGTTTAATAAAAAACAAAGAGAAAATGAAATAGAGATAGAGAATGAGAGCGCATTTACAACGCCAAAAAGGAAAATGAAGAAAATGTCCGTTAACAATGTACAAAGTATGAGTTCGTTGATACAAAAGGGAAAAAGCGAAACAAATAAGCACACACACACACACATGTAGAAGAATGTTTCGAGCTAATACACGAAAAATAAAAATATATAGTCCGTTTTTCTAAGGTGTCTCTACCCTCATCATTCCCCTCCCCTTCGGTGTAGATTACGTGAACAGAAACAAGGCAATCGAGTATGGTTTAATCTTCTAAAACTAAAACAAGAAGCCAGTCGATATGAATAAATTCTATTTACAATAAAAATTAAAGACAAAGAAAAAGAAAAACAAATGAAGTGTTTATCAGCTGCGTAGAGATATACATATATTTTCTTATGTTCACTGGTGAGAATATGAGAGCGAGAAAGAGAGAGAGCAACACAGAGCTTGAAAAGGAAAACAAAGAAAACAATTCACACGGGTTCCTTTTTGAAGAGAGAAGAAAATAATATAGATATTCAAATAATTACACAACACACTCGATGTTTATTCGAGGTCGATTGATGCGCCTTTTGTACATTTTCGGTATTCGTTGAGCCTTCCACCGTCGATTTTTGTTGTTGTTGATGTTTGAGAAGAGAGTATTTTAATGTTGACAATACTGAATGTTGCGATGGTGTCGGCGATGTAACTGTGCTGACATGACCATTGGATTGATTGATATTCTCGGATGTAGGGACGATGACGTTTGATTTACTGAGACCGTTACTCGACTTTTTGCTGGAATTGGGCTTGGCATTTAAATTCGGCGAAGACACCGATGGAGGAGAGATTTCTTCTTCCACAATAATTGGGGTTTGAAGTGATTCAGCATGTGATGGCGTTTGTTGCGAACGTTGATGTTCAATAATGGTTTTGATTGCATCCGTTGTATCGTGATGCGGAGTTTGTTGCAGTAAACGTACAACTGGCGGTGCATCTGTCTTTGTAAATACGGTCGATTCACGCGGTGTGGAATAACGTATAGATGTTCGAGATGCTATTGACATCTGTGATGGATTAGCAAGACGATGTTCAGTCGATAGACTACGTGTACGATCATTCATGAGCGTTAAACTCGGTGTGGCAGATATTTCGTTGTTCATTTCGTCAGTTGCACTATTCAACGTTAGACGATTATTAGATGCAATTGAACTAGCACGAGAGAAACTTCGACGTTTGGGATTGTCAGTATTTGTGTTAGTATTGGAAATGATTTGCTGTTGTTGTTGTTGTTGTTGTTGTTGTTGCTGCTGCTGCAGAAAATTAGTTCCATCGCCTAAACGAGAAAAGGTATGAAATCGGCTAGTTTTTTTTGTGTTAAATACCATTGATTGTTTCACTAAATTCTTGAAATGAACATGGGCGTGTAGGAGAACGTGTTTGTTGTTTTCGACTGGATGAACGATTCATGTCGAAACTACTTCCATTATCTTCACTATCTGAACTCGAACGACTACGAGAAAAATTTCGGCGTTTCTTCTCCACTACGGATCGTAAATCTTTCGAACGTAAGATTCCACTGGTCGTTGTTGAGTTGTCAACGACGGATGAACCGCCATTGGGAAGCAACACTGTAGTGTTTGGCGTCGAAGGATTCTCATCGTCGTCACCACCACCACCACCGCCATCCTCGTCATTATCTTCTTCTTCTACAAGAGGTAGAGCGAGAAAGAAATAAAACAAACTCCACGCATATACTGTACATACCACTTTCAACTATTTTATTTAGTTTAGATGAGTTCCCTAGTTGTTGAAGTGCAGCCGCAGTTTTACTATAAAATAAGGATATATATTCAAATTTCACCAACTGTTGAGCTTACTCGGCAGGTGGCGAATCCGAATTTTCATCTTCTTCAAGGATAATTCTCATTGCTTGCGTTGGCGCAGTTGGTGTCGTCGCAGTAGTCGAGCGTTGCTGCACAGACGGTCGTTCTTCTTCATCTTCAACTAATGCTATAAGAAGAAAAACAAATTCATTTCATTCAGATGTTCATTAGCAAGTCGAAAAAAATGATCGCGCATCGTTATCAAAACATTTCATCGCCTAGGCCTACGACAGAATCATGTTAAAGGACAAGATTGATTTGGTTATTATTCTACACGAAAGTTTTAGACAACAATTACAGAAAGGATGCGCTTAATAATCATCAAAAGTACCGAGCAATCATCGATTGGGAAGCCGTGTCAATTCTGATTAGTTTTTTTTTTGTATGAGATAATCGAATCTTTAGTGATCAAACATGCATAAACTAAATATCAATGATATCGTACCGCGATCAAACGTTAATTGAAAAACAACTATATTCATATAGATTCAAGTCAAAGGCTTCTTCTTGTCTTATTTTTTTACCTGGCAATGTTTGTTCAGCCGAACAGTCAATCGATTGTCGTGGAGTTGTAATCACCGGTGGTAGATTTTCTTTTCCCGGACTAGAAAGAAAAACAGATCAATAATTGAATCAGTATTCAGATGAAGCAAAAATGAGAGTTTGCAACCCATTCCCATTTATAAAGCAGTGTATAGCATTAGAATTCTGTCTCTTACAAATTGCAGTTCTCGTTATTATTATTATTACAATCGACATTCTCGTCAACAAATGAATTTGTTCGTGTTGTTGATGAAGATACGTCACCATGAAGAAAACTAAAACATGTGTAACTATGTCTATGAGCGAAATCATGCGAAGGAGTTTATACTAGGAGATGGACACTTTTCGAATTGAAATGAAACGTACTTTGATGACGATGGTGACATGAAGACACCGATTTGTTCCGTAAATGGATCACTTGCTGGTTGTAAACGTCGTTGTCGTTTGGCACTTCGTTGTTCATTGTCTTCGTTTGTTTCACATAAACGATCGTTCAACATTTTTTCAGCAAGGAGATAATAAGTAGCTGTGATATGGTTGTATTGGTCTTCATTCAATGCACTTTAATATAAGAAGACGACGACAGTTGATTAGAGGGAATGGAACGAACGATGAGTATTACTTTATGATTGCATCTTGTTCGGCGATATTTCCATCGATCATCTGTTGGAGAATCGATTCGTGATCAGTTTGTGATATCGTTTTATGTGATATCAATGGTAATGAATCAACATAATGTTGATCATCAACATTGTCGTTATCGTCATCACATTGACGATACCAAATATCAGACATGACTTCATCCAATGACGCACGTTTCTCTGGTTCGCGAACGATCATTCGATGAATTAAGCTAAAATAATAAGAGAAAACAAGAGATGAACAGTCATCGTCCGATTTGAATCGATTGCGTACTTTTGACATTCTGAGGAGATGTTTGACGGAAGTTTATAACAACAATCTAGAATCATCATCACTGTTTCGGAATCATTGGCTTCTTGGAATGGTGCTCGGCCCGTAACAAGCATAAATAAAATGACACCTAAACTCCAAATATCTACAAGACAGAAATACAACGACATGTTTTGGGGTAGAACTTGTGAATACTATACCTATAGCCGTTGCATCATAAGGATCGCCGAGCAGGATTTCCGGTGCGGAATAGGCGAGTGATCCACAACTAGTAAGTAATTTTTTACCAGGTGAGAATTGATTGGAAAATCCTAAAAGATACATTGATTATCCTTTTTGTTTTAAGCAGAAAGCTTTCTTACCAAAATCAGTTAGTTTCACGACACCTTGCTTTTCAAAAAACACCAAATTTTCAGGCTAAAAAATAAAGTAATCAATAGATAGTTCGTACAGTCGATGAAAGCTGATCTTTCTATCGGCATCCACGCGCTATCCATTCCCCGGAAACACAAACTATTCCCTCCTCGTCATTAGTAATATGATTCAAAGTAACTCGCATTCTCAAAACAGCTGAGTTCTCTGATCACTTTCCAACCAGTCCAAGGACATAAATTAGAATACAGCAATTACTTACTTTAAGATCTCGATGACACACATGCATTTCATGACAGTATTTCAATGCTCGACATATTTGTCGAAAATATCTCCGAGCAATGGATTCGCTAAGACCATTAACATGTTTCATAATATAATCGTACATATCTCCACCATCTCCAAATTCCAGAATTAAATAGAGTTTATTCGGCGTGTCAATCACTTCATAAAGACGAACAACATTCGGATGTTGAACTAGTTTCATACACATGACTTCTTGAAATAAATGAGCTTTGGATATATCATCGAGTTTGGTTTTATCAATCACTTTGACAGCAACTTCTTTTTGAGTAAATACATGCCGAGCGAGTTTAACAACAGCAAAATGACCCGTGCCAATAGTTGCCCCTGTAATCGAAAGACATTATTTCGAAAGCAACAGATGAAATATCCGTATATTTACCTAAAGTGTACAAGCCACTGACTAAATTACGCAGATCTGAGAGTCGACGTTCGGAGGACATGGTCATATTTGTAAAGATAACTACATTTCTTTTTATCTATTGACTTTTCTCGACATTTTTCACGAATAACAAATGAGATTCCATGAATTGAGTCTGAAAAATGAATAATGCAAAGATTGATTAGTCGAAAAACATCGACGAAGAAAATATGACTCTGTCAACATCTAATTAAGACATATGATAAACACAGTGGTAGACTCAAGAGAACAAATAGAAAAAAAAGTGCTTGCACACTTCACGACGAGCTCTTTTATGTTTTCTTTCGTCATCTTATTGAACGATACTGTCTTTTCTCGCTTCTGCTAGATGATTAAAACCCAGAAAGATAATTTCGACATTCTTTTTGTCCTACAAGACAAAAGAAGCAAATTGCCAAAAGCTTCTGAGTAGATTATCCTCTTTTCTGATTTAGAAACGTTGAGTTTCTTGTCGTTGGAAAGACTTTTAGATGTGTAAGTGGAAAATCACAATCATAAAATGAATCTTGTTTTTCTCTCTCATCAAGCTCATCTAACTTCATAACCTACATGTCTGTGTATGTAGAGAGACCGTCATCAATCAACGACTAATAGACACACATCATAAAAAAAGGAAAAGAACAAGTGCTATCAATCAACCTTGCGTCTTTCATTCGATATTTTTACATATCTGCACGCATCGACTTTCAATTGTGTGACGGAGGTCACTGGCTTTATCTGAAAAAATAGAGAGAGAGAGAGGGAGATATGGCATTGATGGTATGTCTCTCGAGAGGAGGAAAATATGATTATTTTTGTATTTCTTTGCTGGAATGTTTCATCTGTTAAGAAATCAAGCCGAATGGATAAATATAAAGCAGCTCAGAGGCCATGACAATCGTCATCAAATTCAGGTTAATTTATAAGGAAACCATGTCGTTACATCATCATTGCTGCTAAACATATTGATGGAGAGAAAAGAACTGTTTTTGATGAGTTTTTGATGAGAAGCGAAGACATCATGAATGAGACATTTGTTCGTTAATTCATTTCATTCGATCATGCACGCAACCATTCACCTCTTTGTAATAAATTTCTATTTGTTATATGTTTTGACTGAGGATATTTTCCTTCCGTCATTCCTTCTTCGTAATCAATCATATTCATTAGCGACAAGATCACTTTATCTTTGCCATTTATATCAATTAAACAACTCGAAAGAGTTATTTCTCCAAGGTTACAAGATACTTAATCGAGGAAATAGAGATTATGTCCACCATTTACTTCTGTATGAATGTTCGACCAAGGAAAAACTTATTTATTCAGGATTGTGTGGAATGTACAATGCTTATTCTATGCCTCAATCTGTGTATCGTCATTGTCAAACACGAATCATCGTCGCTTGGGCACAAGGTGGTCAGCTAGAGTACAGCTATCCTCCTTCAACGGGCTTGAAACTTACTTCATATACACAACTTCTACTCGAAGTTCACTTCGAATCATTCATTTCTCCAGATCACCCAGTAGGACTTCGCCTTCGATTCTTTCCTCTTCAGCAACCACCTCCATACGAAATCGGAGTTCTAACGTTGGGTACTCTAGCTAAATCACCATTGTTTTTACCTCCTAATCTAGACTCTATACGTTTTCCGACCTACTGTTTTAATGACTGTTTGAGATCTTTTCTTGGCTATCATCGAACAATGAATGTCTTTTCGATTCTTGTTCATGCACATCGACGTGCAATTCGCATCGTTCTTGAGGACGAGAATCGACATCAAATTATCGATCGAAATCCATTCGAATTTCATCGACAAAAAACTGTCTTTTTCACTCAACCTTATCTACGAATCAACTCCACGAATGAACTGTCTCTTCTATGCTATTACTCAACAAAGAACGACACTCATCAAGGCATCTATGGTGGCCATGATTCGAACGATGAAATGTGTCAAGCATTTCTTTACTATTACCCCAAAATCGAATCGTTTCCACTATGTCTCTCCGTACCTATCTACAAAAATAAACATCTACTTAACAACGATCAAAACTGGACTGTTAAACAAAGTTTAGCTATGAAATTCGAATTAGAATCGAATGTCGATCATCTCGGTATGTGCGGTGACAATATTTATCTGAATCATAGTAATCAAAGCCTGTTACAAACAAAGTTTTATCGGCGAACACCTGAAAACATCCGGCAATATTCTCATCTCTTTATTCCTTTGCCACTTTCTTTCGTCACATTGCTTTTTAGTCTGATTTTGATTTCTATTCTCTATGGTTATTTGATTATCAAGAGAAACTTACATTCTTTTGTTAGAGATTGTAGTTTGTATTAATCTAGAAATGAAGAGTAAGACAAATGGTTATGTTGTTCGTCGAAATAAAACTTACGAAAGGAATTTTTAATAGCAATAATCAGAATATAAACATACACGATTGCTTTTCAAGCAAAAAATCAACATAAAAAAGGGGGTGTGTCTATTTTCTTTCTTTTTCTTCTAGAAAATGAAAATAAATCAATTAGATCCGAAAAATGTAATTCATTTTCAGTTTTCTATCAGCTCAGACAGCCAAGACAAACAACATTGATACATTCAGTGATTGTAAGCGAAACCGTGTCTTTGTCTTTCATCATCGCTGATAAATAAACAAAGTCTTTCTTTGACGGGCGAAGTCGAGATATGATCTGCTCGTCTCCTCAACATCTATGCGTCGAATAAAAGAAAGAGAGAAGATTGACGAGAGAAAAACATTCGGTTTTATATATCATCAACAAATAATATATCGAGATTTCTCAAGTAATAGTACAAATGATTCTTTTCATTGTGTCCAAATCGAAGTTATTTGCTTGAAAATAACACCTAAATAAAGAACAGAAAAAAGTATTCCGATGTCAAGTATGTGTTTGAAAACTTAACGTCTTTATGGAAACTTTCTGCTTGTATTCTGATGTCGACTAGACAATATAAACTCTCATAATCTCCTAAGCGAAAACATCCGACTTTCTCGAATAACAATAAAAACATGCTGTTAAAGAAATATGTTCTTTTCTCTCTCTCTCTCGCTGGTCGTGCCGAAAACCATTAAATAGATTGACAACTGTAAACACATCAACAATAATAATATCGAAAGAAAATTGCTTACAGCTGCGCGACTAATAAATACGCTCAGAATGGGATGTTGCTTCGAACGTATACTAATAAATATTTGATTTATATAAAAATAGGAAAACTGCTGGCGAAAAGGAACACTTAAACGTGAAAATTTGATTTATTTTCTCGATTGATGATTCTCGTATCTCAGCGAACAAAACTGATTTAATAGAAGTTCCGACCGAGTCCGATTCATCGATGAAAATGCGTATGTTCTTCAAACGACGAGTAAGTGAGTGGATGAAAATAGTCACGTACTATAAATACATTCGTTTTTATTTACAAAGCTCTCGGTAAAATCAGATTTGTAAAGAAATCTCAAAAACGACTGAGCGTTTTGCTTCGAAGACAAACAAAAGAAATATGCGTTTCGAAAGAGTCGAAGAAAAAAAGTACGGTAAACAGATTCTATCTGCCAGGAACATTCATGCTGTCAGGAGCAAAAGAAAGCGAACGAGTCATCGATCATTCTTCACTCTTGCTACGTATACCTGAAACAAAACCAGGCATCAGTCGAGGTTGCTTCGAAAGTCAACAGTGGTATTATTGAACGTGTCGAAAGGAAATCAACGCTCAACATCGTGTCAGAACGTTTTAATCGACTAGATTTTCCCAAAGAGAACAAATACACGTCATTAGATCGAATTAACCTTTAATATTTCAATATTTATGTTCCTATAAACGAGAAATATTTGCTTTTTGAAACTCATACAGTTTAGTAAGATAAATACGGAAATGAGATATCCTTCCTGTTTTGTTTCGAGCTTAATGAAAACTGTTTTTGAAAATAAATCAACGCTTTTCTTACCTGATTTCCAAGCAAATTTGAAATCAACATAAACAAGAATTGAATGGACGAATCAGATTGTATTCAATCGATGTCATTGTGACAAAATCGATTTAATCGATAAATAAATGATAATCACCATTAAGTGGATAATTAGACTAACAAAACATCCTCACCAGACCTATTCTACTCTCCGCTAAGCACAAATTATCTTTGTGTTTCATTCGAATGAAACCAATTTTACTTGTTTATTCTCATTATCGACTAAAACTAAAACGACCTATGTCTTTCTCTCATCTTGGTTAGATAAGAATTCTCTCAACCTCCTCCGCTCAATGAAAAAAAACCGACGAAAATCACTTCTAAAATATGCTTAAGTAAAAAAAAAGCTTTTGGATGTTGAAAGACATTTTTCTTCGCAAAAAGAAGCAACTACATTTCCAAGTGCATTAACGTGTTATTCCAGCCAATGATGAACGATTGATTGTTCGATTCCAACACATATTTATTTATTATTTATTCCTCTTCTCTTGCTGCCACTTTTCCATCATTAGCGTTGCTTTCTTCTTATACTTTCTTACTAAACAAATCGTTTGCAAGTTCGTTGAATCATTCCGATTCATTGACGTATACGAATAACAACCATTTTATTTTGGTTTTTGCCTTTTCGACGTGGCATTTCATTGTATCTTGACATATACACGAAGGGAAATTTTTCTTATTCATCAGTCTTTTTCGACACTCTCTTCAGAAGAAATAAAAGCGAAAAATGACACTCGAACTCATTCCGAACGGCGATCTAGTCTTCAAAGGTCCGTTTAATACCGTTTCAACGACAACATTGAAATTGTCCAATAGCGGAAATGAACGCTTGGCTTATAAAATAAAAACAACCGCACCGAAACGTTATTGTGTCAAACCAAACAGCGGTTTTCTCGATCCTCATGTATCAGCTAGTGTTCAAGGTACAGAATTGAACTAAAATTATCGTAATTGATATGCTCATTTCCTCTTTTATTCAAGTTATGTTACAACCACAGCCAGCTGGTCAACAAGATGATCGTAATAAACATAAATTTATGGTACAATGGGTTGCAGTACCTGAAAGTAATACTGACGACGTAGAAAGCTTCGTAAGATAAGAAGAAATTTAATAACGGAAAAGCAAACACGATGCTTTTGTTTGAATTTAGTGGAAACAAGATTTAACTAAGCTGAATGCACATGACTCAAAACTGAAATGTGTTTTTGCTGACGAAGCGCCAGCTGCTGTCGTACCAAATGATTCGTACGGACACAAAGATTCAGATTTAGTAAGTTAAACATCATAATTTGTATCCAAATCGACTGTACTATTATCTCTTTTAGACAACAGCACGAGTTGTAAGTAGTTTTTCTGTGAGGATAACTCAGAGAGAATATACATTTGTCTTTGCTGCTTGCATGCTTTTCCGTGTTTGCTTATCCTTTGTTTGTTTTCAATATCGTACGCGTTTAGGCGGACTCCAAACCTGTGAATGATAACCGTATTCAACAACAGATGGATAAGAACGATTCATTATCAAGTCATAATCAACGATTCTCTGCAAATACATCACGTGATACGAATGTCGCTCAAAACCAATATAAAGTTCGTCAACAAGATCTTGTATTAGTACCATTTTTTTGGTTATCAATTGAGTTACACAGTCATCTATATCTTACTCGAATAAGCTTTGTTTTTGTCGTAATACACAGAATTGTAGATTATATTTTTTGTCCCTTGGGAATACTTCATGCTTATGCTTCTAGTCACAGTTTTCTAACCCACTCGTTGTTGATTATTCGGATCATCATATTAATGTTTTTCTTTCATTATAGGATACTGGCGATGATTCAAATAAATCTCGACTCAAACAAGAATTCGATCGTTTGAAAGAAGAAAATGATAGATTAAAAGTACGTAGGAATTTTTATCGTTTCCGATTGAGTTGTTTTCTTGATAATGCACACATCCGCATGTATCTCATATCTAGCTTGATATTCAACATATGAAACGAAAGGTTGACGAACAAATTCATTCTTTACCGTCGCTGAGATCTGCTCGAAGAAAAGATCATTCAATGACAATGATATTTCTCTCGATTCGTCTTTTTCTTTTCGGACTTTTTCTCGGAAAATTCTGTTCAATTCATTGTGATAGTTATCATTTTTAAATTCGATTCTGAGTGTCCTATTTGTTTATTTAGGATCAAATAAAACAACAAGAATTACGACAGAGAAACACAGGTAACGATCGCATCGATAATCCTGTTGTTGATCGATTCAAACCCAGCCAACAACAACAAAAAGGTCTCGTTCTTTTCGGCGTACCTTTAACTGAACAACTCGTCCTCGTGGCTTTCGTTCTTGCATTAATATTCGGCTTTTCACTCGGTTATTTTCTCTTTTCCTGTGGAAATTAAAGCTAATAAATCTATATATACATATATCATGACGCTAAACAATAGAAAAATCAAGATATATAAATATATATACGTGTATACATATATAATGCACACAAACTTAGTTTTTATTCTATTTTTTCCTTGTGTGTGGTTTTTTTTCTTTTGTTCGATGCGCGCATGTATATTGTAGCAATAAAACCAACCTACCTTTCCTGAACATTTACAGATAGATAGAAAAGTCTTTATTATACATTCGAAACAGATGTTCTTCTCTCTCTCTCTCTCTCTTTCTTGTCCGATGTTCATGTGTTTTCTTTTTCGTTTCCGGTGTGTGTACCTTAATCATCTGTTTTCTGCGCGCTTTAACAACCCTGGCATTGATGTTGATTTCGTTATGTTTCATTGTCGATTGTAATCAAGTCATAAACAAACTGAATGCGAATAAACCTTCTTCTTCTCTCGATCATCTATTAGGTTGATGTGAACTGGTTTCACGAAGCCTCTTTTGGATAATTTCTCCTTTTTCTCTTTGTTTATTCATATTCAGGGGAGAAGATACTTCGTCAAAACGTAAATGAATGAATACACACATTGCGTAGAACATGATTTTTCTTTTACTTCTCACATTCAAGCATTTTCGGTTTCTCGTCTTTTTCTTTCTTTTCAAGTGTTGTCTCTATCATTTTCTCTTTCTAATCGTTTGCTCCTCGTTTTTTTTCTTTTTGAAATAAGTAAACAGATTACAACAAAAAAAAACAACAACCTATACATTTTACAGCTAATACACTTATTGTCTTTTGCTTGAAGATTTGTTTCTTTTATTTTTGCTCAGAAACGAATAAATGCCTAGCGAAATCATTACGTTGCAACTCGGACAATGTGGCAATCAAAGTAAGTTAGAATTGAAGTAACGCAAACTAGGAAAAATGTGAATTCCTCGCAATGAATCATTTCATGTTACATATGAAGTGAAACAAGGTTAATTAGCCGTGATCGATAGAAAGCAATTAAAAAACAACGATTAGTAACTATATGTTTAATTGGATCGGGTGATTCATGCGTGTGATAAAATCTTAGTTCAAGGTGAAATAAGTGTTTTGAAAGAAATGAATCTCGTCTGTTTAGTTGGAATGGAGTTTTGGCGACAATTGTGTGCAGAACATGGTATTAGCCCGGAGGGAAAATTAGAATCATTTGCAACAGAAGGGTCTGATCGGAAAGATGTTTTTTTCTATCAAGTTGGTTTTTCCTTTCATTTTTGTCGACGGGATACATCTTTTACATGATTTTCTCAGGCTGACGATCAGCATTACATTCCACGGGCAGTGTTACTTGATCTCGAACCGCGTGTTATCGATGGTATCATGAAATCACCCTATAGACATTTGTACAATCCGGAAAATGTCTATATTTCGAAGGATGGCGGTGGTGCCGGTATGCTTTGATGATTGTTGAATGAAATCTTTTGTTTCAATCCGAATGATTTTTAGGTAATAACTGGGCACAAGGTTTTTATCAAGGTGAAAAATTGTATGAAGAAATATTTGATATTATCGATCGAGAAGCTGATAATGGTGATTCTCTTGAAGTAGGATGATTAAAAATGGTTTGGCGGAGAAATTCAGTTGACTTCTTTTTTTTAATAGGGTTTTGTTCTTTGCCATTCCATTGCGGGAGGTACAGGGTCGGGTATGGGAAGTAATATTCTGGAAAAACTTAACGATCGGTGAGAAATGATTAATAACTCCAAGGAAGTTTTCAATTTTGTTTGTACGTGAATAGATTTCCTAAAAAATTAATTCAGACTTATTCGGTCTTTCCAATGACAAATGAAGTTGTAAGTAGCTTTCTTTCGACTATTTTTTCTCGAAACTTCTACTTCGTTCATCAAGGCCGATGTCGTCGTACAACCTTACAATTCCATACTAACATTAAGACGTTTGACCGAGAATGCTGATTGCACAGTAAGGGGATTTCTACAATGATTGATCGACCATCACACAGTCTCTTTGATTTTCTCGTTCCAGGTTGTTTTAGATAACACTGCATTAAATCGAATTGCTACCGAACGTCTTAAAAAGACAACCCCAACGCTCGCTGAATTAAATCAATTGGTATGCTCTTCGGATAGAAATCATTGAAATAACCGCCGTTACTTTAGGTATCCACGATCATGTCTGGAAGCACTTCGACACTTCGCTATCCAGGTTATATGAACAATGATCTGATCAGTCTTATATCTTCACTGATTCCAACGCCTCGGTTACATTTTTTAATTTCTGCATACACGCCATTGACGTCTGATAATACAGTAAAATATGAAAATTTTCACTAAAGATAAGAAAAGAATTGAAATTTTTCAATTACAGGAATCTGAAGTACGTAAAACGACTGTTCTGGATGTCATGCGACGTTTATTACAACCAAAAAATGTTATGGTGACAACAGCAGCTCGCGATCGCAATGTCACGCATTGTTATGTCTCGATTTTGAATATAATTCAAGGCGATGTCGATCCATCAGAAGTAACGAATTTCTCTCTTTCATCGGACACTCAAGCTCTGTTTATGAACAAATAGGTTCACAAAAGTTTAATGCGTATACGTGAACGTAAACTAGCTGATTTTATTCCATGGGGCCCTGCTTCTATTCAAGTCGCGCTTTCCAAAAAGTCACCGTATATTACTACACAACATCGTGTTAGTGGACTTATGCTTGCAAATCACACGGGCATCTCATCGGTAGGAATTTGCATGGCATGAATGGGAATTCGTAAGAGAAAAAAAATCATTTTGTCTTTAGTTATTTGATCGTATCTGTGAACATTATGATAAATTAATTAAACGCGAAGCCTTCGTTGAGAATTTTCGTCGTTTACCGATGTTCAAAGACAATCTCGATGAGTTCAATGAATCTCGTGAAGTAAGTATTCGTTTTCTGAAATCCCAAACTCAATCAATGACTTTTCTATCAGGTTGTTCAACAACTAATGGATGAATATCGCGCTGCGACCACAAAAGATTATGTAAACTTTGGCAATGCTCAATCAGGACAAGTATGAACATTTCTACTGAATTATTTCGCTTGACGAAGTTCTTTTAGACTGAACAAACATAAAGAATCTCGAGAATGATGATGACAACAACAACAACTATTTTTAATCAACAGTCTTATACTAGTCAGATGAAGAGAATGCTGATACATTTCTCCACTCTTTTTTTTATATGTACATCATATTTCTTTTGATTAAATCCAAATAAATATCTCAATCGATCTATCAGATAGATTCAATAGCTTTGTTATTAGACTTCAAGGATAGAAGTTTCACTTACAATTCGAGAGAACATGAAAACATAACGAGAAGGTTAATACACATCAAATGTAAATTGGGAATTCTACAAATGTCTTTTCACGAGAATATCGAATAAGGAATATGTATAACATACATGATAAAAACTCAAATCAAAAACAGAACACCACAAAGAAAAAATTCTCTTCATCTGAGCTAGGAATTCACGTCAAAAAAAGTTGAAAACGATGGAAATTCACACACAAATTGAAAAAGATTCATCTGACAATTTGATTTGTTAATTTTCAAATTCACTTAGAACATGTAAAGGTTCGAGGCGTTTCTTCACAATACTCTTTTTCGCACCTGTTTGAGATTCTGTTTGTCGATCTGAGAATACCAGTGACTTCTTTTCAGGCAAACGCATTTTCCATTGAACAACCGGCTAAAACAAAAAGTTCTTTTCGAAAATCTTCTATAGAAAAAACAACAACACTCACCTCTTTGTTGCCTGTTTTATTACGATATTTGGTCGAGACAATGTATGACGCTTTAACAGTGAGAACAACAGCATTCATTAGATTTTTCGCTGATGTGATCAATGATGTGGCGCTATCGAGCTGAAAAGCAGATGATTTGAACGATTAATAAGTTGCATTTCTAAGGCAGTAAAAGCGAATACTTACACCGCTGACGATGAGTTCACCACTAATATTCTGCACATCAGCTTTTACTTTACTAGTTATATCTAATTGATGACAATATAATGTGATACCTAAAAAACCAAAGAAACTTTGCAAGAAAACAACGAGGAAAAGAATGCTAAACGTACGATCAACATAAGCAAGAAGATCAGCTTTGGATTGAGATTCGACACACTAGCATTGAAAAAGAAGTTGCCAATATAAACGATATATTTCGAAAAGATTTTACTTGAGCAGCAATATCTTTAGCAAGTTTATTCAGTTTTGATCCACATTCAGATATCATTTTAGCAGCATTGATGACATCCATAGTTGTACGTAATGGTCCACGACCACTAAAATACATTTCGTAACTCGATATGTTTTCTAAAAATGAAGTCTTTACCGGGTAAAATCAGTCATTTCCATCATGATCATGCACATTTTCTTTGCGAGAACGATGATATCATTACCACGATCGTCCCATTTTAGCACTTCACGTTCGAAGTCGCGTTTAGTCTTCTTAAAACCTTCTACTTGTAATTCGATTTGTTCGCGTTCTTCTTTTGGTAATCGTCTCATCATATCCTGAAATTCAACATTCAGAAATTGTAAAAACTCACAAGTTTTCGCTTCATACTCGACTTGGATTGTCGTTATTGCCTGAATACATGTCATAATCAACTTGTTGACTATCGGATGATGGTCCATGACTTGATGTTTGAGATTGGGCATAAACATCTTCATTTCCTCCATCTTCATCATCACTTGGCCATTCCAGATCCTAAGATAGAGTAAAGGTCAATCCAGTGAAGTTATTATCTCAGAGAAATAGTTATAGGCAATGAGTACAGAGATAATATATTGATAAGCTCGAGAAATTAGCGCAACCACAGCCGAAGCATATTTTTGTTTGTTTTACCGCCCTTCTCCAGTGATAACTTCACCAAGCACAATAAAAAACTTATATTCGATTACCAAATTAAACTATCCACTTACCAGATAATAGTTAATGGGACTCGGTTCTTTCGATAGACGTCTTCGTATACGGTTACAGACAAGTGAAACGGTGAGAAATGAATATGACAGAAATAGGAAAGTCATTGTTTGGCTAAGACTAAGCTTTTTTTTATAAGATAGAGGTAATTAAATATATATATGTATAAAAAAACGAAACTGAGTGCTCAAGATGATACAGACGACCAGATTAATTAAAGTAATACATGTACGGTTTTATAGAAAAATAAGTCCGATCTAGAATTTGCATCCCATGTCTAGTATCGGTGAAGTCTATCTGGTTTTCTCTCTCATTACAATGTGCACATGTATTCTTTATTAATTCAGTCGCCACTGCATCATTATTATCGGTTTCCTGAGATAAACATAACACTGATAAAGCAAAAAGCGAATGTTATTCTGTGATATTTTATCACGAGTCGTTCAATTATGCTTGAAACATTCGATTGACAGTTCCCTTAAGGATGGGTTTGGGTGTGAAAGATAAATCTTCTGTCGACGATGAAAAAATACAGTTCAGCGACGATTTATTTCGTCGCTTTTGTGGCTGCTGTCCCATAACGAGAAAAACAGAACGTACCGGATTCATCAGAACACTATTACGAACATCTCGAATGCCATGATAAACGCTGCTCGATGCTTCAATTAATTCTTGTTCGGCTAATTCAAACTAAAAATAAATGAATTCTTCTATACACAAAATCAAAATATCTCAATGAAGGGAAATACTTTGCCATCATCATGACCTGATCTTGAACAAAGTGTATCAATAGCCATTTTGACGCGATCAGCAAAACTAGGCGTGACTAAAGGCAAAAATGATTTCCATATGCAAACAGATAGTCATTTACTTTGATCGCGAAGAACTCGAATGCTTTCCATGACACCTTCAGTATATTCTCCTGGTTCATACTTTTCCATTTCGGATGTAACAACGTCAATTACACGTCCTGCTCGTCCACGAATTGCCCCTGCTGTGCGATCAATACCTGAAAAACAAAAGCATCAACTAAAATGAAACGCAGGATTTCTCCACATACGATCTGGATTCTTTTCAACCATGGCCTGAATACATAGATTAATGTCTTCAAGAATATGATTTTCTGATACAGCAAGAAAGTCTTCAATAGTAGTGATTTCATCGACTGCTTCTGTTAACAATCGAACATGTTTTTCCCATGTATCACGGAAAACATCCATATTTTCCAATGCAACTTTGGATGTTGATCGCGCACAGAGCGTGCGAGCAGCATTGACAACCTAAGCAACGAATTAGAGTGTTTTTCAACATTTAATCTTTTGCCTAAACTACCTGAGGTGATAAATGCTGAATTTCCATAGCAGCTAGACGAACTAATTTGATGCCTTCGACTTGCTCCGAGATTGAACAAGCGACATTAGCAACCTAGAGAAATTCAATATGTCGATAGTAACGAATACTCGTTGACATACTTCGATCAATTTGTTTGCATGTTCCATAAAAATTTGTGCCGCCTCTTCCAACATTTGGGGATTACCTCGTCGTGCTGCATCGATCAATGCGTGCAGTGGAACATTTGTTGCTACGAATGTGTCACTGACATGGTCAACAACTGCTTTGCGAAGCTAAAAGAAACACAAAGAACTTAGTGCGAAATAAAACAAAACTTCTGGAGAAAAGGGAATCTTATTCTACCGAAATTGGTTTGTTCATTGTTGGAGTTATATATGAGCACTCGATAGATTCACTTGATAATGAAGGTGATGACGATTCCCGATACATTTTAACAGTAGTACTAGTGTGCGCGGAATCAGTAGCATTAGCGCAAAGGTAAATATACATCGTTCGAGACGTTTTTGACTTATTCTTCGTGTAATTGGGATTTTATTACTACGATACAAGTAATAGGCGGGTAAAGTGGATTTAAATGAGAATAGACGACGATGTGTTGAATCTACACTTGCGTGGTGTTAGCAATGACGACGATGATCAGAAGATAAACGATAGAAGAATGATAACAATGGCAAGTATTTGCGGCATTTTATGTGTCCACTCTCTTAACAATCAGAAGGTGTACTCCAATGAACGTGCCGTCCTTTTATTCTTTTTCGTTCTCTATTCGCTCTTTACTATTGAGACGCCTATCGAATAACTGGTCATCTTTAATTGAGCACGAAGTGTTGAAGAAGAGAAAGAAAGAAAGAAAGAAGGAAGATCTTGATGAACAACAGGCAAAGAAATCAGTTCACTGTGTTCGTACATGTATGTATATACAACGGTTGAGTCTATATGTTTTTCTTCCTCCCCTCATATCTTGACCTTCGAATGGAGAACATGTAGGAGTAATCGATTAGTAAACCTCTCCTCTAGCTGTGTTCATTGAAACTAGAAGATGCACTAACAATGACCTGTTTACCTGTTTCCGGAGGTCACGTGTCTTTATTTGCATTGCTTGAATTTTTGCATTAACATGATCTTCCGAACTTTTTTTTCGTGACTAAACAAAAAGAAGACAGATCTCTCCATAATTGCATGACGCAATCATCAAACAAAGAGCGTTTGATTTCTTTTCTCATCGCTTACAAATTGAATATATTCGTCGAGTAAATCTTGGAGAGCTTGTCGTACAGCATTACATTCGTGTACAATACGATCACGACGGTCTTCGCGTGTCGATAATGAATCAGCTAATAATGCTGCACCCGATATGATACTTTCTAAGCGTTCTTCCAATTGCGGTCGAATGACTTGTTCATTGAATTTTTGCGGTTTTATCATGATCAGACGCTAAATTGGAATAAGTGCATGTCACGGACTGTTTTCGAAAACAACAAGCTTACGTCGAATTCATTGAGTGCTCGAGTCAAATCTCCTACTGCGTTTAATGACGAATCTAATTTTAGTGTTTGAGTTGGTGGTACTGGTCGTCCTTGGATTACGGAGGAGATTACTCCGACAGCGTCACGCACTTGATTGTAAACAAAATCTCGATTTTCGCGTGCATAAGGAATTTCAGGATGACGTAAATAAGTTTTTGATGCTGTTAACAACATTATCGACGTACGCTTTATCGTACCGCGAGCAGCAGCTAGACTTTCTTGTTCCACACGATCAACCAAATCCTTGAAGAGAAAAGAAAAGAGCTGTTTCTTCTCCACTAGTCAAACCTGACAGATTTCTACCTGTTGTCGCCGTTGTGCATGTTGACTCAAATCAACAATATCTTTCCCATATTGTTTGTAATAGTGAACGAGTTCGTCTTGGTTGGATGCGTCATGGATATGTTGCAAATCATCTTCCACCTAAGAATGAACAGATTGAAATTTAATTGATAATTCCTGTGAAAATCTACCAAGCGTATTGACCGCAAAATCATTTGTACATCAACAAGATCAGCTAAGATTAACAAGCGGGTCACTGATGTCAATAACGCGCGTGCGGCAACAATCATCTGTTGACGTTTCGGCTTTGAGCACGGATCATCGGCAAACTCTTTCGATAGAACAGCCATTTCATCTCCTAGATAGATTATACGACAATGATGAGTTCATAAAGCTAACAGTAGACGAATGATTACCTGATTGTTTAACTTCTTCCATACTTTGTAATAGATCATTGCGCATTTCAGGATTTTCATGAGCGATTTCATTAGATTTCTTAATAAAATTTTCCGTTGCCTGGATAACGTTTCTAACAAGTAGATGTGCTTGTTTCGATCGACCCTTCTTTGTATTCGATGGCTGATCAGATATTAATGAAGTGACCTAAAAATAGTTTTTATCGAATAATAGATCAAATTTCTCATCAAACAATTGAATTTATTAACAAAACGAACTGACAACATCTGCTCGATTTCATTCTCTTTCTTTTTTTGTCACATCTGTTAACTTTCAAGGTCGTTTCTTTCTTTATATCAATAGTGAAATTCGTGAGAAGAGAATTCTGATAAACTAATCTTCATTTACATGGTGTATATATTTGAATTAATATGTACAGATCGAAGAAAGTGATTATTTAATTGTGCAGAATCCATCTGATCAAGGAGTCGTTATTGTTTCCAGTTGAATAATTTCAGCCTTCATCAAGTCTCCTCTTCCTATCCCTGTATTGAATGTCCCTTTTCGAAAAAGAATCTATTATCTACACATCAATGATCACGTGAACATTTTAATCAATGCTATACTCTTTACTTATCCTCTTGACAATGAGAGATAATACACATTCGACATAAAGAAAATCACGACAAACCTGAGCAACTAGCGGATCCAGTGTTCGTTGAACAGACCATGTTTTAATTTGTGTATCAGTTGGACCATACTTCGTTCCATAAAGATGAGTGCTCATGATGGTCGTTTGTCGATCTAGAAAGTATAGACGTCAAACAAGACTCGATCGATCTTTTGCCTATTAAACTAAGTGAAAAGCAAAGCTATTGATGGCATTGTATTTAAAGGAGAGAAGAAAGCGAGAGAAAGAAAAGGAGAGAATCGGTTTTTTATTTTGACCTACCATCTAAATGAATAAATAAACATGTCAAAAGAAAACAGAACACTTATCCTTTTCTTCACCAATCGAATTTTTTCTTTTAATACTTATCATTGGTCGATTGATGGGACCTGTAGCGATGCATTCTCGCCGTTCGTTCGTTCGATGGTCATGTACTGTATGTACACATATAGATATATTGTGTACATCCAGCTGATCTATTTCTAGAATTTATTTATTTCTCCCGACATATTCCTTTCGAGTTTTGAACGTACACAAATGTTTGTTCGATAGAATTCTTGTCTTTGTGCTCGAGTCTTAAGTGAAAATTTCGTTTGAGAAAAAAACACCTTTGTCCTTCAAAAATTTCAATGATATGCGTTTTTTTTTTATTTGAAAATATTCGATTGATTTGACTAAGTCAATATTTTTTTGGGGGAGATTCTTACTTATGTTGTAAATAAAGCGACAAGTTGTCAAGAATCCTCTTCAACTATTAGTGTTATTTCATTTTTATCTCAATGCTATCATAATAAACGAAGGGTAACCTTCGAAAAATCATACGCGAATATGCATCAGGGCTAAATTTCGTTTGTTTTTCAATGAAAGATCATTCGTTTTAGATTGTCTCCCATTCGATTTTCTCGTTCGACGATTGAAAATCAAACTATGTCATAATCTATGTTGTGAAAAGAAAGAATCAGCACAATTAGATTATATTTCCAAGACTCGAACTTGAAAAACCCAACATGTCTTCTCTTAAACCAAAAGAAATTGATTTTAATGAACAATGGTCAACAGTACTCGAAACTGTTCGATCTGCGATCAGCATGGGCCGATTTGGTCATACTGATAAAGCGATATGGCAAGGAAGATTTTTCGGTTCGAATTTGGTCATGTTTGATTTTGAATAAAGACTATTTATTCGTATAGATATTTATTATTTATGTGTTGCTACACCGGATTCTCACGCAGAACGATTGTATGAAGAAACGAAAAAGTTCCTAGAAGAGCACTGTCAATCAATGAAAAAGGTAATTAATGATATTTTTATTCGTATGAAAAAACACTTCAGTTGTTTTTTGTTTAGGATATATCCGAATCTGATCAGAATATGTTAAGTACTTATGTTAAATACTGGACTGAATATAGAACAGGCTCTGATTGGCTCAATGCCCTCTACGCGTATAATATTCGATAATGCAGAGATTTTGAACTAATGTTTTCTTCGTAGCTATTTAAATACACATTATGTTAAAAAGCGACAAGCAGCTGATATGGACGCGAGCTATCCGCCATTTGAATGTAACAATGAAAACAACGATCCACCGCTAGTAGAGATAGGCGAGGTAAGATTTCATGAAGAGAAAGATGATACACAAATTGCTTTCATTTCCTCAAGATGGCTTTTGACTGTTGGACAAAAATCATTGTAGAACCATTAAAAGATCGACTTGTGAAATTATTACTTGATCAGATTCATCTGTGAGTCCATTAGTTGTTGTTGTTCTCTTGTTATGTCTAGCTTGTTTTCGATTAGTGATCGTATTTGTGAATGTGTTAACCAAACGACTATCAAAGGAGTGATAATGTCATTTGTAGATGTGTATCAACATCGAAAATTGAATAGTTTAGAAGTAAGAGTCGCGAGAGACGAATGTGATGTTGACTTGTTTTACTTTAGCTCTATGAAAAATCGTTTGAGAGTCCATTAATTCAAGCAACTGGAGAATATTATCGCGAAGAAGGCAACCGTTTATTAACCAAACTTGACTGCATTCAATATATGAAAAAAGTCAGATCAGATTCAAAAAGATTTGTTGTTCTCAACTTTTTCTTCTTCTGTAATTTAGATTTTATTATTAATTGACGATGAAGAGTTTCGTAGTCGAAAGTTTCTTAATCCAACATCCTATTCCAAAGTCTATAACGAATGTCTTCAACGTCTTGTGTGCGATCATTTTGAAACCTTTAAAGGTGAATGTAATGAACTGATTGTTCGAGAAGATTTGGACGGTAAGCGAAAGAACTAGCAATTGATCGACTATAGCGAAATTGTTTTCGACCATATTTAGCTCTTCAGAATATGTACAAGTTACTGAAACCAACTCATATCGGAATAAACTATATGGTTGAAAGATTACAAGAGCATATAGCACGTATTGGTCATGACAAAGTTCAATCATTGAAAGGAGAAAATGTTTGTTGAATGGAAAGATTTCTTCTCTTTTGGAATGTTTTTATTTTCAGTTGTCGACCTTATTCGTGGAAACATTATTGGAATTGCATACAAAGTATATGAATGTGATAAAAGAAACATTCACAAGCGATCCTGAATTCGTCTCATCATTGGATAAAGCGTGTGCTACGATTGTGAATATGAAATATGGAAATCGTCTATCAGCTAAAGCTCCTGAATTGGTTCGTTGTCCATAGTTACACCTTTGATTGTTCATGTCTGATGGTTTTGTCTAGCTTGCTCATTATTGTGATAGTTTGTTACGAAAATCATCGAAAACAGCTACTGATAGTGAAATCGAAGAGAAATTACTTAGTTCTATAACGATATTCAAATATCTCGATGATAAAGATTATTTCCAACGTGTAAGTCTAGTGTTCACCTTGTTCTAATAAAACGATTGTCCTATGGTGAATGTTAGTTTTATCAAAAAATGCTGGCACGTCGATTGATCAATCAACAATCAATTTCAATCGATGCCGAAGAGTTTATGGTCACAAAACTAAAAGTATGTCCGATCTTAATCAACTCTATCACTTGTCCTATGAACTATTTTTTTCTCCGCCTAGCAAATATGTGGCTATGAATTTACCGGCAAATTGGCTAGAATGTTCCAGGATATTAAAGTTAGTGAAGATCTCAACGTCAAATTCGCCGAATATGTTCGAAATGAACCACCAGCAACACAACATCAAACGATCAGTAATATACTCGGTTTAGATTTCAATATATATGTTTTACAAGTAACGCTAATTCTTATTTTTTACGATAGAAACATCAATCTATTTTTAGGCAAATTCATGGCCAGTTGCCCAACCAACAGCGAATGCCTTCATACTTCCACATACGCTTGAAAAACCGCTTCACATGGTACGAAAATGTTCTATGCTCGCTTTCTGATAAAGAGTGTGTAATCGAAAATCGTCCGTTTCTCATATCGAATTTCGGATTTCATTATCTTGATGTAAACGTATACTTCATGTTTAGTTCGAAGCTTTTTATGGTAAAAAATACAGCGGTCGAAAATTATGTTGGATGTACAACTTATCGAATGGTGAGTTCTGATATGCAATGATTTCCCTGAGGTGAATTTTATTCATTTAGCTGAAATTCGTATGACTCATTTGGACCGTCCGTACTTCGTTACGATGGGTACATACCAAATGGCTGTTTTATTACAATTTAATGAACGTCAGCAACTGACTATCAATGAAATTGAAGATGCGATTAAGATTAACATAAGAGAACTTGATAAACAGATACTTTCATTAATTGACGCGAAATTTTTACTTGGCAACGCTGTAAATTGATCTTTCACGCGGATTTACCGTTGAATTTGCCTTTTCTTTTAGAATGAATTAACTCCAGACTCTGTTATTTCAATCAATTTTGATTACAAAAGTAAACGAACTAAATTTAAAATTCCGTTAATATCACAAAAAGAAGCTGCACATGTACGTGAATCACACTTTCAAGTCATCAGAGCTCATATTCTTCTTCTAGGATGCTGATTCATCGCAAAAAGCAGTCGAAGAAGATCGCAAATTTTATCTCCAAGCTGTTATTGTTCGAATAATGAAAGCGCGCAAAGTGTTAAAACATAATTCATTAATCGAAGAAGTGATTACTCAATCCAAGCAACGATTTCTTCCATCAATTCAAATTATTAAAAAGTGTATCGAGATTCTCATTGATAAACAATATCTTGAACGAAGGTCCAACGATGAATACAGTTATATTGCATAACATTAAAGATAATAAAGAACAAAACTTTCACATTTTTCCTTCTTCTACATATTTATCCCAGATATTGAACTGAAGCGAATAGTATCCACGCAAGTGCACGATTTTGGTTTCAAACTAATTTATTCTCATACCTTTCGTTCCTCCTCCTTTTCTTCTTCTTCTTTGTGTATAAATCTATACATAGGAATCGATGAGATCAAAAGTAACAGTGTATGATAGTTGTTGCTTTCGAATTAAGTTGTGTGCAATCGAACAGGAGTTTCTTGGAACGAAGAAACCAACATCGATGAGTGTGTTTTTTGAAAAGAAACAAAGGAAAGAGAATTGAACAGTTTACACAGACGGATTGATTTAATTCTTCATTTATCGTTTTCCATATAAATGCATGTCTGCATGAGTAAAAACACAAGGGTTTGGATTATTTTTCTACTTTCAATGTTCTATCGTTTTCTTCTTCTTTTTTTTCTCCTGATTTTTCTGTTTCCTTGTTCAATTTTGCCCTTGTCTTTCGATCTTCTTTGACGAAATAAATCTCCAAAGGAAAAACAGGATATTTCTACGCGTTAAGCGATGAATAATAAGCAGGTAAGTAGATATGGAGGAACTTTTTGATTTAATATGATATCCATTCTCCCATAATCATGTTTTGTTTTTTGTCGCTCATTTTTCACATTTCATTGGTGGAAAACACGACCAATAGAATTTGTTTAATATAAACAACATTACGATGATCAAGACTAGTTTTTTTTCTAACATCATTAGTTGTTTATTGTTTTCAAAACGCCATATTATTATTCCGAATGTTGAATTTCTAATGGCTATTAGTATATCTCGCGAAATGAATCATCATCAGGATATCAAGCAGCGGCAGCATTGTTCATTATTCAACTTGGATTTACTTAATGATGATCATCAACAAATCGATCTGACGGAAGATACTATTGACAATTTGATCCGACATGAGCATTGTTGTTCGATTTCGACACCTAATGTTGAAAATGCGTTGGAGAAGAAACATGCCAATCATTCTTGTTCATTTGCTGTTCTGCAGAAGAATTACACAACACAACTTGAACATGTTGCTCAGAAACTACTAGCAAAAGAAGATATTTCTTCAAACGACTGTTGTTATTGTCATTTGCTACACGAAACGAATGATACAAAAGGGCAGTTTCTCAATGGAAAAATCCTTCTCGACTCTACCGCAATACTCGATAATTTTCTTCGAAATAATCTCAAAAAGTCATTACTAACAAGTCCAATGAATTCCCCAACAACAACAACATCGTCAACGGCGATAACAACAAACACAAATTCATCGTTTAAAATTTCATTTGCTAGTAGTAATCAACGAAGATGGCATTCTGAGCGAACGAATCGTCATCCCAACGTTCGTGCTAATCTACCATTAACAATCGCGCAGAGACAAGTTCTCGAACACTATGCGAACCATCCACTAGTGAAAGCACCAGTCAGCACTTCTTCAACACATCGTCGTTTACATCGGCATGAACTAATAACAGGAAAAGTTACAGAAAACACAGGTACCGCTCTTTCCGCCCTTACCGAACAGTCATTGAATACAACTACTGTTAATCTTCACTCACGTCCACTTTCGCCAAGATCATCGACATCAGCTGTATTGCATCATACTAGGCACTATTTCGTACAAGAAACAAGCACACATGATCAATCGACTAAAGATGACGATAATGAATCGATTTCGTCTGAACTCAGTCAAAGCAGTAATGATGATGAAACGACTGAACTTGATGAGATATCAATTCTACCGAATCTCTCTACCGTTCATTTAACGTCATCAGAGACTTTGATGGAATGCGTGATTTGTTGCGAATTGAAGCGTCTGCAAAAACGAACCTGCTGTGAGTTTCATGCCTGCTCAACATGTCTGAATACGTATGTTGAACAACAAATCAAGCAGGGCATCATTCGTATTCAGTGTCCAAATCAACAGTGTCACACTTATATGCATCTAGATGAAATCAACAAACGATGTTTATCTGCAGAATTACGACAAAAGTTCGCACGACTTTTAATCGATAGTAATCGGTCGATTAATATTAAAACATGTCCAAGATGTTCGAAAATTCATGAAATTGGTAGGAACAATCAATTGATTGCTTTTAATAAAAGAAGTGTGCGTTTTCGGTTTTTCTAGATCTTGGACTTTGCCGATCGACACGGCAAGCACCAACCAAAGTTCAATGCGTTGAGTGCAATCTCATTTGGTGTTTCCAGTGTCATTCGCCGTGGCATGATGGTATACAATGCAAAGAGTTTCGGCGTGGCGATCGGATGCTGAAGAAATGGGCGCGAGAAGTTCATTACGGACAGCATAATGCGCAACAATGTCCTTCGTGCAAGGTAGGGACTTATTTCTGAGATTTAATTCCTTATTCTTGATCCGACTACCATAGGTTTACATTCAACGAACGAAAGGATGCGATCATATCATTTGTGCTCGTTGCAAAACCGAATTCTGTTACAAATGTGGCGAACGTTTTCGCGATATAAAATTTATCGGTATACATTTTGAATAGTTCATTGTTGACATTGGCTTTAATTGCTGGTTTTCTAGGTGATCATTACAGTGAATTGAGTGTACTCGGTTGCAAGTACCGTTTCTATCCAGATAATCCACTGAAACGTCGATTGATACGTGGTTCCATCCTAGGTGGAAAGATTTTAGCTGCACCGGCACTTCTCTGCATAGCGGTAGTCGCCGGCGCAGTCTGCGCTGGAATTGGTCTGCCAGCCTACTGTTGTTTGACGCTTGTTCGACAAATTAAAGTAAATATTTTCTGACTTAATTGAATACTATACTTGTTTTTCTGCTTGATTAGACACGACGGCGAAGACGGCATCATGCAAAATTAAAAGAACCAGCTTTGATGACTTGTAAGCTATTCTCTAAGACGCATTGATTCATCGTTTCATCATTCTTCTAGATAAAACATTTAATGACATAGTTCCGCAATTGATTCCACGTGAGCCAATCAATAGCATTGGAATGAAACCAGGATTGAGTTCTATTCGATCAAACATACAAGATAATCTCGAAATAGAGATCGATCCAACTAGCGATGCACCCATCGCTGTATTTGACGGTAAAATATTCTTCTATCATCTTCAATTTTCTCACCGATCTCTTCTACTTAGAATGTGATATCAATACCAAAACGAATCAAAAAGGTATTTATCTCAAATTCTGAACAGTAGCCTTTATTTCAATTATGACCAAATGAATAATAGAAGACTTTCTTTTCCAGTAAATTATTTTTCTATACACAGATAGTGTTTCTTTTTTTGTATATAGATTCATAAATTTGACCAATTTAGTTCTCTCCTAGTCATGTATTCTTCTTCTTATTGTTGCTGCTGTTGTTTTGTATTAAATCTCATGCAATTTTTTGTTTTGTTTTCATTTTCATGAAGAATATGTTCAGCTTTTGCTGTTGTATTTCATCTGACTATATTTAGAACAAAAATATATTTATAATGAAATGATCTTCTTGAAATCTCTCACGAAAACGATTTTGTTTCGTTATGCCTCAACATCGTCGACTATATTCGCTTTAGCAACTGGCCAACAATTACGAAGTGGAGTAGCCATTATTCGTGTGTCAGGTGCAAATGCAACTCAGTCATTGTTAACATTAACAAAAGAAGCAAACCTTGAGAAATTTCAACCCACGAAGTTATACTTAAGAAATCTTTATCATCACAAGTCAAACGATTTGATCGATCAATGTATGGCCGTATGGTTTAAAGGTAAATAGTTTGGGTTTACGATGAATATTGATTGAATTTTTGTATTGGTTTAGGACCAAAAAGTTTCACTGGAGAAAATGTTGTGGAATTGTAAATATAAACAAGTGTTCAATGTCATGTCGTATTCATTATGTTTTAGTCATATTCATGGATCGAAAGCTGTAGCTAGTGCAATGTTTTCTATCCTTGGCTCGTTTCCGAATTATCGCTTAGCTGAACCGGGAGAGTTCAGTAAAAGGTGAAGATTATTTCTAAGGAAATCATGGTCAATGCAATGAGATTGTTGAAGATATGTTTAGAGCTTATTTCAATGGTTGTTTGGATTTGACAGAAGCTGAAGGATTGATTGATTTGATCAATGCGCAAACCGAACAACAACGTAAACAGTCCTTATACCAAATGCAAGGCTCATTGAAAGATCTCTATGAACGTTGGAGGATTGATCTAGTTAAAGTATACAGAAAGATTTTGATTTGCTGGTGGTGTAATTGATTTTCGTTTGAAAGTCTTTAGCACATGCCGAAGCGTATATTGATTTTCATGAAGATCAACATATAGAAGCAGATATCTTATCCGAGGGTACGAAAAGAGATTTGATGTTCATAAATCAATTTGCTATGCATATATTTGTGTTTATAGTGATCGGTAAAGTCAAGAGTACTCATGAAAACATACATCGGCATTTACAGGATCATCGACGTGGAGAAATTTTACGTGACGGTTGTCGAATTGCAATTCTAGGTGCACCCAACGCTGGAAAGGTAATATAGTTTCTTTTCGTATTGACAGAATGACAACAACCTGCATTATGTTTTCAGAGTTCGTTGTTAAATATTTTGAGTAAGTAGCTTTTCTTTTATGTTAATTGTCCATGTGATCCAAATATCTATAGCTCAGAAACCAACCGCTATTGTTTCACCGATTGCGGGTACGACTCGTGATATCATTGAATCAACTCTTGATATCGGCGGATATCCCGTGATTCTTTCGGATACAGCCGGCTTACGATTAACTAATGATCCTGTTGAACATGAAGGAGTAACAAGAGCTTTCGATCGGTTTGTCGAAATCAAAAATTAACTATACATAATCTTTGTCTCCTAGGGCACATTCATGTGATCTATTAATTGTTGTGATTGATGTGAGTGCATTGTCATCGAATGAAAATCTAAGTGACCAAATTGATCAGCATGTATCAAATTTATTCGCCATGAAATCATCTTCGTTGGATTCTGTGACTAAATTAGTTCTTCTGAATAAAATTGATCTGGTGAATGAAAAACTACAGATAAAATCAAATAAGAATATTATCCCAATTTCATGTACCTCTGGTAGAAATATTGATGAATTTCTCATAAAGCTAACTGAAAAAATCGCTGAAAAGTAAAGTCATTCTTTCCTCTAAACTTCATTCTAGCCAAATTGATATTTTTCAGATGTTCTGAACCATCATTTAGCACGCCTTTTTTAACAAACGAACGTCACCGGATCTATTTAACTCAAACCATTGAAGATCTTTCAATGTTTCTAGCATTGATCAACAATAATCATGATCTTGTACTAGCTGTCGAGCATCTTCGTCTAGCTATTCGATCGCTTGGCACCATCACTGGTGTTGTATATACCGAAGAACTACTCGATGTGATATTTCGTGATTTTTGTATTGGAAAATGAAATAAATCGGGCGAAACTGTTTTCTTTGTTTGTTGTTGGTGTACGATCAAGTTCATAAAGTTTTTGTTTTGTTTAAGAATTACTAGAACAATCATGTCGATGATATCTCATCTATTTTCGATCCGGGCAACGACTTGTTTAACAAGAAATATTCTTCGACCAACACCGATTCGTTTGCTTTCATCAGCATCGCCATCAGCCAACAAGGCAACGAATGCAAATGATCATATTTTACCGAAGGAATTACCATCGTCGGAAAAAAGAAAAGCAAAATTTAATATTTCATGGAAAAGTGAGTGTCATTTACTGAAAACTGTACCAATAGTCTTCAAGTTCATATTTAGCTGTTTCTGTAACATTCATTGGTGCTGCTTCGTTGATTGCTTTCATTTATTTTCTTGATCAACGTAAAATGCAAAAGCGTAAAGTCCTTCAGCGTGCTGCTGTCGGCAAAATGGCTATCGGTGGACCATTTTCGTTGATAACCCACGAAAGGAAACCGGTGACTGACAAAGATTTCCGTGGTCAATGGCTATTAATCTATTTCGGTTTTACACATTGTCCGGACATATGTCCGGAAGAATTAGAAAAACTATCTGAAATAACTGATCTCCTTCGCCGAGACAAGAGTACACAAAAGAATCCATTCCAACCCGTTTTTGTTTCCGTTGATCCCGAACGTGATACTCCGGAGTTAGTCTCGACATATATCAAGGATTATTCGCCACATTTTATTGGTTTAACAGGCACACGTGAACAAGTTGCTGAAATGTGTAAACATTACCGAGTTTACTTTAGTCAAGGACCTAAAGTTGGAGATGATTATATCGTTGATCATGCCATTATCATGTATTTAATCAATCCAAACGGAGAATTTGTTGATTATTATGGTCGGAATAAGAATGCCAAAGAAGTCGCATATGCAATTGAACAACATATGAATACTTTCAAAGAATCGAATAAATAGTTTCATTTTGAAAAGTCCGGAAAATAGAATAAATCAAAAACATGGTTTAATTCCATTTGAGCAATGTTATTAAACTATTTTTAGATATAAAAACGAGTCATCGATGGCGTCTATGCCAAGAAAAGGAAAAGTCAGTTTTGGTTTTAAACAAGCAAATCGACAAAAGAATCAACCATCGAAGGAGTTTGACAATTATGAAGAAGAGCCGTACATGAATTTCAGTCAATTGAATCGAAAACGGTCACGAGAGTATGAGATTGGATTGAATTCTTCAGAGATTTCTATTTGATTTCCTTGGCTAGATCGCATAGTCCGAAAGCGAATAAAACCAAGAAATTCAAACAAGAATTCAATCATCTCGATCCTCATTCAGCGAATTTCCAAATGGTAATTCAGTTTGTTTTTGTATGGAAAATACTCATGTTTCGTTTTAGTTGACAGATGAACTTTTAAAACATTACAATCGAGTCAGACAACTCGAATCGACATATACATTGAAGTGGAAACTTTGTCAAGATCTTTTTTCTATGTTTGTTGGAATTGTGCCAAGTACAAACAATGAAAAAGAAATCCATTGTTGATTGAGAATTGGTTTTCTCCTTTTAGATTTGGGGGTTTATCTAGTAGGATCAAGTGCAAACGGGTTTGCTACAGAAGATACTGATGCCGATATATGTATTGTGATTTCATCCTACCCAGTAGATAGTTTATCGGAAGAATTCTGCATAGCTATGCGATATTTTTCAATTTAGATTGATCAAAAACGTGAAGCGGTGAAATTTCTGGAAATAGTTCGACGTGCGCTACGAAAAAAAATCTGTTCGTAATCTCTTCTCTGAATACTTTAGTGAACTTAGATTTTTCATATAGTTGCTGGCTCTTGTGAACTGATACGTGCTCGTGTACCTATTCTGCGGTTCACTGATTATGCAACGTAAACAATTCGATAGATATGAATTAAATGATGGAAGATTTATTCTTTCATTTCAGTCGACTAAGATGCGACGTGAATATAAACAATGCCACTGGAATACGAAATACAGATCTCTTACGGTTTTATTCCGAAACCGACGAACGTGTTGCCCCGCTTGGTTAGTCTTGAAGAAAAAATGTATATGTCAATGAATAGCTCTTTCTTCTTTAGTTCTCACACTGAAAACATGGGCTAAGTTTCACAATGTATGTGATTATTCTCCCAATAATAGCTCTATTTACTCATTCTGGTTATAGATCAATGATGCAAGTCAAAAGACACTATCAAGTTATTCCATAACATTGATGTGTATCTTCTTTTTACAAAGTAGGCGCATATCTCATATTTCTATCTTTGAATCATTCGAAATGTATCTTAGGTGTCGTCAAGCCGGCAGTTTTACCTGTTTGGCAAGCGTTATTGCCGGTATGTTTAAGAGGAATCTGCTTAGTGATGAAATCCTGCTGTTCTAGGATCGTTTTGATGTTAACATTCCTGTTTCGCAATTGAAACGCAACGATGAACCGAAATTAATCTGGAAGTCGGAAAACCATCAGACAATAGGGGAATTATTTATAGGATTTTTAAGGTTTTTTTCCAAAGATTTTCGGTAGGACAGATCAATTGAGTACAAAAAAAGATCTACAACGCTCGTATTTAGATATGAAAAATATGCGATTAGCGTTCGAATGGGTTGTCTAATGGATAAGGAAGAGTTTCTTGATAATGATTCAACCAATTATGGAGATGCTCTTCTAGCCATCGAAGGTAGGTTTGATCTGAGAACAATACAAGAGATTTATATGATGATTTTGCCTTTAGAACCCTTCGATTTTAGTAATACAGCTCGATCTGTTTACGATGAAAACGAATTCGAACGTATCGTTCGTGTTTTTCGTCGAAGTTATTTTATAATTGAGAAAACGAAGACCTTCTCTTCACTTCTCATTGAACAAATTGATTAATCCATGCATATGTTTGCTGTTTTCTTCTTGTTACGTTTTCTCTCGCTCATCATCTTTTGTTCTATCAACTTCAGGCAAAAATATTTTCTTGTTATTAGTATTATGGTTATTGTTGTTTCTTAAAATCATGTTTATTAAACTACAAAACAGATCATTGACATAATAAGAAGAGAAGAGTACAAAAAGAATAATTTTGATCTAGAAAAAAACTCTTAACTGATGAATTCCATCACAGAGTAACACTGTAAAATGATTTCCAAGTGAACGAACTCCTTGAACATTCATATCTGCATAGTGTACGAAAAACGACAAAATACGACATAAACAATTGCACGTTTACTACTACTACGCATAGAAGATATGGAAAGGATATTTTACACATAGCTATCGTTCGAATTATCGCGGCCTGTCGATGAGGACGGCGGCACGGATGGTTTCAATGGTGCACGTGGTTTAATGCCAACTAGAGGGACTAATGGAACTGTTTCATCGCGGACATTTCCTGCAATCGTGCGTGGAGCTGGCTTGCGATTATTGGTCGTTGTTGGAACCAAATAAGAATCATTTTTATATTGGGAATCATCTCGATCTGATTGAGAGAGATATGTATGAGTTGTTCCTTCACTCGCTGTTGGATAATATTCATTCGTAGTCGATGGACGAAAAGTAACATCATTCGTACCATGAGAATCGACTGAACTGGGATTTACATCAGGATTCGTTTCACTGTCGAACGTAGGCAAATCACTGACACCTTGAACGTCGCCGAAGCGTAGAACGTTTTCATCAGTGGCATTTTCCTCTTGATAACGATTGTATTCCGATCGATAATACTGAAACACAAAGACATGCGAACTAGTCTCGCGTAAAATGATCTGCATACTTCAAATGCTTGCTTTGATAACATTTTCGAATGACATAGAAGCGCCCGTACACGTGTCATTTCCGGCCGACGATTTTCCTCCACCAGACATTCTCGTATGATGGCATAGCTAAATGAACAGAAGAGAGAAATGCCATTGAGAGAAGAACGAGCATATTTACATGCTTCCAGGAATTTCTTTATGATAATCGATGTATCGAAGAACATGCCCTTCGCTAACCACACGAGCCAATACACGAAAGAAACTTTCACCATCGTTTCGACGTTGTGTTTCTTCCACAAGTTTATTAAATGGCCGAATACGACCTTCATACATACAATTTAAAAGTCAATCATAAAAGAATACCGACAATTGAATACTCACATTTGAGAAATAATGTCCAGAGAAAGATTCCAAATGACCATCTAATCGTAAATGCATAACGTCATATTATTGAAAAAAAGAGTTTTCTTACACGTCAGATTTAATTGATGATTTATTCAATAATAAACGTTCATCAGGAGTTGATGCACGGAGAAAAGCGCGAGCAAGTTCCGGTGTTAAATTATGTGTAGCTATTTCATTCTAAATATAAAACAACACATCGTTCGTTCTTTTACAAATCGTCACATACATTCTTCTTTTCAAGTTGGACACTATCATGTTCTGCCAGTTGTTCACGATAATTCTTATACGTTGTCCATGTTGCCAAACTAGATCAAAGACTTGACTTTTCCAAACTCGACCATCGAGAAATTCTACTTACCCGAAATCACATATTTTCATGATAAACCTAGCACTAACTAAAACATTTCTTGCAGCGATATCACAATGTGCAATTTGTCTTCGATTGAGATAATCGATTCCAGAGGCAACTTGATAAGCGACTAATATTAGATCATCCTCAGTCAATATACACGTTTCATGTGCCTGAGTGAGCGTCATTCCGGGATCCTTTTGTTTCGCTAATGTCTCATACAACGAGAGTTTACCATATGGCGGAGTCGTTGCTGGAAGAAGAAATCGTTTTAGCATTGACTCGAGCGAACCATTCGAACACAATTCCATGAGATAGAACGAATCTTCATCACGTATCAATCCACCCGTGATTAAGTATCTAAATTTTGTTTCCGGATAAGCAACTTTCAGCAATGAAACAATATTGACATGTTTGCCAGCCTTGTGCATCACTTTAATTTCATCGATTAACATTTCAGCAGCTTTTTTCTTTTGCAATTCTTTTTTCGATATCATTTCTTGACTTTCCTCGAGATCATCGCTTTTCTTACGTTTATCACGACGACGTTCCGTATTACGTATAGTATCAGGCAGTAATTTAGCAGCAACAAGATCGACTTCAGGCAAACGAACTTGATAGACAACGCCGAACTGTCCATGGCCAAGTTCTTTAAAATCGTCTTTCACTGCTGGTAAACTCTCACCATTGACATAATTAAGCAATGTACGAACTTGTTGTGTTGATGCGAAATTATCTGGTAATGGTATTCGAGTTAGTTGTGTCATCGGTGGCTGAGATTTATCTTCAGGTTCAGCAGGTTGTTCGGCATGAAAAATACTGTTCTGAACTTGCTTCTTCATCTTGTAATATTTGACAGCAATAATAATTAGTAGGATCAAGAGAAGTACTATTACACAACCGGATATAATTATGAAAATTGCTGTCAATCGACGAAATCTTGTATTTAGATAGGGACCTAGATTGAAAAGATAACAGTATGTGGAAGAAGTGTAGTCTTATTGTAATTTACCTTTAATTCGTAAGTCGAAACTTCGACTTAACACTGGACCGCGACCATTGGTTAATTCACAAGTGTAATAGCCAGTGTCGGATGCTTGAGCGCGAGTGATGTGAATGCTGAAAAAAACGATTCATCAGGTCGTATCCTATCATGAATAAATACCTTACCTTCCGTTATTCTCGCGCAATTGCAATGTTGAATCGTCACTAATCAGTGGTAGTTTTCCTTTTAACCAAACTACTTTCGGTTGTGGTCGTCCATTATATGTACAATCGAAATCAACATTGATACCCGTTTTTCCATCTATTTTACTAACTGATGATAAATTGTTTCTAAACTGCAATGGTATAGGATCTGCAATTGAAAGAATTCTCTACAAAACTCGATACGATTCGTTGTTTTCACTTTACCATCAACATCAATGATGTATGTATCGTTCATATTAGGAATAATATCAGTTCGTTTGGATAAAGCTATACATTGCAGATAGCCATTCTTTCCCATTCTCCTCAACGGTGGTGTTCTAACTTCGATCGTTGTATCTCGAATAGATTCACTAGTGAGCAACAAACAAACACGAATGGTTAAAAAAGAAATTGCCTGAAAAAAGCCAATCAGACCTGGTTGGTGTTACCCAGACGAGGTCAACTTGTCTCGGTTGTTTGGTTTCCATTGAACGCCATTCCGAATCAAATCGGTTTCTCTCATACGTAGTCGACCCATCATTATAAATCATTCGTAGATCGTCATAGATTAAATCATGTCCTGTACATCGATACGTCAAAATGTCTCCCGTAACTAAACCAAATTCGGGTTTGCTGACCACAAACATACTCCGATTATCTGAATATGAATAAGGAATTCGACTTTTCCACAATGTCTCGCATGTCACTTACGCGCTAAGACTGTCAAAGCTTTGGCAAGTTGCACTAAACCATTCTGTTCATAGCAACAAACGTATTGATGAGCAATCAATGGATCTTGAATGGTTTGAGATTCAATACTAGCAAATTGTGTTTGAAAATCATTGATACGAGTTGCTTTACTCGTCGGTAAACGTTGACTGGACGACGATTGACAAATTTTATCAATAATATCTGATAAGCAATACTCCATTGTGCATTCAGTATGTTGTATAAAAACATTCAATGATCGTTCAATATCAGCCCGATGGCGAATCGTACAAACGACTCGGTATGGTTCATTATCGTAGATGCCATATGCATAAATATTCGATTTATCTTTGAAATTTTCATTTCGCCATGCAACGTATCGTGGAATTTCGATCGGTACAAACGCAAGCTGTCCAACTGGATTTCCAATTACTTGTGGTTTAATCAATTTAGTTTGTTCTACAGCAGAAGACTTTGCACTTATCTTTATATCTCGTTCATCTTCGAAGGTTATGTTATAAATTGTTAACGTAAATTCATAGAATTGATTCTCACGATCAGTTCTAAACACACGAATAATAAATTCCATGAACAAAAGAGAGAAATATCTAGCTTGACTTTTTTTCGTTCACGACTATATTCATGCAAAACATACACATGCAAATACCTTTAGTCTGTTTGTGAATAGATGCGTGTAAGAAGAAGAAGAAGAAGCACCACCACGAATATTAGCTGTTTGTCAATATTTTTTAAAAATTCAATGATGACTACTTACGTCGTGATGATCTCAAAGCGTTTATCGTTTGCTAACGATACTCCGTCACGTGTGAGTTCCAAGCGAATTTTCGAACGTGGAATCGTGAATATAGATATATCATAACTACTATCTGAGCCATAAGATGCAGGAATAATTGTCTCTGAGCCGGTCGAAGCCACTTCCAGATCGAGTAATGGTTCTAAATAGATGAAAGATTTTTGTGCCATATGTTCGTAGAGCAAAGACAACTACATACTATTAACACATTTGATATCAACAGGACGTGAATAGATTCCTTGTTCGGAGACGCGTACACAATAGAATCGATAGGCATTATTGGGTTTGAAACCGCGTAGGGTAATCGAACTATTTCGACTATAAACCTGAGTTACAGAATTGAATACAGCTTTTTCAGTTTCATTTGCGATGAGCTTAAGCTAGAAATATTCGACGGCTCACACGATAAAAATTCAGACGAAAGAAATAGTTTACATCGTAGATGTCGTCAAACCAAAAGATACTTGGTACTTTTTGAGTAAGTTTGATTCCATATTGTATTTCACAGCTCAATTTGACTGTTTCATCCGGCATAACAGTCAGGCTCGGTTGATGCATTTCGATATGATCAGCTAGAGATAAATATTTATGTTTTGATTATGTGAAAGGAAACGAATCATACGATCATATGAATCAAATGGAATGCGAGATTTCTGACTAGGTGTATAATTGCTCTTGCAGATGAATTCATTCAATGAAATCGGGATTGTTGGATTTTCTAACGCAAAACCTATTTGCGGATCAAAGAAAACTTTCTAAACAACAAAAAAATAATAAAATATCTCCCTTGAATTCTACTAGTACTAACAGAAGCCTGCAAATCTGATGGTGTATAATACACTGGAATACATAAATCTTGACCATTGCATATTGGAATATTGCATTTCAACTCATTCACTAGCCGCTCTCGATCAGTGCATTGACGAGTTTCACATTGATTTGGATTAATTGGCATCGGACACGACATTCGCGCATACCAGCTTGTTGTCTGGCATGGTAAATTGAAAAAATGAATACCTGTCTGCTGTAAAACTTTCGGATAAAGTCTTTTCGTGAATACAGACACGCCATCTATGAAAATGGCCTATTCGAAGGTTTTTCTTCAAGAAAAAGAAGACACTCACCTTGTATAAATACATGAACATTCGTTTCTTGTTTCTTATCGTCGATTATTTCTGAGCATGTATAACGTCCGACGAGATCTGACGTTAGTTGATTTCTTCTCAATTTCGCTGTAACTGTATTCGTTTGATAATCTGTATTTAATGATAAATGCTATTGAAAGACAAAAAGCAAGGTTTCCGTTAAGTTCTCAGATCAGTATTTTCATACATTAGTTGCAGTTGATGGTACAGTTAATGTGATCGAATTTCCATTTCCTTTACATTGAAGGAAATACTCTAATCGACCTTTCAATGCATCAGCATGGAATTGGATCTCCCGTGGTACAATATAATAACGGAATATCGGATCAATCGTGCTAATATCTGTACGTATTCGTTCGACAATATGTACACTTGTTGGATATTCAATAGTCACACCTTCATAACACAAGTCTAATACGAAATTTCAACAAGAAATAGCTTACCTTCAATTTTGAAATAACTAAACAGAATCGTGAATAGTAGTACTTGTAGCATGATTTCAACCAAGCCTACGGAATGTAAGAAAAAGAAACCACGGCGGTGAGTGAGCACATTGAAAGGTCTGAATCATAGGTTACATTTTACAAATCAGATGATAGATACATCATACCTGACATCTGGTGACCTGTTACATTATTCGCTCAGGTATCGCCTATAGAGAAAAATTCAACTTTGATAGATAGATAAATTCTTTGTGCTAACGCTTTTATCTTTATTTCAAAATATCAGCGAGATGGTTTATCTTGTTCTCTTAGAACAATTAACACGACGAAAACTCCTAAGTTTTCTTATTTGTTTGATATTTTTTCAAATAATCTATTTTCTCGTCGGCGGCCTTATCGGTAAGAATGGAAAGGTTAATTGATATATTTGTATGCGTCAAAGTTTCCCTTTGACTATATTTAGCAACGAAACCGACCTACGCCACTAATCATGAATTTAGCTTATGTCAAGCAAGACTCAATCGGCCGTGGATTTACCATCAACCGGAGGGTAACTGCATTCAAGATTATCTGGAATTCGGAACGGTATGGCGATGAATGCATCGGAAAAAGACACCATTTGAACTTTGACCTATTGTTTTAGGGCAAGTCTTGGAAAGATTTTGTTTATGTTATGCAATTACCACGGATAACACGTTGGTTTCAAACTTTAACGTCAATCGTGATACCAAAAGTTGACTATGACTCACGAATTAATCTGAGCAAGTTTCATGGCGTTTTGTTTGATTGACGAATAGCTTCTCTCTTTTCGGTAGGTTCAAATGCAACCTTGACCTATGACGTTCGTCTTGCATATAAAACTGACGAAATGTACGACGATCCCAATTCGGAATGGCAGCTATTAGTAGAATCAAGAGAATCTCGTCGAATTCAGTGTGAACCGGTATATTATCATAAAATTGGAAATAAAGTAAGGCATCTCTGTTTAATTCGAATAAGATGATTATCTTTTGTGTATAAAGGATGTTCCTGATGCGTATTCTTGTGAATCATTTGCTTTTCTCGAACTATCAACGTTGAAATATCCGTACTATTTAATCAATTTACGAATTGTTGATAAAAATGGTCTCTCGCAAAATATCGGCAAATTAAAAACATTCGAATTTGTCGTTCGTATTCGATTCGGTTCGATAGTTTCTTTGAACGATCTTTGAACTTGTAGGGCATCTATCAAACAGAAACTTTTACAAAGATGTGGTACATATTGAAAAGTATCACCTTTCCTATTGTCCTTGTTGCCCTACTTTGGTTTTATCGACAAATGAAACGGGCAGAGAAACCATACTCTAATCTGGATAAGTAAGGAATGGAACTTTTCTTTTCAAAGAAATACTTTTCTCTATGCTTTGTGTAGATTGTTGTTTTTACTCGGTTTAGCAACCTGTATACTCAATGGTATATGTCGTTTAATAATAATATTATCTTTCAATTGAAAGAAACTATTGATTTTAGCTCCCGTGGAATGGTTCACACTGATAGTACCTTTCGATGGTTTTCAAATTTATAGTGAAATTCGACAAGGCTTCTTTCTGACTGTTCTTTTGACATTTTGGTTGTTTTTTGCTGCTGAACATGTTGTTGTAAGTTCGTACAGAAGTTCATAACTGATGCAAGAGATATTCTCATTTCAATAGGACAAGAGCAAAGATGGAACTTTTTGGTCGTATGGAAAGTATATTGGCTTACTTTGGTTCGCTTCAAGTGTTCTACTCATATTCGCTCTATGTCAAAGGTAAAACATGATAATTTAACATCGATTCAATAGTATTATCTGGTATTCTGTAGAGGATTTCAACTTTGGAATCCATTTCATTCGATTTGGTCAACATCAGCTGGTCGAAATGCAAGTTTCACATTCCTGATACTTGCGGGTCTATCGGGTTTCATTTACATGATATGCTTAATTGTTCTCGTTGCGCATGTCTTTTGGAATATTCGCAGTAAACAAGGTGAATTAGCAGCAATGCGTCGTATTCGACGTTTAATGTATCAGGTTTGATCACGATAATATACGTTCGAAATGTTGAACTTGTTACTGTAGGGTGCGTTCTATCGATTTCAATTTTTGTTATTGTCGACCATTCTATGTGCTGTATTAACCATTGTTTGGTACTGTTTGAGTCAGATATATGAAACTGAATGGGTTTGGGATGCAGATCAACGGCCAAAGATTCACTATACAGGTGCATTTATCACCGGTAAGAAAGAACATTTAGTAAGCTTACAGACCAATTCGATTTTCTTTGCCAGGCATTTATGGAATGTTGAATCTCTATGTATTTGCTGTTCTGATCTTATTCTCACCGGTTATAACTAATGTTGATGACATGGATGAATTAAGTAAGTAGAAACGGTTGTGATTGGCAAAATATGAGAACGAATTCAATTTCAATTAGCATTGACCGACGATGATGGTAATACAATTCATTTAACAAACAATCAAACATCAGCATATCAAATGATTACGAAAGCAGCGATTAGTTAAAATTCATTGTTATAATAACGTCAGATAATTACAATTCAATACGAATGTTTTTCTACTCTCTCTCTTTCTCGCAATCTTCTTTGTTATTCCACAAAATTTTTTTGTTTGTGAAAAAGAATCTTCATTGACATTTTGTTATTCGATGACATCCATATTTGTTCTCAATCACTGTTTATTTCTTTGTAGAAGATGATGAACGATACGAACAACCCGGCTGTGGCCATTGATGAAGAACTTTATCCAGCCTTGATACAGTGTTTCTTTATCATTGGCGTCGGTTACGTAGCCGGACAATTGAATTTGCTGACGAATACTCAATCGATCGGTCTTTCACGCTACATTAGTAACTTCGCTTTACCCGCTGTGATATTTAAAAATCTTGTTAACGTACATTTCCAAAGTGTATCATGGGCTTTTCTTGGCTCGGTATTTATTGCTAAAGCAGCTGTTTTTCTGATCACGGTCATTGTTACTTGTTTCGGTGAACGTCCAAGGAATTTCGCCAGTATGGGCTTATACGCAATAATGACATCTCAAAGCAATGATTTTGCATTGATTCTTCCGATAATCAATGCGGTTTATAAGCAATCCCATCCAGATTATGAACGATACATCTATCTGATTGCACCAATATCTTTAGTCATACTCAATCCGATTGGTATCCTTCTAATCGAAATTCAAAAGCGTTTCAATCATGGAAATCAAAATCGACACATTCATGCGCGCGAACGCTTTCAGCTATTGAAAATCATTCTAAAAAATATTAGTCGAAATCCGATTGTCATATGTACAATACTAGGTGTGATATTTAATCGCATATTTAACGAACATCTACCTAATCTTATCGATCATATATTAACACCGGTAGCGCAATCGTTTAGTTCGACTGCATTGTTCTATCTAGGTTTAACAATGGTCGGAAAATTAAGTCGCCTTCATGCCCATCTGGTTATAACCGTGTTTATCTTGAGTATGATCAAATTAATTGTCTTTCCATTAGTATTACGTCAAGCTATTTTCTTTCTTCTGAAACCCGTCAATGGAAGTTTGAATAGTACTATCGATTATTCGAATTTCGGATTTCTATATGGGACAGCACCGACTGCTCCATCTGTGATATTTTATGTACCAGAATCCTTTGCAGCGTTGCAAGCAATTGCTTCTACAGGTTTAGTGGTGTCAACGCTACTCGCAGGACCGATTATGTTAGTGTCAGCTAAAATGATTAATCTAAACGCACTGGATATTATTAAAGCTCAATCATATGACTCCAGTTTAGTTAAAACTGCATATGATCTGAGTGTTTTATCGTTATTTTGTACTATTATTGTTTTGATTGGATTTGGTTTGCGACGTCGTTTGTTAAAAATATCGTTTGTACATAAATATACATTCATTTTCGTTGGTCTTCAAATGATTCATGCGATGTGGACAATAGCTATTCAATGTGTACCGACGCCCATATCGACTACTGCGGCAACTATTGTTGAATTAGGTGAGCGAAATAATCTTATTGAAAGTTGTTCTCTTATTTCTCTACCTTCAATTTTCAGGTGGTATTATGGTCGCGCTGGTTACTCGTGCATGGGCAACAAGTGTTTCAATTGTTCTCATGATAACCATATGTTACTCGAAACAGCGAGCTCTTCGATATTGGTGGTTGTATCATTTATTTGGTTGGCTTGCACCATTGATTACAACAGTTGCTACCTTTCTGGCATCTACTGTTGCTGCTAAAGATGGCGATCCGAAAACAAGACTCCAGCAAATTACCACATTGCAATACAGTGCTGCAATAGTTCTACTTGCTCTGTGTATTATTATTAGTTCAACGAATCTTATTCGAATCATACGTCGAGTGTATCAGTTAAAACGAGACAGTGAAGAAAATCAACGTACAACTTCAATACTGCGGGAAAACGAGCCATTAATTGAACATAATGATGATGATGATGATGACAGTACTGCGCATTTGAACCAAATATCAATTAACTCAGCGTTATCAGGTAAGTGATTTCTTACTGCCAAATGTACTATTGTCATTTTTCTTGTAGAAACATTAGCATTGGAAGTAGATACGCAATTATTTCGTCATGCAGTTCTCGTTGGTCTACTAAATATCAATGCCTTCGTCGTAAGTCGTTTGGCGAACCTACGCTGTACTTTACTCTTTCATTGTTTCTATCTTAGTGCATATCAGTTTTACTCTGGTCGATTGTAGTCACCAATCATGATGGTGTTTATTATGAATTACAATTTCTGGACACAGCTTTATTGCACGGTCAAGTAAGATACAGTTTGAGCACGCATCCTCGGTGTATATTTATATTTGCATGCGTTAGGGTATCGTAACATTTCTCGTTTTTGCTCTTGATGCTGATTTATTACTACCCATACGTCGAAAGTAAGATCTGCAAATAAACTCGAAGGTTTTCCTCTTTCTATTAATCACTTCTCTAGAATTATTAAATTATTGAATCGCTTTGGCTGGAAAATTACTTGTGATGCCGATGGCGTGCATCGTAAGCCAGTCCATAAGCAGCGAGCACTTGATTTTGAACATCGAATTCGGCCAGATTTCATTCGACATTCCATATCAACACAGAGGTAAGAAATTAGCATTCGTCTTTGTGCCTTGCCGATCTACTGTCGCCGGTTTTTCTTTCCGTTAGTATGAGTAACTCATTAGATACAATGGAAACGATATTTAACGGAAATGATTTTTGCCAGTGGCTTGTTTCGAATGGTTATCTCGAGAATGATGTGAGAGCCCAAGACTACTGTCAAGAATTAGTGAGTATGAAACATATTGTTTGTGTCAATCGTATTCCAAAAGAGGAAACTCATGATTCCGTCAATAATTGGTATGCTTTCACCAAATAAAATACGCCAAGACATGCTTTTTTATTTCCGTGGTTTTTTTGTAATTCGTATTGTGAATACATATCCCGGTGACATAATGTGTTCATTTTTTCCAATTATTTTTCTAATTTTATTTCTATTTCTTGTACGCATTCATTTGTACTATTTTGTCAAGTTTTCTATCGAATGAACAGAATTGATAAAAGATATTTTTAGAAATGTTCTCCACGACGTGTAAATGGCATATTGTAATTTTAGTTTTGGTCTGGATATCTCACGATAATTTGATATTGTATAGTCAATGATTGAGGAATCAATAAAATACAGTCAATATTTGTTATAAATCAGCGAAAATTCATTAGTCATCCAAAGAAATACTTAATCGGTATGCATGACATGTAATACATAATTAATCCGCCGTTACTAAATCGAAAGCCAACGTTTGATTACTTAACGTACATGATATTTTCATGCGGTGTTCTTTCCCAATGCTGGATGTAGGGGGAGAAAAGTACGGCTGTCATGTTAATAATACTGGATAAGAAAAAACTAGGTGCAACTTGATGTTTCCACGTCTGTTTGTCCTCAGGAATACGAATGCTTGTCAGGCAGATCTGAATGAAAACATTCTTAAGCTTAATCATCATGTCTGTTCTTAAAACAATGACATGTAATGCCTTCGTTTTATATTAATTTATTATGCTTAACTTGATGCACTGCTTATCGATATCTAGGATAAGGAACAGTATTATTCATGAGTCTTGTGTCAATAACAAACGAGTATAAGTAGAACATGCGAATGTGCTAATTAATGAAGGTGCATATTCATCTGTGAAGATTCGTCAATAATAAATGAAGAGTTGACGTAGGAAACGTTTTAAGCGAATGTGATATTCGCGTAATAATATTCCTAAAGGTAAGAAATTCCGCTGATACGATAGTTAAGTGCGGAAAAGGTGTCGGGAATATTTTTCTTTTTCTTTTTTTCGAACGACAAATTCAATCAGACGAGAAAAGAAACAATAATGCTTTGAACTCGATACCGATGAGAGTCGATGCATCTGGCTTTTTTTTGTATCTGATAAATTATATTTCGCTAAGTCGTTTCTCTTCTTGAGACACCTGGCTTGTTGAGAAAATACCGTGTGCTCGACAAGAAATGAATTTACCTTTTATCTTGGACAAATCATGTTATGTTATTTCTAAAACAGACATCCCGAAAGCTTGCAGTTATGTTTGAACAAAGAAAGACCGACGGGAAGTATTTGTCGTATTGAATTAGTAAACTGACACTATCATTTATTATACGGATAACGATCTCGATGCAATCGGTATGTTTATTTGTATGAAGTATTACGACTAAGAGCTGTCTTCTCCATTCATACTTTACTCTTATCGAAACACAGCATCAAGCAAAAGAAGAATTCAATTATGTACAGACAGAAACATCTTCTACTTGGAAGTAAAACTTGTGTTGATTTTCAATAGACTGCCTACTTGTTATTCTGATTCATTGGAGTTCCTCTAGATAAATATCATCATTATATGCTTCATTACTTGTTGTTGACATTAAGATCAAGATTTGGTAGTTACGTTCAATTTCGAAATGTAAGTGAGATAAGATTGGTTTTGATTGTTTCATTTCCTTTGAATTGAGGGTCGTGTTTGTTAGCGAATATCAGTTCTCTTCAAGAAATATTTACAAAAGAAAAACATACCGAATGTAAGATGCGTTACTCTCGCGTTTCGGCAAGAGAATCGGCTATGAAAAAAGAGACGAGACGCACTTATTTTGGCAAAAACATCGACCAATAGACAAACAATCTGTTTCTACATTTGTTTCTTTATAGCTCTCCTCGCGTTATCAGCTCTAGGTAGAAGAATAGTAATAATGACAATGGTTCGTCGCTCTTCGTCTTCTTCTTCTTATTTAAATGGTCTCGATGAATATTTTATACATCATCTATTTAACGATAAAAACGGAAGGAAATCACCGATGAATGTAGATATTTGTTTTTGTTAAGTCGTTTTCTTCGAACATCCGTCTACAGGGAAGAAGACGTGTGGAAATGCAAGCATTCAAGGTTCTATTGTATTTGTTTTTATTCATTCTAATCTGTTCTGCTATGGAATTAATGAGATCTTGTTTTTGTGCGAAGGCTCGTATAGAAAACGATCTGCCAGTTGAATCGACATTATTCGAAAAAAAACATGATCAAATGGCATTCTGTTTTCTCTTGATTTATTGTTTAAATAGACATCTCTCATAAAAAAAAAGCAAACTGCGAGCATTGATGTTAGATTAGAGGTATGAATTATATTTTATTTATGAAAAGAAGAAGAACAAAATGAGAAAAAGGCGGATATTTGTCGTACGAACAAAGAAGACATAAGTAAAGCTTGATGTTGAAGAAGATCTGTAGATGACATGAGCAATTTTCTCGTTTTTTTCTCTCAGAAAAAGAGATTTTGCGAGCCGAAATGTTTTCATTGATGGCTTTTCTGGATTTTATTGGATATTTTCGAAAGAGAAGAAAAGCATGACAGGAAATGAATTAACTCTTCTGATTTTGACATGAAAATCATCAAGCAGAGTAGAAATTGTATATTTCATCCTTGACAAGCATTATCAAGCAACGATATGTTAGCAGAACTATTTATCATAAACGTAGCAGCTGCAGTCTTAGAAATTAAAATAAGGAACTGCAACGCAGGAGAAAAAGAATCTATTTTCATGCCTCATAACGTCATTTTTAAAAAGCTAAAAAGTCCAAACTCTTCGTATTCTTCCTCTTCAAGTCACTTGAAGCGCTTGATATATGTAGTTTATTTCTTTTCCTCTGAGACATATTTCATATCTGTTTAATGACATCGATATATACATTAGACTAATATGCAATTAACTAAAGGTTTAACTTTTTATCCTATTCCAAAGAACACGAATATTTTTTTCTTCGCTCTCTCTCTGTCCCGTTCCCTATTCTTTGTCTCATTCTCTTTCTCTTCATTCTCGCTCGATATGCGCCACATCCATCCATGTGTACGTTGCTGTGTTGTCATTACATTTTCTCTGTGTAACCATTGCACATTTTTAGTAGTAGTTGTCGTTTCTTTTCTTTTAGATAAACTCTTTCGTTTTTTTTCCTTTCTCTTTTTTTTCTCTCCTTGCATGTAACTTCTTTTTTCTTTTCTCTTCTCTTAAATACCTTCTAAAGACATTCGACAATAATACTCAATGTCAAATTTTTTCTTCGTGTAGAATGGGCTCGAAATCATCGAAACGGAATTCGGTTAATGACCAACCATTAAGTCGAGAAACCATCGAAGAACTTTGTCAAGATACAGGTTTTACTGAAGAAGAATTGCTCACGTGGCACACGTAAGTTTCGCATCTTTTCACTCGCGATGAAGCTCTTGTTGGATTTCAGAAACTTCTACAAAGATTGTCCCGATGGGAAATTAACATTGAAGCATTTTGAACAAGAGTACGCCAGAATCATGGGTAAACCAACACAAAAAACGGCAAACTACGTCCGACATATGTTCAGTGTTTACGATCAAGATAAAAATCAATTTATTGATTTCAAGTATGCATCGGACTTTGCTCAAGGATAGAAAAACAATAATCGAAGCGATTTTAATCTGTTGATACATGGTGCACATAAGGTTGACCTCGACATTTAGTAGAAAAATATAACGCAAAATTTTCCCCTATAGTTTTAACTCGACGTGCATAAGAGGAAATTTTCTACACATTGTTTAGCGAAGGCAAAACAGGAAGAACGTTTTGAAAAAGTAATAGATGCAATTATCAACGATGTTGTTGCTATTTCATTCGTAAATTAAAAAACACAACAATCATTTCTATTTCGAATCAGTTAAACGGAAGATCTTTAATGTTTTGTTTTTGGAATGTCGAATTGGAAAAACAAATCGAATCAAAATAGCGAATGTTTCCGAATGAATCTAATTTGCTTAGATAAACAGATTATTAAAATTGCGTTCTTGTTCTTTTTTCTCGATTATGGTAAAAGCTATTCACTTTTCTTTCTTTTCTTTATTTAGAGAATTTGTAATGGCACTGTCTGCTGCATCAGTTGTTAATCGTTTACGTCTTGTCGAGACACTTTTTCACGTCTTTGACTTAGACAATGACGGTAAAATAACAAAAGATGAAATCGCCAAAATGTTACACACTCTTGTCGATGTGACAAATTCCAATCAGAAACGTCGTCAACGCCGACATCAAACAACAAATCAAACTGAACATGCCAAAACAATCGATATACAAAAACGCGTTGACGATGCATTTAATGAACTGAATGCAAATGACGATGATCACATAACAAAAGACGAATTTATCGAATGGTATATGAAATCAGGTTTATTATCTGAAGTTCAAACAAATGAACTCGATGTTCCCGATACGTCACGTATTCAACATTTAGGCAAAAAATCGCGAAAATTTATGAAACAGTCATCAAATACCAAGTCAACACCTGATCATGAAGAGAATGGTCAACGTTTACCTCAATTAGTTCGACACATGTCCAGAATGACTGAACGACGAGTGCCGACCAAATATGATGATGATGACGACGACGACGACATTGAGAATGACTTTCGTGCGCTGAGTAGCAGTAACAATGTTACGACAGTCTCAGCGCGACATTATCATGATGAGAATGGTATTGACGGCAGAGTCAATCGGCCGACTATTCGTATAACAACGGTTTCAGATGATACTGATTCGCAACTTTCCAAAGAAAACGAGCGGTGGCAACATTTGTTCAATTCCGTTCTCGGACAAATACGTGCACAACGTACTACCAATGCTGAATCGCCGACGACGAACAATTTAGCAACTTCATCTAGTTTTCAATCGTGGAAACGCGAAGGTGAAGAAAAACTCAAATCGGAATACATTCGCCAAAAATCGACAGACACTTCCACGTCTAATCGGTCATTTCTATCCACAAAAAATGATATTGAACTCAAACCAAACCGTCAAATATATGAAAACCAACCACCAGCATCTCCAGACATTGTTAGTGTTCGATTATAATCGATGTCTTCCGACAAAATACTCGCTTGCTCTTTTCGTATTTCGTCTTCCAAAAATTGATCGATAAATCAATTGTCTTTGTGATAATCATGCGAAGTTTTTTCCTTGAAACGTTTTCTGACTTCTTATCTTGATAATTCTATTTTCATATCTGCAATCACGTACTGTATATTTCATGTGAGTTCTTCTCTACTATTTCACCAAAAAAACATCAGCTTGCAAACTGATTAGAAAGTCTTAAAAGTGTGCTTTGTTTTGTTTCAAGTGACTAACGTCTAGATTACGTGTCGTTCATTTGGAAAATGCCGGTATGACGCAAGTGGCACTACTGATTTTGATTGTAAGTCACAATTAACTCGAAGGTAATCGTTTCCTTGTTTAACAAACAAGTCGTAACTAGGAAGAAAAACACACCCGAATGGCTTCTGTGTACTGCAATAACATTCATTAATATGTGTGAGAAAAAAAGGAAAACAAAAGGTTTCTTTCGTTCGTGGAATAATTAATCAAGTCAGATTTCCCTGGAGTCAGTCAAACTTTTCACAATAAGAATTGATTTCGACAATCTTGCCTCAAGCGGTACTTCTCGTCGAGTTAAATTGAATTATGTAACATTTACACTGAAGAAGTTCATGGAAAATCGACAATTTTTATATAAAAGCGAAAAACGAAGATAAGAACAGGTTTGCTCTTAAATTCTTGCGAAAAACTCTCCATTTTTTATGAAAAAGACGATGTCATCATTGGACATCAGCTGTTCATTAGCACAGATGTCATCGATCCATTGATGTAGCAATGCTTGAGGTTCGGGTAAAGCACTAGTTTGCTGCGTTCGCCGAGAATCATGATCGTGCTCGGAATGCTGAAGTTGATGATAAGGTCGTCGTTGAGGTATGGACGGTCTTGGCGCGTTCAATGACTGACTACGCGACGGTGGCGATGAAGAATGATGTTTCGGCAATTCGTCAGGTTGATAGAAAGCAACTTGAAGTCTTTCAACGAACACGTCAGTGTCGGGATTGTTGTGAACGATAATTTGTGAACGAAATTGTACAGGTTTGTATTGTTCAGTCATGGTGTACCGAATTGGTTGCAAGGATGAATTAAATGTGTGCAAAGGAGAAGAATCAGCGAGAAAATGTCGTTCTTCTGCTTTGCATTCGATTCGAAGTGATTGTGAAAGTGAAAGACGAGAAGAATACCATTGATTATGACTTTGATTACCTGTTCTTCTCTGCAAAGGAGATTGTTGATGATGTGTTGAAGTTCGTGAATCGAGTAAATCTCGTTCGTGGTACGTCATTTATTGATCTAGAAAAGGAGGAGAGAAAGAAGAACGAAACTTTTTTTTTTCAAAACTTTATTTCGTTCTTTTGTAATAGTTTGTTATCTTCAATTGCGATTGTTACTTTTCAGTTGATCAAAAAGAAGAAATTTCAACGCGCACTCGTTCTTAACAGTTGAACAAGATAAGTTGAGAGAAAATTTGCCTGATGAATATTACTTGGCTCTCTACTGATTAAAATATCATTCTATTAAAATAATCACAGTATAATACGTCTCTTTCGCCAATTTTTCTTTCGGCAAGTTGGAAACTGAAGGCAAATTCGTTTTTTTCTTTCTTTCGTTTCTACTCAGGTATACTCCCATTTCTCAATTATCAGCATTCGACATTGTTGACAGACACACACACATACATGTCTTGCATCCGATGACAGTACACATAAACCACTTGTATATTTGTATAACTTTCAGGCTTCAAAGATTATTAGCACGCTATGTTAATAACTCTCTTTTTCTTTTCGTATTCCATCTCGAACGAAATCAAAAGACATCACATACAGTAATAACTATTCAGAAACGTATGTACGTGGGACAAGGTGAAGGCTGCATTCGATGATGATCGGCCGCTCAAAATTTGTTTTCTTTACTTCGACTGATCCGTACTATATCAAACCGATCGTTATTTCTTTTCATAAGTTTGCAAATATTGCGTGAAATTATTGCTTTCGAAGTATGAAAACAATATACTTATCGTAAAACAGGATCAATAAAGCAGTTGACCTTGGTTTCGATTTGATATACGAATAAATTTATTTTCTTCTAACAGCATCGATCTTGCACAGTATTCACAAAGATTTATTATTCAGAAAAACAAACAGTGATGAATTTAACTGAATCAACTCGAGGTGCGCAGCTTAAGTGCCCAAAAGCAAAAGTAAATGTACATTTTACTCATCTTCAAAATGCACTGTATCCAACTACAGAACTATGAAATTTTATTGAAATATTATCAGACAAAATACTTTATAAAGAAAAAATACAATTATTTATTCGAAGAAAAAGAACAATGCATGGTATCAGTCTGTTGCGGCATGAAGTGCATAGATGATCAATCACAACATCTACGCAGACATTTGAATGCCGTTAAATTAAAGATAACTGATGCTCTTCATTTTTCTCGTGAAAAACTTCACACATTCGAAGCGCTTGCGTTGCTCTTAACTTTGAATACGACTGAATCAACTAAATTACCAGATTTGGATTTTTCTTCTTCGATATTTACTGAGATTCTTCATCGCCTGAGATCGCGGAAGAATTCTCAGGGCAGATATTGTCAGAAAACTTCACATGTTTAACCAGTTTTGTCGAAATCAACGGCGTAGATTGATTACTGCTGTCCGAATCTAATCCCGATAGATTTTCGTTATTGTTTTCACGCTTCGATTGCGCCATTGGATTAGCATATCGAGGGCTTTGCTGCTTTTTTGGAGAATTACAGTAGATATTGGGTGCAGAACAGGTTTTCTCAGACAATTTCAATATTCCCTACAAGTAAACAGAATTAAATCGAATAAACAGGACCTTCTAATAGATTTACCTTAGGTTTTAATATAGTATTCGCTTGCAACTGAAATTCAAGAGGTGATGTTGATGTTGACTGACGTCTCATTGTTAAATCCTCGGGGTTGACGGGTATCAGATCCGATGGATTGTCTTGTTCCTCGGCCATAGTATTGCAAACATCATTTAGTTTTCTTCCGACTTCAGGAGTTGATTTCGGAGAATATCGCATCTTACGAAATTTATCAAGTAATTTAAGAGACTGATGGCGAAAGCTTTCATCGTATTTCTTCACTGCTTCAAAATTTTTACCAGGATTCATCATGATGATATTAATACTTGAAAGTGCGACGTAATAACTCCACTAGTAAGATACTGCAAAAGCTAGATAATAAAAAAACAAAAATAACTACTGTTTATATACTCTTGTTGACACAGAAGTGCACACTAACTTTATCAGATAGTCAAGAAAGATTAAATCAAAGACCCATGCTCCCGTTCTCTCATGTTGTTCGTAATTCAAAAATAGAAGAGAGAATAATAACTGCGAAGCAACCAATAACGAATCCCGGGAAGTCATGCCTGATTAACTACGTTTGAGCAAAACGACAGAACAGTAATTGCATACAGTCAGCGAGCACAAGAAAAATAGCGCTTTTTTGTCCTGCATTATCAAGAAAATCAACTTATTCATAACGATTGATGAAAAGACACAAAAAATGTATCGATAACTCAAAGAACATAGATTGCTTCAATTTATTTCACCATCGCTATTTTAAGCGAGTCCACATGACATGTTAATAAATGATAGTATGACTTATGACATTCTCCTTTCTTACTGTCTCTCTTTCGCTCCAATTGAAATAACAGGGAAATAATCGTTAGTCATGTGTCATTGCTATGACTTCGTCCTATATTCATTGAAATAACCGGTCAAGATACTCAATTTATTTACATCCAAGATAAAATAAAAGTGGTAGAAAAAGCAATATTAAAATGTCAATGTCTAATCGACTTCTAAAACAAAGATATAATCCGAAAGAAAGTAGTAACTTCGCTCCATATCACCTTCACAGAGATATGGTAAACGACATAGTTTTTTCAAACGAAAACCCAACGGCTGGAAAACATTCACAACAAATTCATTGATTTGTTCTTCGACGAGGCGACTCTTAATACGAATCGCTTCGTCCGGATGATGATCGTTGTTATATTCAACATATGGTTTGAATGGTAAAACGAGCGCGATAATCACACGACCATGATCAGAATTCAAATGTTCACGAATCTTTTTTAATAAGCTCAATGGCTTTTCACAACGATCCAATACATTTAAGCATGTTATCACATCGAATTTCAAGTCACCCCAGTTGTCGATACCAAGCACGGTATAGCCAAAATTGGATAGACGCCATTGCATGATTGAAGACATTTCGGTAGCGTACACTTTATCGAAGACAGGAGCCATACGTTCGGTCACACAACCATCACCAGCACCAATATCGAGAAGAGATAATAATGGAACTTGTTGACTATCAGTAATATCTAATAGGGATTTAAATTGCGCAGTGGAATAAACAAACATACGACCGCGACCGATTAAACCATTTGCTAAAAATATCCGTTTATATGGGTAGATCTATGGGAATCCTGCAACGGTGTGGAAAAGTACTTTGCTCGACTTTTTTTCAATAGAAGGGTCAAAACGCTCTAGAAAACATTATTCATCGAGAAAGAAGAACTGTTTTTTGTTGAAATCATACGGCCCCAGGGCGTTTTCTCCGAACCTTTTCATATATATTCCGTGTCAGTATATGAAACATGCATATACATGTTCGGAGAAAACGCCCTGGAACTGTATGATTTCAACTAAAATGAGTTCTTTCTTTCTCGATCAATAACATTTTCTAGAGTGTTTTGACCTTTCTGTCGAAAAAAAACTCGAACAAAGTGCTTTTGGAAACTGTGGTAGGCTATCTATGAATCTACCCAAAAAAGTATTTCATTTTTTTCGGTCAATAAAGTTTTCTTGACCGTGTAGACCTTTTTATGACAAAAATCGAATAAAAAAACTTTGCTAAATCGTGGTAGGGTATCCATGGGCCTACCCATATAACATCTACGAACTTTAGTTTTTGGTAAACGTACCTGATGTTCGAGCGATAAATACAGTCAACAGGGAACTTGCCAGACTATGAAGAATCTGTACTGGGATGTTGTCTGATTTCTCTTGACTTTGTTGGAGAAAAGCTTTCGTTTCTTCATCTTCATGGAATTCCACGAATAGTTGCCGATATTCTTCTCGCAAGAGATCAATCCGTGCTAGTTGATACCAAGTCCGCCGGTCGATGCTTTCTAAATTTCGATCATTTTCTATTTTTGATAGGACGGCTCTTGCCCAATACGAACGAGCTGGTAAATACGATGATTGTTGACAATAAGGGCAACATTCATCTGTGCTTGTCATCTATAAATAAAGTAGGACAACCGCTTAAGTCATCAGTCATACATCATCCGATCAAATTAAACCTTTTTATGTATTTCTTTCCAGCTTTAAAATGAAACAAAACAACAGAAAATAATTATGAATATGTTATATATATTTTACGGAAAAGAATCATTCAAGATAAAAGTTAATTTCCTTCACAAATAACAGTAATAACGCTTGCTTCCATCAGCACAGGATCTAAACATCTCATAGCTGTGCTACTAACAATTTCTTCTAGTAAATTCGTAATAAATCGATCGTCATTATTAACAAACGACCAAAGATAATTATAAAGATAATTAATATCCACTTGAACTTGCTGCAAACCATAACGTGAAAACGTTTTCAAACGGATACATTCGAGATATGTTTTTAAAAGCAATTTAATTATACTTGATAAAATAGATGTCTTTTGAAATTGTAAATCAATAAATATATCTAGTTTTTCATTGAATACTTTATGAAAGTTAAGTTGAAGATTACCGGTTGAACCACCGGAGCTACCTGGTCCGCCACTTGTTGCGCGATCAAGTGCTGAACTTCGGGGCATAATAATCGTTCGACGACCTCCGTCTGAACTTCGGCCGCCACCCCCACCGCCGCCGCCGACACTTCCCGTCAAGTTCGAACGATGATGATATCGACCGTATGATGATGACATGGACCCCAATGCCGATGACGATTGGTGATCATTGTAAAGCATCATAACTTGCTTATCTATTTGTGTTAAATCTTCAACGATTCGTTTCATCACCGACCGAACATGTCGTGGCTCAATGGTATTGAGCCAATCGCGGGTTTCAATAGACTTACGGAGCATTTGGGATAGAGTATAACCTTGAGAGCAGATGTATTGTTTAAGTAAGTGTTTAGCAATGACATTGAATTGTTTTTGAATTGCTGTTAGTTTCGAGCGATCGAGTGAAAAACTATTACCACCACCTTTTTGACTTTCATCTAAAAAGCACGAAATTTTTTGAAAACATCCAGTGAAAGAGAATGGGTACATTACTCCGTTGATTATTTTCGATGATCAAATTGAATTTTTCTTCGAATACTGTGCATAAATATGGAATAGAACTTGAATCGAAATTTAATATTAATTTGCTCAATATCAACAAAAGAATAGGTGGTGATGATTGTTCATGGCGAACGGTTGCTGAACAACTACTTGCTGTTGTGTATTCATGCTCAAAATAAGCGATCAGACGATTGAGTAGAGTCAAAAAGAATCCATTCCAAACGTGATTGACTGCAAATTGCCTGGTGAATACATTCTTCTTGCCAGTGTTTCCAATCATTTCAGTGCCATTAAGAAAAGTGGATAGGTTTTGGAATGTATATTTAATATCATTGGTTAGTTGTTTTAGCATTTTGTCGACAAAAGTTGTGAGATTAATTTGTGTTTGTTGTGGTTGCTGCTGTTGTTGTTTATCAAATGATGTTTGTTCGTTTGTTGCTGGTGGAACCATAGTTAGCGATTTTCTTAACTCGAGAATTTGCTCGTGGAAATGTCGATCGAGATTTGCGTGATAGAATTTCAGTCGACATTCAATGGCAAACGTTAGAAATGAATCGAGCATCAAGCGAATTTTCTCAATCGCATTTTGGGTGAACAAATATTTATAAATATCATTCGATGATCGTCGTAGAAATCGGTCGATAGCCCGAACATATAGTTCGGTTTCGTCTTCTTGTCCGTAGAACTTCGATTGAAATAGATTGCGAATGAATTCAACATATGCAGAATAGCATTCCAGAAGATATTCTTCGAGATAATATTTACAGCGTTCTTTGGTCTCGTCTTCGATACTCGGCGAGGATGAGATGGTTGAGGAATGACGAATGAATAGCATGTCGTAAGATTCGACAAATTCATGAAGACTTTTTATGTAGGAATTGTAACTTGTATCGATAAATTCGAGAATATCCATTGGATGCATTTCTAGAACAAAATCGCTAAGCAAATTATGGAAATTGACAACCGAATTTCTTACGTTGTGAAAGCGGATTAGTTGATCCTGCGTTCGATTGATTCTCTGCGGTAATCAATTGTTGCTTCATGGATTCTAATAATTGTTCAAGTCGTGGTCGATTTTGATGGAGATATTGTTTAGCAAGATAGTCAGATGATTCACCCAATTGAAGTAATAATTTCACGGTATCACTAGAAGCTGTTTGCTGTTGATCAAATCGAGATTTTAATTCATCACGGATAACATTCATCGTTTCTGTGCACGATTGTTGAATGTGATTGAACGACGGAATATGTTCGTATTTTTGCAAAGCCTTCGATGCTTTCGTGTATGTGTTCACAGCTAATTCATACTGATTATCATCTGCATATTCTTTCAATTTTGTTGGCAATTGAAAAAGATATTGAAGTTTGTGTAGTAGAAGATGAATACTCGTCAGTTTGCGTATTTCGCCCCGACTTTTGTCTAACTTTTGGTGAATTTGATCGTTGTTCGTATTGACCGATGACATTGTGGACATTAAACGTTTCATTTCGTCTTCCATCGTTTTGAAATCTTTTTTCATTTGACGAATCGTATCTGTCGCTGATATAAACTTATTGTAATTCTCATAGACAAGCGTTTGCATTTCATTGTCCAATGTTTTGATTTGTTTTGTGAGTAATTGTTCCTTTTCAATTAGACTAGTTAAACGTGATTCACGTAACAATTTCGTCACATAAGTTTCTGGATCAAAACCAGGACTATCTATATTCGTCGGATCGTACGTTGATGGAAAATTGTTCGCTCTCGAGGAATCCATCAGAAGTACAGATGTATCGATTGATAAGTTTTATGTTTATGATGACTTGATTGAATGCATAGAAAAGAATAGAAACAAGTCGAGTAACGCTGCTCCTGTTCGTCAATATAAAGTACCAAAGAAAAATCGATGTAATATAAATGAATGCCGGTTAGCGCCACCTATCACAGCTTAGCTGAACATCGGGAGTCAAGTTTTATGCGCATGGTACTATGAAGTTTGATACTATTGTTCATTTTTCTGCTTGTCTATAGTGAACTAGAACATGCCGAATGTTATTCGAAAAGAATCCTTGTTGTTAAAGATGTTGTTTTCCAGCAAAAGGTCATTTTGTAAACGGTTTTTCATTCTAATTAAAAGTCGAATACGATCCAGCTGCATGATGGAGTAATCAGATTTGAAAATAACTACAAAAAAGATCTTTTACACTGAAAAGGGCAGTCTTCTGTTCGACATTTAGTTGTTCGCGCCCGGATTTTCTCTTAGTTAATAATAATAAGAATACTAATAACGAAACGGGAGCGAACTAAGAGAAAAACTTCAAATGGCAATCGTTGGAACATACCTGGAGGAAATAGATATATATAAACTAGCTCACTCATGAAGAATTCATAATTTTTTTATAGCTTTCCCATCGATACAGCAATGAAAGGTAACTTGATTCGTTTTTGACGTTCTAACGAAGCAAATCTATTGCAAATCGACGGTTTTCTTTTCAATTTTCTCGTAGTTATGAACGAAACACGCTTTATCTATTGATAATATCAACATACACACATTGAGACAGTTTTGATTTCTCATTTTGTGTCACTGACTGTGACCAAAAATACCAGATGAAAGATGAAATATCATTGATGAGAAGACACGCCTAAAAGATATCAGTTATATGTCTTGATGTTTGCGCTTAGCATTAACCAATCGTATTGTCATCAAGAAAAGACTTAGTATGATTGTCATTATTGTGCACACGTTCTTCGAAAGTCTTCCCAGCTTGATGGAATTCTATTAACAACACATTGGCAATGTTTGTCTGCTTATATTTTCGTCTATTGTCTAGTGACGTTTTAGAATTATTGATGCTATAAACAGTCATAAACCATAGAACTGTCTTGCGAACAAACCAGAAAAGCTATGAAATGTTATCCTAGATAAAAAATAATCTATGCGTGCTCGAATGTGTTAATGCATTAACTGTATTTAGCAAGTCGACCATGGCAGAGGAATATGCGAGTGTTTGTTTGTTTTTCCAAGCAATAAACCTGCCAGTTCAATCTGTTGATATCTTTATTGGAAGTGAATTGAGCTGTTTTTTTGCCCTATATTTGTTCAACGTTGAGAGAAAATGGCATTGATTCTCGAAAAAAGTCTTTTATTAACCTTTAATCATCGGTTTCTCCGTCTTCCTCTGACATTTATTCTGATATGAATGATAATTATACATTGTTTTGTTTTTCTTTTATTCGTATTCTAGTTAGTAAAAAATTGGCAATGAATGATACTAATCTCCTTCGTAAGTTCGTTACCGAAACGATATGTATCTATAGTTCGTTTTTCTCTAAATTAGTTGGTGCGACTCAATGCAATCGTCTTCGACCGCAATATCGGCACCAAAATTCCCTAAATGACTCAGTTATACAGATAATTGATAATACATATTCAGCAAATCGTCGAGCATCATCGGTACAATCATTTCAAAATCTATTTTCGAATTCAAGACCGTCGACATCGACATCCTATCCACGTCTACAACATGTCGTACGAAAGCAAATTTCACCGCCAGGAGTATCTGTTAATTCGGATCTGACAAATTCATTGTTGAAACAGAACACTACTCCACTAGAAACAAGTCGGTACGGGATAGATAATATTTCATTGTTTTCAAAGATTCGTACGCAAGAAGATGATGAGCAGGGACCTTTGTCTCGTTTGTCCAAAGGAGCAACAATATCTTTGCCTGGTCAGGATGGACTTGAAGATAAAAAGGAACCAATTGAAGTTCGTGTTCGATGTATCTTTTCTCGAGTGGGAGAAATCGATACGTTGAACGAACGTTACAATGCTGAAATCTTTTTTGAAGCTTCATGGTACGACGCAAGTAACAAAATCGGATCGAAATACGATCCACAAATGGGTCATTTCAATCCTCAACTAGTTGTTCTCAATCACATCGGAGATTCATTGCGACATGAAGTATACGAAGAGTTGTCATTGCTAATCTGTCTTGTTGTCTTTCTTCGCAGAAATGGTATTCGATCAATAGAACAGATGACGAAAATATAGTAGAAATAACTGAGCACAACAAAATTCGCAGTGTTTTTTGGGAACGTCTAGAACTGTACCATTTTCCTTACGATGTTCAAGAATTATCGATATCAATCACAACTCCGTTAACCCAAAACGATCTCTATTTTATCCAAAATGTTGACAAACCATCTGGTGTCAATCGAACAGTCTTCAGCGATCAACAATCTTGGCATTTATATGAACACGTCGAATTCACATACGAAGAACATCGAGAAGAATACTCGTTGAATTATAATCAAATTCATCCAGTTGTTGTCTGCACATGCCATGTCGGTCGTAAATGTGGTTATTATATCTGGTAAATATCGATTTCAAACCGTCGCTAGTCTATATTTGAGTTTCATAGGAACGCATACTTTTTAATATTTCTCATCACATCGGCAGGACTATGTACGTTCGCTATTCCACCATCAAACGGCCACGGACGTCTTCAAATTACATGCACTCTTCTCTTAACATCGGTCACTTTTCGATGGGTTGTTAATAAATCTCTTCCGTAAGTTCAAACACGTTCAATAACTTCAAAATTTTCTTTTTTTCAGGACGATATCTTATTTAACAGCTTTAGATGGTAAACATCTTGATTCATTTATCTTCTCGATCTTTTCTCTTTGTTTAGTTTACGCTATCTCGTCTATAGTTGCTCTGTGTATAATAAATGTTTTTCATGGTATTATTAGTTATATCTATTACAATCAATTATATATTGCCACATCACAACCAACAATAACGACCAATGCACTTCATCTATCACTCTATCCCGAATACTTCCTGTGCCGTTTAGATCGTTATGCGTTTTTTTTCTTTCTAGCCTTGTTCTGTGTTTATCAAATCTTCATTCTTATATGGACCTTTTGGGTACCTTATAAACGACGTTCTGCTATTAGTCGTAAAGATGAAGAGAATAGAGCGAAATTATTAAATAAACCGACATAATTTGAACAAAATAAACTTCGATATTTCATAAATTTTCAAAAAACAAGTTTTTAGTTGATATGAACATATTCACCTCGACGAAGAACTATCCGTTCTAGACCTAACAGTATACAACTAAAAACTACCAGTGTATTTGTTCGGATGTTGTTTAGTTTAAGTTGAAGTACTTTTCTAGAGTAGAATGTTAAGATGGCATTCTCGATTATTTTGTGCTTCAACACGCGGAAAGCATTTCCTTCCTTTGATAAAACAAGCGAAAACAGGTATATGTCCAGATTCATGGTTTAATTTCAACCGTTAATCATCCGTAGAAATAAACGATCTTGCCCGGTGTAAAATCTCCTATCGATACCGTGAAACACTTTCTATTGACATTCTTGCGCATGTTTTTTCTCGTTTTGATGACCGAATACACTGTTGACTTTGCCGCTTTCTTTTTCAAGTTCAGATAATATTTATTTTCATTATATTGACATTTCATCACGTTGACTGACAACCGTTTCGCTTAGAAACAAACTCTACAAGTTTGGCAATTAAGATAACTTTTCGCAAGTTAATTTAGCATATCACGAGATGAGATTTTAACGAGGGTAATTTGGGTTTTCTTCGAGCAAGAACGTTATCTAGGAAGAATGGTTGGTTTAATCTAAATCTAAAGATACGCAACATGCCAAGAGGATGTCAAACGAGAAAAAAAACGATAGCGATTAAGATAAATGAATAGGTTGTTTTTCTCTCATTAAGAAATCGTTTAGACTTGCAATTCACTGTTCGGAGATTAGAAAACCAACGTCCTTGTGCACGAATATAATCATCAATTGTTAAGTAAATGATCTTATTTGAATATAGTTTTTTGTCAAAATATGTAATACATCCATCATATATCACAATTAAAAAAAAAGAAAAAAAAGAGAAACATATTCATTTACACATACTGTTCGATGATGACTGTTACAAAATGAAAAGAAGAGAAAGATGGGGAGAGAGAGAGAATGAAGAAAAGAAAAAAAATCAGGGTAACGAAACAACAACTTTATTATTAGGAAAAACTTTAAAGTAGAGGTTCGACTGGCATGATGCTTTACAGATGGGTCTATATTCGCATCATTAGTCATATGTACTCGCACGCGAGTCTTATTTCAGGACATATTCCACTTGCATATTAAGATAGACCATCCTGAAAGAAAGAGAACAATCGAATGAGAAAAGTGCCCAAGAGAATTACTATTGACTTACCAGTAAATAATATTGAATACAATAAAGGCGACCGGAAAGAGAACTGCCGAGACGAGATCGACCTAAAAGAAAAATGAACGAGTGCTTTTAAATTAACTTGCACTCTAAATTAAACTTACAAATTGCGCGCTGTCACGGACAGGTTTGGCAGCTTTGGCAATCGGTGCTGGTTGTGCTAAGACAACTTGTGGTAATGGATTTGCTTGTGTTGATATTGGACCACTTGAATTTGACATAGCGGAGTATTGAACATGGGAACTTGCATTGCCACCTGCATTTCTATCAGCACTGCTTGATTTGTGAACGAGTGCCTCCATCGTTTCAGCACTGTCATTTCCGTCCTCTTTTTTATAGAACTGAACTTGAGCAAGACGGTTTCCAATAACCTAAATGACAAATGGAAGAATTCTTAAATGTGTTATACGCGCCGATCGAATCAAGAAAACACAAATGAAACAACATATAGTAGTTTGTATGAAATCATATGCATTCAAAAGAGAAACGAAAAGAACGAATAAAGAAAGTTGTGCATTTAGTGGATGTGAATGGTTAAAAGAAAAGAACAATATCTATTTGTGAGCATGTACGAGCGAGTGAGTGAACGGAGATGATAAGGAATCTATATTCATGATTAAATTACTCTCTCAGCAGCAAAGGTCGAGCCATTTTGAAGTTTTTGTATTAAAGTTAATTTCGGCGGTCTATCCGTACCTTTTCTCTATAAAATATAAAGATGTTCAATACCTTTTATTCGCATCGGCGACAATCGTCACACGATTCAAATCCAGATATCTCGCTGTTCTGTGCCACTCGGATAGGAAAGAGAAAACAATGGCTTACTTCTTTGGAAAATCGAACTTGTTGCCTCAATTCACCTTTGCGGGCAATAACGTTGACTAAGGCGTATTCGAGCAGACCGGCGAAGACGAAAACAAGACAGGCTGACATCCAAACATCAATTGCTTTAATATAGGAGACACGCGGCAGTTGAGACCGAATACCTAATGATAGATAAACGTAGATTAACATTGGAATATAAGGTTACATTCATTATACTGTATAGTTTTTTTTAAAACTAATAAAACGAACAGCAAAAGCCGGAATGAAGCAAAGGGTATAAGAGCACATCACCTCCGCCTTACCTGAGCTTTGAGTGGTAACTGTTAGAACAGTCAAAAGTCCGACAGAGATCCGAGCGGGAACCTGCGTATGAGATCGAGAGATAAGGAGATTATAAAGAATCGTTAATGTCTGCTCATCGGGCTTACCGATTTATGATCGATCCAAAATGAAACAAAAGAAAGGATCACAATGAGCATCGATGGAATATAAACTTGTACTAGAGAGATTCAAAGAATTTACTTTCTCTGAACAAATTTAACAAGTAAAACAGAAGAAACTCACCGAGATAATAACCAAACAAACGCTTTAAATGTAGAACAACGAGAAGGCATGTAAAACTGCCTAGAAAATCAATTATTTCAAAGAATAACAAGAAAAGTAGACAAAGACTCTCGAATTTGTACTTAGTACTAATCAAAAATAACTTTCTTCATTGGAGTATCTGTTTTCTTTGCTGCTTATATATAGAATGTCTGAACGAAGCGGAAAAGGCAAATAATAATATATACAAAGCAAGCACGACGAAAAATAACTGTCAATCAAAGCATTGAAATGAAAACTAAAAAGAATTCATTAGTGCATAAATGATAGGTTGTGCTAAAATGAATGTGAAAGCGAAATGCGCGTGAGGATTGGCTTTATAAGCGAGATAACACAACATTGATAAAGAATATGGGATAAAAGCAAAGAAGTTTCAGTTTTTGTACCTGCGGCTTGTGTTGAGATAGTGACAATACTCAGTAAACTAAGTAGAGTTCTTGCTGGATGGGATTTATAATCGACCCAGAAGCCGATAAAAGATAATGTTACAATCAATGTCGATGGTAGATAAAGTTCTTGAATATATAAGTCAAGATTTCGTTGTAATTTCAAATGCACTTCGATACAAGCAAATGCGCCTATGAGCCGAGTGAAGAAAAGCTTTGTTTAAATAAGAAAATTAACAATATGTTCCTCTCTATATAAGCAGCATGAACATCAACATCACACAAATGAAGAAAGATTATTTTTTGTTTAGTGAATAATACTTTGCTAACACTTAGATCGTATATCTAACCTGTGGCTGTTGTTCGATTGCAATACTTCGCTTCATGATTACTTAAAACAAAATCGGGCATTTCGAGATCTTCGTTGACTCGGATAGCACTGACATTTTGCGATTCATCCCAATAGAATGCCAAGTCATTGGTACCAAATGCATCTAATAAGCATAAATCATAATCAGAAATGATTCGACAATGGAAGACAACGAAATTCAACGTACAACTGCCAATGTTAACTACGCATGTTTGGTTATCAAGTGGAAATTTTTGCAATTTCATTTGGCAATCAAGTTTAAGTAAGAGTCTGAAAAAGAATTCGAATAAAACACTGCGTTTATTCTTGTTTATCGATGAAGAGCAAACGAACCGTTGACTGTAGAGTACTTTGCCATCGCGATGAATACGAATCAATCGATTGGGCACCGTAATATCACTGCGTTTACCTTCTTTGGCATTCCGAAAGAATGAATCCGGCACCCATATTCGATCGATAAGAGAATAATGCAAAGTAATTTGCGGTGATCGTTGTGCCCAATCAGTTCCGGAATAATTTAGGCGAGGATCATACCAAGACTGTCGGAAAATAATATCAGTATTATAATCCTAGAGAAAACAAATATATATTGAATATTCATTTGTGCCGATGAATAATTGTGAGTTGTTCAATGGTTATGCCTTACCATATTAACTTCATTGATAGCTGAAATCGTATTAATATGGATCGTCATTGTCACGTTGCACGGTTCTATCAATGAATATAAGCGAAATAGTTAACAAATCATGAACGAAAGGAAAAAGAAATCGACTCACTCTGCTGATCAAAAAATGGTCGAATACGCCTATCATAACGACTTGAATTAATGAGAGTATCGAGAAACTCTTCGACAGTTTTTATTGATGCATCACTGCGTTGTAAATTTGTGCTAGAAATAAGTGTGAAGATTGTTGTTAAAACATGCAAATCAATACGTAGACGCATAGTGCTTTGATAATCACGAAATAAGATAGATAATTCCGATTTATCGTCGTGTTGTTTTCAACAATGATAGATAGCATCGATTAATATATGTAGAATGAGGAGAAAGAAAAAGCCAAAGATAGTTCTCAACCAACCAAGATGGTATAACAGACACATACGTCTTTTTCAAAAAGAAAACCGAGGAGAGAATCAGGAACAGAAGATGTTGACAGTGTATTGATAGAAATAATGATGACAGTATATTGATACGGATAATAGTAGCATCGCGTCGGGATAAAAGAAAGGGTAAATAAACACTTATGGCGAGTCTATCAATGTGAAAATTAATTTGACTGGCGATTCGTTTTGCTTCGCTGACAAATCTAAGTTTGTTCTTTTCTTCTCGATCGCGATTGAGTTAAGTTTTATCTGACTATTTGACTGGCACTCAATAACAGTAATGCGTGCGTGTTATGTTTGGGAAAAGACACGCACAGATGCAGCGATTGACGACAATAATAATGACGAGCACATAAAGTCGGCAAGAAATGAAAACGAGAGTGATAGAGAGATAATGACAAACATAGCGAGAAAGAGAAAGTAAAAGAGATCGAACAAAACAGAGAAGCAGAGAGAGAGAGAGAGGGGCAGAGGAAAAAGATGAAGGAAGAGCCGACAGAGAAAAGAGAACTTGTCTTGTCGTCGTTAAACGGAAATATTAATGAAAAAAGAGATCTTTTTTGCTTGATTTTTCTCAAACGAGTTTCAAAATTGCAATGGAATAACGGACCGTCTTTTCATACCAAACTGGATGTAACACGTATCATAATTAACATAAATACATATGATTTTCTGCTTTGATCATTATCATTACCTACTAAACTGATTCATGTAGTTAACTACAACAATCTGTGTTTATTATTAAGGACAATGTAATTAACAAAAAACATCTCATTGTGCTCGACAGAATATTTAAAACAGACAATGATAGTCGGAGACGCTGGCTAAGTACGAATGGGAATCTTGCTAAGCTCGAGAGACTTAATAGAATACTGGTTTTAGTTTCAGAATGTTTCCGTTGTTTCAATCAAGCCAGTCAACAGGAAGCTTAGTCTATACTGTTAGCTTATTGAGTACTTGTCAATCTAGCTTTGCTCGCTTTGATGAAATAACCGACTATCTCGAAACGATTCTCTAGCAAGAGCCATCATTGGAGGAACTGTGTTCAGCTTTATACATAAGCTACTTCCTCTAGCATCTATTCACCTTTATCTTTCTTTGCCACATGCAAAAAGGAGATCCTGTCATTAGTCAAGATCAGTTGATAAAAACATCGTACATGAAAGTTGTCAAGATATCGACAATAAGATGTCATACAGTCGTTATTTTGTATTAGTCAAGGGATACAAACATCCCGAGCCGATGAAACGTCAATGCAAGAATGTCATCTGAAAAAGCGATGCAAAATGTCCATATGTGACAGAACGTATTTACTACATAGTCGAAAATGTTATTATAATAATTTGGATCATATAAACGACCGAAGTAAATGGCATCCTAGGGTGCGATGTTTTCTTAATCTAGTAAGAAGATCAGTCCTTTTTAGATCGAATTGCTTCGTATTGGTCAAGGACTTCACGTCTGCGTTCGTCTGATTTTCCTTTTTAGTTTTCGGGGAGAAGAAACACAAACGATCTGATCATAGCTAAAGTTCTGAAGTCTGGAAACATCAGACATGTTGTGAACAATGAACATGTTCATGTTGGTTCATTAGTTACTTTGAATATATCGTGGCGTTCTAGTCAGACAACTCAGGGAGAAACCATGTATTTTCTTTTTTAACATTCGCTTTCGTCTGTCTCAGTGTTGTTTACTGTTGTTCTTCGATTAACTGATGTCGATACCAGATTAAATTACAAAGAAAACGTTGAAACGAAAGAGGCAAAAGAGAGGAAATTTTACTCTTGAAGAAATCTAAAGTGAATGCAATTAAGTAACGAAAGCAATCAAAAACCCACCCGATGAGATCATTAGTGATCAAATTCTTCTTATTTGTTGACTGTTCTTCACACAACAACGGATATTGAGAGGCAAGTGCAGCAAGAATAACTGCGATTATAATATTGCTTTGAACCATGGATAAGACCGATGAACATGGCAAGCGAAACAAGAACTAAAGGAATACTGCGACCAAGCTAGATAAGAATCACTCTACTATAACAGTTGCTCCATTGTTGACGCCGTCTTTTCTTTATATTTGGTTTTTCTCTGTCTCCCTCTCTCTCCTTATTCCTCTCACAATTCTGTTTCCATTCGCTGGGCTTCTTCTTTTAACAATTTTTGCTTTGCAATTGTTCACCGCACTACAACCGCCATACAAGTATTTTTAGACGTTGTTAGTCGATTAAGGCGTTGCCTCTGCCCTTCTTCAGTTTTTCTTTCCATTGTTGTCTTTCTTTTTCCTCATCTTTTTCATACACACGCTCCTCTCTTCTTAGTAGCCTCGTTTTTTTCAAATTTCTCTATATCATTGTATTCGCTTGTCATGCCCAAAATCAATTTACACCAGTACAATTCAACTCTTGGCAAGACAGAACTATAATAAACGATTACGCTCTTTTATCGACACCCTCTTACAGTGTTCACTTTTCTATTGTTGGTCTTCATCGACTGGGATCAGCGTCACTTTCGGTTAAATAGAGTGGGAAAGGAGAAAAAGAAACGGCGACGAAGAATCACCAGTTCGATGTAGACTCGTTTCAATCAATAGAATGTCGGCTATGTCAACGAGAAAAATCAAGAATAAATGCAAAAAATCAATCGTTAAAGTTTGAGAAACCCGTCGAACTTTGCATCATAAAACCAAAATCTGTTTGCACGTAAAAACTCTCTGATAATTAGAAAGATTAAGTATGATAGACATTCGCACATTTATATCTAATGTCATGTCAAATAAAAAATAATCGTTCTTTTCACGATTAATGTTAACTGAAATACATTACGAACAAGAATCTTCCTAGCAACTCTATTACTGTTTTGGCACTTAATCAGACGTGCGAATAATCGAATTTCAGCTTTATCTGCTCCACATTTATTTCTTAACATTGTCGTCGTCAACATGCATACACCATGAATATGAGAATTTCATTGAATGACATATTCTTGTCTGTCAAAACTTTTTGCCGTCGCACTTGTCATGTGTTTATGTATCGTATCATGACTGCTTCAGTATTTAGGTCTCCGACTGATTAGCATAAGAATGTGTATCCATATTAAGGAGCCGTAATTGATTCAATCACAAAACAACAACGTCGATGAATGTCAACGATACGTCTAGATATGCAGGATTTTCTCATTGAATTTGCCTTCGACATAACTTCATTGTTAAGTTCTCGGTGAAATGTGTTCAATACGACGCAAGAAGAAAACAACAACAACAACAATGTACTTAGACGTTTCTCTAATAGGCTTTAAAAATAAGAAACGAAATAAGAGAAAAAAATGAATACAATCCGATAATGCTTTTATCGACATGTGAAATCCAAGACTGTAAACTAACTACTGTTAGTCACTGAAGGATTACACGAAAAAGATTTTATGTGCAAAATGTTGCTAAATAGTCTTGCATTTGGAATAAACGAAGAAGACAAATTGTCTTCAACTACATTTCATTATTACTGAGATTGTATAATAGAGAAGAATGCATTCTCGCTATTAGATGTCATGCCGAACGAAGTTTTCTGCTTTTTCTCTGCCTCTTTCTTACTCATTCAGTCACTTAGTAGTCATCTTCGGAGAGTCGAGGTAAAAAATGAATCGGCAACGTGTTTACTGGCAATGAACATCCGGCTCGCATGTTTTAGCAATTTCAAACCATGGTTCCTTTTCTGAAAACTTTCCGCTCCTTTTTTTTTTGTATGTATTCGATGTGAGGAAAAAGACTAATTATCGTATGAATTTCTGAAACTTCGACTTCATATCCGATTGTTTCCTCCAACTGCTTTTAATAACCTATCAAATCCATCGTCGAAATGCATTTCATCGATTAAGGAAATATTTCTATTCTTTCTTATTACTTGTAGGCATTAATAATGAGACATTCAAAAAAAGTTGTAAATAAATAAGAACCATAGAATATAATGATTTAACTGAACGAGATCGAAATGAATAAGAGCATATATATATTGAGATGACTGTTATTCTATTGTTCGTCTATCTTGATTTTACAATATGTTTCTTGTCAAAAGACTTAAATACTTTTCCCGATAACAATAAGAAAGCCATTAGTTTCTATGTACCTGCCATTCATCATTCTTCTTCACTTTCGTCGCTGCTCTCATTCTATATATACTTGTTACTTTGATCAAAGTACAACATTCTCGAAACGGAAAGGAGCAACAACAACAACAAAAACTAGAGAGAAGTTGATCGAAATAGATAACATACCAATCATGAAATGATGCACGTTCAGAATCAATCATCTTTTGCCATAATCGATGATTTGGATGGCCATCTTGTAAATCAATCACATCCGATGTTGTTTTAGTAGTTAATGTCTTTGTTGTACTCGTACTCGTGCTAATTATTTGCATGGCAAGTGAAAAGATTTGATTGTAAATAGGAATGAGAAGAATCATTGAGAAGAAGTGTGTGAGATGCATGGTACATTACGACATGTGTTCCGACTGACAAAACGTCAGCCTGGAGATGAATTATTCGTCCATATCATTGTATTCGCTTGGCCATCTGACATTTGTTTTGTTAGAATTCTACATAAAGAAAGAGAGAGAGGGAAAAGATTTAGTAGTTTTATTTGTAATAGTCAAAAGAAAAACTTGATGTTGATAAGAACAAAATGAAGCAAAAAAAAGGAGAATGATGAGGAAAAGGAAAAGAACAGACGAGTAACAGCGATGTATTACATACAACGTAGCAGATTTGTTATTTTTTATTTTCAGTTTTGTTCATTTCCACATTATACCCCTGCTTCTTTTCTCTCCCTATCGCTCCTGTGTGTTTCTCTTCCCTTTTTTTCTCCCCCTCCCCTCTCTCTCTCTCTCTCTCGACTCTTTTCTTTGCGTGTGTCACGAGTCATCTAGCAAGAAGAAAAGATCTTTTTTCTTTTTCTGATAATGATAATGGAGGAGATGGTGATAGTGATGATCCGTCTTCCCCTTCCATCTCAACTTTTTACTGTTACCAGCATATGTCTTCCGTTCTTTCTCGTTTTCTTTGGCTACCGTCCGCCATCAGTTTTGATCTACTGTTGGTTGTTTTTTTTTAAAGCAAACATCAATAATTTACCGAACATCTTTGTATCTTGCAATGATTTTCATAAATAAATAAGCCGTCCTGGATTAAATCCTTTTTCTATCTTAAGGACAAAATCCATGAAGCTTATTTGCATAACCTCTTCATGCTTGAATGGATATCCGTTGAGTTTTCTTTCTCTCGGTGACAAATATTCAATGTCGGTATATGAAAACATAAAATGTTAGAAAAAGAAGAACATAAGTACAAAAGTAATACCTGAGCAGCTCTATTGAAAATGAATGAATTAAATACAACTCCATCAATGAGCGAAAAGATGAATAGAAGATCCATTTTCAAGCTAATATTTCTCGTCGAGAGCAAAATGGATGTCACTCAATAAGTGAAAAAGAAAGAACATAACAATAAAGGGAATACTTCTTGATTACTTATAATCGAAATAACACAAAATATATATTCAATGGCAATTCAATCAATTAACTAACCGCTAGAGAACTTTCGCTGTTACCAACTAATGTGTTAAGGAAGAAAAGTTGTCAATAAAACAATTGATTTACAATTAATGACAATCTTTTTCTCTCTCGACTTTAATGAAAACTATGAGGACATTGAATCTAACAAAAAGAGCATAAGTGTGTTCATAAGATGATCATATCAAATGAATGACAAGGATACAAATAAAATATGACAGTAGTTCTCAATATATCAAATTAAGAAATTTTCTAAGAGTACATTCGACGTCATCTATGTACATACGGATACTTGAAGAAAAATTCTTGATGAACAACAACTCGAACCCATCGTTAATATAATTTTTGCTGATCAATGACACAAATGTTCAAGATGACAGGACGTACGAGAGATTATTAAAGATCAGATGCTGAATGTAACTCATCATAGAGGATCACAATTAACATCTTGATAAAATGTGAAAATATATCATCGAATTTCATTCGTTAATCGAACTCAACTCGTTATCCTTAGAACTCGTAGTCAAAATCGATCGTTTGTTCCGTTTCGAATAATTCCATTTGAATACAACGGAAATCAATAGGCGTTTGATAATATTCATTCAATCAATTTTTTTAGTTTAAAGGGAAAAGATTCAAGGGTAACTATTGGAACGAGAGGCGAGAATTTCTTTCATTATTTGATCAATCAATTATTGAACATAAGAATCGTTTTCTTTCCCTACGTCTCAAATACTCGCTGAACTATTCCATAAGCAAAAACTTTTTTTTTTACATATTTTATTACGAGCGATCTCAGGAGAATTCAAGCGAGCGACCGAACAAGCAACTGACATATGTTTAGACAGATAGAGATAAAGAACAATTTCTTTATTCGAGTTTATTTCAATATATATAGAAACTGTCTAATCGTATTTTGATTATTAACATCTGTGTCAACGTTGAAAAAGATTAATGACACAACACCCTGATTATTTCATCGTCCTTGAGAGTATTAAAGATATCATATCTGACGCGTTTTTCTTTCTCTTAATTTATTGGACATCAACATGATTATCGCTTCGCATTATTATTTCACGGAACATTCATCTTGCTAGAGTTGAAGACATTTGAATAATTTATACAGAGCATCAAATATGATATATGATTATGCGAGAGTAAACTTGTCCTAGACAAGTGATACGAACGCTAAAAATCTTTCTGTCTAGGAAAGAAATGAGAATTAATTAGGGAAATTTTGCTTGTGCAGCTGATTAACTGTGAGAACATTCCTGCCGATAATTATATTAACTTTGATGAAAGCAAATAATTTATTATTATGTGAAAGAATTGAATAGCGACTATAACAAAAGAAAAGTAAATATTAGAATCGCAGCATAACCAAGCAAGAAAACAAATAAAATATTTAACATGAAAATACACTCAAGCATAGCGAAAGAAAAGGAAAACTGAGTTCAGTAAACATTATCTTTGATAAAATAATATGCCAGAGAGAAACTTGATCACAGATTGAATGTAATTATGATTTTTGTTCATGGTTGTTATCAACGGAATATTGAACTTAATCTGAATTGGATGGCGACGGTGATAATGCAGGAGTTTGATCATCGTTATGCATTGGAGCGTGTGGAGATTGCTTGTTAATCTGCATCCGATAAGCGTAAGTATTTTCTGTCGATTCAATACGGCCAGAGTTTAGATCAAATGATCGACCTTTTGTTGCCAAAGGCGACGCAGTTGGCGATGGGCTCCACCACGACATGATATCTAAAGAAAGCGAAAGAGTGTCGATTGTATTCAGTTCGAAGATAGTCAGAAATCATACTTGAAATCACAGGCAATTGTCTGAGAAGACCTTCTTGTGCAAGCATCTGTTGATTTTCGTCCTGTAGGTCTTTTTGGACTTTTTCAATTCCTTGTTTGATTTTTTGTGCCATATCTTCGACATATTTCAATGCTACTTCAGTTTCTTTACCGCTAACAGCTATTTTCTGCAACAAAATATCGAGATCATCCTGTTTCCGTATCATTCCTAGTCGCAGATAGAACATCGATTCTTGCTCATTGTTTGGTTCGCCGCCTAAAGAAAATGCCGAATCATTTGTTTGAAGTTTTCGAGCTAACTCAGCTTGAATTGTGTTCGTATCGTACGAACAAACGTCGGTTTTTTCATAACTGGGAATGTAACGAACTGCTCCGATACCCGCCCAATGTGGCATGGAAATCGAAACAAGATTTTCATATTTTGTTACAACTGTTTTCAGACGCGCACGGGCAGTCATTGTTGCCACAAGAATATCTATATAACGTTGCACATCATCGACAAATGCTTGCATGTTTTGTTCTTCGATCGTATCAAGTAAATGTTCTAATGGAGCAAAGCGAATCGCATGTGCAGCTGTTCGAGTGGACGAATTGTCATTGGGATTATTAAGCATTTGGAAATGAATACACTTTAAGAGTTCTAAATTCATTTTTGGATATTGTTGAGATAGCTTATCAAATAGCCAAAGATTCAACAGGTCAACATAACCATGAAGATCATCCAAGTGTTCAATCTGAATTATTGTAGAATAGAAAAGTTATACCGATATCATTCATTATTTCTATACTTACATCTGGTATATCAGTTGTTTCAAAACGAAAAATAACAATAGTCTTCGGTAATGGATCGTTGAGTGTATCACCTTCACAAATACGCTGATAGGTTAAGACTCCTTGGACATAATCATCATTATTTAATATTCTGATCGTTTTCATTTGTTTCAAATGTTTTGATAGCACATTTACTAGTTGAAACGAATGTTTCATGTGATAGAGCACATTCGCTTTCGAGCATCGTTGACTAATTGACCAAATACTTAGGAAACTAATGGATGGATTGTGTAGAATGGCATCATAAAATGGAGAAGATGCTGACGAATTATTGTCATTTGTCGTAGTAGAAGATGAATTAGATGACGATGACGACGATGTTCGATTCGTACTCGTTGTCGAGAGTGTTGAAGAATCATTGGTATTAATTTGTTCATCCTGTCGAAAATTTGATTCGGTTTGTTTTCCATTCGTCATTGACACCATTGGCCGGAGAAAAAAAGTTAAATATGGCAAATTTTTAATGCCAAGTAACTTTATCGTATCTATACTCAAACTATCACAACTGATATTTACATTTTCTTTCACAGTTGACAGTAGCGCTAATGAGCCCAGCAAATCTCCAGTTACGTGAAGCCAAAGATTATGTTGACGTGAAAATTGTTTTAATTTTGTCAATTCATCACATCGACCTAAGACATTCGTGCCTAAATCATGACAAAAATTTGAATAAATTTCTCCTCGGTTTGCTTTATTATCGCACCTGCATTTGCAATGATCATCAGTGGATATAAATGCGAATTATTAGAATCTCGCTCAACTAATTCCTGAAGTTGGTCGACATCAATCATATCTTCGAAGAAAACATCCTTTCGAACGTGCTCGAACTGAATACTTGCTATTGACGTTAATAAATCATGTTTCAAATCACGATCAAAATCAGCCGACACGTAGATAACTGCTTTTCGTTCAGATGTCTCCAAATCGAAATTTGATTGTTTTAACACATAGCGAATAATGCGCGAGAATGTCTCAGAACAGAATGTCGAATAAATTATTGCATGGCATTGAATATGCAGTACATCTTGACACCATGCGAGTATTTCATCTTGGTATTTTGGAAATACAGATGATTTGACACTGTACGAAAGCGTATCGAAAAATGCAGAAATCTAAAAAGAAAGAACCAAATAGGCTATGAAAAGAAAATTGATTGAAGTTTACCATTGACACATCACCAACGCATTGTAAATATTTATTCCAAACACCATGTACACATTCTCGAGCGTCTTCATCGTCTTGTAAAAATGATAAACAATAAGACATGAAATCATTCTTTATTCGATTATTCAATTCAACTAAATGAGCTGAATGATCGTCAATTTCGTCTTCTTCTTCATCATCGTCGTCATTAACATCAGTTTGATGATTATTGTCGAAAGTTTTTGTTCGAATATGTGAATCGCCCATTCCGTTCAATCTTTGCTCCATTTACAATCCACCTTATCAAATCTGAAATACAACAAAAAGACACAGGTACATGATACCTCTTCCTTTTTCATATACTGAGTTAATGAAAAAAAACTTCCGAGTGTCTATAATCGTTCGAATGTTACGCATATGTTTTCAATGTAATACAATATATGTATACGATGAATGCTAATCATATTGTATGTACCATACACATTCGGTCTCATTTTTTTTCTTTCTATTTCTCGTCGTTCTTTTTTTACTTTGTTAGGCAGGTAGAATGTAAGGACGTGGCAGTCTCAAGAAAAAATAGAAAAAGGAACAAATGCATGGCATGTTTGTCTTTCTTCGCCTTGATTGGTAGAATAAGAGTAAAACAGAAATTTACGTCAGCGTTGCCTTTTGTTCAGATGTGACATTGATTGGACATTCTTCAGAGATGAAAATCAGATTAGTTTGCGTACAATAGAAATGAGGCACGTTTTCAATGTCAATGATTTATATAAAGAAGACAATTGTTAGATTTTACTCCTCAGTAAAAATATCCAAAAGATACAAAATGCTCCTGTTCGTAAAAAATATTTCACAAAAATAAGAAAACAAATAATCATTTACGTGTATCAACGTCGGCTATGCAAATTATGTTGTAATTGTATGTAGACAACAATAAACACATGCTTAACATTGCCTACTTTGTTCGTGTTTCATTGAAGATAAATGATAATGGTATTCATACTTAGAGTTTTGCAGACACTCCTGTCATTTCTGTTCTATGCTATTGTTGTCAAAGTGTTGTAGAATCAATACCAATCGGATTCTTGCAATCTTCGTATTTGTTTAGAACTTCAACAGATGTCATCCAGTGCCACCAATCATTTCGAAATTTAAAACAATTCCTACTGCGAGATAGATCTATAAATGACATAAATTGATGATAGAATCTTCTCCATGCACTTTTCGTCGCGGACATGCCATATTCCTCTAGTCTGCAACAAACTTCCAATGATGAATATGTATTCTCCTCCGTCTTTTACTCCTTCACGCGTTCAATTGTTATAATTCCTTCCAGCCAGATATACTTTTAGCAACATCTCTCAATATTTACAATCAACAGGTTCACTGTATACTTTCCTCGCATATGTTGTTGCACTCTGTTCAGACGGAATAAAACCTTCCATTGGCTATTCTTTTCGGACGAACATAAACGACTATACAAATAGACGTTCAAACGTCTCATTGTTCATCGAATGTATATAGGTGTGCGTGTGTCTGTGCAGAATATTGTTGACCAATCGTTATGTCATTATCAGTCCTATCCGTCGTCTCTTTCATCTTTCGATGCACAACAGTCAACTATCGATATCTTTACTTCCTTATCTTGATACCAAATGCTTTAGTTATCGTCACATGGACTTGGAGACATAATCTATCAGGGTAGGCTTAATATCATTGATCTAATCAGACGAGTAGGTGCTGTTAGATGTCCTTCATACTACCCGATTCAGACGCGAAACTGAGTGGATTCCTTGCGAATACATGCTGCACTTCTAAAGAAAGTTTTGATGAAATGAAAGCTTTTTTCAGATTGTCATGGTGGTCGAATCAAGTAGCCGCAACGATCGTGGTCTTTGTTTACTTTGCCATATTCTGTCACTTTGGATGGAATAGGATCCATCCTACGCTTTATGGTTTGGTTCTAGGAGCAGTGGTGCTACATACAGTTATATCGTTTCCACCCGATGAGATGTGTAAAGCGCTAGATGGTTTATGGGCTGACTGTATTGATTCCGATTGTTGGTTACCGTCATATTCTTGGGTGGTGCTGCGTGATGGACTACTGGTTTTATGCAGCCTCATCGGTGTCATTGCCTTAAGGTATTCTCTCACTCATCCAGTTCAATTTTGTGATCGAGCACCTTACGTCTTAATCGATGAACCACCACTCTCAAATCTATCGTCACAAAGAACTAGAGTGAGACGAAGATGTGGGACAAGAACACGTCCAAAGATTCGTTGTACGTTGGTTCGATTCGTTGTTTTCGGAAGAATTCACAATCGTCGTCGGCGATATGATTCTCCTCACTTTACATGGGGTTATTAACTAAAATGTGAACTATCGTTATTCTACTGTATTTGTTATTGAACAAAACAATTTTTTGATCGAATAAATAATAATCTCAGAGTGTGTATATTCTACAAGACTGCAGTGTTTACTTCGATGACCAGTCAGTAGCAGATGAGTTTTTGTATAACCGTACAACCAAGAATCAGCAATTGTAATAGTCGCCGATGCATCGATAACTATTCTCTACGGACATGCGACGTTGAAATTGTTCATACTCAACCAGGCCACAATGATATGTTCGAAAGACAAAATAAGCATCATCAGATACGATTGGAAAAGCTGAAAAAGGAAACAGGTGGGTATGAATTTCAACAGAGTCAGAATGTAAATCCATTGCACGGAAACATTCACCAGACATGGATATATGTTGAAACTTATCATGGTCACCAGTGAGTATAACTTCACGTATGAAATGATAATATTTGGAAGTTGATGGGTTATGAGCGTCTGGAAAAATACTCATCGTTAGTTTGTAGTTGAGATGAGTATTCTCTGTGAAAATCATCGCTGAAACAATCGCGATGCTCATTGCAAGCATATGTCTAATGTAAATATGATGTATATTGATGGCGATTACCGTGCGTATGAAAATGGCACTTTAGGTTAGTTTTCATTTTGTGATAGAGATTATTTTTAGTTCAGGAACGATTATACTAGAGTTTATGTAATTAAATTGAATATTCCATTCAGGAAAATAGCTCCATTACGCTTTCTATTTAGTAGTAGATTTTCCATTGTGGAGAAGTTTTCTGTTACGAATGGCTGGCAAGAAAACTGTAGATGCAAGGAACTAAAACTCCGAACAAACTGAATTTCTGTTTATCTGTGGAACGTTTGTATTGAAACACAGAACAAAACCAAGAATAAAAATAACAATAAAAAAAATGATCGGAAAGTTTGTTTTGTTTATCAGTTTGGCGGCATGACATCAGCGTCGTCTTCGATTTTAATCTAGAATAGAGAAAAAAAGGATTTAATGCTTTGTATAAGATTGAAAAGAGCTAAGAATACGGTGGGGATCTGAGTATCAGTGTGAAATAGAACAAATGATGATGCTTCGAATTAGTGGTATGCGCGTAGGTGAAAAAGTTTTTGATTGGAATCGGTAGAGATTGTCGAACTCTTTCTGGATTAATGTTGGAACTGCGCTGAACAGTGCAAAAGCGAATCGCTTTAAGGCTTTTCGAATTTTTCTACTGTTTTTTTAAAAATGTTTTCAAACGGAAAGGAAGACAAGCTCTGCATATGTTATCATTGGAACCAGTGAGATCAGAGTTGGAACGCATATCCGAACGAGTAAATTCTGAAAAAACTCGAATCGGACGCTAAGATATCTTATGTCAAGGGATCGAACTTGAATCTCTCTGTTGAAAGACAGCGTGATCAATTAGTATTCAGTACGACCTCAAACTAAATGCTCAAAGAATTTTGGCATGTGGAATCAAATAATGATTTCGATTACTTGAGATCAAGTTTGAAAGACTAACCTGTTTTTTTCGATCAGAATTAAGGGCGAACATTGCTGCCATCGCAAATAATGTTAAGCAACCAATATACCATTTGGGTAAAAACAGGACTATCATTTGCTTCGCAGCAAAAAGAGAAACGCCAGCGAACGAGAGATATGGTGCTGGAAACGTTAATTGCGATGGAATAGAAATGCTGAAACCTAAACATCCAACAAGAAAACTTCCAATTCGATCATCAACTGCCCATTTGTAGTTGGTTGAAATTAGCTTCGATGGTAACTTGAATCCGGACACTCCATGTTCATCAACGGCCAGAGCAACAGCATAAATAGTCAGCAACAGACTGCCAAATGTAACCATAATATATGCCATTTGCAACAAACGATCCAACCGTTGTAGTCTTTCTTTTTCGTTACGATGTTTTGCAGACCGTAGTTTAGCTGCTTCAAACAACGCATGTCTGCTAGCAGCAACACTTTCAGTTTGCTGAATTTTCTGTCTCAATTCAGTATTTTCTGTTTGAAGACGTTTTACTTCTTGAATCAACGCATATTTTGTCAATTGAGTCAATTTTGTTCCTGAAGCATCGACCGACATGAATCACTAAATACGAAAATTTGGCAAGCTCATTAGTCAACACAAAATTCTTGATTTTTCGGGTTTCAACGAAAACCTCAACTGCAAACAGATGAAATATGTCTTGTTATGATATCCTGTCTTTCGATCGTGGTACAGAAGATTGATCGTTTCAGTCAGATCTCAATTTCAATTCGATCAACGACCACAATGAACGTAAATGAAAAGCTCTTTTCATAGAACGTGGTACAAAACGTATTCCAAAGAAATATGCGCCTAGACAAGAGACATACCAGCAGATATATGATAATCTATTCTTTCTCCAATCAGCAATGCATGGACTTTTTCTCGAGTTTATTCACAAAACTAAATCATTTTCATTATAGAAACGCGAAGGGAGTAGTCAACTAGACGCAAAGGACTTATACGATGTTCTTACCTTTTCTGGTTGTTTGAACGTTCGATACGACCAATTTATTTCTAAAAATGACTTTATTCTATTTTATTGTGAAGGAGATACGACACGAAATACAAAAACAAAGAGAAGAAAATTTCACGTGGTTCTGTACAGAGATGTATAACGATAAAATCTGTACAGAAAACATATTTATCTATCATTTATTTAGTTATTAAGAAGCGATATACGAAGCTATGAAGTAGAAGTTCTTTAGTCATCTGTTTCGTTCAGATTGACTGGAGAATGATTTGATATCTTAACTTCAACTGGAATGAAAAGCGAACTACTTGATCTTTTCCAATGACTATCGCATAAATTCAAAAATTTTGCGTGTTAATATCGAACCGAATCATATTATGACGGTTTTATCTACGATCAACGAAAACTATTAGGGAGAAAACGAATCACCCCTTTCGTATTCCTTTGTTTAAATATTTTCATTATTCACTTGAAAAGTTTTCCTTTCTTCATTCCTTTGACTTTAATGATTTTTCGCTTTCCTTAACTTCGATTCGACGTGGTTGGATTAAAGCTGATATAAGCAAATTTCTCTCGAGGGTGTCGGAGTACCCAATTGACACGAATGAATGAATTCATATTAAGGACATTATTTTTTATGAGCTACTTCAAAAAGTTAAGTTAAACTATCTCAATTACACGAATAGAAACGATTTTCTCGTTTTATGTTCAGGAAAAGATTGAAATATTATCAAATCGAATATTAAAGATAGGATAATAACTGTAAAATGCAATCCAAAAGGTTCCGTTGTTGCTGAAAGAAGCGAAAATCTTTTGGCCAGATTTCCAAGCAAACGAAACGTGATCGGAAATCAAACTACATATGTCACTGTTCTCGACAACAGTCGAACTCACATGAAACTAAACATGATTGACATATACTCTCGTACGTTTAGATTGTGGAGGAAGGTAGGCGGCACGTAAAAGCGTTGGCTTCAACAACGTGCATTGCTCATTCATCATTTTGCTTCGAACATTTTCTGTTCTCCTCGTACACTCGATTGATTGTATTTGAAACGTCGAGCAAAACTTTACAATGACTAAGGTTGTCCTGAAACGCTGTCATTACTTATATCCAAAAGTGATTCCGTTTGATCAAGTTCATTTCGTGCATACTGACCATATAGAGACTACTTTTCGTTTCAAAAAACTAGAATACACGAAAACGTCGGTGTTCGTTTTTTCTGTTGATATCTTCCGTATCGGAAAATAGAAACCTGTTTATTTGAAAGAGAAGAAACTGTTATTTGATACAAATCAACATGCAATTGAGTGTTCTCTATTCTTCGAACAGATCTATGCAAGCACTGGGCAGTATGAAAGTGTAAACGATGTATTGGTGATTCGCAATACAGTTTATCTACTGATTGGCGCACGACTCTCTTTCGAATAATTATAACGTAGTCGCAGGTTAATTCTGTAGAGAAAAAACTGCATTCTTCTTTGGATCATCATTATTGTGGCAATCTATTCAATGTCACGGATTTGACATAATCTCATAATCTGCGACAACATTGCAACAGTGGAAGTGCGCTTCTTGTTATGGTAATTCATCTTCTACGAAATACTTTCAACAGGTTCACTGGAAACTTTCCTCGCATATGTTGTTGCACTCTGTTCAGACGGAATAAAACCTTCCATTGGCTATTCTTTTCGGACGAACATAAACGACTATACAAATAGACGTTCAAACGTCTCATTGTTCATCGAATGTATATAGGTGTGCGTGTGTCTGTGCAGAATATTGTTGACCAATCATTATGTCATTATCAGTCCCATCCGTCGTCTCTTTCATCTTTCGATGCACAACAGTCAACTATCGATATCTTTACTTCCTTATCTTGATACCAAATGCTTTAGTTATCGTCACATGGACTTGGAGACATAATCTATCAGAGTAGGCTTAATATCATTGATCTAATCAGACGAGTAGGTACCGTTAGATGTCATTCATACTACCCAATTCAGACTGGAAACTGAGTGGATTCTTTGCGAATACATGTTGCACATCTAAAGAAAGTTTTGATGAAATGAAAGCTTTTTTTCAGATTGTCACGGTGGTCGAATTAAGTAGCCGCAACGATCGTGGTCTTTGTTTACTTTGCCATATTCTGTCACTTTGGATGGAATAGGATCCATCCTACGCTTTATGGTTTGGTTCTAGGAGCAGTGGTGCTACATACAGTTATATCGTTTCCACCTGATGAGATGTGTAAAGCTCTAGATGGTTTATGGGCTAACTGTATTGATTCCGATTGTTGGTTACCGTCATATTCTTGAGTGGTGCTGTGTGATGGACTGCTGGTTTTATGCAGCCTCATCAGTGTCATTGCCTTAAGGTATTCTCTCACTCATCCAGTTCAATTTTGTGATCCAGCACCTTACGTCTTAATCGATGAACCACCACTCTCGAATCTATCGTCACAAAGAACTAGAGTGAGACGAAGATGTGGGACAAGAACACGTCCAAAGACTCGTTGTACTTTGGTTCGATTTGTTGTTTTCGGAAGGAAATCTCAGAGTGTGTATATTCTACAAGACTGCATTCTATAACCGTACAACCAAGAATCAGCAATTGTAATAGTCGCCGATGCATCGATAACTATTCTCTACGGACATGCGACGTTGAAATTGTTCATACTCAACCAGGCCACAATGATATGCTCGAAAGACAAAATAAGCATCATCAGATACGATTGGAAAAGCTGAAAAAGGAAACAGGTGGGTATGAATTTCAACAGAGTCAGAATGTAAATCCATTGCACGGAAACATTCACCAGACATGGATATATGTTGAAACTTATCATGGTCACCAGTGAGTATAACTTCACGTATGAAATGATAATATTTGGAAGTTGATGGGTTATGAGCGTCTGGAAAAATACTCATCGTTAGTTTGTAGTTGAGATGAGTATTCTCTGTGAAAATCATCGCTGAAACAATCGCGATGCTCATTGCAAGCATATGTCTAATGTAAATATGATGTATGTTGATGGCGATTACATTATATGTGAAAATCGATCAGCGTGAAGGTATTGCTCCTTTTGATAGAAACTTTCGCAATGCGTAAAGTTGCGCAAGTAGTCAGAAGTATGTCGTCATCCAAGGTGCGTCACATGACATGCTGCAAATGCGATGTGTAATTTTAGATGTTGGCTTTTCTTGGTAACATCGTGTGTAAACACATTTATGCATTAGATTCTGAAACGAGGAAGTGTTCCCTTGATTTAGATTTGAAATTCTCATCAAAACTAATAATGAATGATGAATGGTCCCGTTGTCCAATATGTTTTGAGGATTATACGCTAGAGCACAGACCAACAACATTTACTTGTGGTCACTCCACATGTATTGATCATACAGTTGGTACTAAACGCTTACGAAATTGTGCGTAAGTTCATCCTTCTACAACAATGTATAATTAACATTTCATACAAAGGTCCTATATGTCGATGTTCATTAGAATCTGTCACGGAATATCACGTATCGTATAATCTCGAAGAAGCTGCGCGTTTATTTCAGGCAATTAAGAATAATGTAGACTGGTCGACAATTAAACTTCCTACTGCAACAGCTAGTCGTGATAATGCCGCAGAAATGATTCATCGTGATGAACTGTATGCTCGTCGTTTGCAAGCAGAGCTTCTTCACGGAAGAGAACGAGCTGTGGTAATAGATCCGACACCGCAAGCCAGTCAGGCCGCAAGTGCACAAAATCAACCTGTTGGTTATCTAAAGAATTGCGGTCATCGATGCGATCTTCGTACGACTCAACGATGTTGTACATGTTCAGGTAAAATACTATCTAGATAGAGACTTTATTTTCTTCATATCATATTTTTTCCATAGATCGTCGACCACGAAGGCAAGGTAACACTTACGAAACCTATGTTGATGGCCGAGGAGTTGTAAATTCTGCAGCCCGTAATGAGTTCTATTGTTCTACCTGCAAACGGCAATGATACGATAATATTGAATCTTAGAACTTACAAAAGTCCTCTATTATTATGTAATTTTCCCATACGTAAAGTCTTTCGATTACCCTGCGCTGTCAGTTTTCTAACGAAATAAAATTTCTAAGCCCGGAAATGTAAGCGAGCATGAAAATGATCTGCTCAGTTCATATTCGCTAATTCTTAATCTTTCATATGACATTACCGATAGTGTACTTATTTGAAAAGATTATTTCAAAGTAAAAAAAAATTCATTCAAAAAAGAACTAAAGCGGTCGTGTGCTTGTTTCATAAAAATGGGCTATGGAAAAACAAGCAATTATGTAAAGAAAAAGAAATGATTAAACTGTATATATAGAGAGAGAGAGACAATCAGATCGTTATTGATTTGTTTTGCTTTTCTAGGAAAGATATATTCATGTTTAGTATTAAGAACAGAAGTTTGAAGGTTTGTTTAAGTATATTTTGAGAAGGATGCCGATTGATTAACATTATTACCACCGCCTTGCCCCAAACCATTTCGCAGATCGTATTGATTTTTATACGATGAACGATATGTTGTTGTATATGCACCTAGAAGACGATAGTTTAAATATGTAAGAGAATCCTTTTGACGCTGTATTTACCTGGATAATTCGATGCTGTTGAACGATATTGTTGTGTTGGTTCAGCTGTACTAAATTGTGGTTGAACCATCTGTGTTTGGTTCGATGACGGTGGTAATGAGTTTGTTGATGAACGACGATTTGTTAAGTATTTCGAATAATTCACTGGGAGGTCAGTGATCTTGTCAACAATGCGTATTTCACTGAAGGAAATAAGTAAGAGAAGAAAAACGTAACAATTGCCTCATACCCATGTGTACTCGTAGCATTGTGTGTTTGAGGATCAGCGCGAAAGACACCTTCATCAACGACAACTTGCTCGTGATGAGCTTTTGGCTGTTCATATTCGATAATCAGATTTTTTGCTGGTTTAATCCTAGAATCAATGTATTGCATAGGAGACAACAAGAATTCTTAAGCATACAACAACACTCACATTTCAGCAGGTGGTGCTCGTTGGACAATAACTGGTCGCTCTTTTGTTTCTTCGTAAGGTAGCCATTTTTCATAAATAACCTGCCGTGGTTTTGGTGGCGGTGGTGGAAGTCGCTCGACAATAACTTGCCGAGGTGGCGCTGGGGGAGCTGGTAGAATCTTTTCAATAATTTGTGGCTGTTGTTGTACTGGTGGAGTGGGCGGACGCTCACCTTAAATTTAGATGGAGTCACAGTTGCACGTGTTTTCGTAGATAGAAAGCAATCTTACGGATAATAAGTGGCGGTGGTGTGGGCGGTGTTGGTGGACGTTGTCGAATAACCAATGGTGGCGGTGGAGGTGGAGCTGGTGCTTGTCGTTCCTTAAGTTAATGCAGAATGAAATATACTCGAAGAAATTTTGGTATACTTTGATAATGATGGGTGCTGGTTCAGGACCTGGTGGTGGTTCTAGAAATCGCACATTAACCTGTTGTTTATAATGAATATTTTGATCAGTTGGTTTGACCACTCTCAACGGTTCGTGGTCCGATTGTACATTTAAATTTTCTAATCGACCTTCCGGTGCAATGACTACATTGAAAATGAGACGAAAACTAATTGAACGTACGAATCGGTAAAGTTTCGTCTTCCTACTTTCATGGGTTCGATAATCGGAACGCTGATAATGATGACTTGGGCCAGCACGAGCAAGAATTTCATTACCCATGCGTTCATCGCGAATAACATTGCCTGTTGCACGTAATAATGTCGTATCAGCATTCGCTCCATAGTTTTGCGAATTTTGTTGCGACGTTAAATAATTAGTTTGTTGTTGAAAATTATTACTAAAAATGCACACGTTACAAGAGAAAACACAATCAAAAGAAAGTAAGCTTGTTAGAAATTTCAAAGAAATCTCTCGAGTAAATAAGCAGCATTAGAAGCTGGAGTTTCTTTCTTTCTATTTACCCTCGTGGTGAAGTACATTGACAACAACTAAATAAGAACAAAACTCGAAAACAAATGAAATACGCTTGGCACTATTTCAATCTGTAGGAAATACTTTTCAAAACAAAAGACGTATTCAGCGTTCGGCACACAGTCTTACCTTGGTACGTAGCCGGTTGGACTATAAAATTAGAAAAACAAAATGTATTAGAATACAGATCATTCAAAAAGAAAAGGATTCGGTGTCTCTAGATTAAGAAATACAACGTTCTATTTACATTCGATTGAATTCTGCCTGAGATATATACGTATATGTATACAGAATTTATTTTTCTTCGCTGTTCGTACGTATGACTTTCGATATCGTTTTGTGAAATCATTCATTTTCATTTAGAGACGGGCAGTGAGAACTTACCCTCGCGGTGTATTTAAATTCGAACGATATTTATCAAGAAAGGAATTAAAGCCGTTATTTTCTTGTCTGGCTGATGTTGCCATAGCTTATTTTTGTAATCTGAAATGCTTAATTTGATGAAAGAAGAAAAAACACTTTGCTTTTCTACATCAAGATCTAGTGGAATGATTTGAAAAGAAAGAATGCAGGAAGCCATTACCGCTTGCAATCTATCGGCAAATGATGTTAGATGTATTATGGTCGGTTGCTATTCAACGAAAGCATCCCTTAACCAATACGCAGTTAACTAGTAGCATGCCACTCCCCGCATATTTCATGCTTGCCGTTTATTGTTGCCAAGCAAACAACGAAGAGAAAAGAAGAAATAATCAAATCTTATTTTTCTCTCCTTTGTTGTCGAGTGCCAACTTTTTTCTCTCACTTTCTTCTTCTCTAGCTGATTAGAAAAATGTTCTTTGAAATAGTTAAGTATATGTTTTCTAAGAGAAGCAAAATAAGTCGCCTGCCATCGTTGTTCTTTGCTTTGCCACACACAACAATATGCAAAAAACAACGAAATGTGTTCACTGTGAACGACACCGGCAACAATAAGAAAACAAAATTATTAAAATAACAAATTGGTTAGAAAGTGTGAAAGCGAAATAGAAAAAGCGTCTTAGAAACTGAATGCAAAACCATAATTGGATGCATCGAAAAATGCTTGAATAAACGATTTATTTATTGATCTTCGAGCTGATGTTTTCTTTTCGCATTCGTTCAACGATGAACTTCAATTTCTGAATCTTTTCAAGGAAGTCAAAGAAAAACTCTAGCCTAGACGTTGCCATAAACATACTTTATGCAAATGTAAACAATATACATCAATATGTTCGTAACTAGGATATCGAGAAAGAAGTGTGAAGCACACTTCAGTCAATCAACTGGAAGATTTCCAGAATAAAACATCAAGGTGATATGAAAGGAAAGGTTTCTTTTTGTTGTGTTAGTGTATGATGAATTCTTTCGCGCTGAAGTTCGATTTATTTTCCAATTATATAAAATACTCATTTTGAACAGAGAAGAAATATTAGAGAGAGAGCGAGCGGATGAATAAGTGAAATAATATTTATAAATTTATGTAGATGGAGATGATTCGGAATGATTTTAGTTTGGTGACTGACCAATAAGGATCATCAATGCTAATGCTAATGCAAAAGCGATGAGAAGATGAAGAGAAAGGAAAATCACTTTGATTCGATCCTTCACCGGTTCCTTCGCTGACGATATTGTTTCGACTTTTGCATTATTTGTTCCATTTCGATCATTCATTGCAAACGAATCTGCTTTTTCTGCTATTAATGAAGTCTTTTGAAAATAAAGTTCGAGCATTTCAAAAGCTACGAATATTAGTGGTAACCAACATGACCATGCTGCAACGATTGCCCACTCTTTGTGCGTTCGGAAATCGAAATATTCGAAAAACATCGCTAAAAATATTGCGGCTATGGAAAGTATGAAGGCACTGAAACCAACAGTCGCATGAGCATAATTAAATATGAAACGATAACGAGCGTCCGGATTGCACCGAAATAAAGCCATAAATGGTTGAATAATTGCAAAACTTATAACCAGCATTCCAATGATAGAATGTGCAAATTCACGTCGATTCGTTTGAGATACCCACTGGCCTTTTTTATAGACAAGAATGAGAATAAAGGCAATCAATGTCAAAATTGCCGCACTGCTCATAATGGTACGATGAACAGCAAACCAGATTGCTTTACCACAAATTTTTCGATTACTCCACGAACGTTTGAAGTAGCGTGCAATAAGTATTCCTGTTGAAACAAGAACTATCCATGTGAAAATCATGATAATACCATGGGCTTTCATAAGATCAGTAGAACTAGGCCCATTGGATTGAGCATTGACAACAATTGTCTCTGCTCGATTCAACATGACACTTCGAGATAGTGCGTCGCGAAACGAATGTTTTTCAACTTGGCCTATCGATGACAGCTTTCAATAAGGTTATATTTTGATTTTTATAACTCACCTGAACTGCCTAAAGATCCAACTGCAATCAATGGATGATATGTACTTGTTTGGGAAAGTGGAGAAAAAGGAAGTTGACGAGATTGACTTGTTGTGTTATCAAAATTTGATAATGTAAAATCACAGTAGACAATTCCATCATCTAGTCTTTCTCGGCCCACATTAAGGACGCCACCCACATTTAGAGTTGCATCAGGTGGTCGTGGTCGCGTATATCCATCTGGATTGACATAACGTTGAAGAGATACTTTACCATCAGGTGAATGTTGACAGATGAAAACATGATCTTCTCCCTTAATTCATTGAAAAATACAGTTAAATATTCTCAGTTCAATCAAAATCTAACTTAGTACCATTTTCATATCTGACGAAAAGCCAATTGCCATCCATTGTGATGCTTTTAAATTAGCAATTTTCATGTTGATACTGGTAGTACCAGCATCATATGTCCAATCGACGTTTATTTCAACCTCGCCTGCTGGTGATGGCGTTGTATTACCTCCAGTACTAGGTGTAGTTGTCTATTGAATACAAAATATGTTTTAGAATATGAGAACCTCAAATCCGTTGCAGGAGTTAAAACAACTTACAATAATCTGCTCGAAATCGATCACTTCTGTTTGATTCAATGTAACGTTTTGAGGAAGAGCTATACGATAAGCATGTCTCATAAAATAATCTAGTGAAATAGAAGTAGAATTATGCAACTTGTCGATGCTGAACATCGAGTAACTCACTAGAGCCGTTCAAATTTCCAAGTGCAATCAATGGACTGTATTCAGTTGATTGAGAAAGTGCAGGAAAAGTAAGCTGATCGGATTGATCGGCTGCAGGGACAAAATCAGATAGTGTAAAATCACAATCAACAACTCCATTCTCCAGTCTTTCCCGACTAACAGCGAAAATACCACCCCAATCTGAAGTTCCGTTGTGTGGCACAGGTCGAGCATGACCGCCTGGATTAATATAACGCTGGAGAGATATTGTATCATTAGCTAAGCGTCGACAGATGAAGACATGATCTTCTCCCTACACAAGTAGAAAATACAGTTGACTACACCACCAAGTTTAAAACAAAGAAGTTTGATCTATACCATTCTATGATCTCGTGAAAAACCAATTGCAAGCCACTGTAATGCTTTGAGATTATTGATTCTCATATTGATATTAGTAGTACCATTATTGTATGTCCAACTAATATTCGCTTTAATATCACTTGTCACGGGTAGAGTTGCGTTAGCCTATCGAATATGAAATAGATTGATTGTTTCTTTCGATACATAGTTTCGATTAAAAAAATGTCTATTCACTCTGCTTGACTCACTGCCGGTTTGTCAATGTCAATAATTTCTGGATTTTGTAGTTGATACGTTTTCGATGAAACAAATGTAAAATTGTGTTTGCCTATTAAATCTATTGCGAGACATGAAAAATTATTTTTTCACAATATTCAACTAATTCTCAAGAAATTCCACCTCCTGTGCGAAGAATTCCTGCAGCAAAGGTGAGATAATAATTTTTGTTTGTGACAACAGGCAATGGTTCATTTGCAACTTGTTCAGAAGTGGTATTGAAAGAGAATTCACACGTTGCTTGACCATTTTCATACGTAGTACTTATTATAGAAACATCTGCAACAGATGCACTCGGTCTGCAAATTAAAATCCAAACAACCGTCAATTTAAGAAACAAAATTTAACTCCTACGGTCGTTTACCACCCAATGTATGCATTCGCTGAAGTAATGGAGCGCCTGTTGATGAAACTTTACATACGAATATATACTCATTACCCTGATATAGATGAAAACAAATGAGAGTTATGTCAAAGTTTTCCTTGTCCTACCATTTCCCGATCGTCAGAAAAACCAATCGCTCTCCATTCACTAACATTGACTTGGTTGGTAGTCATTTTTACCATTACTGTATCATTAGTGTATGTCCATGATACGTTTGTATTTGCTTTCACGAAGGAATTTCGTTCGGATCCGCTTTGATTAGCTGAATCGCTCTAAAAACCAAAAGAATTCGATTTGTTCGAATCAATGTGTCTCCTAAATCTACTTGTGTTGTTGGTACTAATGTGATATTAAAGCAATCCACGTAAATTTCGTCATATGATTTAACAATAGTTGCCCTAAAATTGTCGATGTTCAATGGATTTCTCGTTGTAAAATCATATTTCATTTACTTAATAATAGTATCTCCTTGTAACAGAACGTTCGGGGCGTGCCATAATGCTTCGACTCGTAGTTTTTCATCGGCTGTTGTATGAGTGATAGCTGTATTCTGTTTGCCATCGCAATCGATTGTTTTAACTGGTGAATTCGTTGTTGACCATGTTCCAACAATTTGTTGATCAGGTTGATTTTTAGCCGTGAGAAGAATTCCTTTAAAATGATCGTTATCTGTTACACCATGGACAGTGACTACATAGAATATCGAAAAAGAACCTCAGTGAAATCACGTTTTCTCTTCATAGTTTTGTCCTTACTTCGAACAACATCATCAGGATAATATACAGATTTATCCGTTTCGATAATATACTTTGTTTGACATTGTTTCGGTGCTACATGATGATTTGGCATCATCGTGTCACATATCTCAGTAGGTGCACCTTCGGGATATCCGTATCCATAATTGATGCAGATTAAAACAAGAAGAAATCGAATCATCTGAAAAAGTGATATTAATTTGGTTTGTATGAATTAAAATAGCTTTTCTTATCTTGCCTATTATTTTTTTTTACTAGTCATCGCATGACAAAGCAAATTCTTGGTTGTGCTCTGTCAACACTTTACTTTCATCGATATCAAGTCATATCTGATATGCATTTTTTTAATTTTCTTTCGTTTTTGACAAATCGCTTCATAAATGTAAAACGAGCCGTTTCGTATACACATATTTTGGAATATTACACTACGCGCATGCAATACATACTTAGTCGTTGTTCGGTATAATGGATGACATATGCATTGTTTTCGAAATCTCTTTTCGTTCTACAATCTATTCTTTTCTTTCTACTGCTTCATCTTTTCGATTTAAATGATAACTCGTCTATGTGATACACGCATTTAAATGATAAGTCATGACCTCCAAATAGATAAATATACGTACACATAGTTACCAGTACAAAGTAATCGTTGACTGCACCTAGCATATGCGTATATCATTGACAAATCAAAATGTATTTATTCATGGCCAAGCGTTTATTCATCATCTCATTTTCTTTCGAAGGTCTTTTCTCTTTTATCATGTGATGACAAAGAAAAAGTCTCGGCTCATATATTCACATCATCAACAACAACAGCACGATCAGCAAAAAGGATTTCTAAATATTGACACAATAACACAAGAAACAGACAATTGCTAGACATTAAATCTAGGTTTCAATTCGTTCTCTCTTGTCAGACAACAACTAGATTAAGACAGGATCAAATAAAAATCAATTTTCGATTTATATTGAACTTAATTCGTTTCATCTTTACTTGAGAATAAAATCGTTTCAAACGATGTTTCATAGGTTTCTACACTGATTTTCATCTCTATGGCTTGCCGAATTGCTTGCATAAACATTAACAAACTTTAAAATACATACTACATCAGAAAAAAACGTCTACGAATTTTTTTAACAGTCCGAGAGAATGACAATAACTGATTGGAATAAGCGGACAGAAAGAGAAGAAGAAAAATGGGCGGAGTTTAGCTAAAACTCTATTTTCTTATTTACACTTAAATATGCATGAAAAAATTCTCACACATTCCTTTTAAGATATATTAAATTAACATTCTCTTCGTATTGATAATGAAAGTGCACACTAATAACGAAGCAAAATGTTCACTTTTTACTTGTCACTAAGAGTTACGGTACGTACTGATCATCTTTCACTGACAATATACGGTTGTTCGGTACTTCAGTTCCTCTTTGAAAAACAATGAACGCGAATCATCGACGAATAAAAGATGGGGTGATTAGGATAGCAGCTCGATCTAATGAAACTTGTGTCGTATCGCAGATTGGCCCGACACGAAAGGCTAAAATCCAAAGTCTACGATCTCATTCGCCAACATTGGAATGCTTAACAGTCGTACGAACGAAGCTTAATGAATATCTTAAATCCACTGTCAATATTATTCCAACAGATCACATATCAAAGCCTGTGACGCCCGAAGAATCACGTTCTTCGGATCCTGATTTGTACACACCACCGGTTGCATCACCAAAGCTGGTGAAATCGCAGAAATCTCTTACCATCCAGCCAACAGATAAAATCACCTATGAAGCAAAACAAACACGTAATGGTGACGTGAAACAAAAGTGTTCCGTGGAAATTTGGTTGCCCCATGCTTACAGTGATATTGATGACGATGCTCCAAACACAACTGGAACATTATCCCCTGTTTCAAACATCAGTAATCGAGTATTTTATCAATCAGGAATACATGAAAGGCCATTACTCACTGCGTACAGTGATACAAAATCGGAGAATGCATTATCGTCGAACAATTCGGAAACGGTTGTTACATCCTACGTTCCTTGTGTAAAGGATATTCATGATGACAGATCGAAAGAACGAATACGTTCAAGTAAAACAGTCCGAATGAATAAATCTTTTCGTATCAAGCGTTCACGCCATCGACGATTGTCCCAAGATACGCATCAATCGACAACAACAGGAATATCTCAATCATCGAAAATCGCACATCCGGATGTCGATCAAATATTTTATGTACAGAGAATGAAAGAAAATCTTAGTTCAAATACTAACACAACAATAAATGATCCGTTGAACAGATCTCCGCGAGGACAAGCAAATCAACGAATGATACGAACAAAAAAGCCGGTTGAACATGTACGCCATTCATCAGGAAATAATGCGCATATAACCAGAGGTAGATATTGCATGAAGACACTTTTTTCGACCGCTTTGTATCTATTTTAGAATTGAGAGCTCGTCAAACAGTTGCCTTCCGAATCATTCTCGGTAATACACTACCATTGCGATCTGCTGGTGAATATAATATTATGGATCCGAAATTACTCAATTGTTGCTCATCAAATTCAGAAACTTTACCAACAACGACACATTATGGTTCTAAACTCAACAATCATCGAGTATCCACTTTACCTACGATACAAACCAGAAAGATCGATGACTCCTTTCGAAATGTGGATAATACAAAGTCTCCTTCACGTTTAATTATACATCCTAATCGTGCCAACAATGCTCCAAACTCAATGACATTATCTCAAAACCTCATGAATGGGAATGATCATCATCATCCCAAACGATCCTTGCCATTGCCATTATTACTTGTTCATCCTGAACAACGACGACACTCGATTGTATCCACAAATAGACAACCTATTCATTTTAAGTATAGTAAAGGTGATAATACCAATTGTACTTATCTTACACCAAAATGAAATATTTTGTTTCTTTGCATAATATACATAATTGATCATATTCTAGTTTTTACTGTCATCATGAATATCTTTAGCGACCACTTTGGTTATACATTCTAGAACACCGAGAAAAGTAGTTTTTGATTCAGTGTAAAAGACAATACTCGCATACTTGAGCATTATTTTGATTGAGTGCATTTGCAACGAAGATTCAGACATCTAGACAAGAATATAAATCTCATAAGGCAGAAATCAGTGTTGAAAACCAATGGTATAAACGATCTGTTTCATTCTGTTTTCGTTTCTGTACGACCGGTACGCTGTAATTGACGATGATCGCAGTTTTACACGAACTGCGCAGTATCGCTCGCACATTTCATCTGCATTCAAGTTGAACGATCCAACAAGTGCTGAGGACCCACGATAAAACTCCAACTGTCATAGAAATACTTAGTTTATTCAATGGTATATTTATTTTCAAGTTCTGTCGTACAACTTTGCCTATCAAAAGATGTATTGAAGACATGTATATGAATGATGTTTGAACACACACAGCAATATTCAACACGATTGTTCCTATTTTTATTAGCGTTTTGCTCTTTCAATCATTTTTAATGTCTACATGTGAATAATCACAAAAACATAACAAATAACACATTTTGTTTTGATTCTATAACAAGAAAAGAATTATATACAGGTTCATGTACCATAGATGAAACAAGAAACGAAAGACGTGTAGTTGAATAAAACAACGATATGAATTAATTCGTTGTTTTACGTTGACGTTTAGTCGTTGTTGAATGAGTTACTATTGTGTGTCGTCGAAGATTCTTCGAGGATGGATTATGATTGTTTTCATCGTAAGCCCATGGAGTAAGCGCGTCTTCCATTGACTTAAATGTTTAAGAATGAAATAATATTAGGTATATCCTAGAAATAATCTTACTGTGAATAATTCCATAGAATATTTTATCATATATTGAGCATGTTTATGGATGTCTAAATCTCGTTCATAAGCATAGAGAGCATTTGTAAACATCATTAAAATATCACGTTGAAATAGAAGCATATCATCGTCGTAATCGCCATTATTCAGACGTTCGCGTATTTCAGGTATATCTAATGGATTCTTAATTTGAGTATAGTATTCATCTGATAATTTGAAAGAATCAAGCGATTGAGCAAAATCATAACCATATCTAAAGAACATCATTGGGCTTCGTTTTAATCAGTGAATATAATTACTTAGCAGATTTTAAACAACTGAGAACTGCATTGATCGATTTACGGTTATGATTTTTTGTTAAGGTAGGCATCACTCTGAATTAAACAATTTCTGAGTTTTAGTATTGTTTTCATGGAAAATTTTCTTTACCGTGCTTGTCGACGTGAATTTCTTGATGTTGTCAGATCATTCGTTTCTTGCATTTCAGAATGTGATGATGTCATATAATTATCAATATAGTTCGACGAACTTTTGAGAATATTACCATTCGAGACAGGCGTTTCATCCATTTGAACGAGATCGTTATCAGCACGATCTCGTTCTGAAATTGCCGGTGTCATTTCGTTTCGAATCAGATGTTGACTATGATTTTGTACTGATGAATGATAACTCGTTGCACTACCATCTCCATTAAGGTTAGAATTTGATAATTGTCGTTGCTCGCTAATTGTAAGAAAAATCAAGTTGGTTAGTTTTTTGCACAATGCGAACATCGAGATCCAATTAAATTACCCGTTTGTTAATTGTTCTTGTGCTGACAGGCAAGTGTCCACAGTTGATTGATTACTCAGACTCGTGTCACTGACGTGTTCATAAAAATCTTGTTCATTCGAATTGGAAGTTTCCGATGTTATTGGTAACGCATTTGCTGATTGATTTGTATCTGTTAGTTCGTCGGAAATTAGTGTTGATTCTTCTTGATCTTGACCTATATCCGCACGTACCGGCTGTTCATTAGTGTCATCATCAGAACTAAGTTCAATTTCTTCGATATGAACTGTAGTTGTTTGGTTTTTTGCTATAAACGGTCGATCGTTTTCAATCAACAGATTATTTGATTGAATTATGATGGGAAATGACGATAATTCCGGTGGATTTAGTTTTGGATGAGCATCAAGCGAAGGTACTTGACGATCATTCGCATTTGGTGGCGAAATTGTTTGTGTTTGCGGTATGAAATTTACTTGTGTTTGGAAGAACGGTGGTGGTGGCAACAATTCAACCGGAAATGATGAGTTCTAGTTTAGAAAATCAAATTTTGTTATATGAGATAAGTCGAAATCAACAGGTTACTCGTAGATCTGTTGGCAGATCGTTTTGCTTGGTCATATAGGATTTGAGACGGCCAAGCATTTTAATTTTGAGTTCTCGTTCATCGTCGTGAAAACTATCTCCAGACGGCGCACTAAGAGGAAAATATGTTGTGTGGTGTATGAGCAAACGATTAAGACAAATATGTTCGTACGTATTTTTAATATCTTGTAAGATATCATTGATATCCTTTGAAGTGATTCGACCAATTTTAAATAGTCGTATAAAGTCATAGGTAACCATGAGTAAATCGCGTGATTCTGTCATTCGATTGCAGAGATCACCATAATAAAGACGTTTGATGATTGTAAAAATATAACTTTGTAGCGATTCTGATGATTGTTGGTTCCTGAAGAGAAGAATTCGACAATTCAAAACTGCAATACTGTTCGTAGATACTTTGTTAATCACTCACCAATCATGTCCGTATTGTTGGTACAAGCAATCGAATTGCATTTGACAATCCTACGACGAGAAACTAAATTCCGCCACCGTGTGCAACAGTATGCTCTTTACTTGTGGCGTCGTGTTGATATAATCCGCCAGATCATTGGCTATTGAATTCCATGCTTCAAAATGCGATGCATATTTACAAACTGTGAAAGCAAGCATATAATTGGATTTTAAATCCCATATATGGGCAGTCATCTGTAAAGAAAACAGAAACTTTGCTTTTCATCCATAAGACTTTTGCTTCGTGAAATAAAAAGGTTTTTCATGCACAGTAGAATCAATCTTAATAGAATGTTTATTTATATTTAATTCTATCAGTAGCAACATAAAATTCTTTTTCGAGCTGCCGTGTCGATGGATTGATAGGAGAGAATCCAATTGGTCCACGTTCACAATTAGCACAAACAAGATATTTAGTTTGATTGTTAACTGTATTAGAAAAGCCAACGTTTTCAAATGTGAACATGTCCGATACTAACCAAAATAATTCTAATGAATCACATGGATGATCACTTCCGTTAATAGATAAACGATTCGTGTCGGCGTCTGTTGAAGAGTTTTTATCGACACGCATTTGAGGCAATAATGTTGGGTTTTTTGTTAAAGTGGCTGTTTGCGGACGAAGGATAATGTCATCACAGAATGAACACACAATTGTTTGAGTATTTCGATCACCAATCGCTGGTAAATTCTCCATGGAAAGAAACAAGATCGTCTAATATTCCTCAAGATATTCTCTTGTTCTACAATCTATAAAAAGAAGATTTGTTGGGTATTTATTTGTCGTTTGTTCATTGCAAGGAAGAAAATTTGCATCTGAGTTGAATACTCTACAAGTTAAGAAACACAAACAGAAGGTTTATACACACACACACACACATAAAACATAAGAATTACTATTCGAATATGGAAGGAAGAATGACAAGTTTTGAAGTGAACATTTACTCAAGCATATCAAGCAAAGTAAAAACATCGACACGAGAACATTGTGGTGACTGATAACGAATTGTATTTTCGATTCCACCGTGGAAAGTAAAAATATTTATGCCAGTTGATTTTGTGCGTATCATACATTCGATGCGTTCATTCGTTGGCATAAGATCATTAAATGTATCTGCGTTATGATGAACTGATCGATGTGGAAGATCATCTTCTACGTAGGAGAACGATTTTGCAGGAGAAGGTGCTTGGAGGATAACTAATTCATCATGTTTGAGATGTAGATCTTTCAGATCAGTCGATAGAGAAAGGTCATCACTTGTCAATATCGGACAGATTGGTTTACTATTTGAATTTACTTGACCTAAAGCACGACGCCGTTGAAGCGATGCAGGTGTCGAAAACTTCGTTGTTCTATTCGAACGTATTGGCGTCATCATTGGCGTGACATGCATTGATAAATCAGTAGTATTCGTTTTACTAGTGAATGCAATGTGTTTGATGGTATTTGAATAGAACATACGGTCATTCATTGTTGCTGCTGATAAGGCACTGGTACGCTCTAAAAAAACAGACTGACATCGGACTGCATTCGTGTAGGCTGTTTATATTACTTGGCGTTTTAAACAGATAAAGATCACACTCGTTCTCTTTACTACGTAAAACTGTTGTCATTCTTCTTATAGAATCAGAAGATCTGGAAAGAAAACACGATACATCAGTATGATTTATTAGATTTCATATGCGTCACGACAGACAACAAAATGATCGATTTGTTTCGTTGTTCATTCGGACAACAAGTGACTATACACGAGCACATCTTGCAAAGAAATGAAAAACGAAAAACAAACAAAAAACGCATGTATATGAAATTATCCAATGAAAAGAAGAAAACAAAAGAACCAACGAGGGATCGTCTATCTACTCGCTCGTGTAGATGGCGATTCTAATGTAGTTTCTGAGTTACGTGTTCAAACAAGCCGAACTATTATTTTAAACTTATCAAGAAAAAAAGAAACTATTGATATCGATAAATGAACAAAATATAATTCAGCAGTCACATTTGTGTCATAAATAAATGTACCTGACATATATGATATCACAGCTGGAATATCTTAATTAGAAGGAGCAGTATCAGATGAATTTTTCTTAGAACTCGGCGCACTAGATGCTTGCGCGGGTGAGCCACATGAAGTGTCGAAGAGAGCATGAGTTTTCTGTTGGTCTTTACTAGCTAGACCTACAATTGTCTTTAGAGCAACTTCAAGTAAAGATTTTGCACCTAAATAATTTGCTACCTGAAATTAAAAGAAGAAAAGTAAGTTCGTATGGGTTGTGGAACAAGAAGCAAGTTACCGTAATAATTTCAAACAATGTTCCGTCTGCAACGGTAAATTGCTTCATAAAGTTCAAATTCCACTCACTGGTACTATCGAACCTAGACGAGAACAAATACAATCATATTATGACTTGTGATTACCAATTTGCAACAAAAGATTCTTGTACTTTTTCTGTTCGTTTGCATTCCCATTGGTACCATTGTCGTTTCCAATTGCTGGCGCTTGAGATTCATTTTTATGGTGATTATAAAATTCAATAACCTAGCAAAAACATGTGCATACGTTTGAAAACAAATCAGTCGATTAGATTCTTCGCTTACTTGCTCCAACATTGTTGCACTGACTGCTATCAATGGGATAGGAGCATCACCTGTATTTGATGCTGAGAGATATTTTTAAAAAATGAAGAATATACATATCTTTCATCATATTAAGTTACTTTGGCGTAATTCTTTCACAGTTGATAGTTGTTCAATAACATTCTCATCAACTTGAAAGATTTGATCATCGCTTGCTTTAAGTTTGTATATTCGTAAAGGTGTGCTCTGTGTCTCATCAGCAGTTGCCATTTTGAAATAACCTAAGAGGAAGAAATAAATCAAATAGTTTTTTTTTAATCGAATTCTCTCGTGTTCATCAAAATAACAGGCAATGGATAATTTTAAACAGTTGATAAAACAAATTAGTTTATTATTATTTTTGTAATAAAGCAAAAATGTTGGTAATTGATACATCTGGATAGAAGGACTTCTATCGCGAATAATAAAGAACCGTTTTTCTTTGAATCATAGATGTCCTTACAATATGAAAATAATTACGTATCGATTAAAATGGTAAAAATGAAAGAAAATCAATCGAAATATCCGTTTTTAATAAGCTGTCTATGAAATGGTGCACCGGCTTTTCTTCTTAGTGAACCGCTGTGCTAATCGTTGCATTGGTTCAAGATAGTAGTTTCGCATCCAGGACATCTTGTATGTCATTATTTTGTTCACTCGACGAGTTTGCCCAGCAACAACAATCGAACGTGCAGCTACTATCTGGCTGCTGACTTGGCTGATTTCATAGAACTCGTTCGATGAATTGCCACTAAGTGCATCACTTTGGAAAAACACTTTGTTATTGAATACGTCCGGACTGAGAGCATAACATAAGGCGAACAGCTCTTGTTGTTCATCAGTTGATAAATTGTACCATTTGGAATAATCTGTAAAGCGACGAATCTCAGGTTCGTTATTACAATCAATCGTTGTACAGACACATTGCAGGTAATACATCATTTTTGCAATGTCATTGTCGGGCACATTTGCAGTTTGACCTGTTCGTTCAAAGCCAATTTGGTGTCGACCGATACTAACAGCCATTATGGAATAGATATTAGTAAGAAGGTTGGTTGAGGCTTTTTGGTAAACAGCGACGAAAACATCAACCTTTTATACCATTTGCGCTGTTTATTGACAAGGAAGTATGATTTGATTACGGTATGACGGTCATACTCGAATACGTTGGTGAATTCTTGAGATTTAAGTGCTCGAAATGCTATTTAAGTTTGCATGTTGGAAATTTTGAAGAAAAAAACGTGCCGCCGATTTCCTAGGTGTTAGTCAAAAATAACATGACAGTGTTGTTCTACTTCCTCGGAAGTTGAAGTTACGGCAAGGAATTATTCGTATCGAACGATTTTATTCAAATAGACTTTTCTTCGTACATTGTGTCATATAGAAGAGCGTATTGCAAAAAAAATTAGCAGAAAAACTCTCAAATAGGATAATTCACAAGGTTTAGTTCATTTATGAAATTGTACAATCGGCGTCTTGTAAAGCGAGCACTACACGTCGTTCACGATTGAATCGATTTGCTAGACGATTCATTGGATAAATGTAATTTGCTCTCATCCACGACATTTTGTAAGTCATGATGCTTGTTACTCGGCGAGTTCGACCAGCAATAAGAATGGATCCAACCACACCCAATCGATTTTGTACTTGGCTGATCTCAAAGAAATTGTTGCCTGATGAACCACACATGGCTTCGCTTTCGAAAAAAACTTTGTCTTCAAATTCATCTGGACTTAATAACCGACAAAGTTTATAAACAATTTCATCTTCCGCATCAGATAAAGCCCAATAGTTTTGATATCGCGTGTATCGTAGAATGTCTGCATCGCTACATTCTATAACTGAACAGACGCATTTTAAATAGTACATACACCGTGCGACATCATTATCAGGAACACTAGCTGTGACTCCTGTTTCTCGAATACCATAATCATTCTTTTGATACACGGCCATGTTTTCGTGCTGATATAGGATGAAAACCTTTGATAACTGATCTCGTTTTATATAGAACTTGTCGGAACTAGGGAAAAATCCAAAGTGACTATTTTGATATCAACATATTTACGAGGTACTTTAAAAAAGCTTATTAATAGAAATCGTATGCATTATTGTATGACATTCGGTTGCGAAATCTATTTATTTTACTGTCATTCAAAAAGTGTGTCGCGCGCCATGTGACCCTTAAACACTTCAATTTTTGTTGCATGTTGGAAGACTCCGACTTCGACGAAAATAACCTGCTGATAATTCAAACATTATCTAAAAATGTTTTTCAAAACCTACATCAATACTCATAAAAGCACGGATAAGCTGCCCAAATATATTATAATCTAAATGAGTATTGCGTCTTAGTCCATCTATAATTATGAAATTACTATTCGTTCTCTTCTCGATCAATGAAACAATTGAGCCAAACTATTTTCGATACAATATCCCTTGAATTGAAACTCATACCTCGCCGATCGAAAAAATGGAAAATAATACTCATCGATTCATCATTTGCTTCTTCCTATTTATTCTTCATGTTCGTTCGAATGATCTAGTTAACCTTAATGAGCATTTTCTAGCTACATATGCTCGCGCTCGCGATCATCTTCTTTCTCAAACAAGTCCGCTAATCATTTGTATTAGAGATAATATTATTATCCACTATCGTGGTAAACGGTACGAAGAACAAGTCATACCTAAATCGTATCATGACTTAAAAGCCATCTCACATATTCCATTTAAAATCTATTTGACAGTTATGTTCGATACCGTCGGTTTGTCTGAAGACAATTCCATTGAATTGCAACGTTATTTAGATAATATTCAAACGATTCGAAATATTCTTCAATTTCCACAAGATATTCTACAAAATCAATATGACATCATCGATCTATCGATAAGATACTTGAATACGATCTTATCGACGAAACTTGTTGATCGAAAGGAACTGAAGCAATTCTGCGAAGAAGCACATCGTTTATTTGCATTAAACATCGAATTAGCTGCACAGATGCATCTGGATTTACTCGATGAAAAAGTTCGAGTTTGGTATTATGAGCGTTTCAATGAAACAGAGCGTGATGCATTGAGAGTAACAATCATCGGACCGAAAACGGCAAGACATGGCTTTCTGGAAAAGACGTACTTTTACCATCTAATCGGTGAGAAACGTGAAGGCAAACATATTATATACGCTGAAAATGTTGAATCAGAAGAAAAAGCCTTAGAAGTTCTCGGTATATGGATGCTGGATGCCAAAGCTGCAGCAATGTTTTTCGAAGGTGATACAGAACGACTACATCGAGACCTGCTTTCCGATGCAACAGCGAAATACATCAAAGGATTATTCAAAAAATCAAAAATTGAGTTATAAAATCGTTTTTTTTTATCTCTCTACGAATTGAGTGATTGCATGAACCTTATGAGTTTAGATATTATTCCAATAAATGTGATGTTGATGTTAATCGAATATTTCTTGAAGTTTGTGTTGATAGAGATCATTCAATACGAAACAAGTCACTTTGAACAGATTCTTATTGAAAGAAAAACACAGGAAATAAACATTTTTTTAAATTTATTTCTTCTTTCGACGCATTCGACTAGCTTTTTCTTGTTGTAAACGTTCATAATCTTCACTATTCAAGTCCTTCAAATCGCCATGATCAATGAACTCTTGTTCATTCCAAACAGTTTCATGTGCACGTATCTTCGGTCTTCGTGCCAATCGTTTTGGTATATGATATTGTTCGAAATCGAAACGTTTCTTATATTCCTCCATGACACGTTCCTCTTCGTTACGTAAATGTGGATATTTTTGTATAACATTCGCAACAATTTCTCGAATACGATTAGTTTCTTGATGCTCTTGATGTTCTTGAAATTCATTGTAACGTCGTTTGAAGATATTTGTCCACGACTAAAGTATTCGAACTGTATTAATAAACAGAAAAGATTTATTAGATACGAACCGCTGCTCTACGTTTGCCCCATAATAGTTGATAGTAACGATTTTTATAGAATGGTAAAACACGTTCCTTTGGTTGATAATATCGTAGAAGGCCGAAACTTGTCTCACTGAAAAACAAACGTTTGACAATTAGTTTGATTTAATTTCATGTTTGATTGTTTATACCGAATCTGTGGAGTTAATTCGCCAGTTTTACCTGTTTCCAGTAGATTATACGCAATATCCCGCTCACGAACAACTGTCATTATATTGCGCATACTCTCCTCTACCTAGATTTATGCTAACATTTGTATTATGAAAGCAACGAATGAAGTTCTTTTACTTTATCAATACGCTCTGGACTTGGAAATAGTTCATATTGATAACGATATTCTTCTTCCATCGTTAATAAACGATTTCGTTCCTTGAGAAGCACATACCTAATCATCAAATAGTACATTTATCTTAACTTCATTCGTCTCTTACCAGAGTTTATGTAAATCCTCATTACTTTTCAAACGTAATTCATCCAAATACCACCAACGACCTAAATTTTCATTTGTCAACATGAGCGTTCAATAGAGAAACTTACCATGAATAACCTTTGTTTCACGCGTATTATCACTTGTGTCGAAAAATTCCATGAGATTGCTCTGTTTCGTCGGTGTCACCTTCGTGCTGACATCAGCGGCTGGTTCCTCTCTCGGTGGAACATCAGTGGTTTGCCAACGAATTTGTCTGAAATTTCCTAGCCATCCTTTTGCAGGAATAGCGGCAAATTTCTGTGAATGAACTGTCCACTTGATTAATTGGAATAGATTCATTTCATCTAAAACACAGTATTCTTTATTTTAGAAAGAACTATTGGAAAAACAAACAGAAGAACTGTACAAGTAAAGAATAGATTTTTTTCTAACAACAAAGAAGATTTGAATTAAAAGAAGAAAAACAAAACAGATTAAGTTATTATAAGTAGAAAAGTTTATTAGCAAGTCTTTCACTGAATTGTTGATGAAGACTTTGACCAACTAGAAATGCTAATTTATGCGCATATTGACAGACAGCTAGAAATATGAAAATCCTACTAACAAAACCATAATGTTGAGAATTAGCTTACCGGGTACTCGTATTGTTCCTGGCCAATTATAGTACAGATGGCATCTAAAGTGCAAAATTCAAATAGAGAAAGTATCTCTGATAGAAACTATTCTTACAATTTAAAAGTCAGTCGCTGCATGTGATCAACTTTAAAGTTCGTTCGATCCCAAATGACGCTAAACAAAAGTTTTAACGTTCATTTCAGCCGATGTACGAAGTCTATCATACTTGTAATGCGTCGGTGCTATTGTACCTTGTCGAGCACACTGAGAAATCAGATAGAAGTCATACCAGTCGGCCTGAAAAGAAACGAAACTTATGAGAGAGAAAAATTTTTCGTCCCTATGTTCAACTTACATTGGTAACGGTATGATCAATGACAGTTCCTGGTGGAGGATTCTGAACATTTCGACCATCTTGTTGAAAGAAACGTGTATTACCACGTTTTTTCACAACGACAACAGCAAGTTTAGGTTCATAACCTTCGCTTATCTTTGGAAATGTTTCAATTATTTGCCGTAATTCATGTTCAGCAACCACTGATAGTTGTCCGTCACCAACACCATCTCGATAAATAACAACTAAACCAAATTCAAACAAAAATCTTAACCATTCGCCAGAATCACATCAATGTAACATACTTTTCTCTGGTAAACAATCATTATTTCGATGATATTCTCTTAAGGCATCTAAACAAAGTTCAATCACATGCATTTTCATCGAATATTCGATTTAATTATTTCATTACCAGCCATACATCGAGTTAAACCATCTATTAATTCTTGTGCGGTACGTTGATATACAACTCGAGAATAGAATTTTGTTAATGACGGATTTGTCGACGCTACAAATGCTCCAACGGATGCACCACGACGTTTAGAATCTAAATAAACATGCGAACAACTCAACCTCATCTAGATGATAATTCTTCAAACGCAAAACTTTGATCATATGTGTATTTACCATGATATGAATCCATTCCAATAACCATAAGAGTTTTTGTTGGAATATGTACACCCCATATTTCCCCACCTAGTTTCGCATTGATCTGTATACCGATTTTCGTTGCCACTGACATGAGTTGATTGCGCCGTGTAGCTGCAATTGTTTTCGTAAGAACCATCTGAAAATAGGCAAAGTAGAAAATCACAAGTAGTCAAAAATGAAGAAGAAAACTCCTACTTGAGATGGTATTGGATTATCAAGACAAAGAAATTTCTTCAATGCATCGTAACGGTCTTTTCGACTATTAGTTAAAATACATAATACCAGATCAGTATTTTCTGGTGCAAAGTCTTGCAATGCTTGTAAGTAGTGTTCAGGTCGATCATTTTCTAATTGACGTCTAGAAAGTCTTATTTTCGTTTAACCATAAAGTTGACCAAATAACTTACAGTATCGGAAATTCCACGAGCATTCCTTTAGGAATATATGAAAAGTGTAGGCTTAGATAGGAAAAGTTTTTTGAGAGATATATCTACCAAACGATTGACAAACTTGGTGGAGTGCATCGATAAGTCGTCTTGCAACTTCTCCTTCTCTTGCCGGAAATACAGCAACCCATTGTCTAAGTGGTCTAGCACTAACATGGCGTACATTGCGACAATTACGACTCCAATCTACATATGAAACGATAAACAGAATGAAAACAATTCCTTTTTTTCTCATCCTACCAACATCGGTGTAATTATATCGGACAATATTCTATGAAAATTTGAAATGAATGCGAACATAATAGTATAGTACAGTAGAATTTACTTCACGATATAAGATCTCTTCAGCATCAACTACCCGGGCTTCGAACTTGATTAAATCATTGTCAAGTTTTATATTCCATTTAGATAATTCTTCCTGACAGTCAGGATTTCTAAAATTAAAAAGAAATAATCGAATCACATCGAGTCGAATCTCTAAATATATATATGTAGAATATCAATATTCCGTATTAGTACACAATCGACCTCATATAAAATTCATCTAAAGATGTCATTGCAGTCTGATGAGAATATTCGAAAAAGAAAACCTTTTCACATGGTACATACTGATCCAAGTCAGTAACAAATTGTCGGAGACGATCGTAACGAGAGACTGCATCGACATGTGTGTAACTCGACAATTCTCTCATAAAATGAAAATCAGATCGCATTACATCACTAATACCTAGTTAAAAAAGATCATTTCCATATTGATAAAATTCTCTCTTTTACCGGTAACACAGCATAATTCAGGAATCAGTAAAAATGGAGTTGTAACACCAGCTCGACGATCTCTCTTAGACGGTCTACTAACTAGTAAGGGCTGCGTATGATCAATGATATTCAGCTGATACTTCTGTAAGAGAAAAACAAATGTATTCGAGAAGTTAAAACCGATAGATAGTCAATGTACCTCACGATAATATTGTAAGAACGAATATTCTGTGCCGTCACGCATTGGAAACATCTGCATCGGAGAACGTTCCCATGCGATTTCGTCAATTTTATATGTTCTTGAATTGTATGTTGTCAAAACAATCTAATGGAAAAAGAAGGTATGCACAAGATTCGCAAATTTATTTCTTACCTGACCAACTAATTCTTTCGTCGCTGTGTCTTGTGCATATTTGACATCTTGATATTGACTGAATATATCTTGTAGACGTTGATGGACAGTAGTTTTATTTAAAATCTAAGAATGACAAGGAAATTTCGAACAAAGAAAGAAATAAAATAATGGGTGAACCTTATGAGATAAATCGACATTGATCATTAATGAACCTTCATAGATATTCACGTTAGTCATAAAGCCAGGAAATAACGTTAAATTGTATCGGTCTAAATCAACTTTACGATCGAATTGATAGTAATTTCGACCAACTAAATTCAAAATTCGAGAAAGACATTTTACTTAGTCAAAGGCAAAAGAGCAACGAACTTAATTTCATGCCAGTTAATTCGAGAAGTCTAGAAAAATAATCAATCATTCCATACATGGTTGAAACAATTGTTGACGTACTTTCGAACGATAAGATTTGCCATATGAAAAAACGCAGGTGAATTAGGCGAGTTTCGTGCTACTTTTCGTACAACAACTCGAACTTCGTCGGGCGTTGATGGGTGACGACAAGCAAAGTCTTGTGAATCGCCCAGATCATCGAAACTGTAGATTGTTGTACCATCAAATGCAACATCTTTAAATAAGGTCTAAAACCAATGAAATCCCATCGTGATGAAATAAGACGAGGAATGTAAAATTCATACACGATGTTGACTGATAATTTCGCGTCGGAAACGTCTGTTTTCTATGTCTGGCGTAAATTCTATATGGTATTGGAATAATTCCCATTCAGGTTTGGTTAGAACTTTTATATAATTTGCGATGATATTAATCGGATCACCCGATTCACCTTAATAAATGCAAGAATATCGATTCTGATCAAACAAGTGATTCCTACCTCGCTTTTCGCCGATCTGTGACCGATTTTCGGATACAGTCGAATACGGCATTGATCGACTACTTGATCGACCACTCCTGGTTGCGCCAACATGCATTGCTGCAAAGTCTGTTGTTACACTCTGAACGCCAGCACCTCGAGGTGCTCCTGCATCAAATCGTTATTAGCCGATTGTTGATCATTGGATCGTAATCATCATACCTGGCATGACTTTGGGTGGATTTCCACGACGAGGTTTTTCTGTACGAGATTGCTATATGAGCGAAAAAGAAGCAATCGAGAATTGTTCTTTTTTCTGCCAAACCTCTTCAGATGGTGTCTCTTCGAGGCTTGACCGTCGAGCATCACTGATGTCACTTTGTAGTGAAACAAAGGATGCTGTTTCAGATGCGGAATAATCTTGTAAGCCACTTGGTGCATCGGGCTCTTTTGGCTGAGTTGACCGCCCTCGGCCACGTCCTACATTGTAAATCAATGTGGTCGAAAGAAAATAAGAAGAAATCTGGCATACCTCGTCCTTTACCAATAGAAGACATTACGGTGATGAGTTACGAACAGTGGAATGAGCTACAATACGACAGAGAATATTACGATCCTTGTAATTATTTCCTAATCATGTTCTCAATAATCGAATGCATTGCTCAGCTGTCATGTATCGAATAATAATTAGACATGTGTTTTTCTCTCTGCATATATTGTTAAAATAACTGCTCAGTGATCTTTATTTCACATATACTTGGCCGTCAACATTTTACTCAGGGAATACGGCAGACTTGAACAAAGATTAATTAGGATGTTACACGATTTATTTTCTAGTAGCCATTACAATCCGTATTCTACTACAAAAAATAGGTCACGGTGAAAAATATTGAAAGTCCATCTTGATTATAATGTAATGTGAGTATCAAATTGTACTGAACAAGATAGTAAACAGACAACAGTATGTATTCTGATAACATATAATACGAGGTCGAGTCATGAGTCTCGCACAATAGGGATTATCATAGTCGAAACAACACGCATGAGAAGTATAGAGAAAAAGAAAAAGAAATTGCTAAAAAACGTGCGGGTATGTTGTGGTTGAAAAGAGACGAACAGAAATTGTTTGTCAATCGTTCATGTGCATAGATGTATACATATATTCATGAATGTACGTTTGAATCGCACGGATGACCTCGCTTCGTGTAAATTATCTATTGTCTATGTGAGTATCAAAGTAGGAAAGAGAGATACCTACATTATCATTGTCATAGTCGTGCGAATAAGTCAAGTATGATCGGGCTTGTTTTTGTCAGTCGCAAAATAGAAAATATATGCAAAAGAAAATTTGTGTTATTTAAGGATATCTAACATGCATTTACTAAGACTAAAATTGAACAAATTAGGTCATAGTTGCATACTTCTACATGAGTTCATGTTCTTTGAGTATACGAAGTTCTTAAATATCATTGTGAAGAATTCTGGTCAACATAAATTCACATTGAAGGTGATTATCGTATGGTATCTAACGGCTTCGTATACGTTGACCAATAAGATATCTTTTGGTTCGATACACCAATAAAAAGTAACATGGATACCTCGCTGTAATAAAATATGATACAGTGAACAGAACAGGTCAAGGTTTCTTAATTTAAATACTCTTACCTTTTTCAATCTACTGTGCCATTTTATTTGGCATTATCTCAAAACATATCACTTAGGTATAGGTATGTCATACAAACTGTACAGAACATTCGTATTATTTTTTATTTAATGTATCAATTTACGAAATAACTGAAATATCTATTTCATTGAATTTCCTCCCATCTCAGTATTAAACATCGAGTAGTAAACAAGAAGCGTGATAGAAAATAATGAGCAACTTATTCACTGATTGACATACCCTATTTTCTATAAACTGTAGGTCATTTATTCTTAAATAAACTTATTCAAAGACGAATTGACATGACATTTAGAGTATTAAAGTATAGCGCTTGTTTGATCGACAGGTAACACTGCTAGGTGACTTATTTAACATCTAGATACATTTGCAGAATTTTATCTAATCGACATATTTGCTACGATACGTATTTATCATGAAAACAATGGTATCTAATCAGATGTGAGAATCAATGCAATTGACTCGACCTATGTGTTCGCCTTGTCGAATGTTTACCTTCTCTCTCTCTCACTATTGTATTATGTGTAATCACTTTGATACAAGTGGTGTTCAACATAGGAGAGGATGCGATTTCCAATGCGCAAATAACACAAGGCACATTCATGCTAAAAGACATATATAGATGCTTTCACTGGTCGTCACACATGCATTGTTCAGTGCTGCGTAGAATTGTAGAATGAACAGACGAGAGGCAACATTTTTTTTTGATATTTCATTTGGTCTTAGGAGAAAAGAGTTAGTGGTTTGATGAAGATCGTTGCTTTTTGCTCTGCATGTGTTCGCTTGTGACAAAATTGGGGCGCAACCATTCTAAGCAAGACATAGTATAAACATATGGAATAAGAAATTGATTCAATCATTTATGATGTCCGACGAGATACAAGTCAATGAAAATAGATTCGTTAGCACATAAAAAGTACCTTCGAATAAATCGTCCTCAGGCGCAATTTGTCTTTCAATTCGACACGAAAGGAAATATGGTAAAAGACAATGATATCTAGCAAGTTTTTTTTGTCGAAATTGAGTACAGAAATATTGGTCGTTTCTCTTTTTAGTTTTCAGGTTACTTTTTTTTCATATTTCCACATAAAAATGTACATTGTAATGAAGCGACGAACAGGAACAAGAAAGAAACGAAAATACAAAAACAAAACAAAGATATTCATAGAAGAGTTTCTTCACTGTCTTGTAAATAGCATACGAAACGAAAAGAAATTCATTTATATTATTAGAAGAGGGAGAAAGACATGAAAGATAAATTCAAATCGATAGGAATGTACGTGTGAGTTTGCACCGAGTTTATGTCAATGAAGAATACGTATGTGTGGATGTATCGAACAGAACTATGTCATGAAACTTCAGCATTAAAGCGTCGGTGAATGGAGACGGGTGTTTTGGGCACACCGAAATGTATCGATAGACCAAGTAGGTCGTCATGATGTGTTCGAATGAGACACGGCTCGGACTGTGAACGTTGTAGACGTGGAAATACACATTCGAATTTCGATAATGTATCGTTGATCTAAATGAAAAATGAATCCGTAGTATGAGAAAACAACTAGGATGACAAAAAGGTCGTACATCTGGAGCGAAATTCGGTCGTTTTTCGCGGTCATATTCTGTACACTGTCGTATAAGGTTAGTGATTGTTGCTGGTGTATCGTCACGACACTGTTCAACTTTTAATTTTAAACGACCTTTCCCTACCAGCCACATTATCTAAATGAAATTCCATATGAATACAGAATTCATACTGAATGCCAAAAGCTTGTCTAACCTGCTCTTTATTACTTAATGGCGTATGTGGCAATTTTCCACTGAACATTTCAAAGAGCACACAGCCATAAGCGTATATATCAGCACCTGGTGAATAACAATTCGGATCCTTTTGTTGAATAACTTCTGGCGCCTAATGTGAAAAGAAGAAGATCGTTAATATCAAGAAAAAGGACCGGATGAAGGTGGTGTGAGTTTACCATCCAAAGAACTGAACCAGTGGGTTGAAATTGTTGATTAACACCTTCAGCTAGAACAGTTTTGACTGCTGCTAAGCCGAAATCGCCAATTTTCACACGCCAAGAAACACCGACATCTTCGGTTTCAGCGCACATATCCAAAAAGACATTACTCGATTTGAGATCTCGATGGATTATTCCACGATCATGCAAATATCTAATGACATCAATGAATATGCAATCTATTGAAAACTTTTCATCAAACTTACGACATTCCTTGACATAACTGTCGTGCTATATCAATTAATTGCGTGATTTTCCAATGACGATCCAGTATATGAATATGTTTATAGAGCGTTGAACCCTACATACATATGTCTTCTGACTTCAACGTACTTTTGTTTAATCAAATTTTTACCTCGCACCATTGCGTGACAATTGCAAAACGAGGTGACAGCATATATCCTAGGAAGTTCAATGTATTTTGATGTGTGATTTTCCTAAGTACATCAAATAAGAAGACAGCTGCTTTTCCTGAATGTTTTATTAAATATACTTGAGAGCAATCACTTCATTTCGAAACGCTTGATATTGACTAGGTGTTGGTGATATAAAATTCAATTCTTTTAGTGCGACTAGACCTAGAAGAAAAAGAATTCTTTGTCGACGACAGAACGATATTTGCAATTCAGCATACCATGTAATCGAACTTCCGCTTTATATACACTACCATAGGTGCCACGACCGACCATTCGACCACGATTGAGCAAGTCTTCAGGTCGAATTTCCCATTCGCTTAGTTTCTATTTGACAAAAACAAACAAACGAAGTTCAGTGAACTGTTTCGACGAAGAACAAAATCGATTGAAACATACATGTGACGATTTTTTGACGTCAGAAATTCCATCACTTGATGGTCTCGTTAGGCTGGGTCGAAGATTTTCCGGACTGGTAATAATTGATCCATTGACAGCTGAAATTAAATAAGAGATAAATGAATTATCTTGACAAGAATTCATTGGTACATCCCGCGACATAGGAGAAAAGCGATGATAAATGATATTTTCCATAGAAGTGCTAAGCATGTCATAATGTGTCAAGATAATTGGAAAATATCTTACTCAACAATAATGGAGACGTGCGACGAATGTATAATGATAATGACGACGATGAAGATTCGGATGAAACACTGTGTAAATCCTGACTAATATCTTTTTGCGGATCTGTCAAAAGAATATTAGAATAATCTGATTCATAGCTTCATACGAATATTGACTTAATATGCAAGTCATGGGGAAAATAAATAAATGTCTGATATCCCTCATTGAAATCAAAGCCAGAAAAAAAAACAAATCGAAGCTAATAGAAAAATGTTATCCGATCCACCTACATCACGTACGCAGAACAACCAATGAAAGAATTAAAAATAGAATGTAGACAGGGGCAAAAGAACAAAACACGTTCAAACGGAAAGTCAGGCTTTTTTACTTACCAACTGCATGATTTGCACTGATGTCAACTCTCTTTAAAAAAAAGAAACACATAACAAGAATTGAACGTTATTTTGAGAGAAGACAACTCGACATACCGATACTGGAATTCGCGGTAGACTCCGTGATTGTTCTTTAGTTCGAGTTTGTGTTATCGTGCGTTCAACATCTAATCGATTTGGACTACGATGTTGAATATGGCTAAAGAAAACAGATCGTTAAACTACTTTGTTACTTTGAAGAATGAAGCATGTCTTTCTACACAAAACATCAGACAACACGTACTCAATGATCGGTTGTGAACATACTGGTACTTTGATATGACAATGATTGTGATAATGATTCTTACATAGAACACAATGTTTATGACTCTCGTGAATACGATGGTGGCAAACAGCACAACGAACACGAACAAAAGAGAAACGAGATGTTGATATCGTTTCCTAGACAGAAAGAGACACAACATAGACAAACATCGAAAGCACATGACGTGTAAGCAAAACATTGAGATATAAAGTACCGAAAAAAGATATCTCCAGATTCGAAACGACATAAATGAGATTTACGAATGCATCGAGCATGTATGCGATGACCGCATACAAGACAACGTAGTCCTTGAAATAACAATTTATGACACGCGTCACAATATGTTAATGCGAAAAATGTTTTGCGAATCTATGACAAAACAAAGAAGTTTTTTCGTTGTCGTTTGTTCTAATCGAATCGATCAACGACTCGACTTTCTACTTACAAATGAGTGATCAAGTTTCGTTTTCTCTTCAAGTTCGATTTCAGTTTCTAGTACTCGATCGAGTGTTATATCCCATGGACACGGTTGTCTGTAAATAAACAAATCAATTTCAATGCTATTCACCAGATTAGATATCTATTACCTTGATATCATATAAACAGGTGTATAGGCTCTTAGATTTGTTACTGAATGTCGGAGAGCACGTGATTCAAGTGCAATTTCAAGTGTTTCATCATTACGTGGCGCAAACTAGAAGATAGAGAGAATGATATTTCGACGAAGTTCATTCGTAATTAACTTACGGCTGTTGTATGCTTATTTGGAAAGTGAACACGTATGAAATTACTTGGCGTCATGCTTGGACTGCGTGATCGTTGACTAAAATAACTTGCCGAATAAGGGGATACATGTGTTGATATTGGTGGTGTCAAAGGATAATAATGATAAGTTGTTTGTTGATCATTGTTTGGCGTGGAATAATCGTGGATGTAGATATCTTTCGAATTCAGTTGATTAGGTGAGAAAGATATTTTCGGTTGTTGAGGAGATTTGTCTAATGGAGAATATTGAGATTGATTCGAATAGTGGCTATTTTCCAATGGGACATCATTGATGGGTGAAGACGACGGAAATACTGGAGAATTGTTTTGATGTTCAACTTCACGAAGATATTCGGTTAGACTATCACGAGCTTTCGTTAGAATTTCGATTCGATCAGTTAAACGTTGAAATTCCTGGGATAAAGACAGTCGAACTTAGTTTGAGCAAGTTCTTTTTAACTTACTTGCATATAAAATGGTGGTCGGGTTTCTCGGAAGGCTAAATTATAATTATTCACATCTGCCGTAAGATGTTTCAACATTTTCATAAGATCGTCCAAGATCTGTTGACATTTGTGCGGATCCATATCACGTTTGCCTTCATCGACTTTATCGAAAATCATTCGACGAAAACTATCTTCTTGATTATTTACTGGTGACGCAGAACGAGGCGGTGTCGATGATGTTGATGAACAAGATTTATGATGCAGCGGCTTGTATGCATCCATTGAAACTGTACTGCTGTTGCCGCTTGTCATACGATTTGCTTGTAGAACCATAGCCATGTAAAAACGAAAATAAGACGATTATCTCTCGATTACAATTCACAATGTCTAGAGAAGATAGCAATAGGTATATATGCTTCAAAGAATACTTCAATGACGTTAGGTTTACCTTTATATCGAGATTGTTATTCATGATGTCATTTGAGAACGGAGTATATTTACATATGTCTATATATCTGCAATGAAATTTCGAAAAAGTGGGAAGTTAGTACGACTAAGATTAACTTACACGTATATCTAGGTATGTTATGATAATATTTAAAACCTTTGTTAATATATATATTTTTTTTTCTTTTTTTTTCTTGTGTTGTCTCTCTATCGCGTTTTTCTCTGTCGCTCTTTTTTTTTCTTCTTTTTTTTCGTGTTCTCCTTTGTCTCGTTTTATTTTTGAGTGATAGAATATATACGTGTGAAAGAAAATAAAAAGCAAAGAAAAAGACCTAGAATATATGCAGATGTTTAAAATAAATTCCGTGCATATCTTTCAAGTGTTAAGAGACAAAGAAGGGAGAAGAGAGCAAAAAGGAACAAAAGAAGAAGAAAAAAAGAATGGAACACGGAAAAATAGAAAACAGCCGTTCTGATGAAGATCGATGAAGCGAACTTCCTCACGAACTACTGTCGACGTTATTTCCTTCCGTTCTTCTTCCTGAAATATCCGAAAAGGTGTATGATGGGTAATAGTAGTAGTAGTAGTAGTAGTAGATAATAACACTCTGACAGCTTTTTATTTCAAAATCTATCTCGTACGAATCTCCTTCATTTCTTTTTTCTTATCAGACAAATGAAAACATTGACATGACAATCATACAGCAATAACTCGACATTTTTTCAAATAAACATCTAGATATAGACAGTCTAACTGTAATGATGTTTTGTGCGAAAGAAATAGTATTCTGACAAAAATGACGAATACTTGTTAGTTACTCATATATTTTCAATAACAAACATACGCTCCTTTTTTTCAGTAGTGTATTTATTCAACCTTGTTTTTCGTTCTTTTCTCAAGATCTAATTTCAATTAAATGAATAACATTTGAATTAGAAAAAGAGAAAGGCAGAGAGAAAGAGAGAGAGATAAACAAATATTCACATACGTCTGATCAGTTGGATTGTTACAATTGCATTTTCTAACAAAATAACTAAGTACAATGTCTTTTTCATCGACTGTCGCACACCCGTTTGTTTTCTCTCGTTTTCCTGAAACAATTAGTAGTAACTTAGTATGTTTCGTTCTTCACAACACGCACGACAACGACAATTTTTCTATGTCTTTTTCTTTTTGTTGCTTCATACTCTGTCATTTCTCTTCCTCGCTTTTTTTTTTCTTCTTCTTTTTCTCTTCTTCTTGTTCTTAATTGCATAACTCCCTCGCCATCCGGATGACGACAGCTACATGTAGTATAGAACCTTGAACAGCTCGAGGGTCGAGCAACAGCAACCATCCAGGCCTCTGTGTATTGATGCCGTTGCATACAAAAAAAACACAGAACAGAACAAGAAAGAAAATACGTAGTACGTGGACACTGTTGTTGTTATTTTGCTACTTGATCAAGCTAATGATGCGCGTATTAGAGATAGGGAACCCCTTGGAGAGTACCTGGATATACAAAGCAGTCGATTTTCTTGACATATAGAACGAAAAAGAAAAATCCAGGGAAACAGACGATTGTTGTAGTAATGAAAAACACAGCACTGACTCAGTTTTAATATTTATATTATGTTAACATACTCTTTTCTCCACTCTACTTTCGACATTGTTTCCGCCGGTTGATTGTCATAGTATACGATGAGCGAAGACAATGAAGAAGAAGCAAGCAAAAAAGAGAAAAAGTCATCATGATATTTCAACGAGAGGAAATAACAACTCGTGTTTCAGTATGAAAGAAAAAAAAACGAGTTTGAAAATGAAAAACAACTAACGTTGATTGGGAGTAATGATCATGAAAGCAGATACTATATCGATTGCTTTGATCATTACATTACCAGATATATTTGTATGGGAAATATTATGGATTAGATTAAGCCTTAGTTGAGAGAATGAGAATGAAGAACCGAAAGGGAAATCACTCAGTCAATGGGAAAAAAAAGAAGAGATCTGATCATCTATTTGTCTGAGTAAAAAACCAATCTTGGAAAAGGATAGATTAGATGACGCTATCTATGTGTTTCAAATGTTTTTTTTCTTCTTTTTCTCAACGGATTGGAAGTTCTGCGCCTCAATAGTTGAGACCCAGCAGCATACCGAAATTTTCAAGTATAATCAATGTTTCAAAAGAAAAATCAACAAAATGTCGAGCTGTTCCAGCATTTGTACAGCTGTAAAACTTAAGTGTTTTGATAGCAAACACTAAACTCACTTACCGGTCTTTTCCAGACATAAACTAGTATGATCTTCCGCGAAAGGAAAAAGTTATACTCTCTGGTGAGTTGTAAAACTAATTCTTGTCATTCATTTTTCAGGTCAGGACATTCGCAGTAATTATTCTAGGAAAGAATCTTGTAATTTGAAAAAAAAATGTTCTGATGGGTTATGAAGACACCTGTTCGAGAAAAATACGAAGGATTTAATAAATCTCTGAAATGTTTAATAGAGGAAATGACTGACGTCAGAAAGACTGGAAATTGCACTAGATGTTTAATCAAATTATCAATGACAGCTCTCTAGATTGCACTTTACATTAATTCCTAACAATCACCAATGATGAAAGAGTAAATGAAAGAACAAAACTGAATCTTCCCATAAAGCTAATCTAGTAAACTATCAATATGAGTTTCTCATCGATCAGGAAGGGAAAAATACAGTCATACGATACCCGTATGTCGATTGATGTTAAATGGGTATAGAAATGAAAATTATACACTGAATAATTTCAAACGCAGAAAAGAATATACGATAATGAATACTTACTGACGCGATGATAATCAACGACTTCATAATACTCACTCAGAAACATATTAGTTTCTCTTGAAACTACGAGAAAATGTACTCACAATTATCAACTAGTCATGATAAAAGAAATTGAATATGTGATAAATGAATCCGAACAGAAAAACAAAACTATTTTTATACTACAAAACTAGTTGTTAACATCAGGTAAAGATTCATTTTCTTCGAATCGTATTCAGTGTATAATTATACGAGTTAATGTATTATTTCGGTAAATTATCTGAAAACCAATATTGACTCATCCGAATGCAAATGTTTCAATTCTAACTTTCGACTCGTTCGTGTTGCCTTGATTGGCAAGAGATATCAGTTAAATTTTGCATGCAATATGTACCTTTTTTGTTTATTGACGTTTGTTTGAACGTAATTCGTTTGAGAATGGAAGAATAGACAAATGAAAAGGAAAAAAGAGCAGAAAGAAAAGAAGATCAACAAAAGGCGACAAAAGAAAAACGAAGGAAAATGTTGCTCATCTGCAGAAATGTCTGTTTTGTTCGAATACACGCGTTTTGAATGTTAGTTTATATATAATATAAAATCAATGTCGAAGGTGTGCACACATATACGTATATTATAAAGACAAGAAATCGTGCTGTATGTTATATAATGAAGATAGAAAAAGAAGAAAAAAAAAGAACGAAACGAAAAAAGATAAATCCAATCGATGACAAATTTTGAATATAAGCACACTATATGATAAATAAAGAAGAATAGAAAGAAGCCACGCAGACCTGAGCAGCTTGATTTTGCTGTTGGGCTTGATATATATGTATATATATACACACTCACACAAACATATACAGAAACTCACTCATTGGGGTTTAGTTTAGTCTCGTGCATGTACAAATGAAAAAGAGAAGGAAAGGAAAGATTGATGTGTATAAAAGAAAAACACGAACAGAATTGTTTCGTTTGATTTTTTTTTTCAAAGAATTTCTTCGCTTGAGTCCATCGGTTGGATATCTTGTAGAGAACTTTGCGATTGCATTTGACTGTTATCGTCATCTGTTACTGAAGAGGCCATGTCTTCCATGCCGAGAAGGAGATCTTCGTCTTTCGAATAAAATTTATCGGCATTCTCTTTTAGTTGATTATTGGCACCTGGAAAGAGAACGTTTGCGAATTGAAAATACAAAAATCAACAATCAAGGTTGATTTACCTTTCGGATCGAGGTCCATACTCCATGACATGTACATGTAGGAATAATGAAAATTCTTCAAATGCCGATGAACCTGAATGGAATTCAATGTCGGATTGCAAATCTTTCGAATTGAATTCGACTTACTTTACTAAGTAGATAATAAACAAGCGATTCTTTCGGTGCGATTTGTCGTAATTCTTCTAGTTCTGTCAATGCTTCTTGATATCGCTCAAGATGTAATAATAGACCAGCTCTAAAAGTCAAGCTCAATATCGTACAGGTTGTTTTCACTCTTCAATTGACTTACTTATGAAATTTACATAGAGCATTTTTGGAATCAATTATCAGCGCATCGTTCAGTAATGTTAGTGCACTTTCAGATCGACCACATTTGTGTTGAGCCTATGTGAGCAAATAAAAGCATAACTAGAATGAGAATGTCTTTCTTATTTCTCTTTCCTACCACTGCTAAATGACAGATAAGATCAGGATTCGTTCGAAAGATGCTTTTTGCTTTTGTGAAATGAAATTCAGCTGATTGAAATTTTTCCTGTTTTAAATAAACCATCGCTACACCATTCCTGCAGCAAACCAAAACCATCGACATTTTCTACCAAAGCAATTGTTTGACTTACCAAGCTTTGTAACTCCGTGGATTCAATTGAATCGCCTTTCGAAAACATGCCATAGCACGTTCCAGTTCATCGATAAGTGAATATTCATTACCCAGCAGTGTATATGCATAATCCGACTCAGGCGCTAGTTGTATAGCACGTTTGAATGCTTGAATAGCTTTGTCGTACTCATGATTCAAACTAAGACAATTGCCAGATGCACACCAACTCTATTTAACGAAAAAAAAAACGAAATCTCAGTTCGATCATTGTTTGATTTTCGAGGTACAATAAAGAAAAAGAAATTTGATCCATTTTATATAAACACCGGAACAGTTGATTAGATATCTAAACATTCTTTTTTCTCTCTTTTTCAAAGTAAAGAAACATGATCTTTTCTTCTCGATCAAGCGTATGTTAAAATAAGAGAAACCATTGATTCATTTGCAACATTCACTTATTTGATTTTATCCCGTTTACGAACAAGTCATGTCGAGTACAAACGGTTATGATGAAGTTTTGTCAACAGCTCCTGCAGATCTCGATACAAATAATAACGATACTGCTCAAAATACCAACGATTTAACTACCTATCTCTTAGTAGTGTTTCCATTCTATACTCTCGCACTTTTATTCAATTTTCTGACGATCTATTCGATTCTCATCGGTAAAATTTATCGTCAATATCTATCGAACGTCATCCTGGCTGTGATTTGTATTGGTGCACTGTTAAATGTTGACGGTCATATGTATTTAATTCTCTTACGATGGACAACTAGTTCGGCGTCAGATCAACTTTGTTCATCGTCGATTTATCTTCGTGATAGTGGATCAATTCTTATTTATACACATATTTTTATCTTAGCTCTCGAACGAATTCTTGCTTATTTGAAAAAACAACCGAGAAGCGTCCACAATCCATTATTACAAAAGGCGCACCTCTTTCTGATTCTAATGTCATTTATATCGATGATACTGGCTTTTACGATTCCAATCTACACATTTACACATTCAAATTTCTCCGAAAGCTTTGGTCTATGTATTCCGAACGATGACAAGGCTTATAGGATGTACATCAATTGGATCTATTTTGGTTTTGGTCATCCATTTGTTTGGTTATCGTGTATCTTACTTGGAATATTTCTCTGGCGAAACTCAGCTCGAAGTTATTCTACATTAGTTCCTATGAATCGAATAATTCTGATTATTAATGTATTCAGCTGTGTGAATCTTTTGATGCGAACCTTATTTGACGATCTAATTGGCGTTGGGAGTAAACGTCTATCGAATGACGATGTACCACCTTCAAGCAAAATCATTTATGCAATGAATATACGCGATTTTATTTCGATTTTTGTTAACTTATTGATTGGTTTAGTGTTTTTCGTTTTTCGACCAGAAATCCGTGCATGGTTATACGAATCAATGAAACGATTTCAAGGTAACGCCAATGTGACTGTTACGCCACAGAGGTTAGATATTCGTAATGAATTAGATGATAATTTCCCCGAAACAGACGATGGAAATCTACATTTCCGATCAGATACATAAAGAATTAGATCGTCCGTTTCTTTTTATCTTCATGTTCTTCTTTCATCTTAGAGAAATAAATAAATTCTACTTACAGCTGGATGTTTACGATCTGTTTCAGTTAATTCATGTGCTAATGTTGCCAATGCAATATCGTCTTTCAAATGCCATAGAACTGTACTATAATATTCTAGTCCATCGATGTGATATGGATACTTTGTACGTAATTCTCGATAGATCAATGCGGACTTCTGGTAATCATGTAAATGGTAATAACAGTTAGCTAAATGGGACAGAACCCATGGTGTGTCGAGGTGTTTCAGTGATATCGATTCAAATAATTCGATTGCTTGTCGACATTCAAATTGAGATAAATGTTGAAGACCTTGACCAAGTAATTTGAATACGTTGATAATATTTTCAACAATTTCTAAATAGAATAAACGAGAAAAGTTGGAGGATTTTCTACGAAATTGAAGTTACCTGGCGTACGTTGATGTTGACTTGATTGACTTTTTCTTTGTCGGTCGCGTTTACCAACAAATTCACTATCGATGGCACAATTTAAACTTGAATTATTCGATCGCACCTGAGATCTAGTTGTCATTTTGTTTGGTGATTCAGCTGGAGTTGCTGGTGTGGTTATACTCATATCTGCACATGGTGGACGACTGGTGGTTTTTGTTAAACGTGTTGTACGTTTTGTTGGCGCGCGAGTGGATTTGTTTTCCTAGTAGAACAATCATAGATACAATCGCATTCTTCGCCGTCATTTCACCCAAACTCACCTTTCGTGTGCCAATCGTTTTTCGAGTATCACTTAGTGAGGTCGAGGCCAGTTCATGTCTATGTATAAGTGTCGCCGTCGATCCGGATGCGGCTGTGTCATCGAATCCGTACTGTTGTCTAGAATAGTAGAAACGAAAACTTTTCAAGGAATCCACACATTCAGTGTCTAACATACACATTTCGAGTATTCTGTCTTTTGGGTGCTAATGGAGGATTGCGTAAGGAAGGAATGTAATCTGGTGGTTTAATAGTTGGCGGAGTATATTTATCGTTATCTTGTAGTTGTTCAGCAAGTAAAGCGATGGGTGTTGACGTAATCAGAGCGGAAATATTTGCTGAACCAACATTGAGTATAGAATCAGTTAGTTTCATTACGGTTGCTGGTGCCTGTAATATGCGTGGTTGTTGCCGTTCTTTGATTGCTTGATTTGTACTTGTATTCATCGACTAAAATGTACGAGATTTTGAAAATAGTTCAAATAATTGCATCTAGAGATTGAAAACCCACATTATCGATAGCTTGATTTTCACTTTGAATATCTTTTATTTGTTCAGTATATGGTGTCACACATATTTGCGGTTGATTGGCTTCTGAGATTGTTCGATTGGATTTTATAGCTGAGGAGCAAAATATACTTGTATCAACGCGTTCGCCTAAAATTCAATCAATTCGATTGAAAATAACGCAAATACAATGTTCGACTTACCCAAACGGCAAAGAGCTTCAAAGGATGACCATAGAAATGGATTGAGTTTCAAAGATTTTCGATAACATTCGCTTGCTTTTTGATGACGATCGGATTTTCTAAATATCACTCTTCTCCTTGCGAGTCAAAAGCGAACTTTCCAAAACTTACTCGCAAACTTTTGCAAGTAATTGCAACGCAAAAGCTGCTTGATCATTATGATCAATGACGAAGTCATCTAGTGCTAGTGTATTTATCGATGAGCAATTTCCAATTAGTACTGATTCAGCTTCATGCAATCTGAAATTCTCTATGGAATACAATCAGTTCTAGAACAAGTAGTGCTACGTACTTATCTGTATCGAAGCAACATTTTGCTAAAAGCAGTTTGGCGACTGGCAAGTGTTCTATTGAAGAATTCCGCAATAGCCAATAAGATTTATTCACATCACCACTCAAATAATAAGTACGTGCTAATAAATAAGTCGATTCATCGTTTTTTACTAGAAGAAAATTCGTTCGATTCAACGCCAAAAATAGTTCAAAAGATGGTCAGTTACCTTCAGCGTATAAACGTTCAGCAAGAAAGACAGCGTCGACATAGTCGAAATTATGAATAAATTGGTTTATATAAACCTTAATGGAATCGATTGCTACGGACATTAAATTGTTCGGAACAGGAGAGAGAGAGAGAGAGAGAGAGAGTGGAGAGATGAATATTTAGGTTCGTCTGATCACGGAATCAAATGATAATTAATTGAAACATTGATAATAAAGATCAAATGATTTCTAAAACGAAATGTAAAAGTAAATCACAGTCATATTCAAAGCAAAGTCAACCATTCACAAACAAATACAGACAAAATCATCGGTATTTTAAAATAAAACAAAATAAGCAACATTGCACACTGAGAAAAATCAATCTGTTGATAATTCAATTGCGAGACAAAACAATTCTGATCAGAAGCGAAAGAATGACTAGAATTCTTCTACGGATTTTCACGTTTCTGTGTATTCAATAAATGACGACGTTGACGTTCGGTTGATAAACGATCACATGCTTGTTGAATATTCATAAATATACTTTCAGCGTTTTGCTTTTCTTTTGGATCCTATAAATAAACATCATTCAGTTATGTGATTAATTTCCTCGGAAAGAAATATTTACTCGATGTCTATCAGGATGCCATTGACGTGATAATGTTCGGCATTGAGATTCGATTTGTTTTTGAGAAGCGCCATACTGCAAACTTAACGTCTAAAAACCAGAATGCATACACATATTTATGACACCCATCGACTTCTCATGGTTTAATATGAAGGCAATAAGAAAAATAATTCTCCGAAGTGTCCCCCTTTCTTCAATTTATCGATTAGAGTGAAACTCATCCGTTTAGAACGAGGAAATCATGCGCCATATATTACTTCGTATGCTTGCTTTTCACTTTCAGAATCAAGTACCATCCATATCTGTGTCCATATGCCTTTTAAGCCATGTCTTAAATAAAATGCCCATAATTGTCGAAGAATATTGAGTATTTGTTGATAAAATAGTAGGAATTCTTGTGATTTGAAAAATTCGCTCAGAACATCTTTTACTTTCACCCGGCGACCTTTGATGTCAACTTGCAGATTTTGATAGACGGCTGAAGTGAATAAAGTGCCGAAGATCATAATGCTAAGGCCGAATATGAGACAACGTTGAAGAAAATGACGACGTTTGCGTTTGGGTGGTATTGAGCATTGAGATTCTTTGGCGATGATTAATTTCGAAAAATACGTCGGATTCCATTCAACCTGCCATTCGAAGAACAACGAACAAAGAAATGCTGAGAGATTAAATGACGGTGATGATGGCTCATTGCGACCGACGATTAAAGGTAATCCAAATAAAGCACCTAGAAGTGGCCATAAGAATGAACACTGCCGTGGTCCCAGCGTGCCGACCATTTGAGTTCCTACGATAATCAAAAGCTGACGATAGATTCTAACGATCTTATCTTACCGACAGCAATAGCCAATACGGTACAAATGCCAATAAACAATGCTAAAAGCGTTTGTTTATGCCAGTTATCAGGAAAAGCATAGTAAGTAATAAAACCGTAGAAAATCGACGTGATGAATTGACCTTAAAATAACAATAGAATAAAACGCGTTCCATATCAGTTATGTGTCTATCCTCGACCGCATTGAAACAATCAGAAAGAAAATATTTCAATGTTTCGCTAACAGACTACCTACATCGTTTAATTTTGACTATTTTCTCACGAATGTTCCCAATCATTCAAAATATCGAACTTCAATATGAATGATTTGGTCATAGTCATAGATATACTTTACATCTCATTCAACTGATTGTGAACATTCTATACTTACCACAAAATCGACGGATTTCAAACGATGGTGATTTTCTTTGTAGCATTCTCAATTTATAATGATTGAGCACATGCTGATCTTCATTTGCCTCTTGAACATAATGATAGATTGAAAAGAAGAATTCATAAAGAAAACCAAGTCCGAATCCTCCGAAAGTTGTGCACCACAAAATTGCATGCTGAGTACGACCCAAATAAAGATGGTGCAGACCGAAAACACCCGCAGTTAAAGAAAATAAATATGTTAATATCAGACTTTTTTTATCAGTCATCAAGTATCACAGATGAAAATTCTCGAACAGTGGAAAAATCAGTCGAAAAATCCAAGGTGAGAATTCTAACTCGACTTTATTTCTCTCGAGAGACAAGGAAAGAGTATATTTGGACTAAAAGAGTTGAATGTCGCTAGAGTCGATGTATTCTACACCATCGACAGTAGCGATTTTCTTCCGAATATGATGCATTTTTTGGACACTTACGACATCTGACAATGTCTTCAAGTTTTAATGCAATGAAACTAGATTTTAGTAGATGTCATACACGGAGAGAACTGAATGAACAGCTGCATAGCGTCAAGAAAAGAGTTGAATATGAATCTAGTTAACATCCAAGTACCATTACTAATCAGGCGAGGAGAAAAGATCTGTTTAATAAGTTTTTCGTCATTTCCTATCGGCAGGAAATGCGAGCATTGTCTCATTTCCGACTACAGATTACAAAAAGTTTTCAAATGAAACGTTGTGAATTTATCATTTGCCTATATTCGATCGGCAAGCATTAAATCAGCGCGAACTTCACAGTTGCATATCTTTTACCAAATAACCCTTTAGTAAAACGTGCTCAGCTTGAAATTGATCGTCAAGGATTCCGTACACTTCGCTTATAAAAATAATCACAATCCGTTTCTTTCTTTACGATTCAAATATTGTCCAACTGTTGCATATTACATCTGCTCATATTGAAAATACTTTCAATCAAAACGAAAATTAAAAGCAAACATGTTCACATTCCTCCTTGCTTTTCGCTCTATCTCGTTTCGTTAAATCATCATTTGAAAGAAAACGTGTTTTACTTTCGATCAGCATTTCGACGTTCAATCAATCACACAGTTATCTCATTTAGGAAAGAAAAAGCTACATTATTAATGATACAACATTATGATAATTAGCTGTTTTACGGTAGTTTTTTTTTTCCTTTAATGATCATGATTAGTTGACACAGATGGTTCACATGGCCATCAATAGAGTCATCAGATTCACTAGATAAAATGTTTGTTTAAACGAGATTGTCAAGGTTGTATTTGATTGCTGACTACTGTGAATATTATTCCTAAACTTGATTCATGCTTATGGTGAGATTGTCGAACGAAAATGAATGACGATGATCGACTACTGTGAGAAATACGCAGTAATCTTCATTTCAATATTCTGTCGAAGTTATTCTTCAATGTTAAGTGCCTTTGTTAGAGATTCATTGTGGCATGTCTGCAATTTCATTTAGTTGATTAATTTCTTTGAATTTTTATTTCTTTCTATCCTTGTAGCGAGAGGTAGTGCAGCAATTAAGATGATTTAATTTAGAGCGATCTTACGTAAGTTGAAATTGTTATTCAGCATTGGATGACTTTGAAAAAATGCCCTAGTTAA